GCAGAAAAACCAACAAAAAAAAATACTTACTATCAAAACCTGTTGGAGGTCGAGCGCTCGATGGAAGTGAACATCCGGGACTTCTCGTAAGATAATGACCAAAATACGAAACGGAACGTACAAGTTTGTCACCTTATTTTCAGAGTTTCCTTTCGTTGCGTGCAAATCGCATCAATTTGAACTTTGCACAATACTAGTCGCTCTCTCCAAATGGGTCTCTTACAATCGATGCCCTCCTAGCCTCCCAATTTGACAGATTGTTTTCACCTGAAGCCTGAGCTCGACAAAGGCAATTCACAATTGAATGGGATTTTCTCCTAGCAAGCCGGGCGGCCGTTTCACATGTTTTTCAATGGCCACAACTAGTCTGACATGTTGCCTTTCTTTCTCCTTAGCACCACCGCCGTGTAGCACTCCCGTGGATCTGGCATTTATCATCGATTCTTCGGGCAGCATTGGCCGCACAAACTACAAGAAACAGAAGAACTTTGTCAAGGAAGTGGCGAAGACTTTTGGCCTATCTCCAAACGGCAGCCGAGCGGCCATGGTTCTGTACAGTAACTCGGCCTCAGTGAAAGCTCGATTTGGCCAGTATACGGACCCGAAGGAGTTCGATGGAGCTGTAGACAGTCTGCCTTACGAGAGAGGATTGACACGAATCGACAAAGCACTGGAGCTAACAGCCAGTGATATCTTCGCTCAAAGTAGGTCGGGCGTGCCCAAGATTGCAATGCTGATAACAGACGGTACCCAAACCGCAGCAGCCGACGCCAAAGGCCTAAAAGAGGCTTCCGAACCATTGAGACAGGCAGGTGTTCGTGTTCTAGCCGTAGGTGTTGGCAAGGGTGTGGACAGAGAAGAACTTCGACTGGTCACGGAGAGTGACGAGGATGTTGTGGTGGCGGCTGACTTCGAAGACCTGCTGTTGAAACTCAGCAACCTGACCAGCCAGGCTTGCCGACTTGCAGGTAAGCATCATCAGAAATCTGTTCGTAGCACTTGTGGCCTCAGGGCTGCTGGGGCTTGATAGGCAGGGCAAATGAATATCAATTGAAGGATCGTAAGCAGCTTTTGTCCTTATCAGCCGGGTGTTCTTTTTGTGTGTGTTTGTTGCCGTCTCGTCGTCGTCGTCGTTGTTCTTGTTCTTGTTCTTGTTCTTGTTCTTGTTCTTGTTCTTGTTCTTGTTCTTGTTCTTGTTCTTGTTCTTGTTCTTGTTCTTGTTCTTGTTCTTGTTCTTGTTCTTGTTCTTGTTCTTGTTCTTGTTCTTGTTCTTGTTCTTGTTCTTGTTCTTGTTGTTGCTGTAGCTTTGGTCTTTGTATTGCTTATTTCTTCCCGTTTGCTTTGGCCTTTTTGTTTTTGCCTTTAATTATTTTATTTTATTTTATTATTATCATTTTTTTTTTTTTTTTATCTTTTCCCCTTTTTGCTTTTCTTTCCTTTTTAATTGGTGGTCTTTCCATTAATGTTCAAAAAAAAAAAAAAAAAGCAAAAAACCAACAAAAAAAAAAAACTTTACTATCAAAACCTGTTGGAGGTCGAGCGCTCGATGGAAGTGAACATCCGGGACTTCTCGTAAGATAATGACCAAAATACGAAACGGAACGTACAAGTTTGTCACCTTATTTTCAGAGTTTCCTTTCGTTGCGTGCAAATCGCATCAATTTGAACTTTGCACAATACTAGTCGCTCTCTCCAAATGGGTCTCTTACAATCGATGCCCTCCTAGCCTCCCAATTTGACAGATTGTTTTCACCTGAAGCCTGAGCTCGACAAAGGCAATTCACAATTGAATGGGATTTTCTCCTAGCAAAGCCGGGCGGCCGTTTCACATGTTTTTCAATGGCCACAACTAGTCTGACATGTTGCCTTTCTTTCTCCTTAGCACCACCGCCGTGTAGCACTCCCGTGGATCTGGCATTTATCATCGATTCTTCGGGCAGCATTGGCCGCACAAACTACAAGAAACAGAAGAACTTTGTCAAGGAAGTGGCGAAGACTTTTGGCCTATCTCCAAACGGCAGCCGAGCGGCCATGGTTCTGTACAGTAACTCGGCCTCAGTGAAAGCTCGATTTGGCCAGTATACGGACCCGAAGGAGTTCGATGGAGCTGTAGACAGTCTGCCTTACGAGAGGGATTGACACGAATCGACAAAGCACTGGAGCTAACAGCCAGTGATATCTTCGCTCAAAGTAGGTCGGGCGTGCCCAAGATTGCAATGCTGATAACAGACGGTACCCAAACCGCAGCAGCCGACGCCAAAGGCCTAAAAGAGGCTTCCGAACCATTGAGACAGGCAGGTGTTCGTGTTCTAGCCGTAGGTGTTGGCAAGGGTGTGGACAGAGAAGAACTTCGACTGGTCACGGAGAGTGACGAGGATGTTGTGGTGGCGGCTGACTTCGAAGACCTGCTGTTGAAACTCAGCAACCTGACCAGCCAGGCTTGCCGACTTGCAGGTAAGCATCATCAGAAATCTGTTCGTAGCACTTGTGGCCTCAGGGCTGCTGGGGCTTGATAGGCAGGGCAAATGAATATCAATTGAAGGATCGTAAGCAGCTTTTGTCCTTATCAGCCGGGTGTTCTTTTTTGTGTGTTTGTTGCCGTCTCGTCGTCGTCGTCGTTGTTCTTGTTCTTGTTCTTGTTCTTGTTCTTGTTCTTTCTTGTTCTTGTTCTTGTTCTTGTTCTTGTTCTTGTTCTTGTTCTTGTTCTTGTTCTTGTTCTTGTTCTTGTTCTTGTTCTTGTTCTTGTTCTTGTTCTTGTTCTTGTTCTTGTTCTTGTTCTTGTTGTTGCTGTAGCTTTGGTCTTTGTATTGCTTATTTCTTCCCGTTTGCTTTGGCCTTTTTTTTTTTGCCTTTAATTATTTTATTTTATTTTATTATTATCATTTTTTTTTTTTTATCTTTTCCCCTTTTTGCTTTTCTTTCCTTTTAATTGGTCTTTCCATTAATGTTCAAAAAAAAAAAAACAAAAAGCAGAAAAACCAACAAAAAAAAAAAATACTTACTATCAAAACCTGTTGGAGGTCGAGCGCTCGATGGAAGTGAACATCCGGGACTTCTCGTAAGATAATGACCAAAATACGAAACGGAACGTACAAGTTTGTCACCTTATTTTCAGAGTTTCCTTTCGTTGCGTGCAAATCGCATCAATTTGAACTTTGCACAATACTAGTCGCTCTCTCCAAATGGGTCTCTTACAATCGATGCCCTCCTAGCCTCCCAATTTGACAGATTGTTTTCACCTGAAGCCTGAGCTCGACAAAGGCAATTCACAATTGAATGGGATTTTCTCCTAGCAGCCGGGCGGCCGTTTCACATGTTTTTCAATGGCCACAACTAGTCTGACATGTTGCCTTTCTTTCTCCTTAGCACCACCGCCGTGTAGCACTCCCGTGGATCTGGCATTTATCATCGATTCTTCGGGCAGCATTGGCCGCACAAACTACAAGAAACAGAAGAACTTTGTCAAGGAAGTGGCGAAGACTTTTGGCCTATCTCCAAACGGCAGCCGAGCGGCCATGGTTCTGTACAGTAACTCGGCCTCAGTGAAAGCTCGATTTGGCCAGTATACGGACCCGAAGGAGTTCGATGGAGCTGTAGACAGTCTGCCTTACGAGAGAGGATTGACACGAATCGACAAAGCACTGGAGCTAACAGCCAGTGATATCTTCGCTCAAAGTAGGTCGGGCGTGCCCAAGATTGCAATGCTGATAACAGACGGTACCCAAACCGCAGCAGCCGACGCCAAAGGCCTAAAAGAGGCTTCCGAACCATTGAGACAGGCAGGTGTTCGTGTTCTAGCCGTAGGTGTTGGCAAGGGTGTGGACAGAGAAGAACTTCGACTGGTCACGGAGAGTGACGAGGATGTTGTGGTGGCGGCTGACTTCGAAGACCTGCTGTTGAAACTCAGCAACCTGACCAGCCAGGCTTGCCGACTTGCAGGTAAGCATCATCAGAAATCTGTTCGTAGCACTTGTGGCCTCAGGGCTGCTGGGGCTTGATAGGCAGGGCAAATGAATATCAATTGAAGGATCGTAAGCAGCTTTTGTCCTTATCAGCCGGGTGTTCTTTTTGTGTGTGTTTGTTGCCGTCTCGTCGTCGTCGTCGTTGTTCTTGTTCTTGTTCTTGTTCTTGTTCTTGTTCTTGTTCTTGTTCTTGTTCTTGTTCTTGTTCTTGTTCTTGTTCTTGTTCTTGTTCTTGTTCTTGTTCTTGTTCTTGTTCTTGTTCTTGTTCTTGTTCTTGTTCTTGTTCTTGTTCTTGTTGTTGTTGTTGCTTTAGCTTTGGTCTTTGTATTGCTTATTTCTTCCCGTTTGCTTTGGCCTTTTTGTTTTTGCCTTTAATTATTTTATTTTATTTTATTATTATCATTTTTTTTTTTTTATCTTTTCCCCTTTTTGCTTTTTTCTTTCCTTTTAATTGGTCTTTCCATTAATGTTCAAAAAAAAAAAAAAAAAAAGCAGAAAAACCAACAAAAAAAAAAAAACTTACTATCAAAACCTGTTGGAGGTCGAGCGCTCGATGGAAGTGAACATCCGGGACTTCTCGTAAGATAATGACCAAAATACGAAACGGAACGTACAAGTTTGTCACCTTATTTTCAGAGTTTCCTTTCGTTGCGTGCAAATCGCATCAATTTGAACTTTGCACAATACTAGTCGCTCTCTCCAAATGGGTCTCTTACAATCGATGCCCTCCTAGCCTCCCAATTTGACAGATTGTTTTCACCTGAAGCCTGAGCTCGACAAAGGCAATTCACAATTGAATGGGATTTTCTCCCTAGCAAGCCGGGCGGCCGTTTCACATGTTTTTCAATGGCCACAACTAGTCTGACATGTTGCCTTTCTTTCTCCTTAGCACCACCGCCGTGTAGCACTCCCGTGGATCTGGCATTTATCATCGATTCTTCGGGCAGCATTGGCCGCACAAACTACAAGAAACAGAAGAACTTTGTCAAGGAAGTGGCGAAGACTTTTGGCCTATCTCCAAACGGCAGCCGAGCGGCCATGGTTCTGTACAGTAACTCGGCCTCAGTGAAAGCTCGATTTGGCCAGTATACGGACCCGAAGGAGTTCGATGGAGCTGTAGACAGTCTGCCTTACGAGAGAGGATTGACACGAATCGACAAAGCACTGGAGCTAACAGCCAGTGATATCTTCGCTCAAAGTAGGTCGGGCGTGCCCAAGATTGCAATGCTGATAACAGACGGTACCCAAACCGCAGCAGCCGACGCCAAAGGCCTAAAAGAGGCTTCCGAACCATTGAGACAGGCAGGTGTTCGTGTTCTAGCCGTAGGTGTTGGCAAGGGTGTGGACAGAGAAGAACTTCGACTGGTCACGGAGAGTGACGAGGATGTTGTGGTGGCGGCTGACTTCGAAGACCTGCTGTTGAAACTCAGCAACCTGACCAGCCAGGCTTGCCGACTTGCAGGTAAGCATCATCAGAAATCTGTTCGTAGCACTTGTGGCCTCAGGGCTGCTGGGGCTTGATAGGCAGGGCAAATGAATATCAATTGAAGGATCGTAAGCAGCTTTTGTCCTTATCAGCCGGGTGTTCTTTTTGTGTGTGTTTGTTGCCGTCTCGTCGTCGTCGTCGTTGTTCTTGTTCTTGTTCTTTCTTCTTGTTCTTGTTGTTGTTCTTGTTCTTGTTCTTGTTCTTGTTCTTGTTCTTGTTCTTGTTCTTGTTCTTGTTCTTGTTCTTGTTCTTGTTCTTGTTCTTGTTCTTGTTCTTGTTCTTGTTCTTGTTCTTGTTCTTGTTCTTGTTGTTGCTGTAGCTTTGGTCTTTGTATTGCTTATTTCTTCCCGTTTGCTTTGGCCTTTTTGTTTTTGCCTTTAATTATTTTATTTTCTTTTATTATTATCATTTTTTTTTTTTTTTATCTTTTCCCCTTTTTGCTTTTCTTTCCTTTTAATTGGTCTTTCCATTAATGTTCAAAAAACAAAAACAAAAGCAGAAAAACCAACAAAAAAAAAAATACTTACTATCAAAACCTGTTGGAGGTCGAGCGCTCGATGGAAGTGAACATCCGGGACTTCTCGTAAGATAATGACCAAAATACGAAACGGAACGTACAAGTTTGTCACCTTATTTTCAGAGTTTCCTTTCGTTGCGTGCAAATCGCATCAATTTGAACTTTGCACAATACTAGTCGCTCTCTCCAAATGGGTCTCTTACAATCGATGCCCTCCTAGCCTCCCAATTTGACAGATTGTTTTCACCTGAAGCCTGAGCTCGACAAAGGCAATTCACAATTGAATGGGATTTTCTCCTAGCAAGCCGGGCGGCCGTTTCACATGTTTTTCAATGGCCACAACTAGTCTGACATGTTGCCTTTCTTTCTCCTTAGCACCACCGCCGTGTAGCACTCCCGTGGATCTGGCATTTATCATCGATTCTTCGGGCAGCATTGGCCGCACAAACTACAAGAAACAGAAGAACTTTGTCAAGGAAGTGGCGAAGACTTTTGGCCTATCTCCAAACGGCAGCCGAGCGGCCATGGTTCTGTACAGTAACTCGGCCTCAGTGAAAGCTCGATTTGGCCAGTATACGGACCCGAAGGAGTTCGATGGAGCTGTAGACAGTCTGCCTTACGAGAGAGGATTGACACGAATCGACAAAGCACTGGAGCTAACAGCCAGTGATATCTTCGCTCAAAGTAGGTCGGGCGTGCCCAAGATTGCAATGCTGATAACAGACGGTACCCAAACCGCAGCAGCCGACGCCAAAGGCCTAAAAGAGGCTTCCGAACCATTGAGACAGGCAGGTGTTCGTGTTCTAGCCGTAGGTGTTGGCAAGGGTGTGGACAGAGAAGAACTTCGACTGGTCACGGAGAGTGACGAGGATGTTGTGGTGGCGGCTGACTTCGAAGACCTGCTGTTGAAACTCAGCAACCTGACCAGCCAGGCTTGCCGACTTGCAGGTAAGCATCATCAGAAATCTGTTCGTAGCACTTGTGGCCTCAGGGCTGCTGGGGCTTGATAGGCAGGGCAAATGAATATCAATTGAAGGATCGTAAGCAGCTTTTGTCCTTATCAGCCGGGTGTTCTTTTTGTGTGTGTTTGTTGCCGTCTCGTCGTCGTCGTCGTTGTTCTTGTTCTTGTTCTTGTTCTTGTTCTTGTTCTTGTTCTTGTTCTTGTTCTTGTTCTTGTTCTTGTTCTTGTTCTTGTTCTTGTTCTTGTTCTTGTTCTTGTTCTTGTTCTTGTTCTTGTTCTTGTTCTTGTTCTTGTTCTTGTTCTTGTTCTTGTTCTTGTTGTTGCTGTAGCTTTGGTCTTTGTATTGCTTATTTCTTCCCGTTTGCTTTGGCCTTTTTGTTTTTTGCCTTTAATTATTTTATTTTATTTTATTATTATCATTTTTTTTTTTTTTATCTTTTCCCCTTTTTGCTTTTTCTTTCCTTTTAATTGGTCTTTCCATTAATGTTCAAAAAAAAAAAAACAAAAAGCAGAAAAAACCAACAAAAAAAAAATACTTACTATCAAAACCTGTTGGAGGTCGAGCGCTCGATGGAAGTGAACATCCGGGACTTCTCGTAAGATAATGACCAAAATACGAAACGGAACGTACAAGTTTGTCACCTTATTTTCAGAGTTTCCTTTCGTTGCGTGCAAATCGCATCAATTTGAACTTTGCACAATACTAGTCGCTCTCTCCAAAATGGGTCTCTTACAATCGATGCCCTCCTAGCCTCCCAATTTGACAGATTGTTTTCACCTGAAGCCTGAGCTCGACAAAGGCAATTCACAATTGAATGGGATTTTCTCCTAGCAAGCCGGGCGGCCGTTTCACATGTTTTTCAATGGCCACAACTAGTCTGACATGTTGCCTTTCTTTCTCCTTAGCACCACCGCCGTGTAGCACTCCCGTGGATCTGGCATTTATCATCGATTCTTCGGGCAGCATTGGCCGCACAAACTACAAGAAACAGAAGAACTTTGTCAAGGAAGTGGCGAAGACTTTTGGCCTATCTCCAAACGGCAGCCGAGCGGCCATGGTTCTGTACAGTAACTCGGCCTCAGTGAAAGCTCGATTTGGCCAGTATACGGACCCGAAGGAGTTCGATGGAGCTGTAGACAGTCTGCCTTACGAGAGAGGATTGACACGAATCGACAAAGCACTGGAGCTAACAGCCAGTGATATCTTCGCTCAAAGTAGGTCGGGCGTGCCCAAGATTGCAATGCTGATAACAGACGGTACCCAAACCGCAGCAGCCGACGCCAAAGGCCTAAAAGAGGCTTCCGAACCATTGAGACAGGCAGGTGTTCGTGTTCTAGCCGTAGGTGTTGGCAAGGGTGTGGACAGAGAAGAACTTCGACTGGTCACGGAGAGTGACGAGGATGTTGTGGTGGCGGCTGACTTCGAAGACCTGCTGTTGAAACTCAGCAACCTGACCAGCCAGGCTTGCCGACTTGCAGGTAAGCATCATCAGAAATCTGTTCGTAGCACTTGTGGCCTCAGGGCTGCTGGGGCTTGATAGGCAGGGCAAATGAATATCAATTGAAGGATCGTAAGCAGCTTTTGTCCTTATCAGCCGGGTGTTCTTTTTGTGTGTGTTTGTTGCCGTCTCGTCGTCGTCGTCGTTGTTCTTGTTCTTGTTCTTGTTCTTGTTCTTGTTCTTGTTCTTGTTCTTGTTCTTGTTCTTGTTCTTGTTCTTGTTCTTGTTCTTGTTCTTGTTCTTGTTCTTGTTCTTGTTCTTGTTCTTGTTCTTGTTCTTGTTCTTGTTCTTGTTGTTGCTGTAGCTTTGGTCTTTGTATTGCTTATTTCTTCCCGTTTGCTTTGGCCTTTTTGTTTTTGCCTTTAATTATTTTATTTTATTTTATTATTATCATTTTTTTTTTTTTATCTTTTCCCCTTTTTTGCTTTTCTTTCCTTTTAATTGGTCTTTCCATTAATGTTCAAAAAAAAAAAAACAAAAGCAGAAAAACCAACAAAAAAAAAAATACTTACTATCAAAACCTGTTGGAGGTCGAGCGCTCGATGGAAGTGAACATCCGGGACTTCTCGTAAGATAATGACCAAAATACGAAACGGAACGTACAAGTTTGTCACCTTATTTTCAGAGTTTCCTTTCGTTGCGTGCAAATCGCATCAATTTGAACTTTGCACAATACTAGTCGCTCTCTCCAAATGGGTCTCTTACAATCGATGCCCTCCTAGCCTCCCAATTTGACAGATTGTTTTCACCTGAAGCCTGAGCTCGACAAAGGCAATTCACAATTGAATGGGATTTTCTCCTAGCAAGCCGGGCGGCCGTTTCACATGTTTTTCAATGGCCACAACTAGTCTGACATGTTGCCTTTCTTTCTCCTTAGCACCACCGCCGTGTAGCACTCCCGTGGATCTGGCATTTATCATCGATTCTTCGGGCAGCATTGGCCGCACAAACTACAAGAAACAGAAGAACTTTGTCAAGGAAGTGGCGAAGACTTTTGGCCTATCTCCAAACGGCAGCCGAGCGGCCATGGTTCTGTACAGTAACTCGGCCTCAGTGAAAGCTCGATTTGGCCAGTATACGGACCCGAAGGAGTTCGATGGAGCTGTAGACAGTCTGCCTTACGAGAGAGGATTGACACGAATCGACAAAGCACTGGAGCTAACAGCCAGTGATATCTTCGCTCAAAGTAGGTCGGGCGTGCCCAAGATTGCAATGCTGATAACAGACGGTACCCAAACCGCAGCAGCCGACGCCAAAGGCCTAAAAGAGGCTTCCGAACCATTGAGACAGGCAGGTGTTCGTGTTCTAGCCGTAGGTGTTGGCAAGGGTGTGGACAGAGAAGAACTTCGACTGGTCACGGAGAGTGACGAGGATGTTGTGGTGGCGGCTGACTTCGAAGACCTGCTGTTGAAACTCAGCAACCTGACCAGCCAGGCTTGCCGACTTGCAGGTAAGCATCATCAGAAATCTGTTCGTAGCACTTGTGGCCTCAGGGCTGCTGGGGCTTGATAGGCAGGGCAAATGAATATCAATTGAAGGATCGTAAGCAGCTTTTGTCCTTATCAGCCGGGTGTTCTTTTTTGTGTGTGTTTGTTGCCGTCTCGTCGTCGTCGTCGTTGTTCTTGTTCTTGTTCTTGTTCTTGTTCTTGTTCTTGTTCTTGTTCTTGTTCTTGTTCTTGTTCTTGTTCTTGTTCTTGTTCTTGTTCTTGTTCTTGTTCTTGTTCTTGTTCTTGTTCTTGTTCTTGTTCTTGTTCTTGTTCTTGTTCTTGTTCTTGTTGTTGCTGTAGCTTTGGTCTTTGTATTGCTTATTTCTTCCCGTTTGCTTTGGCCTTTTTGTTTTTTGCCTTTAATTATTTTATTTTATTTTATTATTATCATTTTTTTTTTTTTTTTTATCTTTTCCCCTTTTTGCTTTTCTTTCCTTTTAATTGGTCTTTCCATTAATGTTCAAAAAAAAAAAAACAAAAGCAGAAAAACCAACAAAAAAAAAATACTTACTATCAAAACCTGTTGGAGGTCGAGCGCTCGATGGAAGTGAACATCCGGGACTTCTCGTAAGATAATGACCAAAATACGAAACGGAACGTACAAGTTTGTCACCTTATTTTCAGAGTTTCCTTTCGTTGCGTGCAAATCGCATCAATTTGAACTTTGCACAATACTAGTCGCTCTCTCCAAATGGGTCTCTTACAATCGATGCCCTCCTAGCCTCCCAATTTGACAGATTGTTTTCACCTGAAGCCTGAGCTCGACAAAGGCAATTCACAATTGAATGGGATTTTCTCCTAGCAAGCCGGGCGGCCGTTTCACATGTTTTTCAATGGCCACAACTAGTCTGACATGTTGCCTTTCTTTCTCCTTAGCACCACCGCCGTGTAGCACTCCCGTGGATCTGGCATTTATCATCGATTCTTCGGGCAGCATTGGCCGCACAAACTACAAGAAACAGAAGAACTTTGTCAAGGAAGTGGCGAAGACTTTTGGCCTATCTCCAAACGGCAGCCGAGCGGCCATGGTTCTGTACAGTAACTCGGCCTCAGTGAAAGCTCGATTTGGCCAGTATACGGACCCGAAGGAGTTCGATGGAGCTGTAGACAGTCTGCCTTACGAGAGAGGATTGACACGAATCGACAAAGCACTGGAGCTAACAGCCAGTGATATCTTCGCTCAAAGTAGGTCGGGCGTGCCCAAGATTGCAATGCTGATAACAGACGGTACCCAAACCGCAGCAGCCGACGCCAAAGGCCTAAAAGAGGCTTCCGAACCATTGAGACAGGCAGGTGTTCGTGTTCTAGCCGTAGGTGTTGGCAAGGGTGTGGACAGAGAAGAACTTCGACTGGTCACGGAGAGTGACGAGGATGTTGTGGTGGCGGCTGACTTCGAAGACCTGCTGTTGAAACTCAGCAACCTGACCAGCCAGGCTTGCCGACTTGCAGGTAAGCATCATCAGAAATCTGTTCGTAGCACTTGTGGCCTCAGGGCTGCTGGGGCTTGATAGGCAGGGCAAATGAATATCAATTGAAGGATCGTAAGCAGCTTTTGTCCTTATCAGCCGGGTGTTCTTTTTGTGTGTGTTTGTTGCCGTCTCGTCGTCGTCGTCGTTGTTCTTGTTCTTGTTCTTGTTCTTGTTCTTGTTCTTGTTCTTGTTCTTTCTTGTTCTTGTTCTTGTTCTTGTTCTTGTTCTTGTTCTTGTTCTTGTTCTTGTTCTTGTTCTTGTTCTTGTTCTTGTTCTTGTTCTTGTTCTTGTTCTTGTTCTTGTTCTTTGTTGTTGTAGTAGCTTTGGTCTTTGTATTGCTTATTTCTTCCCGTTTGCTTTGGCCTTTTTGTTTTTGCCTTTAATTATTTTATTTTATTTTATTATTATCATTTTTTTTTTTTTTTTTATTTTTCCCCTTTTTTTTTTTTTTCCTTTTAATTGGTCTTTCCATTAATGTTCAAAAAAAAAAAAAACAAAAGCAGAAAAACCAACAAAAAAAATACTTACTATCAAAAAACTGTTGGAGGTCGAGCGCTCGATGGAAGTGAACATCCGGGACTTCTCGTAAGATAATGACCAAAATACGAAACGGAACGTACAAGTTTGTCACCTTATTTTCAGAGTTTCCTTTCGTTGCGTGCAAATCGCATCAATTTGAACTTTGCACAATACTAGTCGCTCTCTCCAAATGGGTCTCTTACAATCGATGCCCTCCTAGCCTCCCAATTTGACAGATTGTTTTCACCTGAAGCCTGAGCTCGACAAAGGCAATTCACAATTGAATGGGATTTTCTCCTAGCAAGCCGGGCGGCCGTTTCACATGTTTTTCAATGGCCACAACTAGTCTGACATGTTGCCTTTCTTTCTCCTTAGCACCACCGCCGTGTAGCACTCCCGTGGATCTGGCATTTATCATCGATTCTTCGGGCAGCATTGGCCGCACAAACTACAAGAAACAGAAGAACTTTGTCAAGGAAGTGGCGAAGACTTTTGGCCTATCTCCAAACGGCAGCCGAGCGGCCATGGTTCTGTACAGTAACTCGGCCTCAGTGAAAGCTCGATTTGGCCAGTATACGGACCCGAAGGAGTTCGATGGAGCTGTAGACAGTCTGCCTTACGAGAGAGGATTGACACGAATCGACAAAGCACTGGAGCTAACAGCCAGTGATATCTTCGCTCAAAGTAGGTCGGGCGTGCCCAAGATTGCAATGCTGATAACAGACGGTACCCAAACCGCAGCAGCCGACGCCAAAGGCCTAAAAGAGGCTTCCGAACCATTGAGACAGGCAGGTGTTCGTGTTCTAGCCGTAGGTGTTGGCAAGGGTGTGGACAGAGAAGAACTTCGACTGGTCACGGAGAGTGACGAGGATGTTGTGGTGGCGGCTGACTTCGAAGACCTGCTGTTGAAACTCAGCAACCTGACCAGCCAGGCTTGCCGACTTGCAGGTAAGCATCATCAGAAATCTGTTCGTAGCACTTGTGGCCTCAGGGCTGCTGGGGCTTGATAGGCAGGGCAAATGAATATCAATTGAAGGATCGTAAGCAGCTTTTGTCCTTATCAGCCGGGTGTTCTTTTTGTGTTTTTGTTGCCGTCTCGTCGTCGTCGTCGTTGTTCTTGTTCTTGTTCTTGTTCTTGTTCTTGTTCTTGTTCTTGTTCTTGTTCTTGTTCTTTCTTTCTTGTTCTTGTTCTTGTTCTTGTTCTTGTTCTTGTTCTTGTTCTTGTTCTTGTTCTTGTTCTTGTTCTTGTTCTTGTTCTTGTTCTTGTTGTTGCTGTAGCTTTGGTCTTTGTATTGCTTATTTCTTCCCGTTTGCTTTGGCCTTTTTGTTTTTGCCTTTAATTATTTTATTTTATTTTATTATTATCATTTTTTTTTATTTTTTATCTTTTCCCCTTTTTTTTTTCTTTCCTTTTAATTGGTCTTTCCATTAATGTTCAAAAAAAAAAAAAAACAAAAGCAGAAAAACCAACAAAAAAAAAAATACTTACTATCAAAACCTGTTGGAGGTCGAGCGCTCGATGGAAGTGAACATCCGGGACTTCTCGTAAGATAATGACCAAAATACGAAACGGAACGTACAAGTTTGTCACCTTATTTTCAGAGTTTCCTTTCGTTGCGTGCAAATCGCATCAATTTGAACTTTGCACAATACTAGTCGCTCTCTCCAAATGGGTCTCTTACAATCGATGCCCTCCTAGCCTCCCAATTTGACAGATTGTTTTCACCTGAAGCCTGAGCTCGACAAAGGCAATTCACAATTGAATGGGATTTTCTCCTAGCAAGCCGGGCGGCCGTTTCACATGTTTTTCAATGGCCACAACTAGTCTGACATGTTGCCTTTCTTTCTCCTTAGCACCACCGCCGTGTAGCACTCCCGTGGATCTGGCATTTATCATCGATTCTTCGGGCAGCATTGGCCGCACAAACTACAAGAAACAGAAGAACTTTGTCAAGGAAGTGGCGAAGACTTTTGGCCTATCTCCAAACGGCAGCCGAGCGGCCATGGTTCTGTACAGTAACTCGGCCTCAGTGAAAGCTCGATTTGGCCAGTATACGGACCCGAAGGAGTTCGATGGAGCTGTAGACAGTCTGCCTTACGAGAGAGGATTGACACGAATCGACAAAGCACTGGAGCTAACAGCCAGTGATATCTTCGCTCAAAGTAGGTCGGCGTGCCCAAGATTGCAATGCTGATAACAGACGGTACCCAAACCGCAGCAGCCGACGCCAAAGGCCTAAAAGAGGCTTCCGAACCATTGAGACAGGCAGGTGTTCGTGTTCTAGCCGTAGGTGTTGGCAAGGGTGTGGACAGAGAAGAACTTCGACTGGTCACGGAGAGTGACGAGGATGTTGTGGTGGCGGCTGACTTCGAAGACCTGCTGTTGAAACTCAGCAACCTGACCAGCCAGGCTTGCCGACTTGCAGGTAAGCATCATCAGAAATCTGTTCGTAGCACTTGTGGCCTCAGGGCTGCTGGGGCTTGATAGGCAGGGCAAATGAATATCAATTGAAGGATCGTAAGCAGCTTTTGTCCTTATCAGCCGGGTGTTCTTTTTGTGTGTGTTTGTTGCCGTCTCGTCGTCGTCGTCGTCGTCGTTCTTGTTCTTGTTCTTGTTCTTGTTCTTGTTCTTGTTCTTGTTCTTGTTCTTGTTCTTGTTCTTGTTCTTGTTCTTGTTCTTGTTCTTGTTCTTGTTCTTGTTCTTGTTCTTGTTCTTGTTCTTGTTCTTGTTCTTGTTCTTGTTCTTGTTCTTGTTGTTGTGTAGCTTTGGTCTTTTTGTATTGCTTATTTCTTCCCGTTTGCTTTGGCCTTTTTGTTTTTTTTTGCTTTAATTATTTTATTTTATTTTATTATTATCATTTTTTTTTTTTTTTATCTTTTCCCCTTTTTGCTTTTCTTTCCTTTTAATTGGTCTTTCCATTAATGTTCAAAAAAAAAAAAAAAAAGCAGAAAAACCAACAAAAAAAATACTTACTATCAAAACCTGTTGGAGGTCGAGCGCTCGATGGAAGTGAACATCCGGGACTTCTCGTAAGATAATGACCAAAATACGAAACGGAACGTACAAGTTTGTCACCTTATTTTCAGAGTTTCCTTTCGTTGCGTGCAAATCGCATCAATTTGAACTTTGCACAATACTAGTCGCTCTCTCCAAATGGGTCTCTTACAATCGATGCCCTCCTAGCCTCCCAATTTGACAGATTGTTTTCACCTGAAGCCTGAGCTCGACAAAGGCAATTCACAATTGAATGGGATTTTCTCCTAGCAAGCCGGGCGGCCGTTTCACATGTTTTTCAATGGCCACAACTAGTCTGACATGTTGCCTTTCTTTCTCCTTAGCACCACCGCCGTGTAGCACTCCCGTGGATCTGGCATTTATCATCGATTCTTCGGGCAGCATTGGCCGCACAAACTACAAGAAACAGAAGAACTTTGTCAAGGAAGTGGCGAAGACTTTTGGCCTATCTCCAAACGGCAGCCGAGCGGCCATGGTTCTGTACAGTAACTCGGCCTCAGTGAAAGCTCGATTTGGCCAGTATACGGACCCGAAGGAGTTCGATGGAGCTGTAGACAGTCTGCCTTACGAGAGAGGATTGACACGAATCGACAAAGCACTGGAGCTAACAGCCAGTGATATCTTCGCTCAAAGTAGGTCGGGCGTGCCCAAGATTGCAATGCTGATAACAGACGGTACCCAAACCGCAGCAGCCGACGCCAAAGGCCTAAAAAGAGGCTTCCGAACCATTGAGACAGGCAGGTGTTCGTGTTCTAGCCGTAGGTGTTGGCAAGGGTGTGGACAGAGAAGAACTTCGACTGGTCACGGAGAGTGACGAGGATGTTGTGGTGGCGGCTGACTTCGAAGACCTGCTGTTGAAACTCAGCAACCTGACCAGCCAGGCTTGCCGACTTGCAGGTAAGCATCATCAGAAATCTGTTCGTAGCACTTGTGGCCTCAGGGCTGCTGGGGCTTGATAGGCAGGGCAAATGAATATCAATTGAAGGATCGTAAGCAGCTTTTGTCCTTATCAGCCGGGTGTTCTTTTTTTGTGTGTGTTTGTTGCCGTCTCGTCGTCGTCGTCGTTGTTCTTGTTCTTGTTCTTGTTCTTCTTGTTGCTCTTGTTCTTGTTCTTGTTGTTGTTCTTGTTGTTGTTCTTGTTCTTGTTCTTGTTCTTGTTCTTTTCTTGTTCTTGTTCTTGTTCTTGTTCCTTGTTCTTCTTGTTCTTGTTCTTGTTCTTGTTCTTGTTCTTGTTCTTGTTCTTGTTCTTTTCTTGTTCTTGTTCTTGTTCTTGTTGTTGCTTTTTGGTCTTTGTATTGCTTATTTCTTCCCGTTTGCTTTTTTAATTATTTTATTTTATTTTATTATTATCATTTTTTTATTTTTTATCTTTTCCCCCTTTTTGCTTTTCTTTCCTTTTAATTGGTCTTTCCATTAATGTTCAAAAAAACAAAAAACAAAAGCAGAAAAACCAACAAAAAAAAATACTTACTATCAAAACCTGTTGGAGGTCGGTTAGATATTTTCAAGTTCCATAGCATTATAGGTAAAGGTTATTTTTAATTTGTACTACCAGACTTTATATAGTATATTTATAGGGGGTGTTTAGTAAAAGCTTTTTATTTGGGGTCTCGCACTGATATAAGATATTTTATTGCTTTGTGTTTGGTTTGCTAGTATTTGTTTTGAGTGCTAGACTGCTGGAATTTAGATTTCCGGGCTTTTAGATTTTGAATTTTCCTGGGTAAGTTTTTCCGTTGAACTCCTTTAATGTAATGTGACTTTTGCGGGAAGAAACGCCTTTTTTAATGCAGGCAGCCGTCTATAGAATGTTACTATGGAAACTTCAAGAATTTTTTATTTCCGAGTCATTTTATTGGTTCATTAGTCTTATTACGTGATACTCTCTACCTTAGATAGTGTTTTCACAGTTGTGTTGGGTCTGAATTCTTTAAAGCTGCATTTTTCGCTGGATTTGTGCTTTTGTGATAAGTATACACATAAGGCTTAGATTATTTAACTTCATTGCGTATCTAGTCGTTGTCAAATAGAGAATAATACATGGGCGCGCGTGGATATGGAGTTTCTCTTCGAGTGTTTAACTCGATGGTGAGATGTCGATTTGAATAGGAGAAGAGAAATTTCATATCTAAAAGCGACCATGTATTATTTTGTTTATCACATAAACACAATAGCCCTTTACTTACAAGAAAATATCTTTTTTTTTCACGTGTATTGTTACGGTTTCTCTCGGGGCTGGAAATCCTTGTAAAACACCGTAGTTTATATGATAAATATACAATATATTTTGGCTGTAATCATCAAATTTGTTTCTTTGCCAGCGAAACGGAGGTCGTCTTGTTTGATTCCCATGGATATTGCTTTCCTGTTGGATTCTTCAGATGCCGCTGGAAAGGCTGGTTTTCAGAGGGAGAAGGAGTTTTTCAAACTTATGTCAAGTGCTCTATCATTGTCTCTCAGTGGTACTCGTGTAGGTGTAATTTCTTACAGTGCACAGGCAAACCTCGCAGTGGCTCTTCAGGAAAATACCACCGCCCAAAATTTGCGATCTGCCATCGATGCGCTTCAATTTGTGGGAGGAACTCCCAGAATTGAGAAGGCACTTGAATCTGTCCTTACTGACTTGTTTACCTTCGATAGGGGGACCAGGTCTGGAATCCCAAAGGTAGCCGTTCTTTTGACGAAGGTATCAGACTCAATCATTTTGCAGTATGACACTCTCAGGAGGGCAGCCGCACCATTAAAAACAGAAGGTGTGGAATTAATTGCCGTAGGTGTAGGCCGAGACGGCGATCTTCAAGATTTGCGTGTATTAGTTGGCAGCGAGGAATATGTTTTAGGAACAGAGTCCTTTGATAGCCTTTCTGAATTGGTAGAAGACGTTACGCTTCTTGCATGTAAAGCTGCAGGTGAGAGAACTTTACTTTGCATAATACATTAAATTTTACATAGAGTTACAGCAGCGTTCACGTGGCAAGTTTTATGGGAAATTTCCATATTTGGAAGACGGAAAAAGGCTGGTAACTTGACAGGATACTCGTCAATGAATTTAAATGATTTTGGGATATACATACACCAGTAAGTTTTCCAAGGCAAGTGTATTTCACTCGCTATCTTTACTAATTTTTAAGTTGAAACCCTATTTCGTAATATGCGCTCTTGCAGAAACATTTGCTGGTGTAAATGTTGCTTGTAAATACTTGACTTCAGTGAGATGTCGAAATGTAAGTTTATTGTGCCCTTTTCCGGCGAAATTTTACCATTTTTATGATCGTTTTAGACGCGGGGGCAGTTTCTAAAGGAACACTTTTCTACGCTATTTTCGATAGTCACATAATAATTAAGTTTGATGCGCTTCATTAAAACAATGATCCGCATTGACTGACGCGAATGTATCAATGGCTCACGACGCATGCAGGATTTCCATCATAAATATATTTCCTCCTTCTTTAAACTACCATTTTAACCTAACGTGACGTTTTATTTGTGTTGTCTGCTTCATTACGGAACGAGCTACGATTTAGCTTTATCGGCATTTGGAGAGAGAAATTATTTTTAGAGTTTCTGTTCCTGCTGCTGTCGTTGTTTCTTCAAGGATCTATGTATGTCAGCTTTAACGACGTCCGAGTCATGCTTCAACGTCCTTTATGGCTGTAGAATAAAGTCCAAGATCTTAAAATTGGACAAAGTTTGAACTTCCTACTCAGTCTATAGTGAGCGAGCGCACACATTCGCCCTATGGTCAGTGAGTGTGCCTTTTCTGTTGTGCTTCTGTTCAGGAATTAATAGGTCACAGGAGATGTCAGACTGTGTAAAGAACAAAACTGGGGTGAACAGTTTGCCAAATGTAAACGTTTGCTGTGATCTATTACTGAAAAGACGCATATTAACATGAAAGTTATTACTTTTATATTAAAAAGAAAAAATTAAAGATGAGGTAATCTGAGATCGGTAGATCGTAAGCAAGGACCAATCAAAATGCCTGTATAATTCAGCCTATCAATTAGTAACCTATAAATCACTCACGTCAATTCCTCTTACATGAGTATTTGATTATGTTAAACAGTTATGTTCGCTGTTGCAAAAAAGTGCTCTTTTATTAATCAAATTTTGCGCCTCTACATGTCTTCTAGAACCAAAACGGATCATTTATCCTATGGACGCTGCAATCCTAGTTGACACGTCCGCTGGCATTAGTGCCCTCAACTTCCAGAGGGAGAAAGCTTTTGTTAAGACTCTTATAAGAAGTTTTACCATTTCAAGGAACTTGAGTCGTGTAAGCCTGTTATCTTACGGTAACAAAACAGAAGTCACCGTGAATTTCTTTGACCAGCAAAACAGAGAATTTCTCACACGAAATGTCGATTCTTTGCCCCTCTTGGGTGGGCCGTCGCAAATAAATCAAGCTCTAGAGGTCGCAGCTTCGCAGCTTTTCTCCCCTTCTGGTTCGTCTCGCGCCGCAGTGCCAAGGACTATTGTGGTAGTAACGGATGGTCGACAGGATCTTACGGTGGGCTCCGGTGGTCTAAATGAGACAATAGCCCTGTTGAGGCAAAATGGCGTTAAGATTCTAGTGGTGGCTGTTGGCGGTGAAGACGTTGACGAGGATGGATTGGGCAGCCTTGTTGAAGAGGAAGATCATATATTTACCGCTGAATCGTTTGAAACTTTGGCCGCTAAATTGGAGAAAGTCAGCACTGTAGCCTCCGAAATTGCAGGTTAAATTAAATGTCTTAATTTACCCGATATTTCATTCGCTATATTTCTTTTTTGAACACTAAGTTTTTGCGCCTAAGCGTGTACACTTCTTACCATTGATCCGATGTAGAAATCAACTTACAGAATTCCTTTCAATGCAAAACAGGTAACGGCAAGATACTTTTAGCTATTGTTTGCGACGAGAAACAAAACTACCTTAAACTTGACGGAATGCACAAATCGTTATTTCGGTGAGATAAAGAAAACGTCGGCAAAACAAAGATAAAACCGAGTAGAAAACAATAAATACAGTGAGTGATTTATGAGTTTGAAATATTGCAATCTCAAGATACACAAACCTTCCTCATTTTAGTCATTTCAATGAAGTGAGCAAAACTGAAAAATCATTTATCACTGTACTTGTTACCACAGTTTCTTTTTCACAGTTGTGCGATTGGGCTGCAAAAAGAACAATCAATAACTTGCGGAATTAATCCTTAATAAATAACAGTTACCGATATTTCAAGTCCTGTTTATCAGCGACGTACAGAATTACGCTAAGCTAAACTCTAGGATAGGAAGAATAAGCCAGAAAGGAGTAAAGGAAGAAATTGACTCGGATTGCAAATAAAAAATGCAAGCCAAATTTGTTAAGATTTGCACACTTGGACGTTGCTCCTTCGACAGATTGTCCTCAGAACCATGCGACGTAAGAATTCGTTTTCCTTTGCCACAAGTTTGAGAATGCCTTAAGATGACAAAACGAAAAAAACAGTTAAGAAAACACAATAAAATATTTCTGCTGTTGTCTTTCCCAGCACCTGACCGTTGTGGTAAAGTGACTGACATCGCCTTTATAATGGACGCCTCGGACAGTGTTGACAGCCAGAGTTACCGCATTCAAAAGGACTTTGTCAAAGCAATCGCAAAGAGCTTCGGTTTGCAACCAGGGGCGAGCCGAGCAGGAGTCATTCTTTCCGGCAAGAAACCAACAGTGAACATTAATTTTGATGACTACTTGCAAACCGAAGACTTCATAGAGGCGGTAGATAGACTTCCTCACCCTCGCGGACATGCTGGAATAGACAAAGTCCTCGATGTGGCTCTAACTCAGCTATTGGTCAACAGAGGTGGTGCAAGACCTGGATTGGGGAAGATACTAGTGCTATTAACAGCAAACACTCAAAATCAATCTCTAGATACAAAGTTGCTGGATAGTGTCACCAGAAGGCTCCAACAGTTGGGAGTGGCTTTGGTTGTTATCGGTGTCGGTAAACAGGTGGATGAGACACTGCTTCGTCCTTTGGTTACGAAAGGAGAGAATCTTTTCCTAGAAAGATCGTTTGAAAGTCTGATGCTTAAAGCTCGACAAGTAGCACAAATTACGTGCGACAACGCAGGTATTTTTCATTACCTCCGCTGAAACTTTCGAAGAGAGGCTTAAGTAGTCCGGACTGGTCCATGTACCCATATTTCAATTTCAAAACCATTCTTCAAAGTCAGAACTGAATATCAAATCACTTAATATTAACAAGAATACAAAGATTTCTTACAAGCACTAAATGAACACCACTTATGAGGCAATGTTAAAGAGAATTGTTTATCCAGTTACCTTTTTATCTAGCTAGGAGGATACGCTAACCTCCCCCTCCCCCCCTCACCTTTGTCACTCCGACAGTTTGACTTTACTCGCCTGAGATGTTTATTAGTATTCAATTTTCTGAGGAGTTTTAGTTTGCTACAAGTTGCATTGGTAATATAACTCGCCATTTAAAAAGTGTGAACTCACGCGACAATTTAAAATGCTGTAAGTTCCTTTACAATTTTCACACGAACAACACATTTTATGTGTTTATTTGAGACTAGTTCGTTCTATTCCTCGCCGCCTTTCACCGCAAATTGAATGATAAATTAAGAAAAATTATGTCTGCAATAGGAAATATTTTTGGAATAGATCTAACAGCGAAAGGGATGGAGGCAAGATTTAATACATACAATGTATTAATATGATTTTTTGATAAATATGATTTATTTCCCTTCGTGTAGGATACTCAAGATGCAGAAATCCAGTTGATGTCGCTTTTCTGGTGGACTCTTCGGGTAGTCTTGGCGAGGAAGGTTTCCGCGAGCAAAAGGACTTCATAAAAGTGATTACGAACGCCCTCAATGTATCTCCCTCACACAGCAAGGCGGGTGTCATCACTTACAGTGATAGAGCTTCTGTGGCAATAAAGTTTTCAGACTATCAATACCACGCGCAGTTGGTAAATACCCTTGACGCGCTGCCATATCAAGGTAAAACCACACGGATTGACAGGGCCATTGTGAAGGCCTCTAAAGAACTCATGACAGTGGAAGGAGGTAGAAGAAAGGATATACCTGGAGTTATGGTTATAATGACCGACGGGAGGCAGACTCAGGACTTTGACGTCACGCCTTTAGAGCAAGCAGCTGCGGTCTCAGAGGAAATGGGGGTAACAACTTTGGTGCTCGGAATTGGGGAACTGGCCAACGTGAATGAGCTCAGAAAAATGACTGCACGAGATGGCGACGTTTTCTTGGCTTCCTCTTCTCGAGCTTTGAACAGTTTTGCACAACCAGTTGCCACAAGAATATGTAATGCTGCAGGTACCTTAAATTGTTGCTTTACACGTTCTGTTCATTTTGGGTACCTTCCCAGATTAACAACTATGATTTTGGTCATAAGTGGTTTCAAATGCCATACTGAGTCCATCAGATGAGCCATATTCAAGATTATTCCCTTAATTTCATATGTCACTCCCATTTCCAGAGATGCTCCGAGAGTATAGAAAGTCACGCGGACTTTCAATTTCCATAAGGTTATCAATTTCTTCCTGAAAAGAAAGCGTTTTGTAAGTTAACAGAAGATATTATCTTTTCAGCACCAAAGACATGTGATGTTCCACTAGATGTTGCCTTTTTGGTTGAGTCATCTGAGAACATTTCACCAAGAGACTATAAAAGAATTAAAGATTTCATCAAAGAGGCGGCCACCTACCTGTCAAGAAGCGACAACGAACAGCAAGTTGGTGTCATTGTGTTCAATACCGAGGCCAAGATATCCATAAAGTTTGGACAATATTGGTCCGAATACGATTTTGATCGTGCAATTGATGATCTTCCTCTAAACACAGGACCATCGCAATTTGATACAGCTCTTCGCGTTGCCACCAAATTGTTCACTGCTAAAAATGGAGCCAGACCCGGGGTTCAGAAAGTCGGCATCGTATTAACAAATGGAAAGCATCCTGCTGTAGAAGAACTGGAGGACCTGAAGGATGCAGTAAGACCTCTTCATCAAGCAGGGGTCCATGTCATACCCATTGGAGTGACGTCGTCGGTGGATTGGAAAAAATTGCGTTCCTTAACTGTGGACGACAAGGATGTTATTGTGTCACATTCTTGTGATAGTTTATCCAACAAGATTAACTATCTTTTCAGACGCATTTGCTTCGAAGCTGGTAAGGAAAAAACTTTGTTTTAGATAACTTGTACTGGCTATAAATGGTGTGCCTTCTTCGGCATACAACAGTTATCTGGGAGGAACTGGATCTATTCACTCTACTTAAATTACATCAAAACTTCGGTAGTCAAACCCTTTTTTTGAAATCGAATATGATCCAGTTGGTTCAAATCGTATTGGTAACCGTGTTCTTGGCCGAATATTTTTCTGGATTTTACGAAAAGAACATGTTTCACCTCTGGGCTTTTTAGTTATAGGTGCCAAAGACAACTCGGCTTGTAAATAAACAAATTAAGGCTCTGGCTATTCGTTGTTTTCAGTTTATAATGAATTTCCTTTGATTTTGATCTCGAAGCTTACAAAAAATGCGATGGGGTAGCAGATGTGATATTTGCGATCCACTCCTCGGGGACACTCAGCCCTTCAGAATACCGCAAAGAAAAAGAATTGGTGAAAAGAGTGGCGACAACTCTGAACATTTCACCCGGTAGGAGTCGAGTAGCTTTAATTCTTTATAGCAACTTCGCCACGGCAGCCCTTAGACTTGACGAAAAGATCACCATGGAGTCTTTTGACAATCTTGTGGATAGCTTACCTCATGAACGTGGAGTGACGCGCATCGACAGAGCTTTAAAGCTTGCTCGATCCATTTTCGACTCCGAGACTGCTGTAGCGCGACGAGGAGTGCCTAAGGTATTGATATTGTTCACCGATAGCAAGCAAACCGTTGCTCAAGATGCATTTAATCTGGTGGAAGCCGCCCGACCCCTACTCTATGAGAACGATGTTAGGATTCTTGCAGTGGGAATAGGAAACAATGTAGACGTCAGGGAGCTACGAGCTACAACAGTTGATGAGAAGGACGTCTTTCTGTCACCGTCGTTGGAGAATCTTCTCAGTTTAAGCGGATCTTTGTCTGAGGCCATGTGCGAGGCAGCCAGTGAGTATACAGTGAAAATGGCATTGTCCTATAAACGTAAGGTCAAGTGTAGTATAGTTGGCTCTGTATGGTAAGAGCTGCATGACTGTTTATGTTTTCTTTATTAAAAGTTCATTAACCTGACGGAGGCCTTGGAGTTTTTAGCGGTAAAATCTTGACCATGCATCAATGACTGATCAACCGACCGACTGACCAACCCAATGATCGAAAGACCGACCGGTCGACCAAACGACAATTTGTTAATAATCCATTTATTCACTCGTTAATGATAATATTCCAAACATTTAACAAAGACACCTCCAATCACTCAAAAGTGGTCATGGTGGTCTACAGTGATTTACTAATGCTTAGAAATCTAGCAACTGGCCAACAGCCACTAGGATGAATGTTAATCGTCTAAGAAAGTGAAAAAGGTGAAGAGTAGTGACCTAAGCTGATTGAAAATGAACGTAAAAAAAGATTGAGAATTATTTTCAAATTTCTTTTAAAATCACTCAATTATATTTTCAGAGCCTCCAATTTGCCCTGAAGCCATGGACGTCGCCTTCCTTATGGATGCCTCCGGCAGTGTGGGAGCAGACAACTTTGAGAAGCAGAAAGAGTTCATCAAAGCAGTCGCCGGTACTTTAGGACTTAAAAGTGGCTTAGCCCGCGCTGGGTCTCTGGTCTACAGTGACATGGCAACAGTACAACAGTCATTCAACAGCTGCAACGGGACTCATTCGGTTGTAGAAGCAGTAGATCACATTCCATACTATGGTCGAACCACGCGCATTGATCGCGCCTTGTCACTTGCCAATACAGATCTGTTTAGTGATGCCGGTGGAGTGCGATCGTATGTGGCTAACACTCTTTTACTCTTAACGGACGGCAGGCAAACTCCAGCAGCTGACTCGATTTCCATGGAACGCGCCGTGAGACCCCTTAAAGAAAAGAAAGTGAAAAGGATAGCTTTGGGAATCGGTAGTCAAATTAGTCCCGATGAGCTTCGCAAGGTCGTTGATGGAGACGAAGACGTCGTTACAGTAGACAGTTTTGACGATCTTATCTCTTCAATGCATATGGTATCGGAAAAATTATGCACAAGTGCAGGTGAGAGAGTCACCTTAATACCTCTTCCCCTAGAAAAATGGTGTTGAGACAGATTCCTTTAGTACAGTCTCGCCTTAGGTATTTACATGTGGGTTTGTAGTTAGATTAAACTTCTTTCAAGGTCCTTGAACTGAACAAACTTAGTTTACAATTCGGTTGACAAAACAGAACTTACTTAGTCAAAACGTGTTTTTGTTTCAAAGAGCAGAAAAAGCAAAAGATTAAAAGGAGAACTTAAAGTGAGAAAAGGGTGAGCCGACTTTGGTGACGGACCCTAATTTATTTCGGTTTTGCGTTTGAACGATTGGCAATGTGGCACCAGTTTTCTCGACAATAAGAGGTTCTATGAATGCGCCAATTTAGGTAATGAAAGAAGCACAAGTGGAATTGTTCTAATATGTAATGAATCAATCTCTTGGCAGCTTTAAAGAAGTGCCCTGTTCCTGTAGATATCGCCTTTCTTCTGGACTCATCAGGAAGTATTGGTGAACTAAACTACCGCAAAATGAAAGACTTTGTCAAGGCTGTTGCGAACACCTTTATCATCGGATCAGGCAAAACACTAGCTACATTAATTTTGTACGGTGACACCGCAACTACGGCCATCCGATTTAGCGATCACGCGAACAACGCCGACTTCGACGCTGCAGTAGACGTTCTTCCGTATTTGGGAGGTGAAACTCGCATAGATAAAGCCCTACAGCTTGCGTCCACTGAGCTTTTAACAGAACGTAGCGGCGCGCGGGTTGGTGTCGCCAAAGTTGTGATTCTCGTGACAGACGGGCGGCGGTCTCGAGCGCCCGACGGCGTTGAACTTCAGAAGGCTGCGAAGCCAGTTTTATCGGCGGGTGTGCGTTTGTTTGCAGTGGGAATTGGAACTGAGGTTGATGAAAAAGAGTTACAACTTATCGTTGACAGGAGAGATGACGTCATATTGGTACCGTCGTATAATGGACTCGCCACGAGAGTGAGACAGCTGTCCCTTGCCACGTGTGAAAGCTCAGGTAAAACCAGCATCATTTTTTTACATAGCTCATATATTTTTTAATCATCTAGTGATATGTAACGACGCGCAATATTTTCTCCTCGTTGAATAGTACTTGCTAATCACTATTTTCACCTGTGAGATTAATACTGACTTGGTTTGACTCAAAGTCCCAAGTGTCATCGGTGACTGATTTTTAAATGAGCCCACCTTCGTCAAACTTTTGAAAGTACGAGCACGATCGAGTTTATCAACTTTTCAAGTTGCAAAAATCTTATGATGATCAGGAAAAACAGCTGTTAACTAGCGTAAATCAGCAAAGTATTTGGAGGTTCACTCTGCAGATTATAGCAAAACTTGCATGTTTTTCATTCAACTCGCAAGCGTCAACGAAAAATCAGCAATTAGGTGAATGACGTAACGTTTTTCAGGTGAAGAAGAATACAAATTCCTTCCTGAAGGAAAAATTTGGGAAAAAGTCCTTTTCACTCTTGGAATGCCAGCTTAGCTGTTTTTAACAAATGGAAGACACTTGAAGGTAACTGTGCAATAAATTTTTTCCTCAGAAATAGAAGCTTGTGATAATATCATGGACGTAGGTTTTGTCCTCGACTCCTCTGGCAGCCTATCTGCATCCGAATTCCAACAAGTCAAAGACTTCGTCGATCTCATAGCTAACTCCTTCCTCAAAAACAAAGTCGGTAGCCGTGTGGGGCTTATGCAATACAGCATCTTGCCGAAGATGAATGTTCGGTTTTCCGACGAACTCACGAGAGAGCAGTTCCGAAGTGTCCTGGACAAAGTTCGTTACGAGGGAGGCTACACTCGGCTCGATCGAGCTCTCAAGCTAGCAGCTCAGGAGTTGTTTGTGAATGAAGAAGGTTCTCGTAAGGACATTCCTCGAGTCATGGTTATAATAACAGACGGCATCAACACGGAGGAGCCTGATTCTGTAGCGTTAGACACCGCCGTCGCGCCTCTAAAACGCGCCGGGGTCACAGTGTTTGTTGTCTGCATTGGTAGTGAGAAGGGCCGTGATGAGATGTACCTACTCACAGAACAAAACAAAAACTTGTATTTTGTTCGAACTTACAATGAACTTTCTCTTCAGCTTCGGAAAGTATCCAAGGACATTTGCGAGAGTGGAGGTGAGATGCTTGCATGGATTCGGAGAAGGGGGAGGGTGTTTCTCTGTTATTTACTATACCCGAGAAAATGTCTGCTTTTAGATTGCTCTCTTCCAATTATACTAAGAATCAATGGTGATCTATTTTCACATGCTATGGCAACGATCTGCACTAATTCGTCTTCTTACATGTTAGATGTCGTGTTCTTAATCAAACATTGCATGTTAACCAGATAACGAACTTTTGACACGAAATTAATTTCGCAAGTCGCTTCTACTTTTTTTAAGTGAAAATAAATCGGGAAGATGTTTTTCTTGGCACGATAAGCAATTTGACGAATGTTTGAACGATCAATCGATAATCTTTGTATTAGTGACAAAATAAAATATGGTTTCACTTTCAAAATTAATGACTTTAAGTGGCAAGAAACTCGCTTTGATTAAGAGTACCTCCTCCTTTAAATTCTCCAAACTGCCATGCTTCGAAAGGGCATCTCACGTTAAACATCAACAGCAGACTGATCCTTTTTTTTTTCCAAACAGCCCTTCCTGGATGCGACCGAGTGATGGATGTCAGTTTTTTGGTAGACTCTTCAGAGAGTGTTGGCTTACAAAATCTTCAGAAACTTCTCGACTTCGTGCGCAGAATTGCCAAAACCATGCGTATCTCCCCGAGAGGTAGCCATGGAAGTCTCGTCGTTTTTAGTGACAACGCCAAAGTTCAAATCAAACTTGACGACCACGATAATATACAGGAATTCAGCAATGCTTTACGAGATGTCCCCTATATGGGCCAAAAGACCCGGATCGACAAGGCTTTGCGGGTTGCACTGAGCGGAGTTTTCAACAGTAGAGCCGGTATGAGAGCCGGAGTACGAAGAGTTGCGGTCTTGTTGACCGAGGGTCATCAAACGAGAACGTTCGATGCGATACCGCTGAGATACGCGGTAGAACCACTGAGGCGCAGGCGAGTCAATGTGTTTGCGGTTGGCATCGGTAATGATGTACGTTATAACGAACTCCGATCTGTCACAAGTAGTGATCAAAATGTAATGTTGGTGGAAACGTTTGACGACCTTGCAAGAATTGGTGAAGAGCTGAGCCACAAGATGTGTCGAGGTAGGAGAATGATTTTCGCTTCACTATAAAGTATCAGTTCTCTTGCCTCTGTCCTCAAAAAGGCACGCAGGAACGTGCCTCGCGGAAGTAAGGAGAGAAGGGAACTGACACTTCATATGAAACGTTATTGCAAAGTCACTTGTTGATTTCGAAAGATTGCAGCACTTGTTGTTATAAAAGATAGCATTTCTCAAGTGATCGTTCCCTTGTCCTCTACACTTATCCAATTCATGACGACATGGTAAAGCTAAATTGAATTTTAACACTACTGGTTCCCTCATGATTGAGAGAAATGAACGGTCAATAATTTTATATCTGTTGTGTTCTTGGGAGAGATTCTTACCGTTGAGGTAACGGTTTCCTCGCAAAGGTATGGATAAGTAGATTTTATGATGAGCCACAACACCTGTTATTCTTATGAAGCGACAGCACATATCTAGTGAAGCGATACGAGTCAAAATATGATTCAATGATGAATCAAGGGCCACCGCACTCGTAAAGAGTCGAACAATTTCCTAAGTTTACCCTTTAATTTAATCCTTGTCATTTTATGAGTTACTCCACCCTGAAAACTCGAGACAACCTGATGCTGCTCTAAAGCGCACGTTGGTTGATTGCACGTTGTATAACCAAGGCAGCTAGATCACAGATGAATATCAAAATGAACTAGCGAAAATTCAGGGAAACCAAGCAGACCGATTGGAAAGCGGAACAAGTGACCAAGCTGCGATTTTTGTTTTGGCATTTGATTCGTTAATAGCTGATGCATTTTTTCTAAACCTATTACAAATGTATGATAAAGCGGAACTAAAGTAATCTTGAGCCACTTTCATCTTGCAACTCAAATCGCTCCTAACTCCCACAAATGACCAAACAGAATTTCTCCACACCATATCGATACAGAATCAAGCAGATAAGTGAGAAGAATAAAGAAAAATATCAACAAGGGCGTTATTAGTTGATCCGATACCAAATTCTCAGAACTAATATATTACAAGTTGTATAACAATCGGTAAGGAGAGTTACTAATGAGATCTTGGTAGTAAAAAGGGTTAAAACGAAGTGTGAGCTTTTTATGAGCACTTGGCATCATTTTCATTCTATTTCTCTTCTTTTTCAGGTGGATGAGGATCGACCATTGGAAGACAATACAGACAAATAAATTAATACAAAAATTTAAACTAATATGTAGTGTGCAGTGCTTTAAATATTTCTATTTCATACGAGAGGTTAGCAATGCATTTGCGCGGCTAAGAAACAAAGAAAGGAAAGATTACTCAAGAATTCATGTTGTAACAACACTACAATAATCCAAAACAACTGGATCCATCGGTTAGACACTCAAACTATTCTACGTGTTTCAAACAGCAGCGCCTGTATATTTCAATTTAAAGTAAACTCCTGCCTTGAGTTTTATTTATTTTTGAAAAGTCGTCACTTTTTATAAATGGATCTCCCGTAATATCCAGTGGCGGAAATGTGTATCTGTCTTTAGTTTTCACCGATTCCATGATTCGTTGTGATCAACATGAAAGAAAGACGACCATTGTGTAAAGTTTTCTGAGTAAAAAGTTATACTCATTGTGGTAAAGAAAATTAACACAATGACCTGCTGAAAGTATTGCAGTAATTAGAGGAGCCCTTTTAAAGGAATGAATCACTGAGTAGCCGAATATATACGTTAATAGATAGTTAATTGTGAACGCTGTAGCAAGATCGTGATTGAAACGAATTTTAAAAACAACGTAAGTTAAATAGCCTCAAAGGCCGATAAGTTAAATTTTTGTTATCTAAAGTAAGAATAACATTGTATTGAATAAATTAATAATTCTAAATGCAAAGTAGTCGTAGATGCGATTATTTTGTTGTGAGGACTCGCTTCGGGTCTTATCTATACTGCCCCTTTTAAAAAAATCCATCTTCACTTATGCTTTGCATGAAAAAAGAAGTCTCTCTTCTTTATAACTTCTCCTTATGCATGGCTCTGCTCCAAAGGAAATCGTCTTAGCGTCTCAAGAATTACGTGAAAACGTAAAATGTAATCTAACTGGAGGCGAAGTAGTCTACGTTTCCCTTCCCTGCCCCTCCCTCTCCTCCCTTCCCCTTCCCCCCTCCCACACCCATCGCGTCTTACTCTCCACCGCGTGAAAAGAAGGGAAAGCACTATATATCATCGTCCTAAACCAGATGAGCCCACGACATATCAGCGGCATCTTGTATGAGTATCCGCAGTTTACAATGTGACTTCCGCTTTTTCTTGTTGACGCGTACTCGAGTGTTAGGAAGTTCGCGTAGTGCGTCTGAGCCAGTTTCTGCCAGATTTGAACAGAAAAACAGGTCCTTTGTTGGACTGTAATGATACTTTGATCAATGGCGCTGTTAGCGAAATGTTTGGCCGGTTCGTAAGTTGTCAACCTGGTTTCGGTCGATCTGATTGATTGGCAACACCTCTTGGAAATCCTACACACCATCGACCTAAGCCTCATAGCTGCCAAGTGAGCAGAAGAACAATGACATCAAAATACTCGAGAAAGATAAGTATTAATTTTAATTGCATTTGTGTTAAACTTATATGTACAGAAATTTCTGAAGAGGTACCTAATCAGAAGTTTATCACATGATAAGCCTTCAAACTTGTATTAAATAAATTGATGTACATATTTCACAATTTTAAGATGATTGTGTGATGACAATACACCGACGGTCAACATTCGAATATTCAGCTTGAGCTTCCTCCTAAATGCTAAGTATTTCAATTTGAACTTGTAGAATATAACCTATGGATTAAATGTGGGTCTATAAGTATCATCCATGAAATTCTTACCGGCAATTTTCATCATGATATTAAAGCACCACAAACTCAAGAACAAGGAAAAATAAGTTACGCAGAAAACTGAGTTAGGCAGAAAACTGACGGAGAAATTCATAGTTTTCATAATTTTGAATTCATTCATAATTTTGAATTACAAATCATTCAGACCATAGCCACATATAGACTTTTAGATTGTCACTGCTTTTCTTTCGGTGATTGCATGATATGGTACCCGTCTTGACGTTCTTGGGAAAGGAACCATATCATGCAAGTCCAGGCAGTTGATGTAGTGTTTGCGCATTTTGTCTTGGTCATATGACTGCGCTGTGGGGTCTAGGCCATGGCATAAATCTGTAGCAAATGCCAGTGCAAACAAGCCACAGTCATTTGAATTTGTTTTCTTTTGCACTCTTTCATTAGAAAAAGTGACTGTAGAACCAGTATACAATAGCATGCGACATGAATGATCAATGGCAACCGCGCTTACATTTTGATATAAGCTGTCATACACCTTGACAGTTCCAGGACTAGTAGCTATTGTGCTCAGGCAAACCCAGTGTGAGCCAGTGTTTATGATCTGTACAAACTCACTAATGGCTGGAGTGACTAATGCACCCACAATAACAGGGTCCCTTAGACCATCTACAAGAGGGAATTTTTGTTTTAGGAGGATCTGACCAGCATGTATCTCAGAATCACACAGCCATGTTGTCTTGTTTAAAATGTGATCCTTTGAATCTTCATACAGTATCAGGGTTGAGGTTGGGTCCTCAGGGTCCTGAAGATGCAACCATGACTTTGGATCAGGAGAGCTGTAAGCAATAACTAAGACAGGAATTTGCTGGTTGTATTCTTTTGTAATGCCAGATGATAGGTTAGTAGAAGTTGTATCTTGCATTGAGTCATCACATATACCTGAGTTGATGAAGATAGTTGTGCTTTTGAGTGAGTGAGTGGCATTTTCTTTGATGAAGGGATGAGTATCTTGTTCAGCAGAGGTCTCCTTATTAATGGCTATTGCTTTCAGGGTGTCACTCTTTTTCCCAGGGTCCTGTGGATGCAACCATGACTTTGGATCAGGACAGTTATCATCAGTTAATGAGACAGGAATTAGCTAGTCACATTCTTTTGCAGTAGATGATATGGTAGTGGAAGTTGTCTTTTGCATTTTTGGTTCATCACATGTACCTGAGGTGATGGGGATAGTTGTATTTTGTGGTACGGGTGTGATATTTTCGTTAAAGAAGGGTTGGGTATCTTGTTCAGATGTGGACGTCATCTTCAGGGTGTCATCCTTTTCTTCTTTTTCTCTTTTAATGAAAACCTCTTTTGGATTATTGGCAAGATTATGACAGATATTGAAACTTTTTTTTTGAGACTGTGGCAGAGTGGCTGGTTTCTTTGGCTGGCAAGGTAACTGAATAGGATGACTGTTTTTTCTTTTAAGTCTCAATCGGAGCGGCAAATGAGCATACTTTTTTTTTTGGCATTGAGGACCTGTTTCAAGTGGTGACTTTTTTGGTTTTGCCATGATGTTTTTCTTTGGCTGAGTAACCTCCATGAAGATACCATTTTCTGATGGCACAAGGGGACGGAAGTTCCTCAGTGCCTTCTGAAGGTCTTGCTTAAGTGATTCTAGGGCTCCACCATCAGCACAAAGGTAGGTGAGATCTTGAATTTCTTTCAACAACTCTCTGCAACATCTTCCTTCATTCTGCACGCTTACTGACTGTTTGGAGCTCTTCCCAGCAACCTCTGCTTTTTTTTCTGAATCTTCATGTGCTACAGGACTCTTTGTACTTAATGTACATTTACTGCTAAATTCCGTTGATCCTTTTTCTTTCTCTTTTTGGGTTGAATCCTGCATTATGGTACAGTCAGTGGAGGAACATCCCCCGGAAGATAAAGGTGGAACTACATTCGGATCAATCTGGAAATAGGGGCTTGAACTGTAGTAAGGAGACATTGCTTCCCATCCCCATTCTGGAAAATGTTTGTAGATAGCCACAAAATGCTTGCATGGCCAGTGATGTCTTTGCCAGTCAGGACAAGTGCAGGAAGGCATGTTGCTGCAATCACCAAATTGCACATGGTATGAAATTTTATTGTCACTTTGGTTTTTAACAAGGAACTGGCCATCTCCTTCTTGAGAGATGTCTTCTTTTGTTATTGATTGTGCATGTGTAAGGCGTTGACAGCAGTGGGTAATAAACTGTCTTGGTCGATTGTGTAACCACCCTGGAAGATGTGAATTGTACTGGTGATAAGCACTTGAGTTACGCATGTTATTTTCAGCATACCTAGGGAAGGAAATTATTATCCAGGTGATGTGATCAACAGAAGGTATGACTTGGTATTTTATTACTGACTAGTTCATACCACACAAGGAATGTGGCACTCATCTGATAAAATAGCCAAATGGGAAGTTATGTTGATTTTATATTACGTCATACATGCATATGTATTGGAAGAAATGATACAATCTTCATAATTTAAGTATCATGTTTTAGTTGCAAGAACATTAGAGAGATTTCTATTTAAATGGTAGTAAGCTTCAAGAAGTTTTATTATTTGAACTCAATAGTATTGGGATCAGGAAGACAAATTACAAATAAAACAATATTCTAAATTATGAGTTGCAGTTGTTTGCAGTGCTTTTGTTGTTGTTGCTTTTGTTATGCTTTGGTCACCTTGTGTGACCCAGAGTAAGCATGACACCTTTATACATCCTTCTCACTTGTAGAACAAAAACTTTTATATATCTACATTCTCTGAAAACACCTTAGGCCTAAAATCATAGTCATGTGATATCAATATATAACACACCGAGATCTAAGGTCAAGATGAGCTTTTGATTCCTTACCTTCTGTACTCATTTGGCAGAAATTGTGTCACTAAAACTGTGATGACACCACTTAAGGTCTTGTCTCTATTGTCTGCAAGAAATTGGTGCTTATATGTCCTATTCTTTCTTTCCACACCATTGGTAGTGTTCACTTTCACATTGAAGCGGTCCTTCCTGTATGCCCAAACCCAGCGCTGCCAATAGAAACAAAGTGTCCAAGTAAACTTCATGAATATAAACTGCATGTAATCTGATTTTCATCTTGTGGATCTCCTTGTAAGAGCATCTTGGACCCATCTCAGACTCATGCTGAATGATTAATGGCCCAAAATGACATCATCCAAGGAGATGGCCTGTTTGATGTTTAAAGTCAGAGGGACAAGGATTTTAAGTGAACTCAATAAGATGTGTGTAATTTTTAAGCCAAAAATCTTGAATTGTTGCTGGATAATTTATAAGGGATAATTCCACAATTATTATAATGTATGCAAGGGATACACTTGCCTGTCTTTCGGGAAGCCATGTTGTGTTCATCCACTTTTGGAGTCTTGTATTGGTCCTCCACAGTTCACTGTCTTGAAGATCTCTAAGTGCTAAATTGAAGTCCCCTTCTGTGGAAGTTCTTGCAAGGTTTCGCAAACTGTTCAGGAGGTTGTCTTTCTTGTCTTTGTTAATGCAATATACACAAGACAGCCTGGAACAGTTATAAAACTGAGTTGTAAAATCTCTCTGATAAGAGAATACATGCTGCCAACCACTTCAGCTAACACAAGGCCTATTGTATGCTAAAAATTAAACTACCAACAAAGGGTGCCTAGCATGACCTGTGAGCCATAGAGTGAAATAATAATACTATTACTACTACTACTACTAAAAATAATACTTATAATGCTAATAATAGTAACAATACTAGTAATTTATTACTATCATTATTGTTGTAATAGTAACATTGATTTTTTCCAGGAATCGAAAATACACATTGACCCTTTTGCTTCCAAGATCTCAATGTTAATTATCCTTACCATCATCTACACATTTCTTATTTTTTAATTGATCCTAAAAGATTTCCAAAACTTTCTAGGACCAGAGGTCTTTTTCCAGGACTTTCCAGTTGTGCAAATGCCAAAATAAAATTCTGGGACTTTCCAGGTTTTCCAGGACAAGTATGAACACTGTTGATATTTTCATGAAATTTAAGTAATGATTTTGGAATGTCTGAAGAATTACTGGTAATTGGCAATAATTTATTTATTTAAATAATTTATTTAAATAATTTTTTTTCTTTTTTTGGGGGGGGGGGAAAAAAACTTATTCCTAATAAGTATTGCCTCTCTATATTTCCCACTTGAAATAAAGAAAATGGTTATAAAATGGTTATTATCAATATTTACCAGTATATGTTTACATACTTACTTGGAAACAGCCTTTCAATGGCATTGATCTCAGCCTCACTGAAGTCCACCATAAAGAAATCAGGGTTCCATGTTGGGTTCCCGTCCTTAATGAGCTGTAGAGCTTCATTAATGGCATCTGCATTTTCCAGCAGAACCACAAAAGAAGCAACAACACAGTAATCTACATTGGTTTTCACACACAGAAAGAATGTGGGGAGGGCATAGCATGAAGTTTTGTATGTTGCATCCAGTAGGAAAATTTCACCGCCATACTTAAAAAGCAGCTCTCTTTGCCACTTCGTCTGGGGAACAAGGAGGAGGTTGTTGGATGGATCACCTATACTTATTTTAATTACATCAGTGCTGTCTTCTTCCTTCAGTGACTGTGGTTGTTGATAGGACTCACTATCACTTGTAAGGCAGTAAGGCCTGAAAAAGAAATTATCATCTGGGCTTTCTTCTTTCCACTTCTTGATTTTTAAGTCAAGGTTTTCTTGATCAATTTGTGAATGTCTGCACACCACTGTGGCACGATACATGTGGTTCCTGACATCCATGGTTGTTGGGAAGAACTGTCTGTTGGTTAGATCTGGAGGCTGTTGGCCTGTGAAAAGTTCCTTCTTTACACAATGATGCAGGTGCTGTTGCATTTCAGAAACACAATTAACACCACTTCCAACAAGCTCATGAATTTTTTTAACCAGTGTCTCATCAATAGGCTGAAGTAGCCCAGCAGTCTGATTACACAACAAGAAAGAAAGAATAATTGCTTTATTATTTATTCATTTAAAAAATTACACAACCTCATCCCCAGGTTTTCTTGGTCAACGGTTCAATAACCTGGAGCCGGCTACTTTTGATGTCATTGGTTCAATATGAGAAAATTTTTTCCAAATTTGGTCAACAGCAGCTGTTTATGATGAAATATGTGAGTGGTTTTAACCTTTCAGAAACAGGGAAATATTTTGAATGAATAATAATGCAAATTATACCAACATTACTATCGGCAGTCCTCTGGTAGGGCTTTTCAGTAATAGTTACAGAATGTTATAATTACAGGTTACTGAACATTGTATTTTTTAAGAAAATCCATTTAAAAAGTCCATGACAGCATTCAATTAAAACAGTGCCATTGGAAATCCCTCTCTGATAAAATTGTGATATTATAGTCTTGACATTGAGTTTGAGGAATGAGTGCCAGTGTAGCTAAAAGAAGCTCTACATGTAGTACATTTTATTGGTCTTTTGTTGTGATGAATAATCTTTATTCATTCTTTATATATATTCGACATGACAGTGGAAGCAGCACAGTCTACAGTAGACTGATGATCTGTGTGAAGTTAAGTCACCTTAAATTCCCCACCAAACTTCAGTTTCCTGATTCCAAAAAAAATTTAATTGATGGCCAAGTACTTACCCTCCCCATGGGGTGAAATAAGTGATCCGTAGGTTTAGGAAGTAATATGTAAATACGCTCCTCTGTAGCTATTGTTTGCCTCTTTTCTGACTCTAGGGATGTTCTCAGAAATTTTGACATTGTCTCCCTTCTACTCTTTGTGTTCTCTGAAATCTAACAATACAATGTTTTAATTAAAATAATATTTGAAAAATTGGTTTCTAAAATATTCACTCTGTTTCCATTACAGGTAAATTTGTTTCAATTCTGCACAACGAAATGTCCAGGTTGTCTTATCATATGTCCACTTCACCTGCATGTAACACAAGGCCCATTAGGATTAAGCACCCTTTATTAGGCTAGTGATCATTCATGTTAATGATAGTGCCCCCTGAACCCTTATTCAATAATTAAAATAAAATGACCTTATTTTCAGGATACTTGATTATTTTCCTTAGGTGGATCTTTGCTGGACAGTCACATTTCTTCGTATCCTGTACTATAAAGCACTGTTTGGTGTTGTTATAGCAGTGATCAGCATTCTCCTTCTGAAACCAAATAGATTTATTGGATTGTTAGATAGAGCAGTCATATGGGAATAGTCAAGTTATCAATAAACTTAGAAGTAATGAAAAGTATCCTTTAAAATAGTACTTGATTCCTACCTTGTAAACTGCAGTCACAGTGGTCCTTTTTTGCGACTTTGCTTATTTTAACAAATGAAATGTGATATGTCCTTTTACTTGCAAGTGGTAAAAAAGAAAACATTATTGCCTGCTATTAGCCCTGAGGGAGAGGTGAGTGCTCACCAACTTGCTTAGAAAAATCAGTTAGGACTTACCACCTTGTTAGCTTAAGAGCAAATAGGTGAAGGTAAATCAATAACTATGTAATGCCCTACATATGATATCCTCTTTGGGAGTCCTTAAGTAATAATATCATCTTGTTTACATTCTTATTTAGTTAATTATTATGCATGCTTACATCTTTTTTAAGTCTCTTTTGAGCCTCCTTCCTTTTGAGTGCCTTATTTCTGTCTGGCCCATTTTAGCATTCTAAAACTTTGACCCCCACAATTTGGAATGGGATGCCATCAAAACTTAGTCTGCATCCTGTCATCTCCTGTGAGTCAGCCCATTGTATACGGTGGTTCTTAGCATTTTTATCTGCATTTTCTTTTATGTGAGAAGAGGAACCAAGCTAAGTTAGTAATACGATACATGTACACAAACACATACGTACATATGTACACATGGGTGCTTAAAATGGAGGGCCTGAAAATCAAGCCTGCCCCACCCAGATGTAGCCCAAGGACTGGTGTAATGGATGGGGATGCTGGCAGCTGTGTGTCAATAGCACTGAGTAGGGTTTTGACACTTTAAGCTTGATCTTAATTAATTAAGCATTTCTTGCCAACTCTTGCTGCAGGCTCACAGTAAATTGACACTTGAAGCTAAGTTGAATTTTAATTACATGTTAATTTTGAAAGTCTAACTGACCAGTGTAAACCGAAGAATAATGATGTGTACATGTATTCTTAAGATATCAATAATTATTGGAAAAAATTGAAATCCCTTTTTTTATTTTGATTTATCTATATTTCATGTTAATAACACGATCTCACACGCCCCTGGCTTTAAATACCTATAGTGTCTAAATAAAGTTATACTTCACTTTACTTTACTGTCAGTATGGTTTATTTTGTAAATCTTTACATGTGAGCTTACTTACCCAACCTACTGCAATTTGAAAATCCTCCTGTTTGTTTAAATACAGTGAAGCGTGTCGTCGTAGCTATCTCGTACTGTTTTATGAGTTCGTCAGCGCTGCTTTCATCGTCAACATACCCGGAATAAGGGTCAAACTGTACGGTCCATCTTGAAGCCCAAGGTGTACTGTTATCAGCCATGTTTGTTCTTCTACCAAACATTTAGATTTCCCGCCAATATTTACCCGCGAGCCGCAAAACATAAATGCATGAGTGTTAAATATTAACTGGACCACCCCTTGACAAATATATTTATTAGTAGCAAATAAGATGTTGAACAAAAACCAAGAGATCATGGTCAAATAAAACCTAAAGATAATTTATTACAAACAGAAAATAACTGTATGTTTGTTACAATCGAAAGATTTTACAGTGCAAAGTTATGCAAATGATCTTTGACCTGAATCTGCTTTTGGTCGATGATAGCGAGGTCAGAGGATAACATCGACCGAAACTATTAGGCCGGTCATATTTAAGTGTCGATCCTCCTTTTAACGCCTTTATAACAGGCTAGATTTTTTCTTAAATATGTGATCTAGACAGAAATTAGTTTGTACAAGTTATGGGAAGAATACTTTCGCAATAAAATATTGAAGAATACGACGCTTTATCGTCAGTCACACAGGTCACGGTCTCTTGATTCGCCTGAAACGAGCAGAAAAATAGAAGACTCTCGCTACGATTCCGCTGTCATGGGCTCATCTGGTTTGGGACGATGATATGTATTGCCCTAGGGGTGTTGTCAATTAATCAGATCGACCGAAACCAGGTCGACAACTTACGAACCAGCCAAACATTTCGTTAACAGCGCCATCGATCAAAATGTCATTACACTCCAACAAAAGACCCGCTTTTCTGTTCAAATCTGCCAGAAACTGGCTCAAACGCACTTCCTATTCCATGTGTACACTGTAAAATACGCTTTAACAAGAATAAGCGGAAGTCACGTTGTAACCTGCGGATAGTCATACAAGATGCCGCTGATATGTCGTGGGCTCATCTGGTTTAGGACGATGATATATAGTGCTTTCCGAAAAGAAGCTTGTATGATATCCAAGATCATCCATTGCGTTACATTTCAAGGACGTCTGCGAAGGAGCTCAGCACGACCAGAAAGCAACTTGATACCACTGTTGAAAACACATGGCGAGGATGCCATATGTTTTGTAATGGATTCCGATTAAGAGAGAACCATGCTTCATTCGATAATGAAGTACCTTCCCGAATACGTATCAGAAATAAAGCCAAATGATTCTGGGTGATGTAGTGTCTCGCCTGTTTGCGTATTTCTTTCCTTTGGCAGTTAAGTATATCACCATTCTGTTTTTTGGGTTTTTTTTTTTTTACCGAAAAAGCGCAACTGATTCAATAAACACCCACACCGATGTCACAAAAAGAAACATCAGGTATGTTTCACCGATTCCTCTCAGACATTTGAACAAAAGGTCAGACGAGCTTCATTTGACAACAGAACCATTCGTCAGCTTTGCAAAAATAGACCAATTATTACTGTTTTGCGATCATCTAGGCTTCCTTAAGCATAAAAAAATACTACACTGGTGAGGAGAAGAAGTAAATGGCTGATACTCTTTACTTTTAATGTTATGTCAAATATCGTCTTCTGATATTCACTGCTCGTTACCGAATGTTCAGACCTGTTCAATGACCATTTCAAGATCAACTTGTGAAAGATCCGTGATTTAATAAATCTCGAGTGGTTTTGATTGTTATATTAATGCCATTAAGATCTTATTGAAAGACATACAAAAGATTTTGATTTTTTTCGCTTCCGATTTGAGCCGAGGCCCGACCAATGCGGCAGGAAATTTTGAAAGGATTTAACCCCGATCTAGCTGACAATTCGATCACCAGATCGGATAAAAAACTGTGTGAAAGATCACCACGCCTAAAAATCTCTGCAATTTTTACATGCATCAGTCACAAACTGTAGAAAACAGTATTTTTGTCTCTGGGAAGGCGCGATTCTCACGCCTCGCAATTTCCGCTCTTCCCCATCCTTTTACATCATAAAAGAGTCAGCGGTACCAGCCTTTCACGCCTCGCGAGATATTGACACACATAAACCAGTTAATACTTCAGTAGAATAATCCATGGTTTATCTGACTCCTAAGTATAATACAACACAATACTGGATGTTATAAGTTATTGACCTCTATCACGTAATACCTGAGGGTTACCAAGTATGTGGATTTCTTTCCTCAGTGTTGTTTGTCCTTCGCCTTGTTAGAAAAAAGTAATGATGAACTGACTTGGCATTTCCCCAAACAAAAGAGCGTTATTCCTGCAGGATCTCCTGTTGGGATAATCCTGTCTCTTCCCTGATTATTTACATGTCAAATTGTGGGTGGGTAAACGTTTGATACGGATTCGAGATTCATCTATCAACAAAATTAACTTCGCTAAAATAACGATTACTGCTAATTTCAATCGTGGCGCGTGGGTTACAACCGCAATTTTAATGTCTCAAAACCAGACAAAAAACTTTCACATCGCAGATTTCCTCTCCACTCAATTCTTGTCCTTTATCATTGTTGTTCTTTGTTAGAACAATTTAGTTTCTAAAAACTGAATCAAACCACTCTTAGTCTGAGTTGATCAATATTTCTTACAACTAATATTTCCTCCGTGTGGCTTAACAAAGAACCCCATCGAGCAAGTGTGAATGATGCCTCGCTAGCGCCTAGACACACAGAAAACTTCTGTTCTTCTCAATTTTCTAACCGTAAAACAAAGCCCCCCTTTTTTCTCCAGCTACCCCAACGTTTCTAAACAGATGTTCAACTGTCACCTTTCGCTAACTTAACCTACGGTCCAAAATTTTGGAAAACTTGCTTGGTAATTCTTTTAACTATATGATAAAGAATTGATTAAACGAAAAGTTCGGAATGTTTATTTCTAATGTGGTTTGTAGACGATTCAGAGCTCCGTGAAACTTCAGCTTCGCTAAAAAGTGGACTTTTACTCCGTTTTTCAGAGGAAATGGAAACAAAGCGTCCTGTAATTCAGATCATCGTGTCATTTTATTCGTGAACGAGTGAAACATGGTTAAGTTTTTGCACCCATCCACTGATTGGCATCCATTCCTATACAGCATAATTTTGAGATAAAAATAGATCAAAAAGAAAATAAAAAGTATTTAACCATTTGGAAACGTTTCAGCAGCTTCAAAAGTTGTGTTAAAGAGGTGTGGCCACCCGGCTGTTACGCTAACCACTGTCTGAACCGCGGTTTCGGGCGCAACAATTTATGCTGTCTAGCACCTTCTATTCTTTAAGAGAATTGCTGCCAGGAAATTACGAAAATATGAATCAATGATGGGAAAAAATATTTTTCTCTATTAAAATCCCTTATTATTTTGGCATCAGATACGCGTTTCATAGCCATATATTACGAATATTTGGCTGTCTGAGAAATTCTAAGAGTTGAGGGAAAAGGAGGTATTGAATCGAAAACACTTCAAGTCGGCACTGTATAAACAAATATTAAGAGTTTCTATCCAATTACCGCTTCCTATTTATTTCAAATAACCAGTTGTTGTGAGAACTATGGGAAGTAATCTTGAAGTATTTTGTTCAGATGACACCAAGGCCAGCAAGAAGTTTGATCGATTTTTTTAAGTTGTTATTTAGAAAACTGTTGGCATAACGACAGCACTAATCGATTAAGAAACTCCAAAGGAAAAACAAGAAAACATGAAAGTTTTTAAAGTGTCTAAAAGCGAAACTGAGCCACACCTTGCCCAATGGTTTATTTCTAATAACGATATTTCCGGTGTTCCATACTGTGATGCTAAAATCAAATAGTAAACGTTATGTTATCTTTTTTAAGGTTATAACCCCAGTCAGTCAAAGAATAAGGAGATATTCGCTTCGATTTCTTGAGCGTAGTTTCGCCCAAAATTTGTCAAATTTGACAGATAATAATTTCAGGTGAATTCGGCGGTCATTCCTGTACAAGTTGGGATTCCAGACGTTGTTGCTTTAGTCCTAACCAAAATCTCACCCTGTACATGAACAAAGTACGTTATATTTGAAAACGGTCGTGGAAGCTTCTAGATAATAGACCACAGAGATGGCCGGCTTTAATTCCTTCGTTAAATCGGTAATATTCATACTTCGTAACATTTTTTCATATCCGCCCCTCCTCAGAGTCCTTTCACCTTCCGCGGCTCCGCCAGAGCTCCCTTGGCTCCTCGGCTTTCGTGAGGAAGGCCTTGAACGCAGCGAAACTTGAAAAATTTGCCATCAGAGCTCTCGTCTTTGAAGTACGCAAACCGAAGTTATTTTAAGATGTGGTTTGGCATCCAACGCCTACAAAATACAGGAATTTCTTTTTTTTTATTCACTAATGACTCATTAGAATTCGGAATTCTTTTGTTTCTGCCATTGTGGTTTTTAAACGGTTCCCTAATAGTTCTTCTAGTATCGGCCATTGTTTACCTCCGATTCTTTATGTTCGTGGCAAAGAGATCTAGTTTAGATTCATTCACCATTAAACCTCCTCCCCCTCATCAAAATTATCAGCGGTAATTTTCACTTAACCAGCAAGTCGCGTGGGCAACAACCGTTGCCTTCTTGGAATTAAAAAGAACACACACAGACACACTCCTCCTCCTTACCTGAACATCTTATCCTGCTTTTGATTCTCTCTAAAAACCACAGCCTTGATTTTTTCGTTAAAAAAAGCCAAATTCGCTCTAAATCAAAGCGATCTTTCAACCTTTTTGAAACCTTCCACACGGCAACTGATAGACCTTCTATTAACCTTATCTGACATTATCTTTTATAGATACTCGCTTATTATGTTATACAGTAAAGAAGACAAAGGAACTGCTCGTTAAGTTTTTTTCGTTAGGAACAATCGGTCTTACAACTGTTGAATAAAAAGCACGTTTTTGTAATTGTATACATTAGCAATCTTACGGCGGCCTGTTAAAAACCTGACCGAAATATTCAGTCGTGATTTGTTTTGTAATTCGTCTCAACCTTAACAATCCTTGCCTATCTTCTTTAATTTCTGGCCTTTTCGCCCCACGCTGATGTTTTTCTTTCCATTCCGACAAATATTTTGAGATAACTCTCACCTCGAAGATTCAGGTCTGATAATTTGCGTGTTGCAGGTAAACAGCTAAATTTCTCATCACTCAAAAGTTCACTTCTGATGTTCCTTCGGGCAATTTCGTCATTTTGTGAAATGTCATTTGGCAGTGAAATCATCCTTATCAAAATATCTATTAAAGTCGATGAATCTCGGAAAATTTTTGAAGCGCTCTTAGTTGCAGAAACGTAAGCTTTGAACCCCATGGGAAATCACAGTGACAGTTCTTGTGATTAAATTAAATCAAAGCTGGCTTGCGCAAAACCAATCTAAGGCACAGAGGTTCTGTAATTTCAGAACACCAAAGAAAGTTACGCAAACGTGAAGTCGGTTTGTTTCCGCGGTCCACGGCTTACAAGAGAGTGGAAGAGACTATACAACGGCTATGTGGAAAAATGGTCAGCCTGGGTGGGTGTTTTTACGTTAGAAAGGTGTGGTAATTATTTAAACAAATAATTCTGCAATAATAAGAGAATTGGTGACCACAAAATAGGCCAAAATGGCTGAAACGACGGAAACGACAAGAATTTATGCAACACAGCTTCTTTTCTAAAATTAAGGTGTTGCAAATTCAGAGGAAATTTCAAAAATCCTGATCTTGTCTTAAGAACAACCAAAATACCATAACAACTTGCGACGGTTCTGATAAATGAGATTAGAGGGCATCATTATTATGTAAATTGTTTTGCGAAAATTCAAATACTGCTCGTTTATACGTGACTGGTCATAAAATATTTGACAACAGCCCGTTGCGCGAGGATGCGTGACACTAGCGCAGGAAACCAATCATAAACTGTGAGTGACACCCCACGCGGAAGCTGTTTATTTTCGTCAGAGTCCTGCCTTTTCTATATGTAATGATTGTAAACAAGTTGCGCATAGTTTAATCCATCCTTGAACTCCTCGAGGTGACGACTGATGCGGAGGTATTTACACGAATTACGCCTCTCTCGTTATAAATTCAGCTGAGCGTTTCGACGTTACAGAGTTAGTGGATTCGTTGAAGTCAAAGCGACTGGTGAATTAAGGAACATGGCGACTTTGTACGCGGAGCTTTTCGTGATTTTTGCCCTGATTCTTGTTACGGTGGATTCTCAGTCAGGCGAAAGAAGTAAGTAAACACATTGTTGTTTTGACAAAAAGCCGATTTCTTCTGAAATTGGAGCGTTTTTAATTTGCTACTTGGAAAATTTTACAAAAGTTAGCTCTCTGAATAGGACTTAACTTAAGCGGAAAACTGAAGAAAGAACTGAAAAACTTCGCCGAAATTTGAAATCAGTGTAATTCAAGATTGCTCATTTTGTTCTAGCTAATTAGTCTTGCATCCCTTTTGAAGGTTTTTTTTTCCTTTTTTTTTTGGCTTGGAGAATGGTTTATATGGGGAAAAGTTTCGTTTTCAACGCGTCTTTTTACAGCCTGTGGGTAAATCTGCATGTTCTAAAGTCGTATTCTACCAAAAAACCTTTTAATGATTTACCATACATCCTTAATATATTGACTGGATACCATTGTCGCCAGAATCAAGTATCAAACTTTTCAATTCTAATATTCTTTTTATCCTTAAGAAATTGATTTACCTTCGTCGGTTAAAAATTCCAGTTAAGACTATTTGAAGACGAGATTCAAGCAAAATTTCTACCACCACAGGAACGATCAATAGGCCAAAGTCTCTAAAATATTTCAGACAAATGATTTAATCAATGATTAGAAGTCATTGAGCCCTAGCCAGACCCGAAAGCTTCTCAGCCATATTGCTTTTAGTATTTTGTTTTTACGATAAGATCTTAGGAACACTGTGATATTCCGATATCTCGCCAATGTTTACCAAACTCGTAGTACCCCCATGTAGGTACCATGCTGCCTAATTGATTGCTCATGATTGCCGAGGAACACGTATCTTTGGCTGTAAAAATTCTTTTCGTTTTCCGAGGACAAATTAGCGAAAATTGACTGTTAGCAACCGTTTATGGTTTTGCTTTTAGAAGGAAAAAGAGAGAAAAAGTTGTACATCTTTTTCGCTTCATTTTTCGCAAGAGTTATCAACTACTAAAAAGATAATTTGGTTTTAGAAGATGAAATAACAGTTTCGTTGACCGTTGGCGACGGACACCTAAAACTATGTATATTTTAACTTCCACGAATAACTAACAAAAAGAAAGAAAATTCTCGTTTTCATTCTCCATGACTTGGCTGAAATTCCTTAATGCAGGCTTTATTTCCTTGAAGGTAAGCTTTTTAAGCTAATCGTCTTAAAAGGTCTTGCTAAATATAGCATATCCCATGAACACTTCCCTTTAATTTCGAAACTTTATTTTCTCGGGAAAAGTTCAAGTTTGATGCACCCTAAAAATGTTGATAGCTGCTGTGTGAAAGGAAGCGATTATTGAAGCTAACTATGCCAGTCACTTTCTTTATTTTTTCATCTTGTAAACATTGCGAATTAAGACAATTAGTTCTGATTTGATAGCGGTAGAGGCCACTCAACAGGAATCTGGCGGAGCACTTTAAGCCTCATAAACCGGATCAGAGTTTGCGTTTTTTGGCAAAAAGAATCAAATACTACAAAGAAAGAGGGGCTGTCTTGCCGCGATTATATCGCTTTTCGTTTGTGTATTTATGTTGGAACCGGACATGCAAAGCGACAATTAAATCTTGTCACGTTCTTTCAGGGTCAAAAATTTCCTTTGACTAAAATCAACATTCCGCCGGCCTTGCTTGGAGGACTGCATTACAATATCGAGTAAAGTATACTTCACACAAGCATCTTTTAAATGCTATTAAAAACTAGTGCGGTTTTGCGGTTTGCCCTGACCTTCTAAGGCCGAGGCAATTTTAAACGGAAAATTTTGAGCATCAATACAAGTCTTCCTTTCAAATGCTCAAAACATTAGAAAGCTTCCAATATTACCCCATGAAATGTATTTGAAAAGCCCTTTGAAAGCCACTTCCTGGGTGAAGTCTTAACTTTTAATTAACACGTGATAACAACTATATCATAATATCAAAGTGTATTCGCTCTTAGACAGACACCTTTAAGTCATCTCTCCTGGAATACTGTCACAAGACCTTTTTTCCTATTCTTACAAACTAACTTTGGCAAGATTTTGCACGGAATCCGTAGATTACAGCAAATCTAAATTTTTTTCCAGAATTGTGACTGCGAATAAAAACTACTTTGTCAACTACATTATGCCTGCATGCAGTGAAGCAACCTGTATTTTGAAATGATACAACGTTTTTGTTAGCCAGCTGGTGTTTTCTGTCAAGAAAAATCTTGTTTTGACATTGAAAGGAATGACAGACCACAGAAATTGTAAATAGCTTGTTGGATGCGGTATGACATGCTGCAAATCATTCAAAAGTTATGAACAGGAGCAAATTCACTATCACTTTTTCCATAAGATGATAAAAATTGTCTGAAAAACTAATTCGATACTTTCTTTTTGTGCCATGTTCTTTTTGGGTTGGAAATTAAGAAAGATAAATTTGAGAAGACTTTCAACTGAAACATATCAAGTGGAAGCTGACACATAATCTCATAATCGCAAACGGGCACCTCCGCTCGACTGCCTTCACTGAAATCTCATTTGAACACTCGCATTTCAACGCTGCATTTCACATTCTTGTCAGCAAGACTATGATGCAGTGACCAGGAATTAAAACTTTCATAGCCCACCCTTTTGCAGGTGGTCCGTTAGTATTTGGGAAGCAAACTCTCCCTAAAAGTTATTTCGATCCACGCTACGATCACTGACTCACCCGTTTACTAACTCAGCACCTGGAAAAGACGATTGCGAGTGTATAACCGAACCCAACCACAAGGCGTTGCTTCTCTTGATTGATTACAATTCCTTCTAAGAATGCATCAATGAAAATGAATTAATTTGATCTATATACTCCTCCATCAGAACAATGTACTCAGAAATCAGACATCGTATTTGTGGTGGACTCTTCGGGGAGCATCTCCAGACGAAACTTTAAAAGAGAGAAGCTATTCGTTGAAGAAGTCGCCTCAACCTTCAAGATGGGCCCCGACCAATCACAAATCGCCGTTATCTCATACAGCGAGAGCGCTCAAGTCGACATCAAATTCGGGGAATATACCAACGTTAACGATTTCACCGCTGCATTGGGCGCAGTGAAACATCAACGAAAAAGAACACGCATCGACTTAGCACTTAAACTTGCTGCCGAAAAAGTCTTCACCGCCGAGGGTGGAGCGCGTCCTAACGTCACCAAGGTGATGGTCATTTTGACAGACGGACAACAAACTGAGACGAACGATAGTACACCGCTGGACGAGGCTGTACGGCCGCTTTTGGACATGAACGTGACCATTTTTGCTGTCGGTGTTGGGAGCGCTATCGATATTACCGAGTTATTAGAGTTGGTGGGTTACAAGGATGAGAATTTGTTCAGGGCGGAAAATTTTGATCAACTGGCAAGAGACAGTGTAAAGGTTGCTACTCAAACATGTAAACAACTACAGCCAGGTAAAATTGCTTATATCTTTTTTATTGACATAAAGCCCATTGCTAAACTTCACAATATGAACGCCGGCGAGAAGATAAACCCCAAGTTGCTTGCTTCTCGAGATTCTTTTATATTCCCCTTCACTTTTCTCTACTCGTTCCCTGTGGTATTAACACGGAGAATCTGTTAAACAATCAAGAGCTACTTAAGTTAGTGATTATATCCTTTATTCTCATGAGTGACCAAGAAAGAATTTCTCCTTACGATATAAATACAATATCAACAAGATAAGTGATGAGAATAAAGAACAATATCAATTTGAGAATAATTATTTGATCTAATACTAAATTCTCTGAACTAACATTAAAAGAATTGTATGGTTGACGGTAAAGAGAATTACAAATTCGATCTGGGAGTGAAAGGGTTAAAGGGTTAAAGGGAACCGTGCTCCGAAAGCTAATAGACTGTTATCTCCCCCACTGGTCCATATGATTGTTTCGTTAAAAATGAACGAGAATCACGTGATTTAGAACATTGATTGACAGTTAAGCTTTGCACTTTACATCATATTTCAGTCAGGAAAATCAATTTCAAAAGGAAAGGTCTAGTGTAATTTGCTAACCCTAAACAGCCTTTAAGCTAACCTGTAGCCAGCGGCACGCCACAGAAATCGAATAATTGCAGTATCGTCTCAATAAACAACAATCAAATTATACGATTTGTGGTGGATCAGTTCATCGGCAATACTTTCTCTGCGGAACAATGATAATAATCTTAAAATATCATCGCATTTCCTTATTCTGCCTAGATCTCACGGCTACTGAAAAAAAGTGCATCTTAAGTCATTTTAAATCAGCAATTCGACAGAGATCCCTAATTATGTAGCACTTACCCTTCCAAAGAGGGAGGAAATATTTCTCTGAGTTACTTCTGGTTATCATTAGGGATATAACTTAATATAATCAGAAGCGTTGCATCGAGAAATCGGGTTATTAATTTTTATGATATCGATAACGCTCTTCGAATCATTTGCGTTTCAGTTCATGGTAACTGGTCTGCCTGGGCAGAATGGAGTGACTGTTCTGCTTCTTGTGGAGGAGGGATCCAGGGACGTCGACGTTACTGTATAAATCCACCGCCCAAAAATGGCGGCCGAGATTGCTCTGGCAAAGGATACGATGTTCAGAGATGTAATACGCAAGGTTGTCCAGGTAAAGTGCCAAATAGTTGATGTTTATTAAGCTTCTCTTCCGGAAACAACCAGAGTAGTGGGAGACGTAGAGATCATGAAATATATCTGGACTGGACTAGACTGCACTGGACACCGGATCGAAAGTTCCGGTTTCGATCTTTGAGAAAGACTCTCGATTCTTACAAAACGAAACGTTTTTTATTTTATTTCTATCGTCCGTTTTTATTGATTTAAAATCACGATGTAGAGGTTTAATACGGGTGACAGTGGAACACCGTTCGTGTTATTAAAAAAGTCGCAAGAGTTTGAGTTCTCGTGAGTATACTCTAAGGTTGTAGTTTGTTGATAAAAAGAGAACAGAATGGGAATACAAAATTAACTAGGAATGGAGAAGAGGAAGTGACCGCTAAATCAAAAGAAGCCCAAAAGTTATCTTTAGCTAGGGCTTCGAAATACCAGAAGTGAAATCATGAAGCGCCCCTGCACGAATATATCTGAGGATAGGATTAAAACGAATTTAGATCCTGCTCATTTGATTTGGTTCATGGTTCACTGACATCTCATCTGGAAATCTACTACAGTAAACGGATCCTGGACTGAGTGGAGTGACTGGGGTTCCTGTAGTCTTACCTGTGGTGATGGCGGAATCAAGAAACGTATTAGAACTTGCACCAACCCTCCCCCGGCCAACGGTGGATTGGAGTGTGAGGGAGCTGGGGAGGAGACAGAAGCATGCAAAGCTGGAGAGTGTCCAGGTATGTAGAATATCCGTTTACACATTTTTGGGAAACGTTTAAGCCTTTGACTACTTATATCAAAAAGTCGATTCTCTGTACTGTTTGTCATGCATTTCATATTGTTTTAGCTCCAAGAATTTGCTGTTTAATTGAACAGTAAACCATGACTACAATTTTTCTTTCTTCCTTTTACATGTTTTAAAAATGTTGTAATATTACTCTTAGTAAATCTAAAGTAATAAAAGTTAAACAGCGTATATCCTCAGCAATTTTCTAAACAACTTCCTATCAGAAAAATGGCAACAGATTGTCGCTATGTGAAGAGTGAAAGTTCCAGTGTTTCAAAAAACAATATGACGCTTTTCGACAGAGAATCCAAAAATCAAATCGAGGGTCATCATAATAGCCAATCAGGACAAAGGAAATAAACAGTAGCCAATGAGAACTCGGAGAAAAAATTAAGCAAACAGACCGAGGCGCTGGAATTCAAATTGAGTTAAGTTTTGAATATGAGTGATTGAGATGATGGCACGACCTTCCTGGACAAATCACAAAGCGTGGCAAACAACACTAAATAAAAAAATTTTTCTCTGTCAAGCGTTTCTCAATAGAACTTGCGATGACTCCGACAAAAACCGTTTAATAGAAGAAATGTCATCTAATTTTCTTTATAGTGGATGGAAAATGGGGCGAATGGAGTGACTGGGGTGTTTGCTCGAGGTCATGTGGAACCGGAATTCAATCACGCTTTCGAGACTGCGATAATCCACCACCAGCACACGGAGGAAAGCAGTGTCCAGGGTCCAGCAAAGGAGACGCGCAACTGCAGCACAAATAACTGTCCAGGTACAAAATTGACTAAGGTCAAAGGAGTTACGTTATAAAGACAGTTTATACATTTCGATTAAGTATCGCAAAACCTAAGTACTCACAACAGCCAATCATGGCAGAGGATGGAATCACAAGGAGTCAATCAAAACATAGTAACAAATAAACTGCCTGAAGCGCGAGAAAAGGCGAATGACTACCAGTTCTTTCAGTTTTGAATCTGATTGATTAAGGACGTGGTAGTAGGTTTCTGGATCAATTTACATATCGAAAAATGCAAAACCGAGGCAATACCAAGTTTATTCCGACAACCAGCGGAAAATTTCTCTAACGGAAGGAAACATTGAAATATTTAAGAGACCTTGTTGTTACAGAGAGACTTCAAGAAAGTAGGAACAGATCAAAGATACGAGAATGGCTAAGAATGTCCAAGATTAACACATATTTCAAATTAAGAACTTAAAAATTATCTTATAACAACGATACAAATCCTTTTAAGTTTAAAACAGCCCGAACGGTATTTAAAAACCTCACTTAGAAGTGGAGTTTAAATTATATTTGGCAGCAGCGCATCTTTTCATCCATTTACCGCAAATTGGAAACCACCTCATAAAACACTTAAGAGTCCCGCATAAAGAAAATTTCATTTCTCTTTGTTTGATCGGTCGTTAACTATGGTTTCATAATGATGATTAGAGTCATGATATAAAACATACACCTGTTTGAAATCGTCAAACCAAAAAGGAAGTATGACCAGGTTCAAAATTTGATAATCTTTTTTAATCTCTAGTGGACGGTGGGTGGACTGTCTGGGATCAATGGGGCAGGTGTTCGAAATCTTGTGGCGGTGGGTCACAAACCAGCTCTCGCACGTGCACAAATCCTCCCCCGGCACATGGCGGTAAAGAATGCAGCGGAGAAAGTGAACGGTCACGTGAATGTAACACGCAGCCCTGTCCAAGTAAGATAATAACATTAATTATCACATAAACTGCGGTGTTATACACGGATTTCTGGCCCTGAGAAAAGCCGTAACAACACACGTAAAAAAAAATATCGTATTTTTTCACGTGTGTTGATATAGCCCATCAGCTGCTTATACGTCACTCGCCTTTGGCGCCACTCGGTCTGGTTGATGAATGAACGGCAAAGCCTTCACGATTCTCAATGCAAGTTGTTTGTCGGAGTTTTCTCCAATTATGGCGGCTAAAACACTAAAAAATCCGTATCGCTGGCAGACAATGAGGTTCAAACTTTCTTAGAAAGGGAAGAAAACCAATGTACTAAAAGAAAAACCGAAAGTTGCGTATTCAGTGGCTTCGGTGTTAGCATTTCTCTCGTCTGAGAATGAAAATCGACAACTGGAAGATTTGCCGATTTTGGCCGTTTACTTAAGCTTGAAAGAATTCTTCTGTCGGTAAGGACAAATTTAATAAATGAGAATTTTGTAAATTGAAAATTACGACCATTGTTGTTTTTGTAATCATGATTCAACGCATTTTTCCATCTAAAGAGTCAGCGCTAACGCACTCTACGATTATTATTCGAGGATTGCCGATTCATTTATTTTCATTCATTAATGAAGTCGGCTTTTCTTCCCAATAAAGGGCTATTGTGTTTATATGATAAACAAAATAATACATGGTTGCTTGTAGATATGAAATTTCTCTTCTCGTGTTCAACTCGATGAGAAATTCCATATCTACGCGCGCCCATGTATTATTCTCTATTTATTGTTTGACTGGCTCCAGGAAGAAAATTTGTGATTCCTTTACTTTAATGAATCTTTGTAATTTCTAGTCGACGGTAGATGGAGCGAGTGGAATCAATGGGGCACTTGTTCTAAATCTTGTGGCGGTGGAACACAGAACAGCTCTCGCACGTGCATAAATCCTCCTCCAGCACATGGTGGAAAAAATTGCAGCGGAGAAAGTGAACGAACTCGTGAATGCAATACGCAGCCCTGTCCAAGTAAGAGCAACGATTCTTCTTAAATACACTATTCCTTCACATCAATCGTTAATCGATTACTGGAGGCTCAAGACTAAACCTCAAGAAAAGTCTTTTTGTCGCGTCCACTATATCAAGTCTTTCAAGATAAATGTAGGGCAACATCAGTAATCCTGATAAGAACGAATCATGCTCTAAACAATTCAACCTTCTGTAAATAGTCTTAAGAGACTTCCTTTGGTAAATGCAAACGCACATCAGTGAATTTCATCGGTCCCTCGGCAATCTAATATGAGTGAAGCTCGAGTTATCAGTGGAAGGGAACCTGACCATTAATAAGGCTCATCCGCATGTCCTATTAAAACGTTAAGCTGTTAAATAGTTTTTACGGGTGAGCTGAACTGGCAAAAAAAATACTTTTAAGTAAATAAGTACTTTTAAAAAAGCACAACCCAGCCTTGTGAATGAGTTGAGAAGGTGGAACAATTTGTTTTTCTCTAAAGGAATTCTTAGATATGGAAATTTAGCACCAAAACTTCTCTTAACGAATGTTAGTTTTTTAGGTTCGTCATAGATTTCCCTAAAATCACTTTTGACATGGTAATTGATTTTAATCAAGAGAGAAGAAGCTTTCTGTTACTATCCTAGTTGTTACTGATCCTATGCACATAGAATCTGAACATGATAGTGTTTCCTTCACAGTTGATGGTAGTTGGAGTGATTGGAGAGAGTGGGGTCCTTGTACAAAATCCTGTGGTGGTGGAGAACAGAGGAGAACACGAAGTTGCACCAATCCATCACCTGCATTTGGTGGCAGAAACTGTATTGGAGAACGACAACAGACACAAACCTGCAATCAGAATGTGTGTCCAGGTGAGCTATTTCTTCTTCAGCTAAATCTAATTCTGCTGCTCGGTTACCTTGGCTATGACTTCTGCAAGTAGTTCAACACTGCACTACACTACCATTTCCTTTTTTTTGAAGACACCTGTTGTAAGTCAACGGATAACTTTGTCAGCTATTTTTTCTCGCAAAGATAAGGATCAATGTCAGTATCTAAGGCACAACACACCTACCCCTCCCCTAACACAACCTTAACCTTAACTTGTCATCACTTGACTGCTTTTGGCTCAGGGAGGGTAAGGTATGGAGTTGCTGAGTTACTGACTTTCAAGAGGTAAATAAGCAAAGAAAGGATCAATGTCAGTATCTGAGGCACTCTACACCTACCCTAACACAACCTCAACCTTAACTTGTTATCACTCAACTGTTTTTGGCTTAGGGAGGGGAAGGTATGCAGTTGCTGAGTTACTGATTTTCAAGAGGTAAATAAGCAAAGAAATTGAGATAAAGTTTTAATTTTTATCTACTACCATTCTAGTGGACGGTCAGTGGAGCCGCTGGACGGACTGGACTATCTGTTCCAGGACATGTGGAATTGGACTCAAGAAACGCTCTCGAACTTGTACAGAACCAGCACCTGCTCACGGAGGCAAGGGTTGTGAGGGATCAGCGGATGAAACACGGGAATGTAGCGAGAGAATTTGTCCAGGTTAGCGTGTGATCCATTCTTCAGCGAAATAATAAAACCTTTCCTTCCAGGATTTGGAAACCAACGTCGGTTTCTGTCGAGAGTTTTAATTTTCATGAAGGGCTTTCCAGGATTAATGGTGGTTTTATCAAATTTCTTGCACAGTTGACGGTGGATGGAGTGAATGGAAGGGCTGGACGCTATGTTCAGCTTCATGTGGTAACGGAACTCAAGAACGTGAACGCTCGTGCACAGAACCACGCCCAGAATTTGGTGGGAAAGATTGTGATGGTATCAGTCGGGAAACCAAGACATGTCAAACAATACCATGCCCAGGTTAGTTTGTTATTTTAATGGATTCATCGAGTAAGATCCACTTGTACGAATGGAGTCACAAACTCCTTTCTAGTAATAAAAACTTCTATCAAGTTCGGAACATCAGACATAATGTTTCTTTTTAACAGTGCATGGTCAGTGGAGTGAGTGGAAGGAATGGACATCCTGTTCAAAGACTTGTGGCACTGGAACACAGGAAAGGGAACGTTCGTGTACCAATCCGCCCCCAGCGTTTGGTGGGGAGGATTGCGTCGGCTTGGGAAGGCAAATCAAATCATGCCAGGAAGAAACTTGTGCAGGTAAAAGAAATCAAATTGCTCTATACATATTGATTCAAAAGCAATCTAGGTGAACAATTTCAACAAATTCATGCCTCTCACCTTGAAGTTATTTTCTCTTTTTTATTCCCCAGTTCACGGAGGCTGGAGTCCCTGGAAGGACTGGGGCCCTTGTACCAAAACATGTGGATCTGGACAACAAACAAGAGAGCGAAAATGTGATAGCCCCAGGCCAGAACATGGAGGAAGACCGTGTGAGGGGTCTGGAGAACAAGCGCGAGTGTGCAACACCAGGCAATGTCCAAGTAAGATTCTCACCGTTGCTTCACCGTTGCTTAACCATTTTCCTGTATTTTAAAAATACATGTGGGAGACTGGTAGCCCAGCGGTTAGTGAGCAAACTCCGGGCTGAGAGGTGTGGTTTTAAGCCCTAACGTAGTCACCGTGTTGTGTGTTTAGACCCAGAGGTATGGCTGAGGTGCCGGCGAAATGTTAGGGAAACCTAGCGAAACGTAGGGTGGAGGGGAGGGGAGGGGAGGGGTGAAGGGGAAGAATGGGGCTGCCTGCAATGGATAAGTATTCCAACCAGAAGAAATAATAATACTACTAGTCGCTTTGAGGTACAAAAATCAGAATAAGCTCCAACGACTTGGCTCGATTGTAAACTTTATTTTACTTTATTTAGAGTTATACTGCTTCTTATCTACCATCAATGTTTCTATCAATGAAAGAAAACTTTACGTTAACCGAATGACGCCAAGTAAGTTTAACCTTTTGGTTTTTGTACACAGTTGATGGACAGTGGAGTGAATGGAAACCTTGGACAGAATGCACAAGAACTTGCGGCGGAGGAGTTCAGACGCGTGCCCGCACGTGCACTCAACCCAGTCCCGCGTATGGGGGAAAAGATTGCGAAGGTCGTATAGACGAGACTAGACCTTGTGGCACTGACGCATGTCCAGGTAAACTAATCTGAAAAAAAAGCCTGACATGAGATAATTGATATTTGATACGAGAGTTTATTTGTAATATGTAGGAGGGAAGGTTCTAAGAGGTATTCAAGAGCGGTGGGAATAACTGTAGAGCAAGAAATGAATGGGAAAGGAAATGTCACCTAGAGGGTCTACCTTATATATTTTTGCGAAACGACATCCTCAGATGTCAAGTAGTGTTTGAATAGGCTTCATCTCACAGAAATTATAATTCCGATGTCATCCGTAGTTGGAACAAATGTGGAACGAACAAATTGAAGATAATGTATCCATGGCGATTTCTAAAGAAGTACTTACAAAAGTGTGAAAAATTTGAGCCGTAAAAGCAACCGTTATGATTCGGAACTTGGATTTTAATAGTAGGTCTCTAGAAAGGTGGTAAGTCAGAAGACTATCGCGTGATGTTGTGGCACCGAATTCTTAATCTATTTATGAAATGATTTCAGTCGATGGGAACTGGGCCGAGTGGACAGAATGGCGGGAATGTTCCAGGTCCTGTGGCGGTGGATTCCATTCTCGATCAAGAACCTGTACCAATCCCCGCCCGAAACATGGTGGGAAAAACTGTTCGGGAAGACCCGATGAGACTCGGCCTTGTAACACGCAGACTTGCCCAGGTGAAAAATCTTACAAAAATCAAGAAAAAATATCAAAAAATTGTAGGAGTGAGAAGTGTTTTTTTAGTTAAAATAGTAACCGACTTTGGTTTCTCTCACACATTTGGCGTGTTTTTTTTTTCCTTTAAAGACAATAAAGCCGTAATTTTGTAAATGAGCGCTTCTGTAGCGTCGGATCATCAACAAAAAATTGGTAAAGGGCATCGCTGCATCGACATTTCAGTAACCAAATTTGCCTTCTTGCTTAAATATGTTTCATTTTCACAGTGGATGGCCAGTGGAGTGACTGGACTGACTGGACGGCCTGCTCAAAGTTGTGTGGTACAGGTGAACGAGAGAGGACCAGAACCTGTACCAAACCGGCCCCAGCCAATGGCGGAAAACAATGCTCTGGTCGAGATCGGCAGACACAGGAGTGTAATGTTCAACCATGCACAGGTACGTTACAGCTAAAACAAAACTTTTTAAAAAATGTTTCTACGAGACTCTTATTTTTTTAGACTAAGAGGAGTACGATTTTTCGACGAAGTCTGTTTCACGAGTCAAAAAATATCGGCGGGAAAATAATTTGATTTTGGCGCGCCACTTGGATCTCTGGGGTGAAATGCACGAAAATTTTTCGTGTGCCTCACATCCATAGTTACGTGCGGCTGGCGAATATCCGTTTTTTTCGCTGAATTTTTTTAACTCGCACGATGGACTTCGCCAAAAATGAGGGACTTCTCATAGCCTATGATTTGTGCCAAACATGAAGCCAAGGGATAGAACGCCACGTTGAGTTCGAGCAGTTTCGGTATCAATGAATGACGAGGTACAATGAGAGTCGGATATTCCTGGCGTTCTTTTATAAATGTCTTGAACCTTTACAGTGGAATTGAAGCAAAACATTTAAGTAAGCTTGAAAAAAAAAAGGTTCAATATCAAGTGAAAGCGAGAATATTGTATACTTGATTTATATCGAAAAAAGGAACACAAGGCCTTGAAATTTTTTCCTGCGCAGACCTACTTTTTTAAAGCTTCAGAATCGAACGGAAGTGATGTAAGATCGCTAACCATATCCTTCTCCTTTGATAACTAGGTTGCTCTGAAATCGCTGATATTGCCTTTCTGGTGGATGCGTCGGAAAGCATGACAGAAAAAGACTTTGAAAAAGAGAAAGACGTTATCAAGAAAGTTGCAGCTACCTTCGACGTCGGCGAAACTAAGTCCCACCTCGGTCTCATCTCATTCAGCAGTAACGCAAACATCGACGTGAAATTTGGAGACCTTTTGGACCTGCGCAGTTTCCAAGACGAAGTCGACAAAATTCCATTTTCAGCCGGTGGTACACGATTTGACAAGGCGTTCGGCGTAGCGGCCAACGGGTTGTTCTCTCCTAACGGCGGAGTTCGCTCTAATCTCCCCAAAGTCCTGATCATCCTTACAGATGGCAAGCAGAGCGCTGATTTTGATGCTGTGCCAGTGGAGAAAGCGGTGCTTCCCTTGCGCCATCTTGGCGTCCGGGTTTTCGTCTTAGCGATCGGGAGCCAAATCGACATGGTAGAGCTTCAACAAATGGTAACAAATCCAAAAGATATTCTCGTAGTGAATAAATTTGACGAGCTGTTAGATGACGTGAAAAAGATTGGAAACAAAACTTGTGAAACCATCAAAAGACCCGGTAGGTTGTTGAAGAATGAAGCTTTTAGAGAATGTACATTAGCTCAGACCAGATCCTTATGTTAACGAGGCATACACAAATTAGGCAACCGCATACTAACAGTGTAGCCAAAGCGTATGTATATAGCTTTGTAATCCAATGGATGTTTAAAGCATATACTCCAAACCAGGCAGAATGGAAGAGCAGTAAAGCTTTGTTGTCGTGCCCAGGCCCAAATGTATGTGTAGTCAATCCACTCGATCGTGAGGGATCCGAGGAGGAGACTAGATAGAGAGATTGGCTTAAAACTTTGAATATAAATACTCTTAAACATGAAGCAAAGGAAATATCTAAGAAAGGTAACTAAGACTTCTCGTTTACCCGTACCTTGCCTACGTCCTTGGGCGTTGACTTGGGACAGTTCTTATAAAGTTCCTGTTACTTATGCTTGTGCCTCCTCGAGCAGAGTAACACGCAGTTCCTTTAGAAGCATTGGCACAATAACTCTGGCCCTAGCTGCGTGAACGATATAAAACATCAACGAAATTCTGTGAATAACTGTTTGCAGAATCAACTGCTCACGTAATTAAAACTAAAATTCTAGGTATTGATTTTTTTCTTATCTCACTCTGAACTCAGAACTTCTCTGCACCGAAAAGGCTGATGTTGCTTTTCTCATGGACGGGTCTGAGAGCATGACAGAGCAAGATTTTGAGAAGCAGAAGGACTTTGTAACAAGAGTTGCTGAATCATTTCACATGACTCCAACAATGACTCAATTTGCCCTCATTACCTACAGTAGCAGCGCAAACCTGCACATTCGGTTCAAAGATCACATGAATCAGAGCGCTTTTAGCACGATAGTAAGACAACTTCCCTTCGCGGCCGGTGGAACACGATTTGACAAAGCTATCAAGCTTGCAGCGGAGAACGTTTTCACAGAAGAAAGTGGAGCACGGCCTGGTGTGCCAAAGGTTATGATCATTCTCACAGACGGGCAACAGAGTCAAGACTACGACGCCCTACCTCTGCAACAAGCTGTCCTTCCATTGCACCGCCTCTCGGTCCAGGTTCACGCTGTCGCGATCGGCAATCAAGTCAAAATGGCGGAGCTACGCAAGTTAGTACAGAAAGAAGAGGATATTTTCAGCATAAAGGACTTTGATAATTTGGTTGACAAGTCTCGCCAATTGGCCAGTAAAACGTGCGATATCATAACGCGTCCTCCTCAAGGTAACTACGGCTGTTATGGCCTTAAAAAAAATGTAAAAACTTCATACCTTTTCCTTCTAAGTAACTTTCCGTCAAGATATCGCCAATTCTCTGGCCACTGCTTGGTTAAATTTCTCTGATAAAAAGTATTTAAAGCTGTGCAAAAAATTTTGAACTCGGTAGTCGATTAACCTAGCTTCACATCCTAACTTAAGCATGCATATTCTCCATACATTTCCTAAGATGTTGACAAGGAGAATTTGTCTAGCAATCAAGAGCTTCAGTTGACGATCATTTCCTTTATTCTCGTGACCTAAATGTGCAATTCAGAGGTGATATCGTTCGGAGAAATTAGATGCAAGTCAATCTTAGGGATCAAAGAGTTGAAAAGGACTTTTTAAGTTTAATTCCTCAACTCCTCATCTTCTATTTTTCCTCATGTCTTTTCAGTTGTGAAATGTTCTGATGACACAGACGTTGCCTTCGTAGTCGACACATCTGGAAGCATCAGTGACGAGAACTTTGTTAAACAAAAAGACTTCATCAAAGTTCTTGCCTCTGCATTCGATCCCTCCATAGAAGACCATCAGCTCGGTTTAATATCATATAGCAGTGACGCCCAAGTAGAAGTCAACTTTCGAGACAAAGCCGATGCAGCACAATTCGAAAGCGCCGTCGACCGTGTTCCACATACGAAGGGGCGGACGCGCCTTGATAAAGCGTTAACGTTAGCGGCTACTCAAATGTTTTCCACCAGCGGCGGCACACGCTCGGGAAAACGTAAAATCATGGTTATCCTTACAGATGGACGACAGAGTCAAGATCCAGATACGATACCCCTTCAGGAAGCTGTCAGTCCTTTACGAAAGCTTGGTGTACGCGTATATACAGTGGCAATTGGAGACGAGGTCGATCTTAACGAACTTTATCAAGTTACTGAAGGGAAAGAAGATGTGTTCCCCGTTAGTGATTTTGCTAACTTGGCTAACATGGCAACCGACATTGCTTCGAAAACTTGCAAAGTAAAAGCTTTCCGAGGTAAGTAATTTTATTTATTATATCTCTGGCAGCGCCCGTGGGCAAGATGAAGCGAATCCTGTGTTCTAATTGGCTATCCGCGCGGGCAAAAAAGGCCCATATTGCCCTCTCGGGGTTGTCCGCTCTGATCTCTAGGAAATGAAAAAAAGTTGCGTGTTGTAAACTGACAAAGTTTGTTTACGAAGTCCAAAATAATTGACTGATTATTTTTATTTATTGTATGAAGCTGAATGTAAAGAACGCATCAACTTGGCTTTCGTTATGGATATGTCAAGTAGCATCACAGCCAAAAACTACCCAAAACAAAAAGACTTTATCAAAAGAGTGGCAGACACATTTTCGATCTCAGAGACGCAGACGGACGTTGGTGTTATCACTTACAACCGGGAAGCCAAGTTATGGATCAGTTTCGGACAGTACAACAGTAACAACGAATTTAAAGATGCTGTAGACAAAATTCCTTACTGGGGAGGTCAAACGCGAATCGACAACGGTCTTGAAATGGCAGCTGTTTCGCTTTTTGGTGAGTTGAAAGGCGAACGCGAAAAGCTCCCAAATGTGCTGATTCTACTAACGGACGGCCAGCAATCTTCAGATCTGAAAGCTACGCCTTTAGAGGAAGCCGTGGTGCCGTTGTTTCAGCTCGGTGTTAAGGTGTTTGCTGTTGGGGTTGGTGACCAATTCTCGCGCGATGAGCTAAGGTTGATTGTTGAAAAGGATCGCGACATCTTCACTGTGAATGATTTTGATGACCTGCTCACGAAATCTCACGAGATTGCTCGCACAGCCTGCGACGCAGCTGAAAGTAAGTGTTTTAGAGGTGTTGCTTAATCATATTTGCTGACTTAATGATTGAAAGTAGGTTCTCGAAACAGTTGTCATCATCATATGCCAAGGTTGCTAGGTCATTTGGGATTTTACTGAGTTGGAAGGTTTTAGAATCTTGGCATACTATGATGTCAATTATACTCGTCTTCTCCCAGGGTGACCCAGCATTCTTTAAAAAGTATTTGTTTCATTTCTCCCGTTCTAATCCGTCATAATTTTTCAGATTCACAGGGATCAGCCGGTAATTACCAGCCAAAGTCTTGTTTCAAAAACATAGACGTCGGATTTACTGTCGACTCTTCAGATAGCGTCGGCGAACAGGGATACCAAAAACAGAAACAGCTTGTTCAGCGGCTCTCCTCCTTTTACGATATCTCAAAACAGGACACCAGGATCGGAGTTGTAATATACGGTGATAAAGCTTTCACTACCATCGGGATGAACAGTTACCGCGACTCCTCCATTCTCCAGCGTGCTGTAGGGTTTCTACCCCGTCTCGGTGGAGGCAACAGAAAGGAGAAAGCCTTGGTTGCAGCTAGGAAGATGTTCAAGGCAAAACGACCACCAAGCCAGTCGGGAGCTTCACAGCCAACCAAAGTTCTAGTCTTCATTACAGAAGGCCCGCAGTCTGCCACAGAAGCTGACACATTCTCATTATACCACGCGGTTCACCCGCTCGAGAGAAACGGAGTCCGTGTTATTGCGGTGGGGATTGGGTCCAAAGTGGTATATCAGGAGCTCAGAAGCCTTGTGCTAGATTCCAATGACATTTACCTGACAACGTCATTGGATGACGTAGACAAAGTATCACGTGATCTGATCAAGCTCATTTGTAAGGTAAGTTGAGATTTCATTATAACGCTAAAAAATAATCTATCAGCTGGCTTTGTCGATTGCAACATCTTTCTTCAATCCCTGAACCCCCTTTCCGAGCTTAAGATTCACCATCTAACTTGTGGCTTTCCACATTACTGATCCTGCCAGTTTGTTGGATGTGTGTCCTATATCGATCTATCAATTGAAGATGATTTGGTTCCATCAACTTAGTTGATAATATAAATTGGCTCTGTCAAGAGTTTTTAAAGCTGACGTTTCGAGCGTTAGTCCTTCGTCAGAGCGTTAGCAGTGCCTTAAGGTGATTCTATGGGACGCCGAATCAATCAATATTCCCTCTGTATTTCTGTGACCCAGTTTACTATTTACATGGACAATTCGACTCTTAATATGGTCAACTCGACTTTTTATGCGATCAACTTTTTACTATTTATATGGTTTATTCGACTTTTTAGCTAACGATTAAAGCCCTGACCTCCTCCCCCATCCACTTCCCCCCCCCTTCAGTCCTATAGGGAAATCTGCAGCCTTTTAGATAAAAATTGCTAACACCTTTTCTGAATTTTCTCTTTGCAGTATTGAGATGACGAATGACATCAAGAGGCGAGTGGATTCCAGTCACATCCTATATTGGTGGCAGCTAAGAACATTTCACAAAATGACAAAATAAATCTGGTTTGGAAAATATATTTGTGGATACAAAACCTCGTACCATTATCAACAAAAACCAAGTGACGTCTAACCGTATCGTACTCTCCAATTTGGCAAAGTTTCTGATTGGTTACGTAACGGCAGCTATTTGTTGGTTTTCTTATCTTGTCATCCAGTCAAAGAGGAAGATACTACATAAATATGACTGGCGTCATCTTTCTTCTTACGCGCGTGGCTTGATTTTGTATTAGTAGGGAAATGAAGGAAATCCATTTCGAGATGTTACCGGTCAATCAGAAACTTAATCAACTGAAGCGTTACAGTCCTTTTCTCTGCAAGATTTTATAAACGAGACAATAAGCTGAACTTTGTTGAAACAGGCAGATTTTCAGAAGAACTGGTAATATTACATGCTACAATTAATTGATATGATTTTAAATATACAATATGTGTATTTTTTTGTAAGTTGACTACGATCAGAACGCTTTGGTTGATTGTGACAAAGAGGATCAGGAAGGTAGTCATTGAATATTTTTGACTAAATGTTACGCGCGTAAATTACATCTCTTGACGTGCACTGCCAAGAAATTATTTTACAAGCAGCTTTCCTTTCAGAAATAAATGAATTAAGACACAAGGAAATAGTTGAAATTATTTATTAATGCCATTTGATAAAAATAAGAGTTTGTTATTTTAAAACTGCTGTTGAAAGGATTTTGTAAATAATCCAATTAAGACATTGTTAGGGAATAAAAAGAATTGACCTTAATCCATGGTATGTTTGTTTATAAAACGGTTGAAATTGTAACGGGTGAAGGCGTTTGCGATCACACTAAGTAAAGGCTGGAGGCGGAGAACCTGAACAAATAAAGAAGCCTTGATTGTGCTCTGTTCTGATGTAAAGTACACACGAAGCGGCTAGCGCACGAAAGAAGTGTAAAAAAAAACAGGAGACGTAGTTCTTGAGTGCTCCAGCCGCTTCCAAGACTACATTTCTTTTCCCAAGATTGAAGTGTAATATAAAGACAGAAAAAAAACAGTCTGTCAATTCAAGATTTTATTAAAAATTCTTCAAGTATTTTTCATAAATAAGCATTGAATATTCTGGTTGCCTGAAAGTCTGGAACAGACTCCATGCAACAACCATAATTTATTCACAATTTAATATAAAATTCAACAAAATTTTTTAAATCACTTTTTACAAGTGATGGAAACTTTTCATTCTTCTGTTCCATTGATGCGTCATATCTATTCCAAAATTTTGCATGCATTTGAAGCCAATTGAATTGAAATGCATTTATTTAGCAATGTTTAGAAAAGAAACTAATAAATTGAAAATGACTATCTATTATATACTTTACATACTTTCCTCTTCTCTTTCTAGGAATGGGACTATAGTAAAGTGTAATTACAAACTACTGGCATTCTCATACTTTACTGCAATTAGCATGCAAAAGAAAAAAAAGCAGAAGAATTCACAAAGATGAACAAACAAACTTCAAGTCACCTGAAAAGTACTGTGCAGATACACTTTAAAAAAAGTCAACATCAGAAACACAACTTACAGGTTTAAATCTCATTACAAGGATATCCCAACTAAATAAGTTTGAGAAAGAATGAGTTTTCCTCCAATGGCACATAAACATTATGTCAAAATTTTCTCTTATTTGGGTCGACATATGAGGAGAACAGAATAAGTTTTCAATTCAAAGTGAATGCAAATATCTTCATAAACTGCTTAAGGCAAGCCAGCTAGCAAAGTGTAAATTTATCATCTACAAACAACACAATTGTTATGGCCTTACTTGAGCTTAAGTGACATTTTAAAATAACCAAATCCATCAATCTTTTGGGAGCTTGGCAATGAAAGTAATAATACTCAAAAGTGACGTAAACAAATTGTCTTCAAAGCTGAAATTGAGATGGGTACAGAGTTCTCATGCTAAAAATAAAACATGAGAAATATAAAATAGCTCAGATCTGCGTAATAATACATCTTATATTGAGCAATGATTTTTGTTTTTCAACCCCATCACTCAGACTTCAATATATGATCATGATATTGTTAATATTTTACCAAAAAAAATATGCACAAGAAATGAAAAGGGAAAAGTAAAAAAACCCCAAGACTGAATTGTGTCCACTTTCTCCGGACAATTTCTAACACATTCATATATACCTGTGAGAGAATTTTTTTTTCAAGATTTTGAATTAGTACAGTCAGAGTACCAGTATTTAGAAATTGTTATGCCAGCGAGGACCAAATTCTTCTCATTTTTGGTGATCAGTTGGTTCATTTGTTAATGAGCTTGAGGTATTTGGAAGGGTATTTTCAATCTTGGAAAATTCACATTCCTCAATGATAGCAACTTCTTGGACTGTATCAGAACACATGTCAATGCCGCTGTCAGCCAGTGAGAGAGCATCTGCATCACCAGTGGGAGAATTATCTCCATTCTGGTCTATGAAGACATCTGTTTCATTGAGATTATCAGCACTCCCCATAAAAGATTCAGTGTCGAGACTATCAAATGAAATGTCAAATTGGTCAGTTTCATCCACAGTTGATTCTCGTGCACAGAGTTCCTCATTACCATGAATCAGTTCCTTGCAGTTACACTGGCAGTTGTCTCTTTCATCCTCAAAGCCTCCATTTGTTGGTTCTCTTTCATCTTCAAATTCTCCATGAGGTGTCTCTCTTGCACCTCCTTTTTCTTTGTTTTCAGTGTGAATACCATCAACTTTTTCATTCAGCAGATCTGGCATTGAACCACTCTTTTGTTCCCCTATTTCAAGCTTTCCTTTGTGCTTGGGAGATTTTAGCCGAGGCCTTTCATTCAACTGTCTCAATTTAAGCCACTGCCTTACACTCCTTTGTATTACTGTAGCTGCTTTCTTTAGTTTCAGAAAATGGCGCCTTTCTCTAAAACGTTTAAAGGTAGCTTGAATGATTCTTACTGCATTATCTAACACAGCTTCTTGAAACTTCTCAATTAGTTTGTTACAGGCACTGTAATCTTCTTTAGATGCCAGTGATTCTTGATTATTTTGAAGACTATTTTCATCCTTTGTGTTGTATGCACAATCCACTTTATCTTTATTGTATAAATCTATGCTCTCATGCCCTCTTTCTAAATCCTTTTCATTGCTTCCAACCCCTGCTGAATTGCGGTCACTCTCATCACCTTTAATTGTGTCATCTTTTGCATTTTCACCTTGTTCTGAGATTGGCTGCAGGGCCCTGTCAACAACACAAATCAGACAAGCAAGCATGAGTCACTTTGCATGAATGTTCTCTGTGTCAAAAATCTCTGACATCCTTCAATATTTAACATGCATTGCTTTTGACAAAAATTGCCTTATCAGAATTTGTCTTTATAAATAGAAATTGTACAACATTGTCTGTTGTTTATACTCTACTCCTCGGGTAATTAACCCTGATTTTGTTTTCGTTTCACTTTCGTGTCATCTGTGATCTAATTGATAAGATATAAATGGAAATGAACTGTATTTGTTTTTGTTTTCCTTTAAGCAATGATTATGCTCAACAGTTTCTGCTGGTGAAAAGGCAACGTGGCTGTCTTCAGAATTCAGATCTGTAACAGTTGTCAACTTTACTCAATAAACATCTAGCAAGGGACAACTAGCTCTGCCAGAGGCTAGCAGAGCATAGCATTGTGATAATCTAATGAATAGCCAAGTTATTAAAATTAGGCTTAAAGGAAGCACACATGTTATCAATAACAGGAAATCAAATGCTTAAGCTTGTGAGGAAGAGGTACGAGATGCTAGCCAGCACTGTGTAAAAATTAAACCGTTTCCAATTAACAGTATAAAATTTTGAAGCTATATATGCGTGAGAGAAGTCACTGATAATACAGCATAAAAGTTTGTAGCTAGACATGACTGAGAGAAATCAGAAATGATTCAGAATTGACTGGCAATTAGTAATGTTTTTTTACAAAAGTAAGCAATAGCTGTTTGCGGTTTTTTGAGGAGAACACTCCTGTGACCGAATGTCATCAGTGTTACACAACGATAGAAATCTGATGTGTGGTTTCGCCACTGTAAACCAATACGAAGTTCATTAAAAACAATAGCTCCACGTGTTTACCATAAAGAAAGAAAAACCGCCTACTATTTTTGTGAATCATAAGCCACATCCAAAATCCTTAGGGGTAAAAATCGACCACAAACTATTGTGTAGTTGATGGTTCTAGAAAATTAAATCCAAAGTGTTGTTTTGGGCGACGAAACTCTCATGGCAGGCTACAACAATTCTAAACACAGCGAGGAGTTCAACTTGTTTACCCAGTTGACAAAAAATAAAACCAATATACGTCACAAATCGAATTAAAAACCTTCTGCAAAAAAAATTTGTGTTCAGGATTATTAAAATTAAAGGAATTTATCCTCGTCAAGAATCGAAATTGTTTAGTTTCTGTGGTTTGGCAAGTTATTAAATATGAATCGAAAATCATTGTGTTTTGAGGATCGATGAACGATTTCATACGCGTGCCCAAATATTCTTCCCATAATAAAAATTCGAAGTGGTCTCGACTCAACACTTAAGGAAGACCAATACAAAATATTTAAGAAAGAGAAGCTTCCGAATAGCCGCCAACTACAAAGGGGTTTTACCCGAATATTTTCAATTTCGTGCCTACACAGATATAACCGGGGATTTTTAAAAAGAAAGAAATTCACCTGACCGATGAAATTAACAAGCAAGCATTCAAATTTGGATTTCGTTCGTTAGATGTTTTCAAGAATTATAAAAAATCTGAGATGAAATTCATATCCAGTCGACGAATCGACTCTTTGCGATATTGAAGAACTACGAGAAACCATCTGCTGTAACATATTTTTTTGCAAAAATAATTCTCAACGCCTATCATTTTCGCTAAAACATTCTGCAAACGCATACATCTGAAATACCAGTAAAAATGCATCTTTGTGATATTAGAGTTGAACAACTTTTGTTACACAATATGATGCGATGTTTGCCTCTGGAATCCACGGGGAGTTCATTACCGTGCAGAATATCTGCGAACATGACGAAGGATGTGAAGTATCAACAATTACTTTTGATTGCCGCCAATTCAAGTAAAACTACTCGATCCAACATGCAGAAAAAGGTTTTGATCTTGCCACAAAGGGGAGATGATAAAATAAGAAAAACATACCTCGTAAAATACCTCCATCTCCATCTCCAATTACTCTGTTTTTGACGAAAACTGCGTTTGACAGCGGGAAAACACTTTACAGTGCTCGCTTCCAGTACATTCGGATCACTTTCAGGCGTAGAAAAGTTCTCGCGATGTCTTTTCTTATTTTCTTCCGAGGGAGAATTCATTGACTTTAGCGCTAGCGGACCCAAATATCGAGCAATACGTGTTGGAAGCCAGGTTTATACTGTTGTAATCTGGCACCAGAGAGTTCTAGCACTGTTTTCAAACACGATCTCCGTTTGTACGTAAGGGAAGTAGGGGAGGGAATAATTTCGAACTTTGAACAGAATTTGAAATTTGAGTATTGCTGTCCAGGCTGCGCGCAGTCACATCTGGCCGATGTTGACAACATCTGCTCTTAAGAGCTTTCAACAATCAAGTTCTGACATATCTTTCAAGTTGATACAACAATTGTACCACTTTAAGCAAGTTCGAAACCAATTATTCCTTATTTGGCGAAGATCGTTTATCAAAAACAGATCATCGAAAAACTCTCGACCAAGACGTAAAAATAGGATTAGGTCCCAGCGCTCTCTCAAGATGGCGGCTGCAGGGCCGATAGCGGATGCTGTGATCGCGGCAATGAGTAAGTTTTATTGCGGAATTTCCCAGTTATCTCTATAATAAAATCAAAATCAGTGAATTTCTTTACCCTTGCTATTTGATCATGTTTAATGAAGCATCATATCTCGTGATATAAGTGTGGCTGCCCCTGATGGGCACCAATGCATCTATAAAAGGAAACTTTCACGGATACGAAAGATTAATTTTCTCACACTTTTTTCATGCATTGCGAGTGTTATTAATAGAGCTCTCAAGTCTGGTGCGTTGAGCGTGAGATTCACTTAAATCCAAGACTCTCATGCTAAAAATATTATTTATCACTTATTAGTGAGGTTTGTCAATTCTACTGTTCATTTTGAGATAGCAAACTGCTACTTTAGTTAGTACCAATAGAATTAATTTTTCTTTTTAAATATAATTTATTCCTTGTTTCCTCTGTACTTGCTTTGAGCATTTCCAATCAGTGGAAATTCTTTCTCAGAGCTAAGGAAAGCATTCACAGGTGATTTTTTTCACAATTTTGCAAGGGAGCATGCCCCCATACAACCCCCCCCCTAGATAGGAGATGCCCAGGGCATCTCACTCTTAACCAGAAAATTAACTTGAGAGCTCTGATTACAACACAAACTTAAACGTATGAATAAATTTAAACTAGATGTACAAAGCAAACCTGCTATTAGTAATAATTACAACTGAGGACACCTCACTCTTCCCTTTCATCTCTTCTATTACAATTTGTAGATGGCATCTCGTGACAGGTACATTTCCTTAGTTTTCATGAGATCCAACCTAAGAAATATTGTTTATTAGAAAAAATGCACAGTAAGATTTCCAGAGAGTTCCATACTATGATAAAACAAAGCTATAGTCCAAAAGGCAATCTATTGTTTTCATTATGCTTTTCTTTATCCAAGAACTTTATCCCTTTAATTCCCAGGATCTGATTGTTAATTCTCCCCTCCAGCTGCTACACATTTTCTTGTAAATTAGTAGCAAGAATTTGGTGTTAGATCAAGATAACTTCCACCTGATACATTTGAGTATTCTCATTACCTGTTTGCTGGATAGTGGATGGATATTGTAGGAAGAAGTTACATGTGAATCACTTTTGGGAGTTAAAGGGTTATGCATAGAGCTGTGTGGAAATCATATTAACTATTCAGCTTAAAAAAATGCTTTTCTTGCTGTGAATTTATATTTTCAGGTACAGAACATGGTGTATGGCCTGACAATGTGGAGCTATATGAACCCTGCAAAGGTAATATTTCTTGAAGAAAGATCTCATTAATTTTTTTTCTTTGACCTTGTAATGTGGAGCATTTAGTCTGATCAGTTTGCAAACTATGGCTTTTAAAGTCCCTCATGCGTTGGCTACAGAAGAAGCTCAAGGACCTCAAGAAGCAATTGTTGATTGTGTCACAAGAGAAAATGCAGCAAGAATTTCATGCAGTTTTCAGTTTTGATCAAATTTTTATGCAGTTTTGCAGTATTTCATAGACCCCAGTGCCCCCCTTCTTTAGTTGGTGATCATTTCCCCTATTCTCATGACTTTATTCTTTGATTCAAGGAAATGTTGTAGAGAGAAATAAGATGCTACTTGCTCTTTGAGGTCAAATGGTTAATAGCCAATGTGATGGATTGGTTTTCATTGAATATTTCTTATTTCTATATTTCCTGTAGACACCATTCTTCTGACAGATGCTGCAAGTTGTAGAGGTGTAGAGGTGAGTGCATTTTTCATTAGCCACGATAGAAAAGAAAACTGATAAAAAACCCACTTTTTTGGGTTTGTGTCAGTGATTTTTATCAACATTACAAAGGGGAAGGGGGAATTGTTTGCTACTTACATGGATTTAAGAATTTACTTATTCACAACCTTTTTGTCTGAAGTGTCCTAAGAATATTGTCAAGTATTGTATGTGGAGAAAAATGCAACAAATGTTAAGTGTTCTGTGGAAAAAAAAAAAAAAAAAATCTCTACCCTCTTTCAATCTAGTGATTGAATCTGTAGATATTAATCAACTGGAAAGGCATTTTGTTCATGGGTCGTGAGGCTATTTCTGCTTTAAACTGCAATTTTTTCCCTTTACAGGCTTACCTTAGATTTTGTGGATTGGCCCATGAAGTTAAGTGCAGAAGGAATGCTGAGTTTATGTCTCCAACAGGTGCATGGTTTGTCATCTGTATTTTTTTTGGAGGGAGAATAAGTTATCCAGAGCTATATATCACCTTGATAATGTCCTTTCATGAGAGACTTAAAAAAAATTTTAAAAGTGTTATGTTATATTTTTTGTATTCAAGGCAATGTTCCATTTCTAAGAGCAGACAGAGATTTGATTGGTGATTTTCAAGAAATAGTTTCATTTGTTGAGGCTAAGGTATGGGTAATAGTTACTTTATCTATGTAGGATCTGTTGAGTATTAGTTACAGAGTTCATTGCTTTTTGATAGGTTCACAGATGTTGACTATCAAGTCATTACCTCAAGCGTGACTTAAATTGAAAGGAGACTTGTGTTTCACCTTTATGATTTTGTATGATTTTAAAAGAAGCATGTGTTCAGTAACTTTTGACCAAGGGATTCTCAGTTAAACCAAATAATAGATGACATATAGTCCTAAAAACTGCCAATCTTTGCTGAAGCCAAACACTATTTTGGTAGCATTAAGTCATGGATGAAATGCAGGTTCATCCCTGGTAACCTTCAACATTTGGTCAAGCTTTCTTGATAGTCCATGGATGCTTATTTATGATCCTGGGTGGAGAGCGGCACTGTGAGAGGAAAGTGTCTTGCCCACAAGTGTCTTGCAACACAAAACCCTGACCTGGACAGAACTTGAACCCAGATCTCCTAGCTTGAGTTCACCAAACTTGAACCCAGATCTCTCAGCTTGAGTTCACTGAACTTGAACCCAGATCTCTCAGCTTGAGTTCACTGTATTAACTACCACACTACTGCTTCTGAGAAATCTAACATTACCAGCAATATTAATTAATTAATTAACTTTTTTTAAAAATTGTAGGCTTAAAATTGAATAGAAACTAATTGAACCTGTAGACTGAAAGAAGATAGAAGTACTATTTGGGAATCTCTGTAGCATTTTAAATATCAGCTTCTTACTAACTGAGCATGAGGGCCATACTGGGGATTTGAACCAGTGGACTGAAAGAAGATGGAAGTACTACTTTGGAATCTGTGTAACATTTTAGATATCAACTTCTTATAACTGAGCACGAGGGCCATACTGGGGAATATTAGCCCTTGGTTGTGGCAATGTGGACTAAGGGCAGTGCAGCAGTTTATTATATGGCACTTGAAACAAACCTATTTATTTTGAATATGCTGGCTATTGCCATAAAAATTACATGGCTTATGACTGTTTCTGTGGAAACAATCTGTGTAGCAATATGTAGACCTTGTATGAACCATCAGAATGCTTGGATTTACCTCATGACTAGCTTTCCATATTATAAAAGTCTTTATGTCTAAACTTTACATTGACAGGGCTTCTCTACAAGTGCAAACTTTGAAATGAAAGACAAAGCAGAAATGAAAGCATATTTATCACTTATTGAAAACTCTCTTGTTCCATCTGAGGTAATGTGAAGATTCTGTCATAAGTAGTATACAGGGTCACTATGAGTTCTAACCAATCATTGAGCATTGTTTTGTACTATGTGATGCCTTCCTTCCAGAAAAAAAAAGAAGCAAAATTTCACTTTTGTCCCAATGTCCCAATGTCCCCATTCAAGTAATGCAGGGGACAGGATTCTATGCTAGAATATTGTACTGTGACAACATTTCTCTAGGAGTGATTCAATAAACTTCTATGGTCTAACTAACATTTGAAACATTTATCTGAATAGTATACAGGGTCATTACATTACTGCATTACTTGAGTGCTTTTGGATAAAAGTGAAAGTTTGCTCTTTTTTTCTGGAAGGAAAACAACTCTTGGAGCAAGGAAAAGAATCAACTGAACCCCAGACATGATATTATGTCTAAAAAATTAACTTTGTGAACAGTGGTAAGGAGTTAGGGTGTTCAAAACTGCAATATTTCTACTCCCTTAGATTTTCATGGTGCTGTTCAGTTTTGTTTTTTGAGACTGATCATGGTCAAGGGGATGAGACAGTTATCTCCTGTGCTGTTGTTCAATATTAAGAACTTCCTTGCTGTCAGCCCTTTACACCTTAAGATCAGTATGCACATTCTCCTTACTGTTCGCTACACATTTCCTATGGTTCTGACAAAGAGAATTTGCTTAAAAAATCAAGAGCTTCTTTAGTTGGTGATCATTTCCTTTATTCTCATGGCCTTAACCCTTTAAACCCTAAGAGTGATTAGCATATAATTTCTCCATACAGCAATACTGCTGAATCATTCATTAGGATCATGAGAAAACAAAAAAATGATCGCCAACTAAAGAGGTTTTGATTGTTAAACAAATTCTCCTTGTCAGTACCAAAGGATATGCACAGAGAAGAGTAAGGAGAATATGGATACTGATGTTAGGAAGTAAAGGGTTAATGTTTGATTCAAGGTTGATACTGTAAGGAGAAATTACATGCTAGTCACTCTTAAGGGTTTAAAGGATTGAAAGACAGTCATGGCTCTATAGAATTATCATAAGGTTTGATGCAATATTTTTATCTCACTTGGCCTTAATAGCTTTACATGTTGTGGTGGAAGAAAGACTGGGCAGTGCGTACAAGGCATCATTATGGCAGTCAGTTCCCTTTTCCATTGAATCTTGTTCTTAGCTACAGGAGGCAGTGGAAAATCTGTCAACAACTGAAGGCAGATGGGTGGCATCATAAGACAGAAAATGAGGTATATATGTGCTTTGTACTGTTCTAGCATTTTTCTTAATGGGTACTTTCCAACTGTGATCAATAAAGATGCAGGCATTGGCATGGCTCAATGGCTGAACATTTTAAGAGTGGACCTTAGGACCTCACATTAAATAGTTAAAACATTTGGCATCTGAATCACTTAGGCTCTTAACCCATGACACCCTCACATCAGTATGCATATTCTCTATACTGTTCCCTTTACATTTCCTGTGGTACTGACCAGAAGAATTGGTTTAACAATCAAAAGTTTCCGTTGGTGATCACATCCTATATTCTCATGACCTAAGTGTTTGATTCAGTGGTAATATTGTGCAGAGAAATTAGATGCTAGTCTCTCATAAGGGTCCAAGGGGCTAATAGCTCTTTTTCTTCCCTTTCTTCTCCCACTGATACGAAAAGTCATACTATTTGTGCAAGATATCTTTAACATGAATCCACTTTCATTTTATTTGTCAACTTGTGGCTCATTTTTCAAATCGTCCCATGCTGTCCAAATCAGTATCAAATCTTCTCATCATCTGAATTGCATTTCTTATAGTGGTAGCATTGAGAATTTGGTTTCAAATTGATGCAAGTACCAAATGAAATGGCAATCTTTCTCTCTTGGGCTGTACTTGTATTTAATCTGCAGCCTTTGCTTTTTCACACCATGTCCAGAACTTTCAGTTTCAGTTTTGCTCTTTCATTTGATGTTAAATATGTTTATTTTATTCAACAGGTTCTTGAAGAATTCAAGCGGACATGTCAAGCCCTCTCTGAAAAACTTGGAAATAACAAATTCTTCATAAACGACAGGTAAATCACCAAACGTTGATTAAGTAACAGAGAAGTTATTATCATGTTTAGTGTGTTTGTTTTGTTTTTTTTGTTGGCATAAAAGACTCAGTCTGTAAATTGCTCTTCAGTGTGTCACCTTTTAAGGCTATTAAAATAGCCAATAACATGTCTCTTTGGCATTAGTCATCAGCTCAAAATGGTTTTTTTTAATCAGCTGTGTTGATAAAGCTGACTTTTCGAGTGTTAGTCCTTTGCTCGGAGGGAGGACAAACGCTCGAAATTATCTATGGAGACAATTTACATTATCAACTCAGTAAGACCCCCCTGCCCCACCGACGCAGAAACTTCCCCCCCTTATTCATAAGCTCAACAGATTGTTTTTCCATCACCACTCTTTATTTCCTTTTAACTTTTCACTGAATTTACAAATTAGCTAAAGAGTGTCACGGTGTTAGAATTAATTTCTCTCAGAAAAAGTATTCATTATCATCATCACTATTATTCTTGTTGTTGGTGTTTTTGTCGTGATAATCATTCACATTGTTATCGTTTTACTATTTTAGGCCTACAGAGTTGGATGCTCTTGTGTTCGGCCATCTTCACACACTACTGACCAGATACTTACCAGATGATTCGCTCAGCTCTGTGGTAAGGGCTCACAGAAATCTTGGAGACTTCGTTATGAGGATCCTGGGGGAATTCTTTCAATAAGCGGGAGCAACTACTGTTAAAACTTCGTTAGGAGGATCCTGGAGGAATTCTCTCAATAAGCAGGAGCAACGACAGTTTAAATAAAGCCATTTTACAGACTCGAGACTCTCTAAAAAAGCCATCTAACGATTTATTATAGATACATGAGAGTACGAAGCTACCTGTCCCTTGTCTTTAGAGAGGGTTGTATGACTCACGGCAAGCAAAATTGAGCAAAAGTGAATTTGTTTCCATCTGTCTTCAGCTGTTTTTGCACTATTTGAAATTACATATATTATTTGTGGTTTCTGGGTTTATCTAACGATTCATATATGCAATCGCGTTGTTGCACTTCAAGTAATCTCAGGCATTAATGTTGCGCAATTTTCCTCTTAATTATTGTTCCTCTTGTACTTATAAGAAGAGATTTAGAGAAACTTTTGATTGCAAAATTTCAACGCTAGAAAGTTATTAAAATGCATAGAAATTTCTAAAAAACTTACAATACTGTTCGTACGTATTTTGACGACGTTGCTTCACGTCATTAACAAGTCAAGAGTAAAAATGACTGGTGGAAATATTTTAAGTAATCAATATCGATGGAAAAAGGTTTTTGTCCCTCTGAGTATAGTTCCAAAAGGTGAAATAACAACGAAAAGGTTACAAAAAAGTTTGGTGCGAATTGAATCAGTCTGTTGGTTGAACGAATGTCTTCGCAATTTATCGAGTTAATTAAACCACAGGTTTTTGCCTGCTACGTGGCTCTTAGGTCTGTTCAGACGAGAACGAAGAACAGTAACAGTTCTCTTTCTGACTGTTACACACCCGTTCTCCTTAACTGCTGGTTCATATTCCATGCCTGGCTATCGGTTTCTGAAAACAAGCGAATGAGGGCAAAAGAACGAAGAACGGTAGAGGTGCGTCGCTTGCCCGCTCTATAATCCACTAACTGAGAGCCTAGAATAGCCTAACATAAATCTGTAGGCGGAGGGAGGAGCCGGGCGCGCGTCAAATCCATTTTTGTTGGGGGACTATGCCGTAATTTTGAGAAACGGACAGAAGTGATTAGTTAATGTCACAAACTAAAATTTTCCTTTACAGCATAAATTTCACAAAATTATTTAAAAGATACAATCAGATCAATGTTTGAATATTCAATGGAGATTCTAACCCCTCAGAAAAAACTAACAGCTCATTTCCTGGTACAATTAAGCATAGCTACTTTGGTTTTTTTCTCAGCGCTGGAGCGGGCGGAATTCAACAAATCCTTTAGTTCAGTGAATAGGTTTGAGAGTACGGGCGACTTTTAACATTATGTTAGTAACTTTTAGAGGGCTCCTTCACATATGTGCGGGTAGAATTTCAACAAAAATAAAACGTGAAAGGTATTTACTGCTTTGTGGTCTTGTAATGGTTATCTCTGCGTCTTGAAAAGTTCTCGAACGTTTTCAGATAATTTTACAAGTTGTGGCAATATCTTCGACAATTTCCGGAGGTCGCCGGCATATTTTCGGAAATTTGGGAGGCATGAATCTTCAGCATTAAATAACCCACAGAAACGTTTTTAGGTTCAGATTTGTCAATGTATCCTTAATTGAGCTGGGGATAGAGTTTCCTCTTTAAGGGTACTTGTTCAATTTGAGAACCTGAAGGCGTCCATTTTAGCGACTGCCGTTTAATAGTGGGAACTATTGACCTGTTACCAGGAATGCTGCCCTTCTTGACGTAGCCTAATTTTTGAACACTCTCTTTTGAGGCCCTTCTGGTCATAAAGAATGACATCAATGACATCAGTCGATGTTCGAAGTATCTCGAGCTTCTCAAGCTTGTTTGTTCGGTACCCGGGGTGGACTGGGGTCTAACAAACTCCTCGTGTAACGCGAGACAGCCTGGGTACGAACGTTGTTTTCGGAGAAGAAGAAGGCGCCATTTTTGAATTGATTATCGGTGTTTCATCAATACTAAAAAGAATCCACGACAAAAGTTCCCTTGAGGACTATCTTCAAGAGCCAGTACAGAGTATACCCTGTAATGGAACGGAACTATTGGATACATGGAGGGGGAAAGAATTCTTAAGGCGCTTCTGAATGGTGAAACAGACGATCTCTTTGAAGATACCAAGGTTGGTCTTCGCCAGTTTCACAACGAGTTTTCTTTAAAAGCAAACTTTTGATAGTTTTAAAGTTTTATGCAGTTTAATCTATTTTGTGGATAATAACAACATTTTGACTGCATGGAATAATTATGTTTATGTTGTATGTTTTAAGAACTACCTCTCTCCATTACGATCACCCCGGAATGCCAAAAATGGCTGCAAGTTGGGCTGCAAAGTTGCAGAAGAATCTGTGTCAAAATACACATTGTTTTCAACCAAGTTTCTGAGATGTGCTATTGAGACCTTGAAAAAGGTCAAAACAAAAGGGAAACACCTTGATGAAATCACAAACTCCTTAAATTTAGGTAAGTGATGACTTCATAGTTAGTGTGCGGAGTTCTCAGTAAGTCTGTCTGTCAACAAGTTGGTAGCTAGCTTTGTGGAGTAGACGGCTGGCTGAAAATTTGAGAGCTCCTTCCTGGGGTCGCAAGGGGGTTGGGTGGGTGCTTCCCCACAAAATATCATTTTTGAAATATTATTTCTGAAATCTATTTTATGCATTCAGTTGAAGTTATATGCAAAGCAATATGGCTGTTAGCTGGCTAGCTGAGTAAACGTGTGCCATTAACATGTAGATATTGGAAGAGTGCTCAACAAGCAAAATAATGCAAAGGCAATAACTTTCTTGTAGAATGTAGAAATGGCTTTTCAGAACATTGTCTGTTCATGAAACTTTCTGTTACAGTGACTTGTTTTAATTTTTATTTCAGTTTTTTGTTCACCATTGACAAATATTATTTTATTAAAAGTGGGCAACTCAGAAATATAGTTAGCTGGCTTTTTAGTTGGCGGGTGGCACTTAATGAGAACCCTGATTGTATATGACCTTTTTTCCCTCCAAGCATCTGAATATAAAAAAAATAAATGGCCTGATATCAACTTTGCTAGGAAGACTCAAAATTTTGTTGTTTTCCTTTCCTCTAATAATCAAGCTCACAATTGATTGAATCTCTTACTCTAGTTCCAAGTTGTTTTAAAATGGGGGGGGAGATAACACCCCTGTAAAACCTCTAAAACACCTTACATCACTTTGGTGAAACCGCTGTTTTAACCTTAACTCTTTAACTCCCAAGATCTGCTTATTAAATTCTCCCCACCAGCTGGTATGCATTTCCTTCTTAGTTGGTTAGTGTTGAGTCAAGGTACATGTAACAACTTCTACATGTTAATTTGGAGTATTCTCATTACCTGCTTTCTGGATAATGTATGGATATTCTAGGGAGAAGTTACTTAACTTGTAAATCATTTCTGGGAGTTTAAGGGTTAATATGTACTAATGAACAACTTCCAACAACTTTTGAAAAAATAATAACTTTGTTTATGAAAGTTCATACATGTTGCTTATGAGAAGTAAAGTGACAAGCAAATTGATGACTGACTAACTCACAATTCTCTGCATTTTTGGTTTAGTGAGTACATTGCTCAGCGACACATTAGCTACTGAGAATGGTAAATACCTCAAGTTTATTCCTTCACTGGACCAACTTGGCAAGACGATATATTTGATTATTGTTCAACTTATATCTAAGTCACAGTTTGACAAGGCTTTTTGTCATGCTAGTGACTTGCTCAAGTTCATTCAAGTTGTTAAATTATGGAAAAACTATGACGGTGGAAAAATGGAGAAGGAGCTCTCTTCACTTGCTACTCGAACATCTGATGCTTTGCTTCAAGGAGCAGGAAAGTTAGAGGAAGTGAAGGTAACTGCAACAGAAAGAGCATCTCATTTGTGTGTTGTTTTGGACTGGAGAAGGTTGTCATTACTTTTCCAAGTAGAAGAGGTCACACATTCTTCATTGAAATCACTTGTGGATAAAACTTTGAAATGTGGAACAAAATATCAGCTTGACTGTGGGCAGAAGAATGTTGATTTTAAGTATCTGACAAATTTCTTCGAATCTGTTTTTAACAAGCTCATGGTGAAGTTTGGACAACTGATCATTGGTTGTTTAGACTCAATCTTGTTTGTAGCTGAACTAGGATTTCACTATGGCAGGAGTTGCAGCAAAGCTGGAATGTCAATGCAAGCCTTAGATGTTTTTGACAAACTCTTGGAAATTTCAAGAAATGTCATCCATACCAAGAATGGACACTCAAAGCTTCATACACCACATCAAATTTGTTGTTGCATTTGTTTCATTGGCAAGGCTACAATTTTGTTAAACTGCTCCTCAAATCCAACATCAGAAACTCTTGATTCTCTTGAAACAGTACTGTCAGAGGGAAGCAGACTACTTTCACAACTATTAAAATGCAAGGGTTTGTCATCATCAATGTTGAAAGTTGTTTCAGATTCCTTAGAGTATTTCAGAGTTACTTTACAAAATTATTCCACCAAAGAAACAAAAAAAGCAACACCCCTCTCATGGAGAATTTGTCAAGAGGCAATGCAGCTACTCAAGTTATATGGGACAATTCTTTCGCGTCATTGTGAACTCATCAAGAATGCTCTGCACAAAGCCAGTGGTGACAACTTGATTTTACAGTATACCCAACAGTTACAAAAGACCACAGCAAGACAACTGACCCTCTTGAACTTTGTAATTTCTTCTTATCAAGATCAGCTGAAAAGTGAAGAGAAGGCAAAAGTTTGTGACAGGAGTTCAAGGTTAGGAAATCCAAATATGTATCTATTAATTCATATAAAAACACCAGTGATGATGTATGTTTTGGTTCAGTTTTATCCTAGGTTCAAACTTTACTTTGTCTTAAGTGTATTAGCATACATTGTCATATCCAAAACAAAAGAAAATTAAGTTTGAACCAATGTTAAGATTGAATTGCAACAAATGTATTATCATTTTGATAATAAATTTGAGTGTAGTGAAGTGGATGATCTCCATTATCAGGTAGAACTCCTTAGCCTGTGAAAGAAAAGTATTCTACTGTACAGTTCGTTACCACAGTATGCAAGAGGTTAAGGGCAAAATACATGTTCAGTGCATGTTAATTGTTGCACAAAGTGCGGTTTTTGATACACAGTTTTCTTTTATTCACAGAATTTATATCCTAAGAGAATGTTTTACAGTTGCACAACAGGCAAACAAGGTTATTCAAAATGCTCTTGAAGATCCTGACATTCCTATGTCTCCAAATGAGCTGCGATGGCTAGGTAGCAGTGTCTACAATGTAGGCTGTGTGTCCTATAAAAGTGACTGTTTTGCTGAGGGAGTGCCATTGCTGGCTCTTGCTTGTGATGAGTTAAAAATCTGGAGCTTTGGGGCTGAAACAGAGGAGAAAATCGTTCTCCAAGCTGAAGAGGTACAGTCTGTTAAATTTGTTAAGTGTCATATTTGAAGTTTAATGAAATAATATTTCTGTTGAACTATAGTTTTATCCTCTGGATGAGGGTTTTCCTTGCATAAAATGTTACATTCAAGTACTGTTTCAACAACTGACTTTTGAGAGGCTGGTATTCTAAGCTAGAACAGGATCATTTAATACAATCAACAACTACCAGCACCTTACAAATGTTTTAATTACCATTAGATAAATACATGTAGAAGCAGTGAACAACATTGTTGGACCTACAAAACTGACCAATCAGAATTTTTTTGACACTGCATTGCACTTACAGGAAGAAATATGGTGTCACAAGGAAGTTATTATTTATTTGGATTGACAAGGGTCCTTTTTGTGACCATCCCTAACTATCCAATGAAATGATATGGTCATTTGTTACTCTCCTGTTCGAACTTGAAGGTGAACATTTAAGAGTTGTTGGTTCAGTGGACTCTGGAGTGAAAGTTCACTGGCAGGGTCATTGTGGCATGTTTGTGGTCAAGACACTTGACCCACTTTAACCAGTGCCTAGTTGTTCAAAAGGCAGAAAGAGATAAGCTAGGATTAAAAGTTTAACTTGTCCTTGATTTCCCTTGCTAGCTAAATCATACTTTGAACAACTCAGTTTTTAGTTAAACTGCTTTGTGGTGGAGGGTGGGGTAACCTTTTCATGAAACTGGTATTACTTCCAGAGGAATCACTAATATTACATAGTAATCAATTCATCGAATTACGGTCAAGTGGCCAACGGTTCATCTCGCCAACGCCAACTCGCCTACTTGTAAAATTGAGTAGAAACATTGGCAAGTTGGTCTTCGATCCTGCAGAACTTATTAGAAGTTAAACATATAGAAAAGCAAAAGATCTATAGTAAGCTGTACAAAAACAAGTTTTTTTTTCTTCCAACAAAGTTTATAAGGATCTCATTGCGAATAAAGCAAGATAAACATTGCCAATGACTATCAAAGCTTCAGACACAAACGAGTTATTGTGTGACAACAATACTTTAAGTCTCATCACATCAATCGGTCAGATTTTTTTTAGATTTTAGAAAACTTGGCTTTCTAGACAAGATCTTTAGTAAAAAACAAGTCTTTTTATTTCCAACAAAGTTTATAAGGATGGCAAGGCAAATAAAGCAAGGTGAACATTGTCAACGAACAAAAAAGATGCAAACGAGTTCTTGTGACCTCCCTATAAACTTTGTTGGAAATAAAAAGAAGTTTTTTTTACTTTTAAGATCTTAAAAGATCTTGTCTAGAAAGCCAATTTTTCTGAAAAAAAATCTGAGCAATTGACATGATGAGTCTTTACAATGTTGTTGTCACGCGATAACTCATTTGCATCTGAAGCTTTTATAGTCATTGGCAATGTTTACCTTGCTTTATTCACAATGGGATCCTTATAAACTTTGTTGGAAGAAAAAAATAGTTTTTTACTAAAGATCTTTTACTTTTCTATATGTTTAACTTCTAATAAGTTGTACTGGATTGAAGACCAACTTGTCCACGTTTCTACTCAATTTTACACATCGGCGAGTTGGCATTGGCAAGTTGATCCATCAGCGACTTGACTGGATACCAATTCATGATTCTGAAACTGGAATAAGCTGTGACAAAATTGGCCAAGTTGGAAGTGTTTGAAAGGCAATGTTTGAAAATGATCTTCAGGTGAAGCTGCTCACAAAGTATGCCTTACTGGTTGACTGTCAAAGAAGAGCTGGAGGAATCAGGGATGCACTAAAGACTGCTACAACTCTGGTCCTGATAGCACTGAAAACAACCCCTGATGCCCACATCATAAAACAGCAAGTCAAACTGTGGGCCTCAGTGAAACATGAGCTGACAAAGAATCTTCAGAATGGAGAAAAACTGTTTGAAAGATCCAGGTTTGTAAAACAGTTCAAAAGAAATATCACATAAATTTTTATTTTTTTATGTGGATTAATTTGAAAGCTTGTTTGTTATAAGCTGATCTCATATCATACTGTGTAAACAAAGTTAAGATAGTGCAAAAAGGATCACATGCATGCATGTTGATTTCATAATCACTCAGAATGCACTTCCTGAAATTATTATGACATAACCATGGAAATGTAAGAGATTTTTCTTCTCATTTCTCAAAAATCCCAGTTTATTGCAGGGTCAAGGCTTCCCAGGGATTGGACAAATTATAAGATGGAAGAAAAATGGGGGCCTTCTCCTTATAGTTTTTATTGTTGACTCTGGAGATAAAAGTTGTAGTGATCGTTTAAGTTTAAATGATATTATAACAGCATAGAACAATGGTAAGAATCAATAAAAGAGGAGACAGTCTAAAGAAATTTGTTGGTTCCTCTTTTCTTCCCAGAACCCTGTGCAGTGCATTTGCAGAGCAAGAAGATGCAGAAGATGTTGAAGGAAGCCAGCTTTGTTTTGTTTTACAGGAAGAGCTTGCTTGTTACAAGACAAAAAGGTAACAACAGGAGCTTCTAACAAGATTTTCATTTGAATCCTGACATTTCACCTAATGCTTTCTTTTATAAGTGAAGTACCTGCCCAAAGGTTTAATTTGCCCTTAACTTTTTTCAGCTATGACACAGCAGTAGAGCAAATTGCAGTCATCAAACAGATAATGGAGCTGTACCTTGTTCAAGAAGATGAATTCCACCATGCGTCAACTATGTTAGAACTTGCTATAGCTTTGCATAGCCTAGTAGATGTAGAGCTTGAAGAAGAGAAGTAAGTGTTTTATCCTGGAAGATTAATAGTTTCATGCATTAAAGGCCTATAGTGCTGTTGGACAGGATGGCAAAATTATTGATTGCATGTAAAACATGATTGCATGTAAAAAAAAAATTGCAAAAGGAAGGAAGATTTGGTTACAGTTAAACCTGTGTCAGGCAGGTACCTTGTATTAAGTGGACTCTACTGACCCATGCCTGAATTTTTTTCTCCCATATACATGTTGTGGTTCAATTTTATCCTTGGTTCAAATTTTCTTTTCCTTTGTTTTTGGGTATTGTATTGTATGATAATGAGTTTGAAACAAAGGAAAATAAATTTTGAACTAAGGATAGAATTGAACCACAACATACACACATATATTTTGAAACAATCATTTACTCAGCTGATACCTCTTCAAGTGGACATGAACATCAAATTTAAACCCTTTTCAGTTTAATCCTTTCTCAGTACATAAAACCTGCTTCAATTGGGAACCACTTTTAGAAATTTGAGTCACATTTTCTTAAAGTTTTACTTTTAATGGTTTCTACTAGTAATTGAGTGTTATTCCTACCCAAAATGGTCAGATTCTAAAGGTTGGGGTGTAACCCTTTACCTCTTAAGAATGACTGGGATCTACATGTCATTTCTCTTTATAGCATCATGCACTGCTCAATCAAACATTAAGGTCATGAGAATAAAGAAAATAATTCAGCAAACTAAAGAAGCTCATGATTTACAAGCAAACTTCTCTTGTCAGTATACTATAGGAAATGTATAAGGAGCAGTTTGGAAACATAGATGATGTATACTAGTAATTTGTACCCACAGTCATTTCATACCCATAGTCATTTTGTACCTATGGTTGTTTCATAACCACAGTCGTTTCATATTCATGGTTGTTTTGTACCCACAGTCATTTTGTACCCATATTAGTTGTTTTGTACCCAGTTTGAGCCAGTTTGTACCCAAATGGCTGGTTCTGGTTGGCAAACTTCTCTTGTCAGTATACTATAGGAAATGTATAAGGAGCAGTTTGGAAACATAGATGATGTATACTAGTAATTTGTACCCACGGTCATTTCATACTCATGGTCATTTTGTACCTATGGTTGTTTCATATCCACGGTTGTTTTGTTCTCATGGTTGTTTTGTATCCAGTCATTTCATACCCAAATTCAGTCAATTTGTACCCAGTTTAAGCCAGTTTGTACCCAAATGGCTGGTTCATTCCTACCTGTCTCAATATACATTCCTTCAAAATACCTCACACGCAAGCACATGAACAGATGTTGATTATGTGTATGACAAATTAGTAGAGCCAAGCAATCAAGATCTGAGCAAAGTTCTTTTGCGTATACTTGCAACCTTGTTAGCACAAGATAAGTGTGATATTTTTAATGAACCAGTCTATTGTTTACACTTTTGACTTTCTTGACAATAAAAGTTAGTGGAAGGGCGATATTTTGTCCCCTTAGTTATTAGCAGTTATAGATTTGTTTATTTGTTTATTCTATTCTTTCTATAAATGCTTAACATGGAAAAGATACTATTTTTGTATGGGTACAAAAGGACTCAACTGACTGGGTACAAATCAACAGAACTGGGTACAAAACAACTGTGAGTACAAACTGACTGGTATCAATTAACACTGTAGGTTGATGTTTTAACTATTGTTGCACAACTTACTGAACCCTTATTAAGCAGACACTAACAAGAGTTCTGCCAGAGCCTGCCTAATACATAACTCACTGCATCTTTCTTTCTTCAGATCTGCACTTGAGTACTGTCAAGAGGCTGGGGAGATTCTAGAGCAGTTATTGGACTCAGAAGGCTGCAAAGATGAGGAGAGAAACTTGCAGTCATGTCTGCTGGATAGACTTGGTGCTGTCTATTTATGGCAGGCTTTGTTTGAGCACAAAGATGCCATGAATGACAGAGCAACTTCAGCAATGCAAGAGCTCAGCGACAGTTATGAAGCCGAAGAGGTACACCAGTCTTGATAAGATCTGAAAGATTAATTTCTCAGAACCAATGACAATGTGTTTCTCTGTTAGCTAGTACTGAGAATTTACAGTTACCTCCCAAAGCCTTATTAAGTAACCCTTTTGATAGTTTTTTTTGGCCCCACAGCTCAACAGGCTTAGAGTGTAAAAATACAGAGTTAATATGAAACTAACTTAAGCATACAAATCTATTTTTTCTTTCTTCTCTTTTTGCAGTACCTCTCTGGAAACAATTAGTTATAAATAAAAATAAAAATAAAACGATATTGTTAGCTTACATCCTTACTAAGTGTGACTTATATTAGAGAGGCACTGGTGAAAGTTAAAGGTTAAGTCCATACCTGTGTGAATTGATCCAGCCAGGAGTGTTGCCACTAACCCTGGCTGGGGTACTTTTCCATCATGGGTTACCCCTCTGTCCCGAGCATTTAGTGAGGCTCCCCTGACAGTTTGCCAGTACCCATCTTTACTTCTGGCTGGGGAGAGTCATTGTTAGAATAAAGCATCTTACCCAAGAACACATTTTGATGACCTACCCAGGTCTTGAAACTTGACATCTTGAGGTCATATTAGCTGTTAGTCCACTGTGCCTTCAACTAAGGGAGGCACTGGGGCAAGATTTTGATTTCAGTTATCTTGAAGTTGAGAGTGTTACTTCAATGTGTAAACCAGAATTGGACTGATTTTACATTGTTCCTTTTTATTAACAAATTTGCAGGAACAAATTGTTTTCTTTGATAAAATGTCATGTGCCTGTCCTAATATGAACATGAATTTTGTTATCAGTTTTTTTTTTCTAACCACAGTATACATGTACATGACTTGTGTGAACCATGCCGAAGGGAAGGGGGTTGTGACATTGGACCTCAGGTGCATCCCTAAAAGTATCTCATTCCCTGAAAGTATCAGACTGTTAAATAAAACTTTGGTGCTACATTTCAGATAGAAGATATTTGCCTGGAGCAACCATTTATGGCATCACTTCATGCAGCTTTGGAAACATGGACAGCACTAAGAACCAAATCACTGCAACAAGACCCTAGTGGAAAGGTAAATGTTTCCTGGTGAAAGCATTTTGGGACAATGTATACTTTTTGATTTTTGACTTTTTATGATGTGAGATTTCTTTCTTTGAAACTGAGTGAACTTATAATATTCCAAGAACAGTTTTCTTTTGTGAGAAATTTGTCATGAGAACTAAATACACAACTGATCAGCTTTTAATACTTTTAGAGGTTTCACCATTGGTACTTAAACACTGTGAAAGATGTGTCATTAAAGATTTATAGGATTGAAAATTTTAACACTGTATTAGCAGTAAGTCTGTACCCTGTACCCCAAGCCAAGTGGCCCATCTTGTCAGAGTTTATCTGGGTATCCATAGCACGATGCAAGTAGGAATATTACTATCCCTCTCCCCCAGGTGGGATGCCAGTCCAATCACAAGGTCACAACCCCCACCCCCCCAGTATTTCATCAGGCTTCCCTTGACAGTTTGCCACCACCCATCAATACTCCTGAGTCAAAAGAGGTGTTGTGAAAGTGCAGTGTTTTGCCCATGAACACAACACAAAGACACAACCAGGTCTCAAACCCAGACCTCGTGACTGTAACTCCAGAGCACTAATCATTGGGGCATTGCATCCCCCACTGTAGATCATACATTTATTCTTGGATTAATGTTAGCCTCGTTGATTTTTTATGTTTCAGGTTAACCTGGACCATTTTATTAATCCTGAGGAGACGTATCATTACTTGCTTATCACAGCAGAAATGTTTGGGCTTTTAAAACAGGTGAAACTTGCTACATACTTTCATAGGTGACAATTTGGATTTCTCACAGGCAATGACTGTTCATGCAGTGCTGTCATAACATTATGACCATGGCAATAGGAATGTTTAAAAAAAATTTCAGTGCAAGGAATGACAACAGTGTGAAGAGATTTTTATATATGATGGAAAAGTCTATCATTCAAAGGATTTTCTCCATTCAGGTCTTTTTTATTTTGTAAAATTAAAATGTTTTTTCAAGTCCTTCACTTTGTTATCAGTGGTGTAATGAATGATTCAGCTCCTGTGTCGGTAGGGGTTATAACAAGATAGTGTGGTTTTATCAGCTGGGTTGATAATATACACTCAGTGTATGTTCCTGAGGGAAACAGTTAGTTTTGTTTTCCCAAGAGTCCTGATGTTCCGCAAGACAAAGCTGAGGGAAAACAAAACTAGCTAGGGTTAACTTTCCTAAGGGACCATTAATTAAGTGCTTTGTCATATATTTAGACTTTCCCTTAAACAATCATATGGCAAAAACAAACAAACAAAGACACTGATCACGTGCTGTTGTATTTGGCATGCGGGCAACAACTGCACAATTGTATCCTGTTCAGGATACATTTGAATTCGATCAGGGGCATGTGACCAAGAATCAACCAATCACAGTGTTCATTTTGTTGAGTGAAAGTTGAGGTATATAACAATATTAACTGGCCACTGAAAAGAGTTTTTAAAGCTGATGTTAGGTTAGCTCTTCATCAGAGCTAATAATGAAGGGCTAATACTTGAAACATCAGCTTTAGAAACTCTTTTTGGTGGCAAATTTACATGAACATAATCAACTCAGCTGATGAAACCAATTTATGTAAAGTAACCCCCACAGTTACTCATTAGAAACTTTCCCCTTTTATTCTTTTAACGAATGAATTGTTTCCTCGCAGCCCCTCAAAAAGGTTGGTGCTCTGTACATGGCTGCCAGTATAGCCCAATCATTTGGTACCAAAGATATGCTGGATAATGGATTGTGTGCCCTAAGTGATGCTGTTCACTTGTTGTGTGACATGCTGGACGTGTCACATGCTTCACTTATTCTGTCTCATGCCACCAACCTGGTGAATAGATTTGAGCCATGCAGTACATCATGGGTTCAGTTCTTGTTGGCCAAGAGTCACTATTTGCTGGTCACAGGAAAGGTATGAATAATCAAAATCATTAATATATAGATTTAGGCAAGCCTAAAAGCAGAACTTGCATTTTTTTTCCTGCACGTCTCTTCAACAAAACTAAAGCCCCTACTATAGATAAAATGCATGGTAATATTAATGGATTTTCATTCACAACCTCTCCATGTCCGTGTAAAGGAATGATTATAAGATAGTGCCCATGATGTTAGTTTGGAGGTCGGTCGTACAGTCCAATTTTTTCAGCTTGTGGTTCCTTTTTTTATAATTATGGGGCTTCCTAATGAATATTTTTCTCTATTCTTTTTATGATGTCAGTTTGTTGGTGTTCATATAATATTCCCTAATTATTTTTTGTTATTATCAGTCTGATAATTTTCATTGTGTTGTAAGGACAATCCTGTCTTGGTCACACTCAATCATGCAGACATATGGTACACTTGCTATTGCTAGGTGCCAAATAACTTGGAATTACTTTAAGCAGGGAGACTATGAACCAGCTAGTCTCCGAGATCAAATTGTAGTATATAGTGTAAGTGGGCCCCTTTAGATTCTCCCATCTCACTCGGAAAAAATAAATAGCTATTTTCAGACAGGTGATTGCTTAGCTTGCTACATGTGTGTTGCTCATGATTTTAACAGATTAATGTTTAGTTTTCAGAAGGAGAGGACTCTCTAAAAGAAGCATCAGAGAGTGAAGTCTTTACACACAAGAGCTACAAGTCACACCTGTTGAAAGCTAGATGGCAATCAATTTGCTGTAAATATGCAATGTTCCCACCTACAGTCCATGAATTTAAGATAGTTGTTGGTACGTTCACTTTTTGTCTTTGGAAATACATCTTTCCAACAGCTAGGTCTGCTTTCTCTACAATTATTTAGTAACTTTTCATAATGGGAATGGGTGAACATTCCATCAGGTGGCTCTTCTTGTCCACTGATTCCAGGTCAAATTGGATTTCAATGTTGGTTTTTGGAGGACCCTGTAGAAAGACCTGTAGAGTGAGGACAAGAACCGATAACAAACTCAACCCACATGCGACACAAGGTCCCGGAATTGAACCTATGGGAGGAAAGGGCTCTTACCACTGCCAACCCCACCTTCCCAATTGATATTTATTTTTCATGCTGGAACTGTTACCTAGTGACCTGCTTTAAACATTTAGGCAGACTTAATACCAACAAAACAGTCTGTTCAACCAGCTAATGTTTTGGTACTAATTAACCACTCAATCAATTGATCAGTTTATCAGTCATTACCAACAGTTAATTTGTTCTTAATTATTATCATTTTTAGATCCTCTGCTTGGTTCACTGACTCCTCTGGAATGGGCCATAGATGAGCTTCATAAGCTAACACAAATGGCTGAAGAGATCTTTGGTTTGGATGTGTTTTGTACTGGCAAACAGATGCAAAAACAAGAGGAAAATTTGTCAGGTAAGGAAATTGGAAAATTTTTGTTTCCGTTCTTGACACAACTCTGGAGAGCAATGTTTTGCAAGGTAGTACCCCTGATTTCTAAGAGCTTCCACTAAGGACAATGTGTCCTGACAATCAGCATGATATGCTTAAGTCATGTGGTGAGCAATACCATAGTACCCCTGCAAGCAATACTGTAGTACCCCTGATTTCTAAGAGCTTCCACTAGGGACAATGTGTCCTGACAATCAGGATGATATGCTTAAATCATGTGATAAGCAATACCGTGCAGTCCTACTTTAGGCTTTGGGATAGAGTCATGGTTGTAATTGGATTAGTTAAAATCCTACTTTAAATAATGGGGAGAGTGCAATCAAACTGGCCCTGAAACATAAGAAGTTTTCATCTTTTTTATCATTGAACTTTTTAATGCATATTTTGGCATCTATTCTTTTTTGTCTGTGAAGATTTGCTAGCCAAGTCAGAGGGTTCTGGCCAAACCCTTTTTAGATTGTCTATCCTAAATGACTTGCTGTCAGCCCTATTACAAGTTGGTCAGCTGTATGCTCATCAGGGAGCTGTGAGGGAAGCATTGAGGCAATTTGTGGATGGAATTACACTGGCAAGGCAATTTTGCCTGCCATACAGGTAAACTATTCGTGTTTAGTAAAAGTTCTGTTTAACTTTTGGACCCTCACCAAAACAAAATGTCAGTGAGCTTTAAAAAAATAATAATAAAGTTAGATATTAGGCCAATCATAAAATTTAGATTGAAGAATGTTGTAAGAGCTCTAAATTTCAAAACTTTTTGGAACAGAGGGGCATTAGTATGAAAACTACTACAGTAAAAAGTGTGTTTTGTTTATATTGTAACTTACATATTTCACATATATTTTGATTGGTTCTTACCTGTGATCTGTTGAAGGATAGACACATAGATGATGTCACCTTAACAATATTTTTCTTTTTTTATCATACAAACAACTAGATACTATGTTACCTTAGGTCTGTTCAGTAATAGATCACACAATGTCTAAATGTGTTAAACATCAGTGACACACTCAGCTGCACCTCATGAGCCACTTCTGTGATCTTGCCATATATTGATGTAATGTGTGATCTACACTTATAACTGAACAGAAGCACAGCAACGCACCAACTGTAGAATTTATTTGTGAACCAGATTGAAACTTGATTGTAACCTTGAGAATTTGTTCTTATTGTCCATAATTTCTTGTTTGTTTGAGTGCATTATTACTTTGAGACTAGAAAAAAGGTGAAGGAGTTCAGTTTGAGATTTGAATGTTCTAAAATCAGATCTTTGCAATTTTTAGGACTATGGAATTCCTTATCAATGTTGCACAGCTTGAAGTGATGCAAGGCAAGACAGAAAAGAGCCAATATAGGGTTGATCAGGTGCAGAGAATCCTTCAACCAACTATGAAATCTGAAAGCAAGTCTAACCTCTCTGAATGTTGTGTTCAAGAACCACTGTTCACAGAACATCCACAAACATGTGAATGTGTTGGTTGCCTTGATCCTGTACTGCATGTTATCTTTGTGGAGTACTTGATGAGTCTTTCCAACCACCTTGCACTTACCTCAAGACCTGAACAATCATTGCTAGCCTTGGATGTGGCCAACTTAGTTTGTGAAACTGCTATGTATAAAATAAAACATGCTTTAAAAAGACTTGATACTGTTGTGTATCCTTTGGAAACCAATGATGAAAGTTCAAAGGGAACAAAGAAAAGAAAAGGAGCCAATTCTGGAAGAAGGAGAAAACAGAAGAAGGATGCAGTGGCAACAGAATGCTCTATTTCGCAGTCCATGTTCAGTCAGCATCAAGTTACTTTGCATTGCATGAATGCCAAGACCTTACTTCAGAATGGAAACCTTACAAAAGCCAATCTTGTGTTATCAGAAGCAATGGTGCTATTACACTATTTAGAAAATGTTAATCAGAGCATCCCAGCTCACTTGCTACATCATAAAGCCATTTTACTACACTTACAGGGAGTAGCAGTATTGCTTGGAAACAGGAATTTGGCCAGTGAAGTTTCTGTAGATCGTAACTGGTTTTATAAGACTCAGATGAACACCACATCTTGTGGAAATACAGAAGAAAATCCTATTGTTGTCGTGGATGATGAAGAACCTGAGCTTGAAATGCCAAGAAAGGTTTCAAATAGAAAAACCAGGACTTCTAAAGCTGTGGAAAAAACTTCTACTTTGGATAATGGGAGGAAGAAATCTTCAAGAGCAAAGGGCAGGGGAAAGAGCAAAAAAGTAGCAGAGGAGCATTTAGAATGTGAGAAATCTGATGCAAATGCTGAACAAAAGCCAAAGCAACAAACTAGGAAACCATCTAAAGCTATTTGTAGTGATGTGGGTGATCATATCCAAGGTATAGATCATTGTTTCCCAACTCTCATTCCATAACACACCAGTATCCTCTCTAGACATAGGATCTTTCAAGATGGTCCCACCACAATTTTGTGAAAAATCATACCACCTAAAAATCTCAGCACTTAATAGGACTAGCGCATCTGAATTAGACACAAATCAGCTGCAAATTATTCAAGTTGTTGATTTTGTTTTGACATTTCTCTCTTTCCTTCCCTACCCAGTATCTGGCAAACAGCTAGATCAAGCCATCCAATACTTCAGTGAAGCATTCAATCTCTGTCAAGCGTGTCCTCCTCCTGCCCTGTTCTCTGACATCTGTCAGGGATTAGCCTTCTGCCTTGGAAGATCAGCACCTGAACTTGCAACATACTACTTGAACTTGTCCATGTCTGTTACTCTCAGACATCAAGCTGTTACCAGAACAGGAAAGAGAATAAAGTAAGACCTTACTATAAATTATTTATTGAGCATTAAATGACATTGAAATTAAATGGTGTAAATTGTTTTTGTTTTATTTGGCTGATATGAGTTCAACATTGAATTTGTTGAATTGGTAATTAAAAGTTACCACATCCAAATCAGCAAAATGGTTATTTTTCAATTTTTTTCCAGAAATTACAGCAAATATGTCAGAAATGAGTGATACTTACCATGTTTGAATAAGCAAGTGTGTAAAAACTTTCATTTCAACCTGTTGTGCCCTTCATATCCTCACCATGGTATAGATGCCAAAGAGTAGTTGTTTAGCATAATTTGGAACTAGGTTGTAGAACACTCACCCACACTACAAAGAGAATGGCAAGGTTTACCAACTTTTTGTTGATTTAAGTTGTAGTTCAACTCAAATTTATTGATTATGACCTCACTGACTAGTGTTCAGGGGTGTATTGTGATTGAATCCACTGTGATTTTGTTATTTCAGGAGATTAGCAAAGGATTTTTCTCAACCTTTGCCAGTAAGTACTTGTAACTACTCTGATGCACTTGGTAGATTTCTATTTGTTATGTATATCCTCTCAGCTATTATTAAATCTCAGTGGCCAAAAGGCACATCAAAGTTTGTCTGTTCCTCTGGATGGGATGCCAAAACAGGGAACTAGAACATGGGATGCCAGAACAGGGAACTAGATAAATCTACAAATAGATTTCTCTTTGTTTCCTTATTTCCTTTTTGTCTGCTAGGAGAATGAAAGAGATCTAGTGCAGCTTGCAGAACATCTTTCTTCCCTATCACTTGATGACTCTTCAACTGATAATACTCACCATAAACTGGCAGCTCTGGTAAAGACTCGAAATATCATGAAGTTTTCTTTGTGTGCAAATGAAAGAGGAAAACTATGTCTATTTACTCCAGAAGAAATTTCCCTTTTGCAGAACATGCCTAAAGGTACATTAAAATTAGTTTATAAGAGATAGATAGCTTTCAGTTGTGTTATGCAGTCAAACCAGCATTAAATAAAGTGTTTAAGAGTTCAACTTCCTCAGGACTGGCTTGTATGACAGTATGACTTTAATAACATGAAAATATATTCTTCCTGTGAACTGTGATAATTATTTATATGAGATGATTTGAGTTCTTTACACAAAGTTACATCGTTAAAAACATTTTGATGCCAGAACACCACACTAAAACTCTAGCCAATTCTTCTGCTTGTGTCACATATATAATTGCATTTTTCCTGATCTGACATTTCTTTAACAATTAGAACTGAACCTTAATATATAATTTTAAGCAAATAATGAATTAGGTAATAATCCTGTATTGTGATATTAGTGAGGAAGGAAATTAAATTATTGTTTTCTAGAGTGGACTGTTTGCACTTTGGAAACCTTCACACATCCAGTGAGCAAGGACAGAGAACTGCTGATCAGCAGGATGAGGGCTGGCTGTGATCCTGCTGTGGTTAAGATTAACACAACATCTGGAGAGGAACAGAGCAAGGATTGCATTGTATGTCACTTTGTTTGTAACAACTTGATTTTATTACAATTACTCTGTTAGATTCACTTAGGGAGAGTGGAGATTCTATCCCTAAGTTGGAAGAGGTAGTAGCTTACCATCAGTGGTGATTCTGTAATAAAAGATCTGAGTGTAAGCTTTGTCTAAGGCCACTGCAATGAGTTATTGGGTAAAATACTAATTAAACTCTTGTACCTCTTTATGTAGAAGATAAGTATGAATACGTGTAGCTTGATTAAGCAAACTATCTGGGATATCTGACATAGCCTGAGCTTACCAGATGAATTCTTATTTAACCTCTAGAAAGTCTGTAAGTAATGATAATGAACATAACCAGACTTACCAGTATGTTCTTTTGGCAATGCAATTTAACTTAATTAACAATTGACTGAAAATTTTTTTTTGGTAAAGGGAGATGAAGTTGTTATGGATCTTTCAAAACTGTTCCAGTCTGGTGTATTGGAGGAGTTTGCAGACATAATGAGTGACAGCATCAAAAGTATGAACATTAACAACACAGCAGAGTGGTGGGCACTGAGGACAAGGCTTGACAGGAGAATGAAGGTGACCAGACTTAAACTCCCACAAGTGATGAATGTGTATCTTCTCCTAACAGGATCAGTACAGTATACAGGAATAAGGAGAAGAGAAAAGGCAGATTCATCAATAACATAGTGTTATCTTGATATATCTCCAAATTTGAGGGAAAAATTTCAGAAAGAAATGTTTAAAGCTGAAAGGGAGATTAAGTAAAAATCAGATTTTTGTTACAGTGTTTAAATTGGTAGAGTTAAATTATTTTGCTGGGGATGAGCAAAGTGCCTTTCTGCTGGTTTTGAACTTGCCTTAGTCAAAGACTTTCAAGTATTTGATGGGCCAAATTTGTTAAATTTTTCTATAATCTATCTCAGAGCATTTTGACACATTATTTTTCTGGTCACATGGCCTGGTATTTCCATGGATAACAAAGTTGATAGATTGATATTTCCTAATGTGGCCCATTTTACGTCCACATTTGATGTTCATAGGAGTTATTGCCAGTACTTCATCTTTTGATAATGGCTTTTCAATTGATTCTGGCAGCCAAAACAAAAATAATCACAGTGGTCAATGAGAACTCTGCAACTGGAATCCAAATGAAGTTTCCAAGAGGCAATAAGAACTTTAAGTGAAAACATGTGGAGTGTTGGAAATGTCAGAAGACACAGTTAAATGACCAGGTCACAATTTGTTTTACTTCTGCATCCAATTGATGGAAAGTTTGGTTAGAGATTTAAAGACCAATCTCAGTATGTAGTAAAGTATATCTAGAGTTATCTAGATTTATTTGTGAAAATAAAACAAGTTCCTCTGTTGTAACCTATTACCATAATCATCAGTGCATGGATATCACATAGTTAAAAAAGAAATTTGTGATTTTTCTGATCATTTCTTTAGAACCTTTTGGAGAAGATTGAAGGTTCTTGGCTTGGGAGATGGAGAGGAGTTCTTCTTGGTCAGCCTGTCAGTCAGGAACATCATGAATCAGTAGCATCCCTAGCTAGAGAGTTGGAAGAGAAGATATTAGTCATGTGTGGATACCGACCCGATTATCATTTGCTTGAGGTATGACATGCATGAATTGATCAGAGTTTCTTATGTTCCAAGAAAGGCAGATTGAATGATAAATGTTTTGTCTGTTGATCTTTGTTACTATTTATAAATCATCTTCTTAAGTGCATGATCTGGAAATGATGATTGAAGCAGCTAGCAAAACCTTGCATTGTAACTGAAAGGGAACCAGGGATGGTGCATTCGTGAGAGTACTTGCCTCCCACCACTGTGGCCACATGTGGGTTGAGTTTGTTTTTGGTTTGTGGCTTTGCTCTAAGGGTTTTTTGTCTGGGTCATCAGGTTTTCCTCCCTCCACAAAAACTAACATTTCAAATTCCAATTTGACCTGGAACATGTGGACAAGAAGAGCCACTTTGTGGAATGTCCACAGTTGTATCTAATTATTATCATTATCATTATCATTATCATTATCATTATCATTATCATTATCATTATCATTATTGTTATTGTTATCATTATTATTATTATTATCATTAAGTGTTCTTTGTTTGTTTCAGGTCCTCATAGATTCATCATTCTGCTTGTCAAGAAAAGAAATTGCTGAAGCACTGATTGAAATTACTGGCATGGATGCAACCTTACCATCCTTTGAAAAAGTAAAAACAAAACTTTTCATGCAAGAGAAGAATTCCTCAATGTCAGCTTTAGCAATGCTTGATGTAAACCAATTGCAATTTGGTCTAACCTTCTTCCTAGACATAGCATCCCTCAGCTGTTGGGATTGTTTTTGTTTTGATTATTTGGTGTGCATTAAAATTTCACCATATTAGTTTGTCGTGGTGGATTACCTGACAGGAGAATGTGTTTGGTCTTAGCAGCTAGATGGTGTTGTTCCTCAGCCTTGCCCCTTAAATTAATCATCTCTCATTTCATGATCTCTCACATTGTGTATTTCAGCTACTTGATGAAGTTGAGAACCTCACTGGCAAGCTATTTGAAGACAGAGACAAGAAGAGCAGCATAAACAGGTTTGGGGGAACATCAAGATTGATCTTCTTTCCTACCTTCCATTGCTTCTACTCTTGAAAATTATTGATGATGACAAAAATTTCTTCTCAGGTCTGGTGATCACTCTGCTGAGAACATTGCCCGCCATCCCGTTATCCTCATTCTTGGGAAAGTAAGAGCCAGCTTTTTTGGTCTGATATTCATTTAGTAATCAGCTATAAACATGTTCTATAACTCTGGCTCTAAAGACCTGACGAATGTAGAGCCAACATGTAAGTTCTTTGTTAGTGGGTGTTGGTGGACTGTCAAAGAATCAAAGCTCAGCCAAATGCTGAGGTGGGGGGGGGGGGGGGTATCTGTAATGGACTGGCATTACATGATAGGGAAGTAGTGATACTCTTAGTTAAGAAAGTTTGAGCTCCATATTCAGCTGTTTGGAAAATGATGGTCATACATGGTCACATGCAATGTCAGTGTAATGGGTATTGTTTGTTCAACATTATTTTTGTTTAATAAAATTCAAGGTATTCTGACACAAAGGTAAATCTATGGGCATGCATACACATGCTACCATTGTAAAATGTATGGTTAAATTGTGGTAGCAAATATTACATATCAATTCACTCAGTATTGTTACAAGATGGCAATATATGAGCCAGAAATGATGAACCAGAGTCAGTTTATGGCAATTGTATGAATCAAACTGACATCTTTTATGATTTATAGGAAATTCAGCATCTTCCTTGGGAAAGTATACCCATGCTGTTTGACCAACCTGTGACTAGGGTTCCATCTCTGCAGTATCTTTTGTCCAAGGTACACATTCCATTAAACCATTAAAAGTTTGAAAACCTGACTTGTTTCTCAAGAACTGTCCTGTTTTCTCCCAAAACCATATTGATTTTTGTCTTGGCTATGAAGTATGTTTGAAGACAGGTCGATGATGCCCATTTTGAGATTCCAAAGAGTAACCTAACCTTTTGAGAATTGTCTTCAAATGTACAAAATTTGGACTATAGATTCTGGGAATTTGATATTGCTTGGTAACCCAGCTGCTTACATGTGATTCAATAGACATTAGCTCACTATGGCTGCACTGATTTTACACTCACCAGAACTGGAGGGTGAGAAAAATGGAAAAATAAAGACCAATGACTATAGTAGTAGTTTTTTTAAACACTTTACGTCAATTGTCATTTGTTTTGAACTGTGGGACATCATGTGCAGCTTGACAATATTGAGTTGTTTTCAAAATGGCAACATCTGTATACTTTTTTCTTCTTTTTTGCACATTTGGAGACAAATTTCAAAAAAATTTGCAATACTCTTTGGAGTCTCAAAATACAAAGTATTAAGTTTTTCAAGATCCTTTTCAATGGCAGAGACAAAACTATATGGTCTGATTATTTAAACAAAGTTTAATGGTTGTTTAACAAAACCATCTTGTAAACAATCCTCAATTTAGTTGAACCTTTTTTTCTGATCACTTTTTTTTGGGTGTCAGGAGAACCCAAAGCTAGAAGTGGAAGGACATCTATTTAATTCTATTAATCCTCTTAAAGAGAAAGCCTGAAGCCCACTGGTTGTGTAAAACCATGGTTTGGGTTTGACCTTATGTAAATAACTGGCCCTATGGTTTCTGGAGCAAGGTTGTCCCTTAAAATAATGATTTCATAATTTCATTAGCATTTTTCTTTTTCTTTTTTTTATAGCATACATTTTGTTACACATCACAAAATGTATGTTATTTTGTTATCTATTAGCCAAGGTAAGCAAAAGGGAAAATTGCCAGTTGATTGAATGGGTTGAAGCTCTCTTTAAGATGTGGTTGCCTGTCACAACAGTTTATGTGCCAGATTGTTAGTTTTTTAATACCATGATGTTCAGTATCAATAAATAATTTTTTTTGCATTTTTCTTGATAGTTATCTTGTCAGAGACAGTTGCCAGAGATTAATCCTGAGAAAACATTCTATGCACTCAATCCTCAGAATAACCTGCCTAACACTCAGAAAATGTTTCAGAAGTGGTTTGAAAGGTATGAAACACAAGTAAACAAACCAAAATGAAACAGAAGAAAGACCTGATATTGCTTTTCTTGTACATTAAACTAGGTTATACAAGTTGATAGAGGTTACTCAGTAAATAAACCCCTTCAGGCAGCAGGTATTGTGGCTGATGTCTGCAGTTGAAATATTGTGCAAAAAATGAAAATTTGGACTGGAAGCAAAGCTTTGAGGGCAAATGTGAAATGTTGAGGGCAATCTGTCAGCAAAGGAAATTATCTGCGGACATCCCAGTAAGCTAGAAGAAGGTGTATAACCTTCCCTTTAATTTTCATACCACTGGAATCTACAAAAGGAGTCCATTTTTCTTCCATCTGAAGTAATTCAGATGAAAAGGGAAACTTGTGAGCTAGCTTTTTTCTGCTGGGTTTGTTTCTTTTTTACAGAAATAATTGGAGGACAAATATTAACATAAAGGGGTTATTGCATGATAACTGTCCAATGATTTGCACTATGTGACATAGGGTAGCATCTAAAATAGTGTCAAAATTAATCATTAATTATTATCATTAATTAAATACACTAAAAATAATTGTTGTGGTTTGCAGTGAGGATGGATGGCAGGGTATCACTAGCAATGCTCCAACACAGGAACAGTTCAGGAGTGCTTTGACTGACCATGACCTGTTCATGTAAGTTTCTGTAAATGCACTAGTAAACCTCCTATTTTATGAGTTCCCTTTGTCAAGAACATCAAGATTCTGGTGGGCCTCCTCTCTCTTGTAAGCCACTTATGCCCCCCGCCCCCTCTCTAGAACAAAAGCTACCCAATGCTTGTTGTATACTTACAGAGCTATCAGTGCTGAAATACTAAGAGTTATGACTCATAAATGATAAAGAAGCTGAATAAAATAGAAAAATATATTTTTGGTTTCTTTTAGCAGTATACATACTTAAAATTTTGGTTGGTAGTAATGATTTATGTTATGTTGACTGAACTGTGTGCAATACTACTGGAACAAGAGAGATGATGGTTTTTGAATGGCATAGGCATACCTTGAAAAAAAGTTAATGTCAGAAGTCAGATCTATGACCCTTTGTATATGTTGTGGTTCAATTTTATCCTTGGTTCAAATTTTATTTTCCTTTGATTCAAACTCATTATCGTACATTACAATACCCAAAAACAAAAGAAAATAAAATTTGAACCAAGGATAAAATTGAAGCACAACTTGCATCCAAGATATGGTAGGGTCACAATAGCTAAGATGCCAAGCTAGGCCCAAAATACAAACATGGATGTGATAAACATTTTCAGATTAGGTATCTACAGTACAAAGTTTTATTGTTTCTGTTGCTTTAATTGTCACATCAATATTGTTTCTAGATATTTTGGTCATGGCACTGGGCGTGAATTTCTCCAGGGTGATGACATTCAGAGGTTGGATTGTCGAGCGGTCACTCTGCTTATGGGTTGCAGCTCTGGAAAATTACAGGTTAGTATATTCCAGACTGTGGAGGAAAATATTTCCATATAATTGGTGCAGACAAACCAAGAAAGGCAAAGGAAGTGTTCAATTGTTTGGTTCTTTTGTGAAGTATGCATGTTGAGACTGGGGCATATTAGTAACTGAATTGTTTTAAATTCTCAAGGTTGGTGGTGAGTGTGAGCCAAGAGGGATGGCATTAAACTATCTTCTTGCAGGCTGGTATGTTTTTGATGTTCCTTTGTTTCATTAGTTTGCCTTAAAAAGTCTTTATGGCTGTGCTCTATCAGTGTTTTCAATAACTTGCTCACTAAGCAGCTGGTGATATTGTATTAGGCAGCTGTACTCTGAGATGGAGCCATAAAGCAAAATCCAAATACAGGAGCCTATTTTTAACTCCCATGAGTGACCAATACAATACAGGCAATACAATATCAGACAGACAAGTGATGAGAATAAAGAAAAATATAATTAGGGGATTACTAGTTGACTCAAGACCAAATTCTTCAAACTAATATCACAAAAACTATATGAAAGACAGTAAGGAGAATTACTAATAAGATCTTGGGAGTTAAAGGGTTTACAGATGGCAGTAAGAGGTCCTATAGGCAGTGGTAGACTGCTGTTATCAAATGTTATAATTTTTGTCAATAATATTTATAATATATTCACTTTCAGCCCAGCCATTGTTGCTAACCTGTGGGATGTTACTGACAAAGACATTGATCGCTTCAGTGAATTGCTGCTGAAACAGTGGCTTCAATCAGGGTTGTGTTTGTCATTACCACAAGTACTAAGCCAGTCACGACAAGCTTGTAAACTGAAATATCTGATAGGAGCATCTCCTGTACTTTATGGCCTTCCAGCTTACACCAAAGAACAAAATGATTAACTAAGATTAACATAGATTAGTTTTAGAGAGGAACAGCAAAGTATTTGCCATACTAGCAAAGTGTTGAACAAACAGTAGTGCATACAAGGCAGTTATTAATTACATTTAATCAATTCACTAATGTATCATCAATTGGAAACAGTTCAAGAAAAATGTCATCTGTATTGTTTTTCATTAGCTTAAAGTTTAGCTTGCATATTAAGGGTATTTCTCTGATATCTATATCAATTGTGAAAACATAGAAAAACATTATTGACTGAATTGATGTTCCTTGTTTCCAAGCAGATACTTGGTGATTTTAGTATTAAATATTTTTTTAATTCTTGTGCTCAAATGGTGATGATGATGTTGCCTCAATAAAGTGTAATTATTCGTGGAAATATATATTTCTAGGTTTCCTCTCAATTAAGCAATTTTCATTTGTCCAAGTTAATTAAAAAGGAACCCTGTTATACTAAATTTTAAAGATTCAAAATGATAGTTTATTCCTTGGAAACGTAAAATTCATAACTGAATGTCAGCCATGATTTCAAGATATATCTTCATTTGTTTAGTAACTTTGCAAATCGGGAAAAGTGCATTTTTGCTGATCGTTGAAGGGTTTGTTATGGTGAAAGAGAACTGGTTTTCACGCAAACTTCATGAAAACAAATCAAACTCAGAGGAAGCCTTTTGTTAACTTTTTAAACTCTGAGAGTGATCAGCATCTAGTTTCTCCTTACCATTATAATGCTGAATCTCTTATTAAGCTCATGAGCACAAAGGAAATGGTCTCCAATCTAAGAAGCTTTCATTGTTAAACAAAGGAAATGTAAAGAGAGGGAATATGGATACTTTAGTTAGGTTGATGCTATTGAATTACAAACTCTTCTTTTGACTGTCTTTTGTCCTGTTTTCTCCAAAATGGGTATGAACACATTTCTATGTAAGTAAGGAGTGAAATGAAGTGCTCAACAACTGTATTTTTTAATAAATATTGTGTCTCAATATTTCAAGCTAAGTAAAGAATTAAATTTGCCAGTTTATTTATGTTCTGCACCAACATTACAAATTAAGTTTGTTTGGTTAATCTGTCTATTTTAGATCTTTTTTTAATACTAGAAACACCAACTGTATTGGCTGTTTTTTCATGGTCAGTGTTGAGCTAACAGCTTTCCTCCTTTACATGATGCTTTCCAATTTTTACCTGACATTTCAAAGAATGGCTGCAAAGGACTTGAACAAACAGCTTAAAACCAATCACCAAGCCTGACCTTTAAAAACCAAGGCCCAGTTGCTCAAAGGATGGATAACCCACTCTCCAGTGGATAAGTGTTAACAAAATGCACTGCACTATCCACTGGATAGAGATTTATCTGACAAGTAAAAGCATAATCCAGCCTTTGAACAAACAGTGCCAGGAATTCAGCAAGCCATTATCCTTGGGCCAATTTATGTTCCATAGAATTGTACAGAAGGTACTATGTTATTACAAAAATGTTGTCTAATATTCTCTGTATTAGCTTTGCATGTTCCTAGATATCAAGTAGGATGTCTAAAACTCTGATCTTGTACTCTTTTAACTAAAAGCATAGTAATAAACCCTTCTACACCTTCTGGTGGCCATTTCTTGCTGAAAATATTCTGTTTACTACACTTCTTGTAAAATATACCTAGTGTATAAGCTAGAAAGCCAGTGAGAGACCATTGAGGTGGCAAACTTCTTGCCCTGCACAACCATCAAATGCCAAGCAATATTAAAAAGAACTGGTTTAAAAGATCCTGAAGAAACCCACCCATAGTAACTTCATGCATACACAATACTATAGGTATATTGGGCATACTGTGCTAAAATATTGCACTCGTTTGGCAAATATAATATTGTTTGCTGAGCTGGAAATTATTAAATAAATGTGATCTCCGAGAGAAGATCACTGAGCTACTTGCATAACCAGTGATAATGCTGAGAATGTCTAAGTTACCAAATGAGGTCATAAGTTTGATACCCAAATGTTTCAGCTGGCCTCAGAGAGACTGTCCTTTTAGAGTTAATCACAGATGTGAAAGACTGGCTGTATACAGTTAAAATTTACTATGAAAAAATTTAGAAATGTTGCTTACAACCTTCACTGCAGGTTAGAGTTACAACCACCTAACAACTATTGGACAGGACCTCTGAACTGAAGAGCATATTCCTTTAATTTTGCTTCTGACACAAATGGTTTAGAAAATGGTGAGGCCACCTGGCCCCATTTAGCCTAAATTAAAAGGTATACATGGTAATTTAGTAATATCAACTGAGTTGATAACATTAATTGGACACCTTAAAGAGTCAAAAGGATGACATTTTGAGCATTGATCAGCTCTGTAACTCTTTACGGTGGGCAATTTATGCTATCAACTCAATTGATAATGCTTAATTACCCTGCTATATTCTCCCACGAACGCAGCACTACACTTTCTTTAGAAACTTACCCCCTTTAAAAGGTAAACATGTTTACATCAAGCCAAATTTCTAGGCATGAAGAGTGATAACATTCATTCATTACATCTCTAAGTCAGCTTACAGTACTTTTGTCTGCCATAATTTAGCTGGGCAAAACAACCTATTCTTTCAGAATCGCCTTGCACTATTAATAATTTTATCATCTAAAAGATAGCCAACATAAATAAACTATCTCAATGTTGTTGATCTTCCTTCAGGAACTGGAACACAGATGAAAAGTCTAGCTTAGCATATCCTTTGTTGCACATTATCCTATAAATTTGATGCGCAAGTGAACCCATGGGTGTGGGACTGGTGGTAGCAGTTGCTGCACTTTGAGCAAGACCTAAGTCCTGTAACAAAAACAAAAACATTTAATGCTTTTTATTAACAATAACTGGCCATTTTCTGAATTCCAAACGCTCACACTGTACTTTGATAATAAGCTAAACTGAAAAACCCAATTTTTTTCCATCACTTGCACTTGCTATAAAACATAGGTTTGTGGAGTATTTCAATTTTTTTTCTGGTGGTCAAAATCATGTTGACTCATTTTTGTTTGAAATTTTTTGAAGATTGGCACCAAACTGATTTGAAAAAATTTGATTAAAAAAAAAAATGATTTCAAAATACCAAGGAAAAAAAGTTCTTATTTTCATTTATTTATTTATTTATTCATTTATTTATCTATTCACCTTTTTTTGCAGGGGGGGGGCAGGTGGGGGGAGTTGGGTGGAAGGAGGCTAAAGGATTTGACAGTGCAGCTGTTGAAAGCAGCTACATCTGTTGGATCCAAGTACTAGATACCATGTCCCAAAATTTAAAAAAGAACATTAATCAATAGATTTAAGCAATAGCACTTCCATTTCCTGGCCCTTTAACCAGTGTCCTAAAGTCAAATTGTAATTTTGGCCTATTGGTTTTTTTGGAGGAAGAAGAAAACTCTTCAAGGAAGGATAAACCAAAAACAAACTCAACCTACATGTGAAAAAAGGCCCCAGTTATTGAAAGGGTGGATAACACTATCCAATGGATATATCTCTATCTGGTAGATAATGCCGTATGTTTTGTGAATGCTTAACCTCTGCAGGAAAGAATTATTCTTCCCTTCAAGCAACTGGGCTCAGGGTTGCTGTGGTGGGAGGGGGAGCACTCTTGCCATCTGGCCAAACCCTGCAGCCTACCTGTGACACAAAGGTACCCCCACCCTTCTTATCTAAGAACACAACTTCTTGCCAATCATATTTTCATCTTGCACCAACTTACCTTGACCATAAGCTGTGATGCAAATCCTCCTTGATAGTTGTTACTGGAAGGGATCCCTTCAATGATTCCAGGACAGGGATTGTAAGTGTCACTGGACCAGCAACGACCACTGCTTGTGTTAATTACCTTGGCAATCATTTCTGGTTCTAGACCCAGCCGAATTCCTAGATTTGTGGCCTCTGAGACTCCTATCATGCTCACAGCTAGTAACAAATTGTTGCAAATCTTGGCTGCCTGTAAAGAGAAGGTTATGCCAAGTGTTAAATTGTAATTGTATCTGCTCCCAATCTGTGAATCCTTCACATCTTGCTACCCAAGAGGGCATGTTTACAGAACACCATTCTTTTTCTTCAGAATTACCTGAACATTGTCTTTGCTAGTTGAGCTTTGAGATCATTTTGTTCATCTTCTCCATTTCAATGTGAAGTGCTGATGAACTGCTTGGAATTAGCAATGTATAAGTGTAATGTATACAGCTGTTTGCAGAAAGGTTGTCAGAAAAAGCACAAAAACTCCCAAAAGCATTGTGAAATAGTTTTAAGGTTGTGTTTCCTTGACCTCAGGAATTCAGGGAAATCTGAAAAAATGTCACTTTAAGGAAGACACATAGGGGGTTTGATAAATTTATTTGTTTGCGAGACTGACTTCTAACTCTAAAGCTGATGAAAAATGAAAAAAGAACGGACCAATCTCGATGAACAACAGAAACAATGTAAAACTCAATGAGAACAAATTCAGGGTGACCTGAGGAAAAAATATTTTAAAAAACAATATTCTATTGTTTTGTTCCTCTCATATTCACATGCATGTTGGCATTTGTCAAAATTTGTCAGTTTCGATTAAAATTCATTGATCACTGGATACTCAGATTACCTTTAGAGATTGTCACATGCACTTTTTCCTTTTTCCGACAACCTTTCTGCAAACAGCGGTAAATGTTAATTCTCATTTATCACTGTAATTCTTCCATAACCATCATTGTTATTATTAATAGTAAGAGATTTAACCCCTTCTACTTCAGGATCTCTTACTGAATGCTATACAATTCTTACGATGTCAGTTTGGAGAATTTGGTGTTGGATTAAGTAATAATCACCTAATTGTCATTCGTCATTTGTCTGCTTGACATTGTATTGACACTGTAAAGAGAAAATTTGTCTTGGTCACTTATGGGAGTGAAAGGGTTAAGTAGATGCATTCTATCCAAACTACCTGTCCTGTGCCAATAGCTCCAGTGTGAATTACATTCTTTCCCATGTGTTGTAATATTTTTGTAGCTCTTTCATAAGCTTCATCTTCACCACCAACCATAAATGTTAAAGTTCCTCCTTTAGCTGCTGTTACCCCTGAAATCAATTTGCAGACAAATATTTGGTTAAATTGAGAGTTTGATCAACATTATATACTCCAACTAATAACCTCTTTCTCCCATCACTGGTTCAAAAAGTTAAAAAGGGATAAATCCAGTACTCTCCCTAAACTGGTTTGGGAAAGTGATAGGGCTCACCTTCAAATTTTTTGCACTACATTTTTTGTTTTTTCTCACCATTGCTAGATTAACAACTCAAAAAAAGGTACACTGTTTGTAGCCAAAGGCTGACTTTAAATTGTCAATTAGCTCTGTAACCTTTTATCTCCCGTGAGTGACCAAGACTGAGTACTCCTTCAATATCAAGCAGTCAAGTGATGAGAATAAATAGATATATCGATCTGGGGATAATTAATTGATCCAATACCAAATTATCCAAACATCTTATAAATTGTATGGCAGAAAGTAAAGAGAATTACCAATGAGATCTTTGGAGTCAAAGGGTTAACTTGTCACTTTTTTCTAATCAAAGGCTGCCAACTTCCTATGGTTCCTGTACTTCCACTGTATGGTGATGGCAATTTCCTGTGACATGTTGCATGACATGCCCTAATTCATCAAACCCGTATTTAGAGATTCCCGGATGCTGGAAAAGCATGTTCATCCTGCCATTACAGATGGCTAGTCATTTACCACAAGATCTCTTCTTTTTTGTCTGTTAAGTGCTCTCTGGCATATTGATACATTTCCCACAGAAACTGTGTATAGTTTTGTATCTTTTGAGCTGTCTTCCTTTGAAAATTCACACCACAGGTGTGATGTGTCTGTCATGTGAACCCTTCAACCCCTAAGATTTACTAGCATAAATTTATCCTCACAATATTACCCCTGAATTAAACATGAAGGTTATGAAAACAGAGGAAATGATCACCACAGAGAGCAGTAAGGAGAACGTGCATACTGATGTTCAGATGTTGAGGGTTACATGACACCTCACCTCCAGATACTGGTGCATCCAGAAACGTGGCTCCTTTGCCCTGTACAATTTCACCCATCTCCTTGGCAACGGCTGGTTCTATTGTGCTTGTGTCAATCAACAATGATCCAGGCTTCACAGAACTACAAAAATTATATGTTTTATTTGTAACAGTAACAGACATTTCAAAATTCACTCTTTCAATGAAGCAGTCCCCAAATATACCCAAGCAGACCCTAGAAGGGTCTCTGATGTTCCTAAGGGGGTGGGGGTTGCAAAACAAAAAGTCTTGAAGGAATTTATGTTTCAATAAATAACTTTCCAGGGGGCTGGGGAAGGTGGCTCAAGGCAAAAACACCTGTAGGCCTCTTTCATAATGGTGACCAACTTGCTTTTCCTTCCTGTGCATTCAAATCAACTTTCTCATATTTTGGAGGCAAATTGAGTTTGCCATTGTTACTCTTTATTGATGAGGCTAAAAGAGATAATTCATATCAAATATAAAACAATAAAGATGATTCCCTCCATCACAAAAAAAGAGTGCAGGGAATAGAAGGAAGAAGTATTCTTCGAAGTAATACAAAGCTAGAAATAACAGGGCTATTTTCTTTTACCTCAGGATACCACTCTCACCACAATAAACTTCTTTCACATTTGGACTGCAATCAGAAACAAACTGTTAATGATTTGAATTTCAATGGAGTGGTAGCTGGTCCTTAGAGTTATTGTCGACAGGTGTGATAAGTCCTAACAAAGATTGTTACCAGGGGCAGTTGCTGACATTTTAACAACCTGAGCAGATATTATTATGATTGGGGTCATCAACTGTATCCCATGCACAATCTCATTGGATAAATCATTCTATATAGCACAAGGCCATCAAAAAGTTATCAGCAAATTACTCTACTCATATGATTTAGACGTTTGTCTAGCTTAAGTTTAGTGACTGGAGCATTACCGTGACATTGTTGGAAGGCAACACCGACGCATATTTTAACCCTTTACTACCTAACATCAGTATGCATATTCTCCTTACTGTTCTCTACACATTTCCTAAGTTGCTGATAAGGAGAACTTGTTTAACAATAAAGAACTTCTTTGGTTGGTGATCATTTCCTTTATTCTCATGACCTAAATGTGTGACTCAGGGGTGATATTGTGGGGAGAAATAAGATGTGAGTCACTCTTAGGGGTTAAAGGGTTAAAGTTATAAGAGCAATAAAAAAAACCTGATTGAATACATACATTAGAGCTAACTACTGAAACATCTTGACATTTCAGGTTTAATTTTTTGAAGAGATATATGATTCATATAAGTTAACAGACAGTTACAGACAATGCCCTTGGCTAAAAGTTTGTCCTTGGAATTTTTCAGTCACTCTTTTCAACTGTTGATATTTTGGGCGATATTGCAGCTGGACATCATTCTCCGATGCATAAGCTGCTGAAAAACATCTTTTTTAATAAACTTTAGGTTACTAGAAAGTGCATCTGCTGGCAGTGAGAAAAGTATCAAATACTTAAATTACCTGGAAGGTAACATGGTGACAATTGTGGTTGCCTTGGAAGCCACTTCACTGGGCGTGGTGGCTGTAGCAGCTCCCAGTTGTTTCAGATCTACAACAGCCTCTGAGAATATGTCATGGACTAAAATCTCATGTCCTGCATTCAACAAATTCTTCGCCATGGGACCTCCCATGTTTCCCAAGCCTATAAACCCAATGGGCTCGTCCTGAGAGAAATAGGAGATAATGAAAAGAAAAATTATTTGAAGAGAAATACAACACTCAGATGAAGAAAAAAAACGTCTTGGTTGCACACATCCTGCACCATGTCTACAAAAGTGTCACAGGAAACTAATGTTTTAATAATTATTAAACAAGTTTTCACCACTTATTTCAGTGAATTAAGTAATAGTCCAGAAAAAACGCAAACCCGCAACACAACTTTACTCTTGTTCGTCCGTTACGCTGCACCTCCCCCTAAAACACCCCTATGGAAACAGTCAAATGCCTGACTGTCCATGTCATACAGCAGGCTAGATAAAGACGACTGTATTAGCCATCCAATTTTAACTTTTGAGATTTAAGCCTGTGTGCTCGCTCGTAATTACCGAAAAAGTTTCATCCGTGACTATTGTTTCGTTAATTGACCATTGAACCAACATAAGTTATATCTAATGTTATTAATAAAATCAAGAATCGTCGCGAGCCAAAAGAGCCAATCAATTTTAAAATAAAGCCTTAAAGTGGAAAAAATAAAACAATAATATTAAATCACAAAAATTAACAGTTTAATTTTACTGGTTTCCAGGGTGTGTTCCACGTGGAATTAATACAAACAATTCTGGATCGAACGTGAAGCTTACCTGAGTGGAACTGCCACCTGAAAATTAGAAAAGGAACGGAATCGGTAAGGTATTCAGGAATCATGGATCAAAACATAAACAGTCCTTAATCAATTCTGGATTACGACCTTACTTGAAAACAAGCGGCAGATCAGAGCTCTATTATTAGCTAGCGATCGGATAACGATATTTCCCTTACAAACTGTTGCCATTTTGTCTTTTCTCTCCAGTCCCGCGAAATTTTGGCTTGCGCAATATTGCGCGCGCTTACTATATAATTACAACCGCTGCTCAACAAGAGACGAAAATATGGCTGTCTTCACGAGAGTTGCCGATTTTCTTCAAAAATCAATCGCCTTTACTTGTGCAGTGGGATGTATTTACATCTTAGCTATATCTGGAAGGAACTATTTAATAATACGTAAGAGGAGACTCACGAATGCGGCCGCAATTGAAGCCGAAAAAACAACTGATGTACCTTCATCGTCGTAGACGGAATGCTTCTACATTCAATTTTATAGGTATGCAAGAGAGCAACAATCCTCTCTTCTACTTAAGTGTTTGAGGAAATGTGTATGATTTGTCCGCAACTTACTTCAATCGATTCACCAGAGTTTCTTTCGAGATGAAATGTTGTATAGTCTTATATTACCAACCTTTATAACTACATGTTGCAATTGCATAATCAATCATAATTTGAGTGTCTGCGCACTTTTCGGCACGGTACTGTATTCGACATTATATGTTGAGCTGAATTGTAAACGCATTTTGATTGGTTCTAACTTATGTTCTATTGGAGGAAATACGCATAGATGAAATCACTGTTCGCAACATTTTGATTTTTTTATCACATATAAAAAAATGGATTCTATGTTGCTGTGCACCTGCTCACTTCTTTGTTCTTACCACAGTTTGACATCATCCGTGATCTAAAACTGATTATATAATAAGCTCAGTTATGCAGGCATTCTGATTGGTTCTCACTTATGATCTATTGGAGGGCAGATGTATAGATGACATCATCATTAAAACTTTTTTAAATTCTTTATTATATAAAACAAATAGATTCCAAGTTGCTGTGCGTCTGTTCAGTAATAGATCACAGAGGACATCAAAATGTGGTAAGAACATCAGTGACACACTCGTCTGCATCTCGTGTGCCACTTTTTTGTTCTTACCACATTTTGACGTCATCTGTGATCAATTACTGAACAGACGCATGGCAACTTGGAATCTATTTGTTAAACAGAAGAACAGCAATGTGGAATCTATTTATTTATTTTACCCTAACCTGGGTGGGAAAACATCCCATGCAGGGTAATGCAGCAAAATTTTTTTGATGAAATGAAAAGTTTTATTGTCGCAGAAATTATGTAATATAGCACAAATTTTATGATGTAATACAAATTTTTTTACAATTTACTTTGTTCTAGGGATCAAGCCTAACAATTTGTAGAAAAAAACTTGTTGGTGGTGAGGAATGGAGCTGGTGGAGCTGTGGATGAAAGTAAAATTCTCAGACAAAGGTTACTTTTCTGACGCAGAAAGAAAATATTGTTCTTTTGATGCCTACTCTGCCAAGGAACATGCTAAATATTTGTGCATTCTTGGTGAACTTGAAATTGCTGTCAAAAGTGACGTACATTTTGCTCTATTGATATTCAGGATTTGTTAGTTCACCCGCAGAATGATCTATTGTTCACAATCTGTTTTCACCTTGTTGAGGGTTGCACTGAAAAGAACTGTTTTTTGTGGGGGTAGCAAGCATTTCAGTGAACCAAGGTGACACCACAAAACTGTGTGAAAAGTGTCACCCTTGTTTTATTTCACTGTGAACAATAGTATGAGTACATATGTTACTAAAAAGAGCATTTCATTGGTTTTTGTTTAAAAATTTCCGGAAACATGTTCATAAATGTACCAAGAATTACCTTTTTTTTCACATGTGTTACTTAGCCAATCAGAAGTTGAGAATTTTGTAATGTATATAGTTGAACTGGTAATAAAGGACATTACATGAACTTTAACTTACAAATTATCTTTATTCAACTTAATGTTTCTCTTTCCTATTCATGCAAATTAACATTGTTGTTAAGCTTAATGTCAAAAGGATTGTTCCTTTAAGAGACTTCCTTAAAAGAGACTCTTACTTACAAATCAAGAATCGCTTGTTTTATCAGCAAAAATGACATAGAGCCTTATAATTTGCAAAAGAAAAGTTTTGGACATCCAAGATTTGCAGATTAGTCGAGATGATGGGGCCTTCGGTTCTCCGCTATCATCTAAAACTTCTGCATCACTGATGATCGTTTCATTAGTTGCATGAAGGGAAAATGTAACTCAAAGATGTGTTATTTAACAAATGCAGTACTTTTTTCCTCCAAGAAAATTTCCCTAATATTAGGGTTGTAAAAGACGATTTCTTGGAGAGGTTTGATCTCCGAAAAATATTAATATCGACTCGGAAGGATGCTCGTGTAGAAGTACTTCACTCACAGACGTTTTTTTGTAACAAGTCCATAGAGTTAGCACAATGTTGAATCTTAATGCAACTATAATCGTACCACCTACTCATAGATTGAAACAAACTTAGAAATTAAAACGTATAAGAGATGTTTTTGATAAGATATTTCTTAAAACTTACGTTTTCCCTTCACTTTGTGTTCTTTTCCGTAAGTATGTTTTGGGCGCGACTCAGAGTCAGTTTCGCCCGAGCCGCCTAGCGATGACTCTGAGAAGGGCGCAAAACATGTATACCCAAGAACATTAACTATTTTTCTATTATTATCACTTTGGTGCACATTGAGAAGATGAAAACTGAAAAATGGACAACAGACCAGTCCGAACAATCACGCTAAAATCCGGCCGATTTCTCCTTTTAGCTTGCAAAATGAGCCACAATACCTGACAACGTAATGACAGTAATTATTTTAAAGCACTAGAGAGCTAGGTACATGATTTTTTAACAACATACCTTCTGTTCCTGTTTGGGCTCCTGGATGAAGAGTAATAAAAAGAAAAAGAAACGGTGTTTGAAAAAAACTTTAAAAGTACAAATCAAGGTTTGCTACAAGGAATATCTTAAACCGGTTAAATCGATGAAGGTCCTTGGCAGTAGAAATGCAATAAGCCAGATCTTTGACGCTATGTTTCTGGAGAGGAGACGAACTGTGAATCTAATGAAAAAATTGTGTGCAAACCCTTAATTTATTTGGTTTCCCGACCTAAAAACTGAAAACAGATACCGGCTATTGCAATAGTATTGTTTGAGTATTTAGCAGATCATATCAACAAAAAAATGTGACTGGCAATACTAGCAAAACCCGTGGTTTGATCCGGGGATTACCCAAGAGAGCCGAGGGGAGGGTAAGGCCGTTTGAAGAGTATCAGAAGAATACAGTCAAACTGGCATTAAGCGGCACCACATTAAGCGGTCGCCCTGTTTAAAGCGGTCAATCACCAAAGTCCCAAATTCGTTTTCCCTCATTCACTGTAATTTTCACCTCGATTATGCGGTCACCTCTATTAAGTAGTCGCTCCGTGGATGACCAGGTTATATAGATTCGACTGTAATAAAGAGACTGCATTCTCTTCCCCCGAAAATGCATAAAACAGGAAATGGCTACAAATGGGGATACGACGGGGATTTATAATTTTTCAAAACCCTCACCTAGGCTTACAATAAGCGGCAAAAGTCTTTGCACGCCATGTTACTTTTTGAAATTTGTTTACTATAACTTGCATTTTTCTCCTCCTCTTCCCCATTTCAATGTTGCCTAGTGCCAACAAAATGCGCTTTAATTTCAGGCAACTTTGTTTGAGGGATAGGGGGAATTTGAAAAAAAACTTTTGGAAATGAATTACAAGATTTCTGTTTATTATGTCAGGTGGAGTAATATCGACCATCTACAGTGAGGAGGGGTGCTAACTAACTTTGCCACTAATTGAGTGATATCGGTTGAAGGACAGTCCTTAATCACCTCCTGAATAAGAGAAGAAAGAATCACGCGGCAGCCCTTGAAAAATAAAGTTTCACTAATCAAAGGTTTTGATTGAACAGTTGGCTTGGGAACCGCGGAACACATCTCTGGAGTATATTGAACATACCGAGGCCAGTTAGACTCAAGGAATTTATCTTGCCCATAATTCTATTTCTATGATGACGTCAGTTGGACTTGAGCAAAATTACAGTTTAAAGTAAGGTTCGGCAAAGCAATCTTCAAGGGTAAAATAAAGTTTGGTGTCTTCTTAGAAATTCTTTGAACACAGATGCGCAGAGATTGCTATCACCACATTTCACCTTTGTGTGCTGAAAGTAAATATCAGCGCTCCACAATGAAATATTTTGTGCGCTGAAATTAAATAAAATATTATGTGTACTGAAATCAAATATCAGTGTACTGAAATTTAATATCAGCACACAGAAATTAAGTAGTTGCGAACTGAAATATCAACTTTTGGACCAATAGGCTAACTAACTTCTCACGCAACTTAGTGAAAAACCGTCCATGGTTTCTCAGATCTCTTTCCTTACTACCATTATAGAAAAGTGCAAATAATAGGAATGCTACAAACCTTAACTTCTTATTAAAAACGCAACTTGAACAAACAACAAAAACTGATTCATCAAGGACACGTTCAGTGCTCCATGGTCAGTTAAAGACGCCGGGAATGCCTTCAAAACCCTGCTGGATGAAAAATTGGATCGAAGTGCACACGTTACGCGAAGGCTCTTCTTAATCCTTCGCTCTGAAGACTGAGCACTAACGCTCAGAAAGTCAGCTTTGGAAACTCTTTACGGTGGCCGATTTATATCATCAACTCAGTTGATAAATCAAAATCATCCTCAATTCCATTTTAGTTATTGACGAAAATATTCGAGAGCCAATAAAAAGCAGAGATCTTTGACGAGGTTCAGTGAGAATTTTCAAAGACCCTGCCGCTTAGCCGTGCCACAAGCGTTAAAAACGCGATGAAAAGCGGAAGGAAGAAAGAGAAAAGAAAGAACGGACGGAAAGATAAGATAAAAAAGCTACTTAAAAGAAGCAAAAGTCAATGACTTAGAGGTTAGAGGTTAGAGGTACGAGCTCTCTCAAACTGCAAATATTTGTTCTAAAGAAAGCAAAAGAATTCGCCTAACCACAAACTATAATTTCTGCTTCATTTTCATGTAACATAGTAATGTGATGTGGTCTCTAAAATGCTTGAAGCGTCTGAGCAGTGGAGAGACTTCGGGAAAACATACACAAAGATGACGACTAGTAACTAAGTAATAAATAGAATAAAACAATTAAAGAACAGAAGTTTAAAATTCCTTCACTTATTTAAATTATACTTCAAAGGGAGCTAAAATTGTCCATCTAAATCTCTCCAATCCTCTCTCAGATAGCCCCGACAAAAATTTGAAATTCATACGTGCTAATAACTAGAAAGATTCTTTCCTCAATGGGCCGTAAGGCAACAAATCATTCATTTTGTGGGGCAACCTTTGCTGTCTATTTTCCTAAGTCTGCATTTACACCGAACGAATTTTCTCCTTTTTTTTAAACAAATAATGCAATATTCACTCTCCAAACCCGTAAGTGACGAACGTAATCGAAGGTTACCCTTACAAGTGGTTTCACTATCTGCCCATGCGCATATCCCTCTATGAAAAAATTGAAAAATGGCGTAAGTAAGTTTCAACATATCCGTGCCACCGCGATTTTGACGGGCTAAAGTTTAGACGGCCTTTGGCAACGCACCTGTTAAATTTCTCACCTAACAATTTGTCTTGGAGTTCAAATTTCTGTGCAGGTGGGCAAAAAGAAATACTTTTACGCAATAGTTTTTAAACCGTAGAAAATTAATCCTATACCGTGTGAATGTAGCCTTAGCAACATCAGCATAGCTTATTTGGATTTTTTCGAAGTACTTGTCAAATAATGCACGGTTCCAATTCTTTCACTCTAAGGATTGCCTATTACACAATTTCATATTCGACAATTTCAGTAAAGGTGTATATTTATGACATCGTGTTCGAAATACTTTCGCGCCCAACATTATCGCAATTAATTATGACGTCATGAACGATAATGATCACTTGAGATTCTTCAGTTCAACTTCGCTCGCGTTTTTGAACAGCTTCGAGATGATTTCGAGAAGACAAAGCATTGCGCTTATCATGATTATTTTGTGCTCTTATACTCAAGCCAAGCTTGAATGTCCGTCGAAATGTCACTGTGCAGATGACTTCTCCGTCGTGATTTGCCGAGGATTGGAAAAATTCCCCGTGTTTGGCTTTGCATCAGTCGTCAAAACTCTGTAAGTTACACCATCAACTTTCCCAGACGCGACTACTTGAAACTGCAATTGGCATTCAAATGAATAAAAGCGTTCTCTGGCAAGTTGTATTTAAGGACAGTTTAGTGATGGAAACCGGAAAGTAAAATAGTAACTGTATCTTTCTTTGAAAGGAAAGTAGAAAAACTTTGAAACAAAGCAATCTTGACACTGTTCGAGCTAAATTTCAAAATCGCTTAAATTATAAGAGAAACTCTTGATAGAAAAAGGGGTAGGACGAGTGTATTGCGAGAAAAAAGTCACTTGTTATAGTCAGTTACTTTCTTTATCTGTCTGTCTTTTTGATTCTGCAGGGATTTGACGCATGGAAATATCAAACGCATTGACTCTAGAGATGTGAGGGCATACTCACGTCTGGAAAGACTGTAAGTGGAAATAAACCTCAAAGATTTTTTATTGTAGAAACAACTCGAAAGCGCCGAGTTTTTATTACTGTTTGATAAGAAATCAACAGCAACAGAAAAAGAATGCATTAATGCAGAATATGATTGCATGGTGTCTTCAGTTCTGGCCGATTGCCTTATGACAAATCATCCCCTGGAAGACAAATTCAAAAAAGGTCTCAATCTCGTTTCCTTTATCTATCCCTAGGTTTATCAATCACAATCCTCTGGACTGCGACTACGTGAATATCTACACGCTGAAACACTTGAAAGAAACCGCTGGATTGAAAACATTTGACGGCCACGAAGTTGATTGTCCACCAGTACCCTCAGTAATGAATGATAGACTCTTTGGTAAATTAAACCCATAGCTTTTTGCTATTCATGTTATGAAAAACTTTTCAATTCAAATGCAATTTTTACATCAAACATGCGCCCCTTTATGAATTACAAAATCTTACTTATATTTACCTCTGAAATCACGATGCTAAACTTTTTTACAGACAACAATCATCGTGGACATTATAATCATCACATACTGTCAGGAGGATCACCTCTGTTTGTTTTTTATCATGCAAGCTTTTCTCAGTTGGCGATGGCTGTTGGGACTGTAATGGTTGTTCTGAGCATGCTCACTGTGGCTGTTGTTTGTTGTGTCTTGGTGTGTTATCGGCGCAAACTGTCTCGGTGAGTGTCCATATTCTTCAGCGTCTTACAATACACAAGACGAAGCTGGTACTTTGTAAGTTCTTTGTAGTTAGCTGACTAGTTCTAAACAATGTTAAGCGCCCTCATTCACTCTTGTCTTTGTCGTCTCTCTCTTCCAGAGGATTTCAGCGCCATGACTTGGCTACTGAAGATCCCCTTAGCAAAATAGAGAAAGGAACTGGACATAAATCTGGCAAGGTTGGAAAGGGAGGAAAGAAATGTTCAAAGAAACAGCGGAAAGGCCCCCAAGGACATCCTAAACGTGGTAAAGTCAACACGGATGATTCGAGTGAAGTAGAGGAGGTGAATTATCTAAAAGAGAAGATGAGGAAGCAGCGAAGAGGTTCCCGGGGATATCCTGAAAACGTGAAATCTGATGACTCGCTTTTTGCAAAGGAGGAAGATTTTCTGACAAAGAACTTAAAGATACAGAGGAGCGTGTCCCAAGGGTATGCTATGGGGGCTAGATCCAGTGACGAAGATTAAAGTGATTGCTTTTCTGAAGGTCAATTTGATGGACGAGTTTCATACTTTTGAGTGTAAACACTGTGAAATTTTACACAGTCTAAACGTTTCACTACCGATTCTTTATTTCCGATATATATTTACAAAACCAAGAAGTACCTATGTTCACAAGTTAATCTCCTATGTTTCCTCTCGCTTTACAATTTGTGTTTCTTCGAGGTCTCACAATTTCGTGAGAGACTTTTTTATATTTTGATTGTGACTAAAAACAAAATCCCATGATGGAAAATAAAAAATAAAGTTTAATGTTCAAGATTAAGTAAAATTGTGATTTTACCCTTCAAAAGAAGTTCTTATTCTTAAGCTGCGCACAGTCTAAAACCCTGGTTCATCTTCACTTACCAATCATCACCTTACATGTATACAGAGGAAGCCAACGAAGTAAACATCAATAAAGGACTGAAGAAAATGCTTACGCAGAATATAACTGTCTTACTTAAGATGTCCTCAATCCTGACGATCTCCTTATGACAGATCCCTCCTGAAAGACAAATTCGAAAAAGTCTCAATGTTATTTAGTTTATCCACAGGTCCTCGGGACCGTGATCACCAGCTATCCACACGCTGAAACACGTGAGGGACACTGTAAAAAAGTCAATTTACGAAAAAAGAGGCTACAGACAAAGCTCCGTAGAAAATATATATTAAACTTGTTAAATGAACCACCACATTTGGCGAGGTTGAGCAGCCGAGGGGTCGAAATCGGGGCGACTGAGAATAAATCCAGTGAAAGACAGAGTGGAGGACTTGAACCCGGGACCACCAGATTACAAGTCCAGCACCCTAACAACTCGGACACGCCGCCTCCTAGATGAAGCTCTCTACTGTCTCTCAAGACCCTACCAGCACGGAGTGTTCAGTTGATATTCTCTTGTTCGAATCTTACTAAAAAATATCTTTACAGTTGCCTGGGACAGTTGTAGTTGTTAAAAACTCAATAAACTAACTGCAGACACATATAACACCTCACGTGAATAGAGTTGATAGTCCGAGCTTTTTTCTCATTAGGGACCATAAGCAGTCACGATTGCAACGCCGAGGAAGACGTCGATTAAAAAACGAATTCATATTTTGGTATGATTTTCGCAAATGGCTGCATGTGTCTACCATCTCTTACGGCGCCACATTTCAATTCAGCATAGCGTATGTCAGCAGCGTTGAGTTTCAAATGAAAATTAAAGTAATTTGCCGTCGCGCTCTCCGTTCACAGACGACGCAAATTTTGGTGATTTCACCTTGTTATTATGCAGAGAATGGCTAAGAAATATACAAAGTTTTAAACGCACGTGCTTAGCCATTGTTCTGCCCATTAGATATTTTGTTGCCTCGTCCTTGTTGCCGTGGCTGTCGTGGTTTGCCTAAAGTCCCTATTAGCTGTGTGCTCCTTAAGTTGTCTTTTCCCCCGATTATCCTCATTGCTATTTTTTTTGTAGCCTTTCTAAAAGATATGAGTTTTCCCTGTGCAGTCACCTCATACGGTTTAACCGTAATTTAAAGTACGTTTTTTTAAAATAAATCTTCTATAAAATGGCACGCCTGAGGAAATATGAAATCCTTTTGAAAAGTTTTTAGTTTGGGAGATATACTGGTAGAAACGTATAACACATGGTCGTTCAATGTTAGCGATTTTTCTGCTGTATTTTTTTTTTTCGAAAGGCGATTTGGCTCCTACACGAGCTGACCTATGGTGGCCTCGCTCAAATGGGATCTTCGTCTCTTGGGGAACGGCGCGCGGGTTCATTTTCCGAGCAACGGCTAGTAATCGAGTCTTCAAGGAATTTTTTAGAAGAAGATTTTACACCGAGGCCATAATGTAAGGTTTTGTCATCCAACACTATCTGCAATTCAAGAAAACTATAAACTTGCCACAACATACGAAGAATATGTATTCTATGGTCAAAAGGGCAGTTTTGAGGCGTGAATTTACCAGTTCCCTTTCCGGAAGCATCGGAATCGCATTAAAAAGCCGAAAATGATCTCAGCGTACTTGTAATTGGGCATTTTATAATGCCAACCCAGTCAACCTTTTCGCGCGGAGGGGAAAGCCGTTTGTTAGTTCATGATTTGTCAATCAAAGTAATTTTCAATGCACGACTTAATCAATCTCGACAATTCATGATCAAACCACACACGAGGATATATATTTCACGAAAGGTTTAAATGTCCAAAACACTTTTGCGCGCGCGACATCATCGCAATTAACTGTGACGTCACAAAATGCTAATGATCTCTTAAGATTCTTCAGTTCAACTTCGTTCGCGTTTTTGAACAGCTTCGAGATGATTTCGAGGAGACAAAGTATTGTGCTTATCATGATTGTTTTGTGCTCTTATACTCAAGCTGAGCTTGAATGTCCGTCGAAATGTCACTGTACAGTTGACTTCTCCGTCGTGATTTGCCGAGGAATGGAAATATTCCCCGTGTTCAGCTTTGCATCAAAAGTCAAAATTCTGTAAGTTACACTATCAACTTTCCTAGACACGACTTTTTCAAACTTTTATTTGGCATTTAGATGATCTAAAAGTGTTCACTCGTAAGTAGTGTTTTTAAGGACGGTTTAATGACGGAAACAAGAAAATTAAAATAGTAACTGAATTATTCTTGCAAAGAACAGAAATCGCATACGCTTGATGAAATTTGAGCCAACCTTTCAAAATCGTTTTTAAAATGGGAAGAACTGATGATACAAGGTGGGTCCCAACAAAACAAAAACCAACATTTCAAAATTACAATTCGACCTTGAAACTTTGGACCAAGAAGAGCTGCCTAGTTGAGTGTCCATTGCTAAATTCCCATTTATTTTCCCATTTTGTTACAATCACTCTTTTACTTTATTTGTTGTCTGTTTTATTGTTTCTGCAGGGATTTGACTCATGGAAAAATCAAACACATCCACATTAAAGACGTGAAGGCCTACTCACACTTGAAAAAATTGTAAGTGGAGACAAACCTTAAAGATTTCTTAGTGTAGAGACAACTCGAAAGCGCCGAGGCTTTAACATGACTGTCTAATTTAAGGAGTCTTTAATTCTGGCCGATCGTCTTATGACGAATTATCTTCTGAGAGAAAAATCACTTGAAAAGGCTCAATCTTGTTTTTGTTTTTATTTCTCCTTTTTCTTATTTTTTTATCCCGAGGTTTATCAATCACAATCCTCTGGACTGCAACCACGTGACTATCCACATGCTAAAACACTTGAGAGAAACCGCTGGATTGGAATCATTTGACGGCCACGAAATTGAATGTCCACGAGAACCCCCAGTAATAAATAATAGACCCTTTGGTAAGTTAAACCCATACCTTTTCGCTATATATGCGCCTTTATTATGAAAACTTTTTCAATAACAATGTAATTTTTACATCAAACACGCGCCCCTTATGAATAACAAAATCTTACCCATGAAATCACGATGCAGAGCTTTTTTGCAGACAAAAATTATCATGGGCATCGTCATAATCTCAGACCGTCAGGAGGCGCACCTGTAATTTACTTTGTTCATGGAGGTTTTGCTCAATTGGCTGGTGGGATCGTAATGATTTTTCTGGGCATGCTCACTGTGGCTGTTGTTTGCTGTGTCTTGGTGTGCTATCGGCGCAAATTGTCTCGGTGAGTGTCCACATTCTTTAGTGTCTTACAATGTACAAGACGAAGCTGATACTTTGTAAGTTCCTCGTACTTAGCTGCCTAGTTCTAAATAATGTTAAGCGCCCCCATTCACTCTTGTCTCCATGCTTCCAGAAAATATGAGCACCAAAACTTGGCTGATGTAGATTCCCTCAGTAAAATGGAGAGAGGAACTGAATATAAATCTGACACGACTGGAAAGAGGGGAAAGAAACAGCAAAGAGGCCCCCAAGAATATCCTGAAAACGTGAAATCTGATGACCCGCTTTTGAAGGGAGATGATGGTTTGAACAGGGCTGCGGAGAAAAAGGGAAGCAATAAGAAAGAAACTGGAGACGAGTCAGACACTGCTGAACACATGTTAGAAGCAGGCCTGAGGAAACAGCGAAGAAGTTCCCAAGGATATCCTAAAAATGTGAAGTCTGATGACTCACTTTTGGCAGAGGAGGAAGATTATCTGAAGAAGAACATGAAGAAACAGAGGAGCGTGTCCCGAGGGTATGCTCTGGGGAATCAATCCAGTGACGAGGATAGTGCTATGCTGGAGATCGACATGAATTATAATTTGCTTTACTGGAGAACAATGTGATGGATGAGTTATATATTTTTGATGAAAACACTGTGAAATGTTATTCTCCACCGATTCTTTTTTCTCTTTACACTTACAAAGCCAAGAAGTACTTATTTTCTCAATGATTTTAAAGTTAAATCCCTAATGTTTCCTCCGTATTACAGTTTGAGTTTCATTGAGGTCTTACACTTTCAAGAGAGACATTTTCACATTTTGTTTTAAATTAAAAAATTATAATTCTCTAAAGAAAAAAAATCTTTCTTAATGTAAACGATAAAATTTACGAATTAAAGAATTTTCATCACTGATAATTTAATTTCCTACATATGGCCTGTTCAGGATATCATCAGGGAGGAGGTTCCCAGGAAAATCCTGAAAATGGGTCATCTGGTGATTCCCTTTTGACGAAAGATGATAGTTTCAACAGGAAGGTAGAGAAACAGAGCATGGAGAAAGGGACTGGAAATGAATCAGGTAATTTAGTGTTAACAACTGGGTTGAAAACGTAAATTAGCCACCGTAAAGGGTAAAAAAGCTGACGTTTCGAGCGTTAACCCTTAGTCAGAGCGATTGCGTTAACCCTTACGTTAACCCTTCGTCTATCGCTCTGACGAAGGGTTAACGCTCGAAACGTCAGCTTTTTTACCCTTTACGGTGGCTAATTTACGTTTTCAACCCAGTTGTTAACACTAAATTACCTGCTATACTCTCCCACCGACGCAGCACCACAGTTTCTTTAGAAACTTACCCCTTTATGGAAATGAATCACACGACTGAGTAAGAGTGAGAGGAAGGTTTAAAAATAACAGCGAAAAGGTTACCAGGGATATGTTAAACAAGTGAAATTTTATGCAGCACTTGTGACGGAGACGATTGAGGAAGGAAATGAAGAAACAGAGAAGCATGTGTCAGAGACATTCTTTTGGGGGTTGTATCCTCATGTACCGGTACACAAAAGAAGGAAACATTAACGAACTGCGTCATAACTCCATGTATGGTTATGAAAACAATAGGAATTCCCTCGTGTACCGGTACACCAGGACAGCCCCCTTTTGGGGCTGAGACGAGTGACGTGAATGCTCTATGGTGGAGATCGACTCGGATCATCAACATCTCTTTTTTAACACCCTTTCTTAATTTTCTCGACTTATTAACAAAACCTTGTTTGTAATGCTTATATTTAATAACTATTCATTGAAGAGGAGGTGACTAATGGTGGATATTTACTGAACTGAGAAGCGGCGAGGTAAATTCCACTGCCAGCCACCGACATGTACTTAATACGGTTTCGACTGTAAACTTCAACCACGACTCCTCTCTTTTAAGCGAAATACTAAATGCAAAGGTGTGCGCAATACGAAGCCTTACTCCAACTTTTCTGCTAGCACCAGTTTTTGTAGACGAAGAAACCCTTTCCGTAAGTAGGTGTTGTTGAGAGGTGGACAAAGGCTGATCGAGCTGATGTCTGGGTAAAACACATGTACTGGATACATGATTTAAGGGTCTCCAGTCAACCATCGAAAAGGTTATTCAGTATTAACCGACAACTGTTTTCAAGATGTTTCAGATTAACCTCGCAACTCGTGAGAAATGTAGGATCTCTTTCACCGCTTGGCCGTGGAAGATCTGGGTAAGAGACTTACCCATTGTTAGACTACAACAACTCGACTGACAACAACCTTCCACTTGACTCTGATGATGACTTCCGCTCAGGTTGTCGAAACGTCAGTCATCACTACCGACAACAGTCCTTCTCAGGACTACACTCACCCGGACGATCAAACTACACTATTACAAATAGATTCCAAGTTGCCGTGCGTCTGCTCAGTAATAGATCACAGATGACGTCAAAATGTGGTAAGAACAAAAAAGTGGCACACGAGGCGCAGCCAAGTGTGTCACTGATATTCTTACCACATTTCGACGTCCTCTGTTATCTATTACTAAACAGATGCATGGCAACTTGGAAACTATTTGTTTTAAATAATAAAGAATTTAAAAAAGTTTCAATGATGACGTCATCTATACGTCTGTCCTCCAATAGATCATAAGTGAGAACCAATCAGAATGCGTGCATAACTGAGCTTATTATATAAAATGAGGTAGATAACTGGTGAGAGGTTGATATAAGTAGTAAGAGGTAGCCACCACAAAAACAAAATTTCCACAATTTTTTTTTATTTACAGACACAACTCATTCAGTCATTCAATCATCTAGAATCTATGACACAAATGATACCCTTTTCCAAGTTTGTGGTCTGAAATCAAATCTTTCATGCTGGAAAATGTGAAAACTCTGATTAAGTAAACAATCTAATTAGGTCCCTATCACTGAATTGGAATAGCAATTTGCGAATGTTTTAAGAAAGTTTGGTATAAAAACAAGCTAGTATTCCTACCACTGGATTTACAAAATGTTTTACATGGAACAGCAAATCAGCTAAGTAGAATATACAGAACAGTTTGTCACACCCCAACATCAGTATGCATATTCTCCATACTGTTCTCTAGACATTTCCTCAGGTGCTGACAAGGAGAATTTGTCCAAAAAACTAGAGCTTCTTTCATTTGTGATCATTTCCTTTACTCCAGTGACCTAAATGTGTGCCTCAGAGGGGATACATTTAGCGAGATATTAGATGCAAGTCACTCTTACAGGCTAAAAGATTAAGCTACAAAGAAATGAAAATTTACTAGCTTGGTAGATGCAGAAAGAAGATATAGGGAAAGGTGCCTTGAATATAAGTAACTCAACCACACCTTGACAATGACCTCAAAAAGCAACACCAGGGAGGCTACTCTTGATAACACTGTCAAGAAGTAAAATACTATATACAGCAAGGGCCTCTTCATACGAGTCCAGTGCCCAGATGGCCAGCAGGTAACTCCCCCCCCCCAGAAAAAAAGAGAATAAAGAAGTATAAATGTGCGGAATGTTTTACATGTGGGCAATGGAGACTTCACTGAAGGAACCTTGCATCTCCAGAAACAGGCTAGCATACATAAAACAATAGAGAGGATATCAGACTTTATTGCTGTGGCAAGGTGTGGGACACTGAACCAGCCTAAGCCAGGCTCATATGAAGAGGCCCCAAGACTATGGGAAAGAAAAAAATTTATGGTGCATTTGGTGTAGCTGTTACTCCCGTCCACAAGAGCACACCAGGTGACCGTGGACATCAGCAAGAGCTGGTTTCCTTACTGGGCTCTGTATGGAGAGAATCATCCCACACTTTTGCTAATGCTTTTCCCTACATGTGCAATGCCCTCTTCATTTGGATTCTGTCTGCATACGTGCCAATTAGCCAGCTACCAGAAACAAGCAACCTCGGCATTGGGACTGTGGAGGAAACTCTTCATTCCTTCCTCATTTGAAAACCTTTTTAAATTATTTTTGAGCAGCTTTGTGATTTACTTTTGTTATCCAGGCTGGTTACTTTCTTCTTCATTATGCTTTCTGACCTAAATGGAAGGAACAGACAGTTGAAAGCTCCTTAAAAAAATATACAACACAAGCAGTACAACCTTACAATGGCCTTGAGTCTGTGGCTCAGTGTTAGAGCAATGCAGTGTGGAATCTAGAGATGTGGGGTGTTATTATGATTCCACAATTATGCCATTTTATCATATTAGGGCACTGGAATACACAAAATATGCGACAGTATAAGACTGTAGAACAGGGAAAAAATACAGAACAGATTCTAGTCCATTGTAGGCAACCCCCCGGCAGTTCACATTATTTCCCAAGCAGTCTACTAGTACCCTTTTATACTCCTGAGGGGACAGAGGCACTGTGAGATTAAGTGTCTTGCCCAAGAACACATCACATGGACCTGGATGAGACTTGAACCCAGACCTTTACTAGGCAAGATGTTACATTAACTCAACCCTCAAAAATCAAACCAATTCAAACAGAATCGATGTGATTAGATGCAAACAGGCCAAATAACCAGGTTCAGTGTAAGAAAGCTAAAAAACAACGTAACAACAGCAAACAAGCACAAAAAAAGGTTTTTGGAGCAATAAAGCTGAAAAGAGTGTAGTTTAGCAGCAAAAATAAAAAAAATGTTGTTTTGAGTGAGATATAGCTAGAATCAACATAATTAGCTGCAAACAGGCAAAACAAAACAGCAAAAAGGTTTTTTTGAGTGAGATGTAAGTGGTCTCAATTCTCATTCATTGTGAATACTTACAATCTTGATAATGTGTTCGCGAGATTTTTCATTTCCATGACAATCACTCTCCTGGTAAGGTGGATCAATTGTTACTTCATTCATGACCACAATACTTTTCCCATTCCACTTGACTTCATTAATTCTATGGAATGAATGTATCCATTCTTAGTATAGCCAAAAAAATTTTTTTTTTTTTTTTTTACAACATGATACTTATATTAACTACATTAGGGTTCCTTTCATGTTTTCCTGTTTTTTTGTTCAACTCAATTGGCTACTTTACACCACAGGGTACAAAATCACCTATCAGTTATCATGCAATCATCCCTGTTTACAATAATATTTTTCCTGAGATTATTGCCATCAATAAGAAGAAAAAAAGAGAAGAAAAAAGCCATCTGAAGAGTTTCACTTTTTCGTGTTTAGTACTTTACATGGATGAAAAATATATGATTGATTGCAATAAGCTTGGTAGTGGCATAAAAAAGCTGATCTTAAATGCTGCTTTGGAAAGAACAAAACACTCGCCAAAATTTGCAGTCAGTGCACCATACAAAAATTAATGGAATGGTTATGAAATAATCAAACCCCTCCTGGCTTGCTGATATGTCTACTGATAATGTCCTTGGCTCAGAAATTTTCCTCAAAATTTTACATTTGCCTTTAAAGCTTTGCTTCTCTGCCAAATATTCAGTCTGGGACAATATCTCAACATTATCAGCCAACATACCAGCCGCCTGATTCATTTACTTAGTATTGTCTCTCCACAAGATCACACCTTGTGTTGCAAAATAATAAACTGATTAAAATGAAGCAGTCATAACTGTTTGTTCTAAAATACTAGTTCTGATGTAATTCCATGTCCCCCTCCTAATTGAATAATGGATCAAAATGTGATAAATTAAAAGGTGATTCAAAATAGAGACAAGGATGTCACTGATATTCTTCTGCAACTAATTGACTTAAAAAATGGAATATTCTTGCTTTATTTAATTAAAATAAAACTAAATTGAATTTATGCTCATTTTTATGGAGATACATTGTCAAGCAGAAAGTCCAAATTAAAAAAAAAAACTTTGTTAGGATAAAACTGTAATTTCATCAAGCCTAAAAGTTGTGTATACTACTCTCAAAATTGGTATTTAAATCATGTCTGACATATTACATGGCTTTGTGTCATTTTGTCTCCGACATCACTCAACCATGCCACTTGTCCAAAATAATCATTTTGTAATGAACATCTAACAACTCTCCAAACAATTTTTCTACAAAAATGTTTGGAGGAAGTGAAAAGCTTATTGCAATCAATCAATTTGGCCTTTTTAGAGAGTATATAACTTGAAAAATTTGCCCAGGAAACCAACTTTAATTTTCCCACACACACACAACCTGGAACTTTGTAAAACTTACGTTTTGTTTATGGTGTCGAACAGCTTTTGGGCTCCTGGTGTTACATTGATGCCTATTTTCTCTACTGCTCGTCGTTTCTGCTCAAGAGCTAATGCAATCTTTTTATCAATTTTGTCATGTTCAACACATGGCAGAGAAGGAGGTGGTTTGTTGGATACTTCTGAAACGTTCAGCGTCTTCATGCGAGCCAAGTTCAACATCCTTATATCTGTAACATTTTTCTTGGGGTTCTTGGAAGATTCTACACAGCTTGTTAAGGTTAAATGATAATATTGTATCCTCTAGTAACAATGAATCAATTGGTGTAGATCATAGAGAGTCACTTTTACATATAAATGGATAATTTACAGTTAAAACCTTGGTTTGTACATGCATACACAATAATAGACCACGCTTGGCTTTTGTGAATATCATCACAATATCAATACAATATCAATCAGATAAGAGATGAGAATAAAGAAAATAACAATTTGGAGACAATTAGTTGATTCAATACTAAATTCTCTGAACTAACATTATAAGAATTCTATGGTTGGCAGTACAGAGAATTACAAATGTGATCTGGGAGTTGAAGGGTTAAGTATTGTACAACAAAAACCAAAGTAATCATATAGCTAATCATAGCAAAGGTCAAAATCACAAACAGCTAATGACAATGTAAATAAAAACAAACAAACAAACAAACTGTTAAAAGCAGGGGAAACATGGGTGTCCAAGTCACCATTGGTCTCAGTTTTAGATCTTATTGGATGAGACGATAGCGCAAGTTCTCTGGACCAATCACATATCAAAGTGCAATCCTGTATTTCTTTTGTCAGTCACTTAAAAACATTTCTCTGAAATGGATTAAGCTTAGTAGTGTTTATAGCACAAAGGCTAGAGCTGCAGACCAAATCAGTAAACAAATAAATTCACACAAAACATTACAAGGTTAAGAACTCCACTTGGTGTGAGGCAAACCACTAAGTTTTTTCACATTGACCTTAACCTCTCATTCCAATTCTCTTAGTGGGCAGACATGATGACTTCCCCTGGTTTCCATCTTTGCAAGGTACAGAAGGGGTTGATGATGAAAAAAATAAATACATTTTTCCAGATAATGGAATTCTCTAAGGAAACCATTTACTCGTTTCATTTGTTCAATTGCCTTAACCCTAACCCTAAGCAAATCAGCTCAATTTTAAGTCAGCCACACACACAAAAAAATTTCAAGCTAAATAGTCAACACCATTGACATCCTCTTAGGAAGAAGCCATCTAACAGCAAAGAATCAAAAGAGCTTTATAAACTTAACTTTACTCAAAACAGCGACACACCTCAGACAAAATGCGAGAAGAAAATATCTTGCATGGGATAAGCCCATTCTTGCCCTCCTCGCTTCCTGTTTGGGTCCCTCGCTTGATTAAAATCCGCGAAAGAAGAAATCACTGTGACATTAAACGTGAAATGTCCTTACCGAGTAGGATAATCATCGATGACCGCTGTTGTTTGAAAACGATAAAAAATTCTAATGTGTTTAATTAATGACACCTTTGAATTACAACTTCATCGAAAAATATTTTACACTTCCTACATCGAAAGAAGACGTTTATAAAATCTGTAACGGCTTGCAAAACAAATTCACAGCATTAATTTAACACATGTAAAAACAACATAGATACTACCAAAAATATAAAAATCCCTAAAATTGAAGATCCTGTTTTAGTAAATTCAACATTTCGATTATGGTGTAAAAATCGCAGCTCACGATCCTTTGGCGAATCCTTCGCACCATGAGACTCTGCTACCGGCAACGCGTTGCCTCAAAAAAAAAAACGAGCGATGAAAGCAAAAAGGATACTAATTACTAAAAGCTTGGCTCCGTAATCGAAAGCCACAACTTCTCCTTCAATTTTTTCATCAAAGCAAGTGGTACAAACCACTTTCGTTCCCGGTGGAATTTCTTTGCTGTCTTTTGCGTCGCCAGTCGCCATGTTTCCACCGGTACTTCCACTCATGCGTACACGAGTTCTAAATCCTGCCTTACTAGTTTTAGGAGAGTTTGTAGTTTGATCGTTTGTCGAGCAGTATATAAACTTCTGAACTCATTCAATTGGCTTTAAGTTACAAATAAAGGTATAAATAGCATTTTTACTCTTGACAGTTGCGATAATTTTTTAAAACAATTGTCTTTTCCACTCAAGAATTTGATCTTTACGTCATCTGTTTTCTAATCTTTTTCATGAGTATGGAAACCGCTGACACGCGACCGTTAGCACAACAAACATGGCGGACGAAATGGTGAGTGATTTTACTCGTTTTGTTTGATCTTTCAGCTTGACAAATAGTGAGTACCTAAAGGAAAACAGCATTTTTTATAATATGTTGAACCATCTATATATACATTTAAAAAACCTGTTTAAGACAGATCAGATGAAACAGAAAGGTTCAACCACATTGACGAGATTAGGAAAGCAGGTTGTTACACTTTAATGCTCTTCTTCGAGACAAAATGGGTCGGGACACTTTTTTGTAACTTGCAATTTTCTGTTGCTCTTCTTTCTTCTTTCAATGTTGTCTTTACCTCTGTTCCCTCGGCCACAGATAATATCGAGAGGGAGAGGAGCCGCAGGTAGTACTAGTGTCCATGCAAAATTTTTCAGGAGTTTACAGTAGCACTAGAAGATGAAAACGAAATTACACAGATGTTTTGGTGGATTGATAAGCTTGGTTGAAGCAACTTTGTGATTCTGATATACACGTTATGATTTCAATGGGAAACATGAACACATTTTAAAACATGTTCATGTACGTACTGGTATGTAGTTTTTTTTGTTATGGAAGAGACAGTTTTATTTGAATTGTCCTAGGATGTTGATGACCTTTTGCTTGCCTTGGCCTACATGGGCTTTGAACTTGAAGACTGCCAGATGGCTCTAGAGGCAGGCAATACCACTTTGGAATCTGCAGTAGAGTGGTAATTTGTATATATACACATTTTTAAATAAGCACACACACTTGCCAACAGTCAGAACCCATAATTATGTACTAAGCAATCTTCTCAGTTATGAACACTACTTAATAGTGAAAATAAGGCCAGAAAATATTGAGGGCTGTACGGGATTCAAACCCATGACCTCTGTTTTACCAGTGTAGTGCTGTACTAACTGAGCTAAGAAGCTAACTGAGAGCTGGTCTACTGCTTAACCCTTTCACTCCCAAGATCTTATTAGCAATTCTCCTTACTCTCTGCCATACAATTGTTATGATGTTAGTTTGTAGAATTGGGTATTGGATCAATCTGTAAAATATATTTTTTCTATTCTCACGACTTGGTCTCTCACAGGAGTAAAAGGGTTAAGTAGTGCTCATTACTGTGAAGATCACTTTGAAATTCATATTCACTTCTTAATCAGCAGTTCAGTCATGATTTTGATATATTCGCAGTTGTTTAATTAGAACTCGGTGGGTTCAGAACATGCGAATGAAACTGGATGAGTTCTGATTTGGAATGAGGTTGTTTATTATTGCACCCAAAGGATAAATTCTTCAAACCCTTAGAGTAACTGGATCATGTGTACTATAGGTGGCCTCGGTCAACATATCTGTTGACTATCGGTTGACTATCGACCGATAGTTGGTCCATAGTCAACTGATAGTCGACTGATAGTCGGCTGATAGTCGGCCGATAGTTGACCGATACATCGACCAACTGACGGCCGATGCATCGGCCAATATGTAGCGATCAACTGCTGGTGAAGTATTGGTCAAGTATCAGTTAAGTATTGATCAAGTATCGGTCAAGTATTGGTCAAATATCAGTCGACTATCGACCGATAGTTGGTCGACTGTCAACCAATAGTCAACCTATAGTCGGTCAGCAAGTACCTTGACAGTCGACCGATATATTGGCTGATGTATTGGCTGACATGTCAACCGAGGCCACCTACAGTACACATGATCCGAGCTACTAGCCTCATAGAGGAACATCTAAACTCGTCACAAGTGTGTTATCCATACTCCCTAATAGTTTTGGTGTTGCCCTGTTATTCAGACTCTTAGATGGTAGCAAAATAGGAGGGAGGGGTGCTGATTGCATTTCAGGCACAAATTTCAAGAAAATTTCATGCGTCAAATGTACTTCAAACAGCATTTCAAACATAGCAAATCTAAATGGGTAAACTTCAGATCTCCCTTATTGTAGGCAAGGTTTCAAGGAAAAACTTGAGATTTCTATAACATTAAAGAAATAATTTATGGATAATTTATATATCAGGAAGCAAATAATGCCTCACACTAGTTCATAAATTCACAAATCATACTCACCTGTTGGTAAAATTCACTGATCACATAATAATTTTGGCCTTACCAGTAATCACGCGTCCTATTTAAACATTATATCCCTTTGCCACCCTCTCAGTAAAGGATTGTACAGAAAATTACTTTTGACTCTTTGTTGGTTATAAGCATTTCTGAATTTTTTTTATGGATTTCTGGTTCCTATTTTCTTCAGGTTGGTGGTAAGAAGATCAAATCCAAGTAATTGTGTTTCTAATCCTGGTCCTGAGGCAACAGTGGAAGTATGTGATTGTGTAAAACACTTTAAGTGGGTATTAAATATTATTAAGCAAAGCTTTGCAGGTGTGCAAACATGATTCAAACGTGAAGTAGTTTGTGATTTAAGACCTTCTTTAGTTAGTGACCATTTCCTTTTTTCTCCCAGTTTTAATGTTTGATGTGGGTATAATTCTGTAAGGAGAAGTAGATGCTAGCCATTCTGAGGAGGCAAAGGGTTAAGAGAGAAGATTTTTGTGTAATAAACATTTCATTTTTCACAGCCCAAGGTTTCTCATGAAGAAGTATCTAGTGCACCTAGTGATAAGATTCAGGCGTCATCCAATTTGTCAAGCCGTTATACAGTGAGTGAGGAACATCAGAAATCCAAGGAACAGTTTATGGAAAAGGAGAGAGAAACTGCTAGGATGGAAGCCAAGAGGAGAAAATTAATGGAGAAAAAAGTGAGAGAACATGGTTTGACAAGATTTTGTTGTTACTGCTTGATTTTTTTTAAGTCAGTGAAGGAGAGATCTCCTTTGCTTAGGACAGAGTATTAGAAAAAGTTGAAGTTATGCCTGGTGAAGATCAGAAAATTATAGTTGTATTTTTAAATTATCAAAATGGAAATTCTTGATTATGATGATTTCAGCAGCATATTCTGTGTATGTTATGTGTAAATAAACAAAGCTTCAAAAGTGCTCCATGAAAATAACAGATGTGGAAACATTTCAGCTTTGTTTCTTTCACATTATTCTAAGCTCTGTGCTTTCTTTTGATATTTCACACTTGTCACTCTGTAAACATTGACAGAAGGGCAATGGAATATGTGAAAACATTCTATGATTATCATTTCATCAAGTAAGGCATGGAAAAAAGTTCAGTCAATAGCAGCAATGGTTTCAGATGGTAAATAAATCTTAAGAGCACTGCTTCATCAACTGTCAAATATGAAAGCCTGCCAAACGGAGTAAAACCACATGTTGCCATTGGAAACAGAGACAGTCTCCTTTGACAATAACATAATTTTAGCACCAAATTGTGCTCTCCCAACTTTTGTTGTGCCTTTCTCATCTGAAAATTGTGGTGATAATGTTATTTTGATGTTTTTCTGTGAAAAGTTTTCAAAGGATTTGTGAATAGTGGCAATAAGCTGATGTGCCTGTTTTACTCCAACTGAGAAGTAGCTCAATGGGATTTATTTTATTTTGTTTTGTTCTTTTCTCATCATTGCAGGCACGTCAGGAAGTTCTTCAGCAAATAGCAGCAGACAAAGCCAATAGGCGTGATAAAAAACCCAAACCACCTGCACACTTTGCAATGATTCAGGCAACAGATAAAAGCAGGGAGCCTGGTGAAAGCTCAAAACAAAACAAACAATGTTTGATTCAGGTGTGTGTTGGTATATGTACACAGCTGTTTTAAGAAAGGTTGTCTCAAGAAAAGCATTAAAGTGCATGCAACAGCTGCAAAAAGTGTTTTGGATAGTTTCAGGTCACAGTTCTTTGACCTCAAGATTTTAACATCGTGGGTTTGACGAATTTGTTTATTTATTTGACTTATTGACATTCATTGATTACCGGATACTCAGATTACCTTTCAAGATTGCTGTGTGCACTTTTGTCATTTTTTCTGACAACTGTTTTTGGAATGGCTATATATGAATGAAGAACTACTGTAAATGGACTTTTGCACAATCTGCTATAGCACTTGTTCATTTCAAATGTGAAGCAATGTCATGTGAGAAAGATGTTTGCAGTTTCCAAACATACAAGTCGCAATTGACATATTCGTGACACTGCAAGTTGCTTAATGTCTTTCAATTTACCTAGATAAGAAGTCCATCTGGTCAAGTGCAAAGGCAGACATTTCCGTCGGATGCCAAACTCCAAGATGTTGTGACATTTATTTGTAGCCAGTACCACCTAGATTCTACCGGCTTTGAACTTTTGCAGGTGTAGTATAAATAATGCTTGAACCTGATAATTTTGTAATCAACAGTTAATTTTGCATTAAGTATAGCTCCAAAATATCAGTTTGGAGGGCGACAAGTGGATGATTTTCCAATTGGTACACCTTTCCTCTCCAATCAGTGTTGTTTCTGGTTGTTGCTTCTCTGCGTATGTGGAAACAACTGTGGAGAGATATGTAACAGTGGATGAGAATGGAGCAGAGGTGAACTGTAGGAGTCAGTTGGCCTATTACTCTATCGCTGGACTTCTTTGTTTTCTCTCTTTTGTAATCAATGTTCTTTACATTTGTTGCTTCACTGCAAAAGAGGAAATAACGGCAGAGATAACAGTGGGTGAGAAGAAAAGGAACGTGAACTGTAGGAGTCACGTGGTCTATTTCCCTGCCGGTGGACTTCTTTGTCTTCTCTCCTTTGTAATCAAATTGTTCTTTTCATTTGTTGCTTCACTGCAAAACAGGAAATAACAGTGAAGATAACAGTAGGTGAGAATGGAGGGGAGGTGAACTCTAATGAGTCTTAGCGGCCAATTATCGTGGCAGGCTCATCTTGTTTTTCATGACAGTGGGGTATTGTGACCCCTTTAGAACAGTAGTAACCAAAGGCAGTCCTCCTTACGATATTAGTACAATATCAATATTAATACTCCTTCATGGAAAAGAACCCCCTAAAATGTTCCACCCCCTCAATACAGGGCTTCTTAGCTCAGTTGGTAGTTGCAGCTGACTATCGGTATTCTCTAGGAGGCACAGGTTCAAAATCCATTAAGGCCTGAATTTTTCCAGGTCTCCTGTCAGCGATATCTAAAATTACAGTCTGCCTTTAACCCTTTAACTCCCAAGATCTGATTGTTAATTCTCCCCTCCAGCTGCTACACATTTCCTTGTAAATTAGTTATGAGAACTAGGTGTTAGATCAAGATAGCAGCTTCTCCCTGATGAGTTTGAATATTCTCATTACCTGTTTGCTGAATGATATATGGATATTATAGGGAGAAGTTTCTTGTCAATCACCTCTGGGAGTTAAAGGGTTAAAGATCATTTCCTTGCTTGATATCAACACACTCTGAAACAGAAAAATACATTTGGAATATTGTTTAATTTGATGACAAACTCTCCGGGCCAAAATTAGGACAATGTAGAGCAAGAAGAGTTGACATTTTTTTTTCATCATTATTTCTCTGCTGCAAAGTGTATTTGATATTGTAGAAAGATTTACCTCTTTGGTCACCACTTGAAGTGAAGGGGTTGAATATCTATCAAGTATTTTGTTGCCTAAATTATCCATTAATGGCTACACAGCCATTTCCACACAGGTTGTTTAAGGCCACAGAAATGGATTCCACATTAGTTGACCTTGGACTTAGTCTGGGTGGATCACTTGTGGTGAAGAAGACGGATCCTTCTCAGCCGTCTTCCACATCTGGTAAGCGTTCTATCACTGTAGACTTTTTAGGTGGTATTGCTAGACAATGTCTGGTGGTTGGTTTTTAAAAAAGCTTGCATTACAGAAGACTATAGTAATACAATTTGGTTGCACTTGTTGTATTTTTATACTTGGGGCTAGCTACCTGTATCCACATTGAGTTCTTGTTTGTTTGGGTTCACTTTTTGTGATGCTATTTCACATTTGGTCTTGGTTTTGTGACAGTCAATCAACAAGATCTCTAATGAGGTAATCTGGTATTATCATGTGAGTTGATAACGTAAATTGGCAACTGTTAAGAGTTTCAAAGCTGACATTTTGAGCCTCAGCTCTGACAAAGGGCTGAGGCTAACGTTAAAGGTGGCCAATTTACATTATCAACTTATTTGATAATGCCAAATTAACTTCAATTGTTATACTCACCCAACAATGTAGTGCTACTAACAGTTTCTTCAGAAACTTACCCCCTTTATTTAAGTTCTCTAATTCTTTGACTGTAGATCTATTGTCTTGTTTGTGTTTAGGTGGAGGACCTGCTAAAGTAAATCCTGGAAATGCATCTGAAGCAACACCACGCACTGGAAATGGACTTGAAGATATTAACAGACTGCCGTCAGACTCTGATCATGACAGGCAAGATACCAACTGCTCCCATGGAAATGGAAATAGAGTTGAAATTAATAATGTTGACGATGACAGACAGTACATGGCTCCTCCATTATTTGACAGAAGTCCTCCTCCAGAATTAGATGATGCCATCAGAGCACCTTTACAAGGAATGAATCCAAATGTCCTTGGTATTGGAGGGATGCAGAATTTCCTTGTGAGAGGTGGTGGTGGTGTTGGTCATATGTGGGGAGAGGGGGTGAAGCTTGGTGCTGTGGAACATAATCCACATTCTACTGATCCAGTGTTAAGAGCGCAAACCCCAGGAGAGTCTGCTGCTAAGAGGTTGGAGATGAGACAGCAACATCAGATTCAACCAGAAGCAGGTAGAAACTATATGTCAATGCCAGTCCTAAGGGTACTCAGTAGCATGGTGGTTTTGCTAGATGCTTCAGGCTGAAGTCCAGGTTTTAGCCCTGTCAGCATCTTTGTGTTGAGTTCTTATGTACAGCACTTGACCTTCACAATCCTTGTTCCCACCTAAGATTATCAATGGGTACTGGAAAACTGTCTGGGAAACCTAGTGAGTAAATTCTGGGTGGGAAGTTGTGATGCACATGCATGGTAACCATGGCAACTAGGAAGAAGCAAACTCCTTATTGTTGAGCCCCTTAACCTCTAAAAGTGACTGGCTTCTAATTTCTCATTACAGTATCACCTTAAAATCAAATGTGAAGGTCATGAGAGTAAAGGAAATGATCTCTAATTCAAGAAGCTCCTGATAGTCGGACAAATTCTCCTTATCAGTTCCATAGGTAATGTAAAGAGAACAGTTAGGAGAATGTCAATAAAACTTTTAGGATACAAATTAAGGGTTAATGCTATGGAAAGCTACGACACAATGGATAACTTGATTTTTGTCCAGATTTGACCACAAGAGGATGCATTGCCAGTAACTGGAACCCTGTTAACTTGAAAACTACAACATTTTGAATTTTTTGACAAGACTCTTATGTCTTTATTAGGTCCCAGTAGGGTAAGTCATGAGGAATTGCCACTTCTACACCGTGACGTTCAGCGTCTGGAAGACTTGTGTATCAACCATATCAGCCACCGTCTTCCTGGACATCAGAGCCCCCTTACATCTCTTGGCATGTTGCCACTTGGTCTGTGTGATAAGATTTTGACTCATTTAATGAAAATCAAAGCTCTCACACCTAAGGCAATGCAGGCTTTCATACCCTGGTAAGCTTAGTCTTGACTTTAATTTTGGTGGGAGAGGTGATGTTGACAACATTTGTTCATTAACGGGCTTAAATGTTAGCCTTGAATGTGATTAACAAATCAGTCTCCCTCTTCACATTCATCAGATTTTGTAATCACTGGTATGATAAAAGAGTAAATTGGACTCCACTCATGATCAGTCCTATACCCATTACTTCCATTACAGCCTTGCGCCACATGTTCAGCCAATTTGGAAAAACCCTCCTTATTACTCCGTTAATTATACTTTACTCAGTTTTGTTACCATTGATTATGAATTGTGTACAATTTTTGAACTTTCACACAGTTTTTTTTTCCTTTTCTATTTTCTGCACAGTGGGCTGAGGCATGTGAAACTAGATTGCTATTCACTGGTGACAAATGAACTCCTCATAGCACTCAGGTGATAAAGCAAACTGACAAACACTAATACTTAATATTGTTGGCAACCAATGTGTTCTTGTTACCAAAAGAGCTGAATACTTAATGATGGTTCTGTTCATGTTAGACTACACAGAAATCTAACCCATCTCAGCTTGAAAGCTTGTCCTCTTATAACAGACAAAGCATTGGAGGCCGTTGCAGGTAAAAAAGTTTGCACCAGTAGCATAATTTAATTTCTAATTTTAAGGAACTGTAAATTGATGATTACATTTAATTTGTAATTTTCAACTGGGATTTTCTACACTGCATTGTTTCAGTCTTTTATCTTTGCTGCTTAAAGAAAACCTTTCATTAAATTTAGATAATAAATCTTCTGCTCTTCTTCGATAAAACTTTTCTCAAAGTTAGCAACCATTCTGGAGAGTTTACAATTAACAAACAGATTCCATGTTGCCATGGGTATGTTGAGTTGTAGATCTGAGATGACATCAAAATGTTGGAAGAACAAAAAGGTGGCACAATGGCACAACCAAGTGTTACTTAACCCTTTAACTCCCATGAGTGACCAAGACAGAATTTCTCCTTACAATATCCATACAATATCAAGCAGGCAAGTGATGAGAATAAAAAAAATATATGAATTAGAGGATTACAAGTTGATCCAATACTAAATTCTCCAACATAACATCACAAGAACTGTATGGCAGACAGTAAGGAGAATTACTAATGAGATCTTGGGAGTTAAAGGGTTGATATGGTCGTACCACATTTTGAAGTCCTTTGTGATCTCTTACAGGACACACTCACAGCAACATGGAATCTATGTATTTTAAAATAAAGAGGCAAAAAAACTGGCAATTATGACATCTTCTTTGTGTCTGTCCTTGAATAGATCATAAGTAAGATGCAATTAAAATGAGTTTGTAATCTGAATTCAAATTTAAGGAGCTGAATGTGCCCCAAGAAAAAAATTATAGGGTTGCTCACATTAAAGACAGGATAGAAATGTACTCCTTCCTGCAAATAGTATACACTGTATCTTGCTCTGTCATTACCAGAAATCTATAATAGTTAAAATGATTGTTGTTTTGAATTCTTTGCATCTGGTAGTTCTCAAGAGGTTGAAATCTCTTAATCTTAGCCAGTGCCCTCAGCTCACGGACAAGTGCTTTTTCCACATTAAAGGTTAGTGAACCTGATAACCTTCTAATGTTTCCTGTGTTAACTGTGAAGAAGTAGTGAGAAACAACTGCAAATAACATTCAACTCTTTTTCTTTTTGTCTCTGTTGCATTGACTTCAAACTTTTTTCTATTGTTTTCAGGACTTTCTTCACTAGTTACGTTGCAGATGGACATGACAAAAGTATGAAAACTGTACCAATCCAGTAAAAAATTATTGCTACCAATAATTATCATCATTATGCATTAGACTTACTATGAAATCTCTGATTGGTAGAGAGCATACACCCAATATGCAATAGCATGTGAAAGTTGACATCATGATGATAACCCAGTATCTTCAGCAGATATTTAGTTATCATGTCAAGTTCAAAGTCTGGTTAGTTCCCATTTATTGTAAAAGTGCTCTTGGTAAGCATATGTTTATGAATTCAGAAAGGACTTAAATGAAGTTTATGCTCAAGTGTCTTCTACCTTATTTTCTGAACTGACGGTGAAAATAACTTATTTTCTTGCAGATAACTGACAAAGGTGTTTGCCATTTTCTGGAGAATGCTGCATCCTGTCCCAACTTAGTTCATTTAAGTCTTTCTGGCACAGCCATCACAGATAACAGCCTAGCTGCCATGTCTGGTTAGTGGTAGATTTCTGGTTGTGAATGTTTTTCAGACAACAGGTAGCTGTATCACGTACAAAGGCTATAAAATTTATCAATGAGGATGGAAAGATATTTTATTTAAAATTTGCAAACAATTTTGGAAAAAGAAAATCAGTATACTCCAAGAGGCCTCAGACTTAAGGATTTCCAATTAGCAGCGAGGTAGTTGACCAAAAATTAAGCTACAGTGAACATTTTGAGGAAATTGGAATTTCATTTTATTATCCAACTGCATTAGGTAAAGTACAAATAATGCAAAAAATAGAGCAAAAATTTCCTGTGATATTGTACAATTATGCGGACAATTGGTTATTTTGTACTATAATCCAATGTATAAGTGTTACACAAGACCTGTCACAAACCACTTCTCTATTTGCTGAGCTTTTCCACTACATAGGAAATGTTTATAAAATAGAAGCATTTGGAATATAAACAAATTATTAGACCTTTTGCTGTATAGTATCACTGAGTGTTTTTACTCATTTTTATTTTGACAAGTCCAAATACAGCACAAATTGTTAAAATATTCAGTAATAATACAAATCAAAATGTCTTAAAAGACATATAATCTGGATTCAATTGTAACAATTATTCAGCATACTGCAATGTTGGAAGCATTCTGTAAAGAGGTTAAGTGAGGAAGAATAGTAAATACAAATATAAGCCAAGGCATGGAATAAAGAAATGTACCACTTGTCACAATCATTGGTTACAGAAATCTGTCAGTGTCCATCTTTCCTTAGGCTATTTTTTATTTATTTTTTTTAGTTTAACTAATCTTTCTTCTTTCTTCAGGTCTCAAAGCTCTCAAGATTCTCGCTCTTAGTAATACAAAGGTAATCAACATAACCTTTGACTCTTTCAACCCTCATCTCTTAACCCTTCACACCCTGTCGTCATTATGCTTACTGTTCTCTATACATTTCTTAAGTCTAACAAGGAGAATTTGTTTAACAGTCAAGAGCTTCTTTTGTGGGTGACCATTTCCTTAATTCTCATGACCTTAATGTGTGATTTAGGGCAGATATTATAAGGAGAAATTAGACGCTAGTCACTTTTAAGTTTGAAAGGGTTAACTATCCTTGCAGTAATCCTGCTGAATCATATTAAGATCATGCTAATAAAGGAAATGATCACCAGCCTAAGATACTGTGACTGTTAAACAAAGTCTTCCTTTTAGTAGCAAAAGAAATGTATAGAGCAGGGTGTAAATGGTTAGCAGGACTTTCTTTATTACACATGATACAATTTAAATGGTGACTCTGTCTGATATATATTTTTATATTTTTGTTTATTTAATTTTTTTTTTTTAATGTGATAGATCTCATCTCTAGAAATTGTTCAACACTTGCCTCAGTTGGAGAATCTGAATATTTCACACTGTACAACATTACATGATGACAGTTTGGCTGCTCTGGAAAATCATCCATCACTTCTGTCTCTCAATTTGCTCTCAACAAATATCTCCAATAATGGACTCAGTCATTTGCAAGGTGATGACAGTGTTTTATATAGCAGCTATGCTGCTGAGTTTTATTTAGCCCTTCACCTCTCAAGATGTGATTGTTAATTCTCCTCTCTAGCTGCTACACACTTCCTTCTAAATTGGTTACGATATTGTGGTGTTAGATCAAGATGACAACTTCTACCTGATGAATTTGAGTATTCTCATTACTTTCTGCTGGACAATTTATGGATATGATAGGGAGATGTTACATGTTAATCATTTCTGGGAGTCAAAGGATTAGTGGTAGTGTTTCAGCAAAGTGACGAGCACTCCAAAAAGTTGCACCCTTCCAACTAGCAAGAAAATATAAAACTTAGACATACCAGAGTATTATTTTTTCAGAAGCACCTCAGTGGGCCAGAATCTTAAATCCTTGAGTCTGATTGGCTTATCACACACTCTTAACCAATCCACCTTCTTAATATACAGACCAGCAGATTTTTCCCCAAATAAGCACCCACGCTCTAATAAGTGCCCTCCCTGAGTAAGTGCCTACCCACAAGGCCATGATATATCAAATGAGTGCCCCTCAAAAAAGTGCCCCCCTCCTCTCACTTTCTTAAATAGTAGGGAAACAAGGAAACCTGCTTCTATGGCCACTTTATTTATAACTTATTAAGCTTCATCAGTACAGGTTAATAGCACCCCCTTTGGTTGAGGGCCCTCCCTTTAATAAGGGCTACCTTTTAGATAAGTGCATGGGTGCTCATTTGAGGAAGTATGGTATCTTATTTATCCTTCTTGGTTGGTCCATATGGGAAAAAACTGTGCTCTTGGTCTTGTGTACAGCCCTCTCTCTTTGGCCTCTGGCAGTCCACCACACCCTATACAGACCTTCCACCTGGTATATAAATATAACTAATATCTAATTTAAATAGACTAGAGCTTTCTAACTTACATGCTGGTATTGTATCAGGTCTGAAGTTGTCAACATTAAAACTACCGAACAGATTGACTATTACAGATGAAGGGCTGTGCAATCTTCAAGGTACTGATTATAAACGACTTTAAAATCTCACTCCTTAAGATTTCAGTAAAGAAGAATAATGTGCTTCAGAAACCATGTGACTCCTTTTACAGCTCCTTCAGGAAAAAGTATATGATATGAAAATTTACCTCCTACTATGTTTTGAGATTTTACAGTGGACTAGGAATTTGCAAATTCTCTTCAAAGGGGTGAAAAAATTGAGTATGACTGCCACAATTCCGGATACAACTAAGTAACTTGGCCTTCACCCATGGCCACAATGCATGTTTTGTAAACAAGGCTGCTCTTGTTATTATACATTACTGTGGTTTGGGTCAAGATTGTTTTTTAATGTAGCTCAATCCTTATTGTTCAAACCGGTTACAAAGGTTGAAAGTAGAGGAATGGTACAGTTAGATCAAATGTAGAGGGGCAGGTCTCTGAGTATTAGAGTGGTGTCCATGGTTGAAATCAATTTTTTTTAGTGGTTAGATAACTTTCCACAATCTCAAAATGTGGTCAGTGTTATAAGTTAGCCTTTGTGTGGAGAGATTAAAATAATATGACTTGAAAAGCATACTTTTTTGCATTTCTTTTCCATTATAGGCCTCTCATTAGTATCACTTGACCTGTCAGATTACATTCATGTTACAGACCTTGGTGTCCGCTCAATTGCAAACATGACAAGGTAATTTTTTTTAAAGTTTGTCCACAGCTGTTTTTCTTTCTTTCACTTTCATGGTTAAACAAGAAAGAAAGAAAAGTCAGGGAAGAGAAGCTAATGCAGACAGGAAGCTGAATGTCCCTTTTTTCAACCATTTAGATAACTTTGTGTCACATTTTTCTTTCACAATACAGACTGACACAGTTGTTACTCAGCAACACCAAACTTACAGATGATGGGATGAAAAGTCTAGCAGGCAAGATTTTTGTTTCATACATTTATGCTCAAAGTCTGGAAGTCTCTCAGATACGAACCAAATATTATGGTCTCCCATGAACTTCCCTTGTTCTCCCACATCAAGATAAAGTTGTATGTTTTTATTTTTCAATAAGGGGCAAGAACAAGTAAATTTTACCTTCATGAACCTTTTACACCCAAAGATCAGTATCCATATTCTCCAAAAGCTTCCCTATACATTTACTTTTGTAATGACAAGGAGAATCTTAGCTGAGAATCATTTTCCTTATTTTCATGATCTTAATGAATGACTCAGCAGTGCGACTGTAAGGGGAATAAGATGCTGATCACTTTTAGGGTTAAAAAGGTTAATAAAGTTTTGGGTTTTCTTTGTGAATATAGTTTTGCATTTTCTCTGATTTCTCTTGTTTCTGCTTAACCCTTTAACTCCCAGAAGTGATTGAAATAAAACTTCTCCCTACAATATCCATACATTCTTCAGCAAACAGGTAATGAGAATATTCAAACTTATCAGGGAGAAGCTGCTGTCTTGATCTAGCACCAAGTTCTCATAACTAATTTACAAGGAAATTTCTAGCAGCTAGAGGGGAGAATTAACAATCAGATCTTGGGAGTTAAAGGGGTAAGCCATCTATTACAGGTGAGAATGAGATGAAGTGGTGAATAAAAAAGGCTAAATTGATCAAAGTTAGGGGGAGGTTATATTAAAGATGTGATCCAAGGTCAGACATCTTCAGATTTTACATTTCCAGGATTTTGTGTTCCTAAGAACACATCAGAAATCAAAACTTTTCCAAGACCTCAACACTTGGTAAAATTAAACAGGCTGTGAACAATACGTCAGGGTTACAATAAGTTGACTGAAGTTGCTTAATATTATGCAATATTCCTTCAACAGCTCTGAGGGAACTTGAAGAACTTTCTGTGGATAGAACAGTAATAACTAATGAAGGATGTACAGTTCTGCCAAGTAAGTATGTCTGACAACAAGTTTCATTATATCAAGTTGAGAAATCATCTGTATATTTGGCCTAGGAGCTATCTGTAGCCACATGTTTGATATGTAAATTGTTTTTTTGATAAGCTCTGATTTTTCATTGAATTTTTTCACTGTTTTTTTCTTTTTTAGTATCTGTGACTCTAAATCAGTTCAAGATTATTTCAGATTCTTAAGATGTCTGCAGATAAAACTTTTTTCACAGTTGATGCTATTAACTTTGCCTAATTTTTGCTTTCTTTAATGTTTGTAAAAACTCCTACAGATTTCCAACAACTTAGGATTCTTGGTTTGTCATCAACAAGAATAAGTAACAAGCTTCTTTTAAATGGAACTTTGAATCACTGCAAGGTTCTTTCAAAATTAAACCTGAGTAGAACCAGAGTTTCTAACAAAAGATTATCCAGCCTTGTTCTGCCATTACTGAGTCAACTTAACCTAGATTGGACAAGAGTGACAAGTGATTGCCTCACACTTCTCACAGGTAGGAATTAAATTATCTTATGTATAAATGAGTAAAGAAGTTAAGTTTTTAATGAAATGGTGGTGCTGTGTTGGTGGGAGAGTATAACAGGGTAATTTAGTGTTATCAGCTGGGTTGATAATGTAAATTGGCCTCTGTGAAGAGTTTCAAAACTAGTTTGAAAGTGAAATTCTCTTGGGTGAAACTCTTTACAGTGGCCAGTTTAGTTTATCAACTCAGTTGATAATACTAAATTACCCTATCTTTTTTATACTTTTCACCTTCACAGGGGTTTCAATTACTTTTTCCATAAGCGGATGTGGATGATATAATAGTAAGTTGTGCCATAAGGTGGAATCCAAACATAAGAGCCTGCTTGCAGGCCAAACAGATGGTAGTGAAAGGTCTTATAGGCAGCACTATGGTACCAGTGACCTACTGCTATTGAAACCCCTGCTTCAGAATCATTCTTACTTCAGGTCCTTAAATAACTCCCAATTAAGGGTGGAGAATAGAATCTTAGTCTTTGCCTGGCAAACAAAATTTTGTTTCAATTTGAATCAGCTTATAGTCTTCTAACCAGAAGGCCACCTTATGTCATTCTCTTGTTACTGTAACTTTGTGTTGTCTTGAAGGTGGGTCTGCTATACTTTTTACATGAAGCGTGATTGGTCAATTTTTTCCTCATGAATCATGATTTAAATTTTTGTTATTTGTGAATCATGATTGAAAAAGATGATAAGATCTTTTCATGTCCATGTGGATGAATTTTTTCATTTAAACCTGACCTGTGATTGAAGAGCTGTGGTTTGTGAACCATTTTGGTTTGTGTGATAAATTTCCTGCTCTTTCAAAGAGCCAAACTCAGAAGATGAATGGCTTTGTAAACATGTTAGAAAGGTTAAAGGTGAAAGTTTTCATTTGAGAATCTGTTTTTTTTATTTTAACTTGAAACGAGATCATCTTCAATTTCACATGAACTTGAGTTTTGGATTGTTATTTTTGATGTGTGAAAAGGCTGAGTATTTTTACTTTTAATTAATAAGTTTTAAAAATGGAGACCCTCTTGAAGGACACCTTAGTTCGGTTTTTATAGCAAATTATTTCTTCTTTTGTGTTTTGTTTTTCCTTCCTAACACTTTCTTATCTTCCCAACTATCTTCCATTTATTCTTTCATCCATTCTTCCTTTTATATTCTTCTTTCTATCTCATTTATTCTGCTCTGCTATATAGGTTGTCCTTCACTGAAAGCCTTGAGAACAAACAATTGCACTCCTCCGTCACCAGATTCTGAAGATTCAGATGATGAGCAGGAACAACGATAATAACTGTTTGGTTTGATGAGATCAAGTATGAATGGGGAAAATATTTAATTAATTTATCTTCTCTGCTCCTACACTGAGGAATTGGATTGTTTAAATTAGGTACAAAATAATTTGTGTGATGGACCTTTGATCATTTTGTGAAAATTAAGAGAAATGACATGTATAATTTTCATTATAACGTTTAAGTTTGCAAAAAACCACAGAGTTATACAAGGCAAAAGTTGTAGTTGTGTTATTTATAATTAATATTTCAAATTGAGGTTACAAAGTCTGTCTAAATTCTAATTATGTTGAGTTTCTGTTGAGTTTATTTCACAACAGATCAAAGTAAACTCAGGAAAGTAATAATTGTAACTTGTTTTTAATGTGGCAGAATTGAAGAAGTCAATAAACTTAAAAATGTTACTTTTGCTTTTGATATTTGGAACTTATCTGAGGGGTTTCCTCTTTGTATATGTGGTTATATGTGTAAACATTAAATTTGGCCGTGCATGATTCCTCCTGAAAGTATATCAGTTCTGTCGAGTAACTAAGGGTGAGTCTTGAAATTTTTAGATGATAACTTACTAAAGTCCACATTCTGGACACAAAGTAACTCCCAGTACAGCGCTGTGATATCGTACCGCTGAATATGCTTTGTGCAACCTGGGAATGGAAGGATGCACATCTTCAGTTTCCATTAGATGGACAGATTTCAAATAGATTGGATCTAATCAGGGAAAATTAATTATATATTGATCTCCTCTTTGGTAGGACAACCCTGAATCAAATTTTTCTTGAAATCACTTTGCAGAAACTTCCTTCCACTCCAGCAGGTTTCCTCTTGTGAACCTCATCCCCATTCTTGCTCTCTGTCCCATTTGTAGAAGAGTAACCTTTGAAAACAGGTGACATTCTTTCCTCACCAAAATTTGATGGAAGTCTATTTAATGGAAATCGATATAAACCACATCTTATTTATTTTTGAACATATTAGCCATATACAGTCGAACCTGTATTAAGCGGCACCGTATTAGCTGTCACCCTGTTTAAAGCGGTCGTCGGTCGGTCGGTCGTGGGTGATTGCCTGAAAAGTCACACCACGTCTTCTTACGAGGGATGGCAAATGGCCTTAAAAATTGGGATCCTTAAATCATATTAGTGTACAGATTTGTATCAGAATCAACTCATCAAAAAAAGTGGAAAGATTACTGCGGGGATCTCTTAATAATCATTTAGTTTTTAACGAATTTTCGTTCCCCTTCGTTCACTAGTTATCTTTACTTCCGGTGTAAACTGCATGAGCCTGTGATCTTTGTTCTGTGGAGTGCACCAATAGAACCACGTGAGGGATATAAAACACGTAATCTGATTGGCTTACGTGTGTTTGAAAGAAGTGGAGGGAAAAAACGAACAAGATGGCAAAGTGGTGAAGACGGTTTTCCACTGAAGAAGTTTCCGTTTGAATTTTGTCTACGGATATCGAGTTCTTAGGCATTCCTGTTTATGACACAATCAATCATGTCCGTTGCAGCTCTTGTAGGATCTTTTGATGATATCGTCCGCTCCACAACGGTACTTGCTGAAGGAATTGAAGGAGGTTTGCTGCGGCCAAGTTTTGTTATTTTTCATTGTTTGTGAAAATATTTAATTTTTATGGCATAATTTGACATAAGAAAAGTCCTTATCTTTGTGTTACATTTTTTCGGTAGGGAATGGTTTTTCTTTCGGGCTTATACGTTTTATTGTAGAACTTCGATAGTTCCAAATTACAAACTTATAAACTTTGATCTGAAATGAGACGTTATGTTAATCGACCTAGACGACGTGGATTAAAACTATGTTCTCTTTCTTTTTTAGAATTCATCAAGTTCGTTTCGCAGCAGGAAGAATGCCGAAAGAAATGGCTTGTAGCAGAGAATGAGGCCGTCCGACTGAAGCAAGAAATCGCCAGGATCACGGTAAGTTTCGCTTGGGTGTGTAAAACGCATCCATCAATTCTGTTTCTTTCAGAAGTTGTTTCTCAGTGGCTTTAATCTATACTCAACCAAAATTTTCTCCCAAAAATCTTTTTTCAGGCTGAGAACGAAGCACTTGAAGTAAAACTGAAACATGCAAGGTATTTAGACAAAAATGACAGAGCTTTGGTAGATTTGAGATCGAGGAATTCTTAATTTTAGCTGTCTGTCTACCTTAATTTATTGTTTCGTTTTGTCATGAGCTTTTTCTCTGCGTTTTTGCCAGGAGTCAAGTTGAAGTAGAAATTAAGAAAAGAATGAAGGCAGAGGCAACCCAAGATCACCTGGTGAGAAAACAGATAAACTCTCTCATAATTTATATTAGTGACAACATACCATTATTTGAGGTATGCAATGTACAAATTAATAGAATGCATTTCATTTATTGAAACTACTGTGAAGACCATCTCTGATAGTTGTAATCACAGATCTTCCATGTAAAGATACCATCTTCACTGAAGTCTCCATCTCCTTAATAAAAAGAAGTGAAATTGCTCTTTACTGCATTCTTCCCCTTCTGCTCCTGTTCAATGGCTACATTTAAAAGTTTAATGTGACAAGTTTGCATTTTGCTATCATTCAGCACTGAAAGCTGAAAAGGGCTTGGTACCACAGTCATCATCACTTAATTAAGTAGGTTTTAGGTTGTATTTTTTACTTCAAAATATATTTTCTATCATGAGTTCTTCAAGATTCTATTAATATTTGGTTTGTTACATAAATTTCAATATTACAGGAAAGACAAGTGGCCTTGATCCGTGAACTACTAAATGACAAAGACACAATGAGCAGGTTGAATGACAATGAAAGACAAACACTGATGCAGTTGAGCCAGTGTCACCATGAGGATTTTGCCAGTCCAAGGAAAAGGTTTGTGGGACTGATCTATTGGCTTCTGTGGTTACCTTTTTTTAACCTTTCATGCCCTAATGTCATTATACATTCTCTGGCGTTCAACACCAACCCTTGCCTCATTGCTCAGGGAAAGTGAAATATCTCTGTGAGCAAGTAAAAAAACTCTAAGACTTGCCCAATTGGGCAATCAGATTTTTCATTGGAGTTATATTTTGCAGAACAATCTGATTTGTAGTGATGAAAGTGACTGGTAATATGACAGTGACCGTAAACGTGATAAAGAAATAAACAACCTCATATTGGTTTGCTGTCCTGTTTATTTGTCTGTTAAACATATATAGGTACAAACTTCAAAACATTTATAGCCAAAGAGGATACTATGTTTTAAGCCACCATGTTTCTCTGTGTAAAAGGAACACTCTTCATGATGGAAACCAGTTTCTGCATGGCCAGATGTGCTTCAATATTTTTGCAAAGCATTTATTAAGTTACTACTTAGTGACAAGGGAACACCAAATCATCCCATAACAGTTTGATATAACTTTTATTATTTCATTCATGGACAAAACTTCATGTCAACTACATTACATAATCAAATTGACATCTTTTTGTTTTTTAAATTTTTTTAAACAAGCCTCCTTTCAGTTTTCATGGCCTTTTAGTAGGTGGGCAACCAAAATAACTACAGAAAAACAAAATTGGCTGCCCTAAGGGAAGTTAGCCAGAAAGTTAGTGTCAAACACTGTAATCTCCAAACAGTTCTCTATAAATTTCCTATGGTGATGACATGGAGAATTTGTTAAACAATCAAGAGCTTCTTCAGTTGGTGATCATTTCCTCTATTCTCAAGACCCAAATATTTGATTCAGAGGTTATGTTGTAAGGAGAAATTTGGTGCTGGTCACTCTTAAGGGTCAAAGGGTTAAGAATGTTATTTCTCATGAAGGATTTGCCAAGTACTGTATCTCTGTAGGTGGGTGATTTTTGTTGGCAGCTGGCTACTTTTGATTACCCTTGCTCTCCTATCATCATAGATTAAACCTTCCTGCAACAATTATTTTGTTGCATAAGTTGTGGATGGTTGGTAAGCCATAATTATTATTTTTATTACTTTAGGCGCTTCAGTAATCAGGATGAATCTACTGGTTCAATCTTGTCTCCTTCAGACATCAGTTATGACAACACAGAGGAGGACTTGGTAGGAATTTTGATAATAAATGTTGTGATCATCATAATTGTAATACTATTGTATAATAGGATCATTTCCCTCACTCAGGTCACTATACATTAGACCTGATCAGTGTTCTCTTGTTAAAGGGGTAAACAGTTAAGTTTTTGGCCTGTAGTACCTCTTTTCACTGCTCAAAATCGCTTGGAATTCTTGAAAAACTTTTACAGGTAAAAGGACTCATTGCTTTCATTTCACCTGTCCTGCTTAAAATAAAGGCTGCCTGATGTGAAATGCCCAGGTCAAACATTTTAATAATTCATCTGATATGTAAATTTACCAGATAGTCTCATCATCCACCTGTGATTGTTAATAAATTATTGTTCATGTGCAGGCTTTTATTTGTTACTTTCCAGGATGTTTCCCATCCCAGGAAAACCACAAGAAAGGCAGTAAGTAACAATTACAATGTAGATCATGGAAGTGGGGGTGGTGCAGTGCTGGGAGAGTGCTTGCCTTCCACCGTTGTGGCTTGGGTTTGATTCCTGGACCTGGCATCACAAGTGGGTTGAGTTTTGTAGATGGTTCTTCTCCTCTCTCCAAGGGTTTTTCTCTGGGTCCTTTGGATTTACTCCCTTTTACCAAGAGACGGTGGACTTTGGGAATGTCCACTGCTAGATTTCCACAACTATTATCCCATTATTATTATTATTATTATTATTGTTGTTGTTGTTGTTGTTGTTGTTATATTTTTTACCAGTAGAACTCATTTTCTTTGGTTACTTCTACATGAGCAGAACCAAGAAGTCCTAATTTGAATCTAACTCTGTATTTCTTCTTTGTGTAATTTCAGCCTGCACCAGCAGCACAAGAGCTTGATGTAAGCACATCTACTTTGTTAACTCTCATTAACAAAATATCACCTATGACATTTTCAGGTCTCAAACCAACTTTTTTAGAAAGAAAACATGACTTGATTAAGATCAGTTGTTGTAATTATTAGGAGATCCAAGACATTAAATCTGTCGACTTAGTAAATGATTTTTAAAATGCACTTTTTCTTTATTCTCATCATTTTTAGGTTACTCCTCCAAAAAGACCCAGAACTGATCAGGTATACTTGAATTTCTAATTTTAACGCTGTACACTTATAACAGTGTCCACAAAATGCAGAACATTGTTTTAGTTAGCTAAAAATTTTTTCTTGACCATTGAAAGATATTTAAAAAGTGTCTGCAAGTAAAGCTGTTAGCTTATGAGAGTGTCCCTTAGCAGAGAGTTGACTCTACTTGCTAATGTACACTCTGACTGACTTTCAAGTCCTTGCATGTTTTTTTTATCCTCTTGTTTTTTTGCTCTTGAATTCCCAGTGGTAGTTATTGCTTTTTAAATGGTGAAAAATGTGCAAGATTGTTTTGTATTTGAAATTCAGGGAGATGGGCAGGTGGTGGTGAAACACATTGTTCCAGACAGTCCAGTCCGTGTTCCAGTTTATCCAAGTCCACAGATTCATGTTCAGCCATCAGCCCCTGGTGAGATATCTGTCAGAATATCACTATGAGTCCAACATGTGTAATCTTTAACCTTTTGATCCCTAAAAGTGTCTAGCGTCTAATTTCTTCTCACAATATCATCCCTGAGTCACAAGAATGAAAGAAATGGTCATCAATTAAAGAATCTCTTGATTGTTTTGCAAACTCTCCTTGTCAGCACCAGACAAAATGTATAGAGAACAGCATGGAGAATATATATATTGATGTTAAGGTGTAAAGGGTCAACGTTTTGATTTTATCAGCATGACTAATAACATGGATTGTCTTTAGACAATTGCAAATGTAGATTGTAAAGTCATAAAGTGTCTCTGTACCACTGATTACCAGTGATAACCTGAGGAAAGAAAAAGCTGGCTGAAATAGGTTAAAATATCATAAGTGTTGTTTTATTTTGTTCAAGTTTACTTTACATAATGAAAAAAAAATGTTTTTTATCCTTCTATTCAGAATTAAATTATCGAGACCCATACCGTCAGGCAATACGAGAACTTGAAGAAATTACTAGCCCGAGGAAGGTGACTCCACAACTACAGAGGTGAACATTGTTGTTTATCAATAAGCTGTTGTTGTTATTCATTACCCAAGTTCTAGTTTAGTTTGGGAAACTGTCTATATGCATTTGAATATCAATGTGAAGTTCTGACCTTTTCCTTGAAAATTGGTTATTGTTAATAGCACTGAATAGTAGAAGATGCCTTAGAATGAATGGCATACATATACAACCAATAACACATTACAATGGCCTTGCAAGTATTTAGTCCTCTGAAGTACCCTGTTTCAAAGTCAAGTTCAGTGAATGGATGCTTCACCTTCATCATTCAATAAATTTCCCAGGGGTTATGGAAAAAGGGAACATCAGAGTTACCCTTTACTTAATCAAACATTAAATTCAACTAAACCTCTTATCAACTAAATTTTCAGCAATCCCAATGCTGTGTTAATTTCAAAGTCATATTGTTTAAACGACAAATGACAATTACGGTACAGTTAAACATCAGGCCCTGGTTGTTCAAAAGGTAGATAATGCTATCCATAGGATAAATCTCTATCCAGCGGAAAAGAGATCACAAAATGCACTGCAATAACACAGGATAGAGGTTTATTCAGTGGATAGCATTATCCACCGTTTGAGCAAGGGGGGCCAGAAGAACATGTATTGTGCCAAGCAGAGACAGGTATATTTTTTTTCTGGGATAGCTTCCCAGTTATCTGGCTCGTGATATGTTCAACCACAATGTTGTATTACTGAGGTGTTCTTTCTTATTCATTTTTCTTCTTCTTTTTAATTTTTTTTTTTAATTGATTACTTCCTTCTTTTTTTTTTTTTTGATGCTTAACTAAACATCACATTCTCCTAATTGAGAGTGGGGTTTACCCGAATAAAAAACAGTATGTACAAGACACAGCAGCTGCCCAACTTTTGCTAGTTACATGTACTTTGTAAGATTTCCCTTCTTCCTTCTTTGGTCATCAGATTTACAAATGTATTTTTCTGGCACCATACTCCATCTCAAGGATATGGCGAAGGTGATGATGTGGGTTTACATCCTTCAAATTTAGAATTTAATAAAGGACTTGGAAAGCGAGCAGCTGGAGATACTCAGTAAAAGAGTAACTTTAGTTTATCAGCATTTCTTATAGTTTTTTGTTATTGTTCCAGAATTGCCTCACAGAATGGCAAAAGACCTGCAACAAAGGAAAAGGTAAAGTGATAGTTTAATTTGTTTTTAAATTTTCTCAAGAATTGATCATTATTTAATTTGAGTTGATAGTGACTCCTTAATTAATTGTAATTTCAGAAACATGTGTTGTGCTCCAAGACTGTTATCAAGCCAGAATCTTGCCAACCAGTGAGTATATATGAAAAACAAACAAACAAAAACAGGTTGTTAAAAATGTGAAGGAATAGAGAATCAATGAAGATTACGGTTTACTGAAAATATCGACTTTTTTTCTTGTTCTTTAGTGTAATAAGAGGATAAAATTTGGAAAACTGGCCTTGAAATGCAAAGGTAATCATATGATAATTGACCCCTTTACTCTCAAAAGTGATTTACATGTAACTTCTCCCTCAGTATTCATACGTTATCCAGCATACAAGTAATGAGAAAACTCAAACTTATTACAAAGAAATTTTCATCTTGATCTAACACCAAATTCTTGTAACTGATTTACAAGGAAATGTGGGTGGTAGAGGGGAGAATTAACAATTAGATCTTGGTTGTTGAAGAGTGGAGATTAATAGGGAAGGAATACTGTTCTTGATTTGGTGGTATGAACTAATTTGCAATGTGGTGATGTTTTCTGTAGTTTGTCTTCTTTGTGTTAAATGTGAATGATACAACCTGTTAATTGTACAATTTGTTACTTGAAAAGTTTTCTTCTATGACATTTCTTCATTTTCTTGGATTTGCCAGGAAAACTAAAACATACAGTGAATTATTGCCCCCAAGATCTTGTTACAAATTCCCTCACTGTCTGCCATATAATTCTTATGATATTAGCTGGAAGATTTTGGTATTGCAGCAACTAATAATCCCCTACTGGATACAATTTTTTTTTCATTTTCATCATAGGTCAGCTTGATGTGGTATTGATAATGTGTAAAGAAATTCTGTCTTGATTACTCATGAGAGTTAGATGGTTAAATGTTGTTGTGTTATATGAGAGCAGTTCTGTTTTCCAAGTACCTGCTTAAATGTGATATGTAATTTTATTTCAGATTGTCGAGCTGTGTGCCATCCAGACTGTAAAGACCACCTTCCTTTGCCATGTGTTCCAAGTGTTGACACACCTGGTTCTGGACGGAAGCGCCCAGTATGTATCACTGACTCTCATACTGGGTTGAATAATACTCTTCACTGGATTAATTGGTATCAAAGTCTTTACTCAAGCCAAGTTACCCATGCAGCCAGAGGTTACCCTGGTTTCCTTAACGTGAAACAACTAGGAGTCTATTACCACTCCCCATTGGATGGAGTGCCAGTCCATCAAATGGTTAATGCATCCCACCCTACCCCACCTCATCCCCTTCCCCTTCCCTTGGCATTTCATCAGGCTTCCCAGAAAATTCCCAGGTACCCGTTTAAACCCTTAACTTCCAAGATCTACCGTTCAGCATGAACTCTGTGTTAATAGCATTAAAAACTATCAATTGTCCTGGCTTTTAAATTCCGGTTCATGAATTGCGTTTCAATTAAGTCAGCCCGGAAGTATTCTGTCTGGTTTCTAGAGTAGACAATTATTGCCATTATAATTAGTTGTAGGTCTTGTATTCTGTTTTTGTTTGTTGACTGATTGCTGTTGATGATTTTTTTTTTTTTTTAATGTAGGATGAAAACATCGAGTTTTATGCTCCCACCACAGGTCCTATGGTGCCCGAGATTGTTGTAAGTGAATTGTCATTAAGGATTTTGTTGTACACGCCCTTTTAGTAGAAAATTTTAGGCCGTGTTCAAACGTCTTGCTCCTGTATTGTGGAACTGAATTCATGAATTAAGTTCGCAAAAGCGCAGCATTTAAATTAAACTATTTAATGTCGTTGAGCAAGGAATTAAGCTTGACGATCACTGCGCCCCCCAATAAAATCATAATTTATGTTAATTTACTTTGGCTGGGGAGTTACGAGGATAAATTGTTTCGTGGCTTCAGTTTATCCTGCATTTCGTGCTACTCAAACTAGACGTCTGAACTGGACCTTACACATCTTTGCCATTCTTTTTGGGAGGCTGCTAAGGTTCTCAGGCGACCCTATATTTTAGTGCGCTTTATAAAGTCAGCCGTTACATATGTAGTAATCGCCCATTACAAAAGAGATCAAGGGTTTACAGTCTAGCTTGTTTTTTGTTTTCTTTTTCTTTTTTTTCAACTTATTTATGTTTTTATTTGTTTTAGATCAAATGTATCGACGAAGTTGAACGACGTGGTCTTTCAGAGGTCGGAATCTACAGGGTACCAGGGTAAGTAATGTAGGTTTATTGAGGTTTCAGGATTCAGTCCAAATGGCGGAAAAAGCCTACCGTCCATGCTAATTCTCACGCGGCTTACTCCTCTAACTGATTGGCTGAAAACCAGCAGTCTTAAGTCAGATTGGTTCATAATTTGCCCCGCAATCAAATATCTTATAGAAGTGCGTTCCATAACAAATTCACCTGTGTACAACTACGAATTATTCGGGATACTTCTGAGATAAACTCTCTCTTTGTATTTCCAGGGCTGAGCGCAGTGTGAAAGAACTCAAGGAGAAGTTTACGCAGGGAAAACTTCCTGACTTGGTAAACAACCAGTGAAAAAGGGGTTTTTAAGTTAGACCGCCACGGGTGATTAATTATGTTGTTGTTGTCGTTTTGTTGTTCAGCGAAAAGTTGACGATATCCACGTGGTTTGTGGACTGCTGAAAGACTTCTTACGTAACCTTGCTGAGCCTCTGGTCACTTACGATCTGTGGTCGAATTTCGTCGACGCAGCAAGTAAGATTTGTTCGTCTCCCGTTTACGTGTGCGTGTTATCCCTTCGTCTAGCCTGCGCGCTTAATCTTCACCACCCCTAAGAGTGACTAGCATCTAATTTCTTCCTACAGTATCGCTCATGAATCAAATCTTAAGGTCAGGAGAATATAGGAAATGATCCCCAACTGAAGAAGCTCTTGATTGTTAAAACAGATTCTCCTTGTCAGCACTTTGCGAAATGTATAAATGCACACTAAAACACTAAATGCACACGGGTGTATAAGGATGCACATTCTCTGGTGGACTTTCAGTGACACGCCAATACTCAAAACCAGACAAAAGAGATATTTTCACCCCTCTTCACTGGATTATTGAGGATTTTTTGTGTGTTCCAGAAACACTTGAGCGCAAAAATGTTCATCTTTTGCGAGAAACTCTGCAATTTTTTTCCATGTATTTGTTGATTTTGTCAGACAAAACAGATGAAGACGACAGTGCAAGTGCGACATACCAAGCTGTCAGTGAGCTTCCTCAAGCGAACAGAGACACTCTCGCTTATCTCATATTGCACTTGCAGAAGTATGAAACTAAATGTACCATACTGAGTTAATTAGTTTTAGTACTGAAGACACGAAGTATCAAACGTCTTGGTCATTCTCGACACAACTTTATTTCGTCAAGCACTCTGGATACTTGTACAATCTACGAGGCATTATCACACTAAATGATTCCCACAAATGGTTTTTGAAAACCAGCTTGCCTTCTTCTTTCTTCTCAGTTCATCAAAATGTGACGTAGAGAAAATTAAGAAAAATCGCGAATTTGAGAAATATCTTTGAAAGATTGCTGCATTTTTACATTTGATTTTCACTAAACGTGATATGAATATAGATAACTTTTGCAAACTGTTAAACGAATCCAATATTTTTTTTAACTCAGTAGCAGAGCATAATGCCTACTCTACACAGAGAATCTACAAAAAATTCTGAGGAAAAGAAGATCCTGAGAGAACAACCAGCTCAAACTCTCCTCGTTCCTTTTTGTTATTCATAGAGCTTTGAGAGAGAGAGAATTGTAATTAACTTAAAGGTTCATATAGCGTTTTGTGTCAGACTTTCTGAAATTAGATCATATCCTCATTTTCAGAGTGTCACACTGCGTAGAATGTAAAATGGATGCCAGCAACCTTTCCAAAGTATTTGGACCGACTATCGTGCAGAACTCCTCCGCCAACCTTGAACCGATGCAGATGTTACAGGAAGCCAAATGGCAACCCAAGGTGGGTAGGGTGGGGAAAATCCGTGCTAAGAGATTTTCACATGAACACGTGATTAGAAAATAACGAAATTTATAGAATGCACAAAACGAATCTAGTGAGAAAACAGGGATAAAGTTTGGGGTTTCACAGGAGGAAACTTCGCGCGCCAACTGTATGTGCTATGAACATCGTTTCAGGAAGCAATTTTAATATTGTGGCTGGGTCCTCTCCGTATCGAGCCAAACTTTCCCGTTTGCACAAAACTCGGACGGAAATCTCAGCTCAGACGAAGTTTTCTCGGAAGATGGAATAATTCTTTCCGCTAAATAAATTGGCTCGTATTAATTTTTTATCAGAAACTAACAAAATCAAAGTTCATAAAAAGGTCATATTTTGTTTCTCCTCAGGTTATGGAGCGACTTCTCTCAATGCCCGTTGACTACTGGAATCAGTTCATAAACACTGACGATGAGAATATCCGTTCACCCCCATATAACCCGGCCTCTCATCGTGCGGACGGAACCCCGCTCACCCCGGAGTGTAGACCCGGTAAGCCCACTTTCCCCCCGCTCCCCTCCCGCCTTCCAACACTTCCAACTTGAAGCTGCAACAGCTTGGCTTCAAGTTTGCCTGTTACTAATCTCTTGAGCAGACCTTAAAAACCCTTCGCACCACACGTCCGTCTTAGCCTGGTGTGTTATGTTCACATTAAAGAGTTCAGCCTGAATTTTCAAATCTCGTTAGAGCACCTTTCCTAACGGTCCTGGTGTTCTGTCACTTTTAGTACCAGAGAGCATGCTTGGACCGCTGACTGCTTCAAACGCCAAGTCAGTCAAGAAGAAGGGAAGTTTTCTCTCCAGGACTCCTCTTACACCAAGGTAATCTTCAAAATCTTTTCTTACATACTGTGAAAGAAGACCCCTATAATCCCTTTTTAATGTTAACATTCTTTCCCCGCTAATAAAGGAAGATCTATTCCTTACACCGCCTAAAGGAGTATTCGTCTAAAACTACTTTGTCCTGAAGGCTCCCCACCCCAGCTCTCACCCGTTGCCTTCACAAAAACACTTTCGAAGGAAAGTTAGAACAATTGGAGAACGGAGCAGTGATTTACCCTCAAAAGTAGATTGTTTGGGGTTTGTTCTTCTCTCTTATCTAGATTAAAGTAAAATTTGTTTGAGTTTTGATTTTCTTCTTTTTTGTCTGTCTATCGTCATTGGCGTGCCTTCAAACATGCCTTTAACGACGAGTGGTCTTTTAAAACAAAATGGAAATTAGACACGCAGTTTTCCTCAAGCGTATTCAACTTATTTACGGGCGATTTTTTTTTTCTTTTTTTCATTAAAATAGCAGTTATTTGCAGTCTGTAAAACCGATTTATATGAGACACGTTGTGTACCAAAACATCGAAATCAAATGTAGAGAGCTGAGACCGCAGACGAAATTTTACCAAACATTCACCATCTAACTTTGAAGTGACATACGAATGCAAAAATTCCACGCGTGAATTTCGCGTGAATCGCGTGGGGGGCACCGAGCTTGCGCAGTGACCTGACAGGTGCAGTTTTTGTGGGAATAATTTCGCTCGTTTTAGTCTCCGTTCACAGCGCATATGGCCGGAAAGTAAAGTGATTGATGGGTAAATTAAAAAAGATCATCTTTTGTGATATTACGAGGTGGCCATGGAAATAGAAAGTAATTTTGTCGAGAAAATATACATAAGTCAGGTTTCAGTGGTGACACTAGTTTATTCTTTTTCACTGACCACATTTCTATCGTTATTGTTTGTCAGTTCCCACGTTTTATCAAGCATTTGTTTCGCCCTCGCACAAAAAAGAAAAACATTACTTTAAACTCAATAATCGTCGTCAAGTAAAAAAAAGTCGAGGCTCATTAAAAAGTTAAAAAAAAAATTCATCAACGATAAAGGCGTTCGTTTAGGCTAGAAATTATTATCTCAGTTCAAACTATGGACCCATGGTCATGAACTCGCCAGCGCGGAGCCTTCCACTTCAACTTTCTGCCGAAGATTCGCCGAGGTTCTGAAAATTCAACGTTGACCGCTCACAAACCGGCCACATTCTCCAATGAAAAAAGGTTTTTTTTCCTTCGAGAAGCCTCGAAAATCGGGAGAAATTTAATGTAAAAAAAAGAAAAGAAAAAAGGAAAAACAATAATAATCCTTTGACCTCGGCGGAAGATCATTTCATCTCTGGATAAATCGTTTGTTGAGCTTGAAAATTTCTTGAAATTTTTTTTCGACAATTTGGCCGTTCGGTCAATTGCTTATGTTCCGCATACTCATTTATTTTGGTTTTTGCGTGTATACAAAGTATATTTACTAGTTTTTGCTATAATGAAACTTGCAATTTTATTTGATTGGAACTTAAATTTTCGTCTACTCTTAAATTTAAAATTACTTTGAAGAATATTTTGGTAAACTAACTACAATTTCATCCCTTTCACAATTCTTTATCCCTGGAACGTAGTGCTTTAGTAATCGGCATAGGTCGGCATAGCAATTGGCTGACTTAAAGTATATTTATTTTCACAGGAGTGCCTGTGTTTATTCTGATCATTACTAACTGTCTTGGAAGTTTGTCAATTGATGTCATGTAGTAACCCGTGTTGTTTCTTCTGTTTCTCGCCAGGTTTGGAAGCAAGAGCAAAAATCCGAACAAGAGACCAACACATTTCTTCGCTTCACCGATGCTAAAATAGATTATAACTCTGTAGTAAACCTCTTAAATTGTTTTATAGTTCTTGTGTTGACAAGATCGATGTGTCCTTCGCTTGATGTGTAAACATGTCAATCCTTGATGACGATGCGGGCGACACGACTCTTATCGCACGATTGATACAGGAAGATCATCCTTTAAGTATACATACATGTATTGAGACTTTGTGGAGCTCCACTTGTTTACTGACTGATTCTGACTATCGCTTTCGACTCGAATACCCTTGTTAATTACTGATATTTTGTGTTTAAGATAGTTTATTTTGTTGTGTCGTCTGACATGTCATGTTTTCAAAGTAAATTGAGAAGATAGCTTCTGTTGTGGTATATATATTCTCTAAAACGTGCCCGTTTTAAAGCTGTGGTCTCCCAAAAAGTCTTTAACCTGAAACTTATCAATTTTATTTGACACAGACAAAAAAACATTTTTAATCTACACAGCCAGCTTTATGGCTATCAAATTTACTCCTATTAGCTTTATCGGGAAATATTGAATCTCTTTAAATAGAAGCCCTGTAATTGTGTACGGTAGCTATAGAACAATTTCATTTTTCATTTATTACAACTGAAGAAGAATAAGCTATACCTTTCACAATGCCTAACCCTGTCAGGATTTTAATTATTACGAAAATCTTTGAGGCTGTTTATTTCGTTTAGGCGTTTATCATTAACGGTAAGAATTTCTACTGCGTAACCAAATGCTGTTGGTTTAGTTTGTGTTCCTTTATATTTTTTACCGCCACTGTATGCAATATGTCATTGTCAGCGACGTAAGAAACCGCCGCTCAAAAACCTGATTATTGAGGACCAGGACAACAAAGAACTGAAGATCAAAGTTCTGTCACTAATGATATTATTTATCCAGATTAAACTTTCTAGCAGACTGCGTTACACGACCTCTGTGAGATGTGTTGTACTATTTTTATACGCGTATCCCGGCTGCAAGAGGAAGGGGAAGATATTTCCGAAGCATATCGTCATGATGTTAAGTGTGACTTCGTGGGAGACCATTTAGCGCTCATACTTCCGTTCAAGTGTTAACTGAGTTGATGTTTTGGTTTTTGTATTATTCTCTGAAGCTGAGAAATCAACAAGGACCAAATTATCAGCGAGTTCATCTCTAACTGATCGTAACCGATGGTTTCAAGGTTGTTTGGGGCAAATGAGAAACGAAACTTGTTACGCTTTGTACTTAAGTCTTGGATTTGTTCAGTTTACACTTGAAAATCTTGTAGTTAGAGTCTTGACCACTTTAGTCAGAAGTCTTCATTGCCCAACGCGTGTGTAGAATAATTATGCAAATTTGACTGACCTTTCGTCTGCGTCAGATCAATCGCACGGATCGTCTAGGCTGTGTCGAAGACGAATATAGATTTGATCGGAAACAAATCGAGAACAAAGCTCCTTGGTACCTCCAGTTTTAAAAGGCGGGGGGCGGTTCACGCGCGACAACTTATCTCCAAATTAATAAAGCTTGATTTTGTCCACATGCTTGAATAGAGTTCCCTCTCAACAGAAAGCAAATGTAATCTACGAGGGAACAAACGGTAGAAGATAGATCTTTAGAATATACGGAACACAACACGTCGCGTCGAGCAAAAGGAATTAGAATAAAGTAGTTTTCCTAGATTTTTAAGTAAGACAAGACCGGGTTCTGGCGAGTGTAGTAAGCTTGCTCTGCAGCAATAAGTAGAATTTTCTTTGGCACTTACTGAAATGATTTTCCAGTGGAGAGAACCAGATATTTCAGGGAATACTGAAGAAATTTTTCCGCTCACTGTGCTTTTTGACCGTGTAAAAGTAGGCTTCCGTGTGCTGACAGCAGACAACATGGAACCTTTAAATGGTCGTTTGCAATAGGCTTATCTCAACTAAATTACTATCTCACATCTGAAGGGAAGACTGAATATGCCATTGGTAAAATAGTGCTTGTTTACGATGGCGTATCTTTTTTCTCTCTTTTCCTTATCAATGATAGAGTTTATTAGTAAAGAATTCATGGTGAGGATCTTCGTCTATCAAACAAACATGATCATGAAAATATGGTAGAAAATTTAAGAGCATGTCTAGTAGACCTGGTACATTCGCACAAGGTTTTATTAAATCGATTGTCCACTGAATCATGGCGTTATCAAATACACAACAAAGACTAGTTTGGGATCACAACAAAAGATTTATTATACTAGGAAAGGAGACTGTAAAGTAAATAAACCCCTTTAAATACAATCGTTTTTTATCTGTGATAGGTTTTCTGCACGCTCAAATATACAGGTTTGACAGAAGTCGATGTTTAATTGCTAGCTTACATCTCGTGTATGGTCAAGCACAGTTTTCCCCTTTCTAACTACAAATCGCGTAAAATCAAGCTTAAAGGTACATTTACACTTCATTCACATAACAATTATGTTTAGGATAGTTATGCAACACCTTATTACTGCATATGATGAAGCAGACTTCAGCTCAATTCCAGACAATCTCAGTGGCACAAACTGCGTAAGGCAAAACAGTAGGGCTAAAAATTTACACGGATTTCCGATCGAGAGTTCCGTAGCGACGTAATTTCCTTCATTATTCATCGATCGTTGGGGAAGAAAAGAATCGATTTCTTGAAAAAAACACTGCTGTTGAAGGGTACACGCTTTAGATTCGTATGTGACCCGATTTTCATAACCTCGTCGACGAAGGAAATGTATGATGTATTTCAATAACAAGGCAACGCCATTTTGACCAATGACGCTGCGTTACTTAGAGTTTGACCAATCACAGAGCGATCCTGGGGCTATTGAGCTTAGCGGCAAAGAGGCGTGCTTTTGAGATGGGTCTAACGTGAGACTGAAGTAAAGTGACTCACTTTGTCCCTACATTGCAGTACAAATCTGCGCTTTTTGGACAAAGTTAAGGCGGAATTGAAGATTTTGACACTGAGCCAAGAATCTAGACTAAATACTGATGCGGTCTGTCCGTTTCCTTTGACTTCACAGCGAGGGATTTTTAAGTTATCTGTCGAGCTGGTTAGTCGCACTAACATACAGGCTTTGAGCATCTATCGGGCCGTCGGCTCCTAAGATACTACACAGAGTGCAGCTACATTAGACTTTATGATGTCTTTGGAAACTGCAGCAGAAGGGGTAGAGGAGAAGAAACAGTCACCTAAATGTGGAAGGCTCGTATTTCGTGGAGTTGAACTAGCATATCTGAATATCGACGGTGAATTCTTGTTGCCTTTGGCGGAACTGTTGGCTTTGATTTTGCCATCAACACCGCGCACAACGTTATTTACTAGGATGGAAAAAATGAAAGTTCGAAGGCATTTCTGCGACCCTGAAGAAATCAAACTGCTAAAAACAGTAAATGGAATTCACGGTTCGTCTGCCAACTGCACCCTACTTTCCAAAACAGAAGTAGAGAAATATTGTTCAATCTATATCGACAAGCCTAGCGAACTGAATCTAACGAGAGCGGGGGATGTATATCCAGAGCCATTCGGAAGAGAAAGTGATCGAAGGGAAAACGGTCGTAAAGACAGGGAGTGCACTGAAACGACCCACCAAAACAACAAAGCAATTCGGAACAAATCAGCAGTGCTTGATAAACACAAGAAAATGACGCCGCTTAAACGTAACCTAACGTTAACGAAATTCGCTAAAGGGAAGAAGCTAAAATTGCGCTCGGAAGCTGATTGTCAAGTAAATAAAACATTAACGGACAATACAACTTGTGCGGCCATTGACGGAGATCTAACTTCTGGAAACGTTAATGAATGCGAGGAAGGTTTTCTGGTCGTTCCGCCGTGTTCTTTACGTAAGGTGCAGAATTGTACACAAACGCAAGCCTTCGATAAACTTACTGTGAGCAAGAAACGCATAAACAAGCGTGACAGTGTGGATGGGAACAAAACGATGCGTAAATGGACTTCAGGGAAGAAAAGACCGGCTAATGATTTGGACAAACGGGAAGTTTTTGGATCGCCATTGAAAATTCCCAAGAGGAGGGAGTTAAATGGACATGTGGAAACTGACAAAGTAGTAAATGGAACGGGTCAATTTCGTTTTCATCGTTGCTCGTCGAAGAAGCAAGATGTTGACTCTCTCATTTCTGATTCATCGTCTAATGATAGCGGCTTCGCGTCGACGTCGTTGTCAAATGCAAGTACACCAACGAAAACTGATTTTTCAGCTGGTGAGCTGACCAGGTTGTGGAGAAAAGACGTCGACACAAAGAAACTCTCTTCTCCGTTAAAAATCACCACACCAAAGAAGAACAGATCAAGCGAGGAAGACTATGGAAAAAGCTTGACTCTATCACCCCCAGCTTTATTGTTAAAGCGATTTGAAGATTCTTGGCTGGTGGAACAAAAAAGCCCCGTCAGTGCAAAGTTCGCGGGAACAAAAGTCTTGCCTATAGATAAAACGAAGCCCAAAACAAAGAAGAAAGCAAGCTTGACGCCATTATTTGAAGAAGTTTGCAAACCAGTGAAACCTCTTTCTGATAAAAAACAAGTGAAGAAGAAAAAGAAAAGTCTCAGGAAACCACCAAGTTTGATAGAGGAAATCGGAAGCCGCGAAACACTTATCACCAACGATTTAATCGTTGAGGAAAGGCACGACGTCAAAGGATTTGACAAGAAACCGAAGCGAAAAGACAAATTTCTAAAGCTCAAATCTCGTAAAGGCCAAACTTTGTTTAACGGGCAAGTTTTCAGGTCGAACAAAAATGCTGACGTTTCAGCTAAAAAAGAAAAGAATCCAGAATACTTTCATCGAAAAATGGCCAGTCCCGTATTCAAAGCTGACGGTTATTTACCAACACACGAGGAACTATTGAAAAAGGACAAGGTACTTGAAAGACTAGTCGGTAATGCGTTAGCCAAATTCTTTGCTCCGGAATCATCGGAGCCTGCTCCGTTACCAGACAAAGTCGACAAACCAAAAGCAAAGAAAACAAAGATTGCAGGAATGGCAAAGCCTGTTTTAAAAACAAACTCCCATTTTAAACTTTCAAATTTGTTCCCTGTCACTTCGCCTTTAACTCTTCAAGATGGAGGTTTGAGTCCGTTGTTCACCATGTCCTGTCCGAAAGGAAGCAAACCAGATTCCAACCATGCTCTGTGGAAATGGAACCTTGGCGGCCCAGTCGTTCGCGATTCTCCAGATTTCTTAAAACCAAAAATATTAAATAAGAAACCGGTTTCTACGTTAAAGCTAAGTGTTAACAAGGTGCCAAAACTCAAACGCAAGCGGATGAAACCGTTGGCGAATAAAAACCCGCCATCGCTTTGGCGTGGATCTGTTGATAACGACACCACGAGTGTCTCCTTCCCGGCCGACTCAGCGAAAGAAAGTGTTTCAAATACTACAAAGACTGAAATTGTCCATTGTCAAGTCAAGTCTGATGCTGTTTCGTGTTCAGCCGCAGTGAAAGTGAGTTAACACAGGAGAAGTTACTTTGCATGCTAGACACTAATTGCTATGCTACATAATTTAACCTTTGCACAAAAAATAAGCTTTCTTCATATTGATAAGTCTATCTTTTCTTCAAATTTGTTTGAAACCGTTGTAGAAAAAGCTAACACCCTCGATTTTCATATATTTTTGGCCTGTTGAGTTATTTACCTCAGTCATTTATTTCGAAGTTAGCTTTAACACAACCAATGTAACAAGTTCCCGTTACACTTCGAAACATGTGTCTGTATCAGATTGCAGCGAAGGGATTTTGTCAAGTTAAAACTGGCCCATTTGGGTGACATATTCTTCCGAAGTCTTCAAATGAATTTTAAATGTTCGAAAATGTCACTTTTATGTTTCCGATTTTCATCATTGCATAATGTTTTCAAGGATTGATGAGGAAAAACACACTCTGGGGTCTGTTAGCTATGTTGGTTCTTCATAAATTGAACACTCTCTGATCACTGAATTTTTCAGTCAAACGTTTATTTAAACTTTTCCTGAAATCATTCATAGGTAAATTATTTTGTAGAAATTGAGATACTTAAGAACAGTCTTCAAGGCAACAAAGGTGATGATCTCTTATTCGTCAAGGTTTTGTTTATATAAAGGAAATATTTTAAAAGGTTGATCTGTCTATCATACGCAACTTTTCGTTTTAGATTGATCAAAACTTATAGTTTGTATGTTATCACCTTTCTGTTATTATTAAAGTAAGTGTGTTGTCTGCTTTAATAATTTCTTGATGTCTCAACATTTCTTTAAGTAGATTTTTACCCCTTTTATCCAAATCATGATTACTAATTTATGTGTTGTGGTTTGAAATAATTGTTGCTTGAAAAAGTTAGAACCATTTTAATTTTTATTTTCCAATATTTTTCTCGAAATTTTGTCTTATTGTGATCCAAGTGAAGTTTAGGTATGATCCATGACAGAGATAGATATGAACTTGAGATATGCCCTGACGCATAATTCTGTAATTCCTTAACATCACTGAATGCCTAGGTAAGAAGAGTGTAATTTTCCTCAAAATTCATTTCATAATGTGTCACAAACTTTGAGCATGATGAAGATCCAATAAAATACACAAGTTATTGATGTTTCTTGTTTCCCATACCTCTGTTCTCTTCTTATTCTAGCTATAGATAGGCTTGATTTCTGCTGCTCTCTTGTGTCCAGTCTTTGCTTCTTCTTTGTGGGTTCAGAGGAAGGAGCGCAGGCTCATAATCTGAAACAGCGGTTGGTAATCAAGCCTTAGCTATAGACGAAGAAACTTGATTTTACAAGCACAAACACTACGCATTGTAACTTAAATGAAGGACAATTTTATGTGTAGTTGATATCTTGTGAAACAACAATGAAGTGATTGTTCGCTCTCAGTAAAAAATCTTGTGCATTTATTTATGTTGTATAGGGGAATTGCCAATGCCAAGTCAACCCAAGACAGTTTAAGGAATATGATTAGTTTTAAAAGTTGCATGTCACTAACTGAGGTCAAATTTTAATCTTTTGTTTAGAAAGCAATGATAAACTGATGTAAGCAAACATTCACAATCATTCAATTTTACAGGGTATTTTCCCTTTTTAATTTTTGCCTTACTGTATCAAATCATTTATTTTCCTTTTCCTTTTTTGCTTGTTTGTTTGTTTGTTTGTTTGTATTTTTCAAAATGGAGGTTGTGTCAGGAATGAAATGTTAGGTAGCAACACTCGCCTTCTTTTCACCATAGGGACAGTCTGTTTCATTTCCATTTAGGACAAAATGTCATCCCAGTTTTCCATTAGAATTAGTATTGCAACAATCGGGTGCAATAGATAAAATATTTCATGTCTGTCAAAAGCTGGCTGATCATCAAGACTGTGCGGTTTTGGGTTTGATGTCAAAATGAATGTTTTTAAGGGTCAGTGTATATCAAACAATCACCTTACATATCTGCTTTGATGTTGACCCCCTTAAGCATATCAGTCTTAATGAAACTTTTTCATGCTTTGCACCACCATAATCTCGAAAGTTGTTGACATATTGGCAACACAAGGCCAATTGATTCAAAAGACATGCCTGGCTCAAGTATTGATCCATCATTCCATCATTTGCTTTGTAGCAAGACATGGTTGGAGTCTAAAAAGTTGCATACACATTTCTTAAATGTTAAATTGTCAGGGAATGTGAATTTACATCCTCACAATTCTTTTAATGTCTGCATTGATTTATGATACATTTGATTTTAAGGAAAAGAAAGTTATTGGATTCCAGTTGATTTTGCGCCATGTCAAAAACATACATAGTCTCACTTAGCATTGCTTTTGTTCTTTGTTCACTTTTTTTTTCGTTTTTTCCTAAGATTAATGTCAACCTGATAAGAGAAAGTGGATTTCCTCTTGGTATTTGGCAAATATCCATGTGTATGTATCTTCTTACATAAATATTCGCTGCATTTTTAGAAGAGAGTACTTTCTGGTTGAAGAATGACAATGATTTACATACAGGAGGACCCAAATTTTCCAAAATATCTATGATCCAATCGTCGTGGAGACAAATACAAGCTAAATTGTCTTTGTAATTAGAATGATTCTTTAGTAAACTATATCTCAATTTCTTTGACCAATTTACATGCCATATGTTGTCTAAAGGTATTCTTTCCTCAAGCCATGGAACAAATTTTTACACTGATTGTTTTGAAAAAGGCGACAGTTCTTTACTCCATTTAATTTTCCAAACATTTCAAGCTACTTTCCTTTGCAGCCGTTGCTAAAGCTTGTCACACAACGCACTCCCTCTGTTGAGGAGAAAGTGCGTTGCGTGACGGGTCACGCGGCTGGAGGAGGACAACGGAAGCCATTGAGATGCAAGTGGATTTGATGTTGATGGTTGTTGAAGTTAAAATTTTGCTGGTTTGCGTCTCTCTCTTTTTTTTTTTTTTTCACACAACACCACAACAGCGGCTTTACAACCCCACATTCTTCTAGAATCAGTGCGATTAGGAAGTGTATGAGAAAAGTAAGAATATCATTTTCTTGCATTGGGATTCCCAAATTTTATTATGTTAAATATCATCTTCTCTTTAACCCCTTTCCCTTCCCCGTCGCCGTAAATAGCTTCTCTAATGGTCTGTTCTTACTTCGGTGATTCACGGAAACTTCGGAGTGCAAGCTAAAGCGCGTTTTTATCATGCTTCTATATTTCCTTCAACTTAGACAGTCCCTTGAGGTGAAAAAGACCTCCCTAATCCTCCACAAAAGAACCAACTTAAAGAAAATCTCTCTCAGGTTACAATTCGCGTCAACATGACAACACTCTTTCGAGAAAATAGCCTGTTCCTAGAAGAGCGAAAACACTAACGAGGCTCGGGACGGGTTGCGTAATGAAAGCGTCTTTTGCGCGACACGTCCCAAGCCGCGCTCCCTTTTTTCACTCTACCGCTACTACTGCATGGTTGACTGTTTCTCTCCGTTTTACTAACCGAATGCCTGGAACAAGCTATCGCGGAAAGAAACATTTGCCATGCCCTAACCCAGTCATTTCTGAGTCACTGACGTGTGCTACTGGCAATTTGCATTACATCTTAGACTGAAAATTCTGTCTGACCGCGACTTAATGTGGACTATATGTCCCAAGAGATAATAAACTGCTTAGTTATAGGGTTTCCCACATATCAAAAGTGAAAAAAAACAAAAAAAAAAAAAACTCCTGTCAAAAAAGATAGCAAAATGAACAGATATCTACTGAACAGGGTTAGAGCTTGAGGGTCTCTGCGGAACACTCATTTAAGCTTCTCCTAAGTCCATTTCGGGTCTTAGCGGGTTTCTTAATCTAATTTTTAACCACCAGTTCTTACCCCCTCTGAGCTCGCCGAGAAATGTATCTATTTGGAAAATGAGAACTGCACTGCACTGAAATAATCCCCCCTAAAATTGGTTGAATCAATCCATAAATTTGTTTGATGGGAAAAATTAAGAGGAAAAAAAACTAATCTGTTAGCCCGCCAACAGCCACTTCTAGAAGTCAGTGAGCAAAAAAGTGCGATAGCAAATATAGCGCGACAATAACGGAGTAGTGAAAAACGAGGGAGGCATGGATCGGGTAACCTTTTCACCCGACCCGACCCAAGCCTCCCTCGATTTTTCACCCAGGCGATACTTACGATGCCGGACACTATTTTGCTCCGTTTTACTAGCTAAACGCCTAGAAAAGGCCAGTCTGTCATCTTCCGTCATCATTTCAAAGATGTCACATAGCCTGGAGGGGCACTTATCTTATTCAGCCTAAAATGATATGCGCCGCCAAATTAAATGTCATCTGTGGGGTCTTTAGTCAAAATCAACGTCTACCACCTCACTTAGCTGGATCTCTTTCACAGAGACTGAGCTGGATGAATGGGAATGAAAGGGTTTTACATGTGAGAAATTAGGATTGTGTGTTTAAAATATAATTGCAGTTGTTTTGTTCTATGAAAGCTAGATGTAACTTGATGAGGTAAAAACCCCGCAGTCTAAAACGAATTTTTTTTGTCTGTAACAGGGTAGAGGAATGAACAGATTTTGTCCTTAACAGGATCAGGATGAAAAGGCTTCGAGAAGGCGACCTACCCATCCCACCCCTGTCAAGTCGTGATGAGATTTTCCAGATGATCAAAACTGGGTCATTGAAAACATCCCATTGTTTATTCGGGAGACAGAATACCGATAAGACCAGATAAAAAATGAAAACCAGAAGAATTGCTTAATTAGAATTCATAAGCTAAGCTGATTTGTGTTTGCATTGTTGTGATGTTGCTTTTTCGAAATACTGAGAGAACTACAGTTATAACATTAAATTCGTAATTAGAATTTTTAGCTCTTTTGTCTAAATTAACCCACATTCTAAACTTTTTTTCTAAAGAGAGAAAGAGAAATAAATTGTATACGCATCAGGAGCTCATGCCACTGACATGCGCCTCATTTTTTTCATCAAAATTAAGAAAGGCACTGTTGTTACGGAACGAGTGAATAATCTGCCTCTTGGTGCTATTGCGTGGGCCAAAAACATGGGTTAAAAATTAGCACCTGTACTGACTATATGGGAACAAATTCAATGGATAGCTCTAGATTTACTGGTTTGTGAGAGGAAATTGGTTCGTGAGAAAGACTCTTAAAAAAACGTTCAAATACCAGGTTGATGTATCATGAAATGAAGTATTGTTTACGGTTGTAGGGAACTGAAAAACGTCAAATACCAAAGATAAAATATTTTGCACACGTGGGTATCGTGAAGCGTGAAACAATTTTTCTCTAGATTAGTTGATTTATATTTCCTTTTTCGTCATCGTCAGCACAAACATTACACTTATCAGGGACTGTAAAGAGCTTTGTGCGAGACGAAAACCTCGTCTTTCGTTAAGGTGGCCAGGATCCCAGGGCTTCTGAGGTTATATAAAAGAGAAATCTTCATTTATAAAATCCCTCCGTTTTTTTTCCCTAAGCTAATACGATATTTATTTGAAAACAAAGTTTTTTTCCCTTTTCTTATAAAAGCTCAAGTGAGTTTTTTTAAAAAAGAAGTTTGAACATTCTAAAAAATTTATAGGCGATTTTTTTAATTCCCCTATGGAAAATCGTAAAGCTTGTGCTCTATTGCCTGGAAGAATATAAATCGCAGATGAATATCAGATATGGATGTGTGGGTGTTGAGACAATCTGCCAGTTTACCGTAAAATTTATTTGCGTCAGTATGCCAGAATATGTACAGATGGTACGGCAAACGATCGCCGATAGCTCACAGCAAGCAATATTTGCTGCGTTCTAATTGGTTATTAGAACAATGGATGATCGACAACTTCCGAAAACAAATAAACATCCGGGAATTCAACCAAGCTTTGAGCTCTGTTGTTGGTTGTGATATGGCGAAGCGTCTCTTACAGTTGGTTACACGGTAGTACTCGCTACCTTTTTTCATTTCCCTCTTAATCAAAATCCATGGCAAATCCATGGATTCGAACAACCTGAAGTACACCCTTCTCCTGTTCTGTGTTGTAGTCGGACAGTTCAGGGAATCGCTGGCTGTTGGTAAGCTTGAACTTTTGATCAGGTGCTCTGATCGGTGTGATCGATCACTCATTCGAGAACGCTCTTCAAAGCGTGAGAAATCGACTCATATTAATTCTCTGGGTTTTTTAGGCTGTTTTTCTGGGGCAGACTGTGATGTTGGCGAATACTGCAACCATGGTAAGTTAGGAAGGGATCTTTAATACTGTATTTTGGGGGTAATTTTACTTAGATTTTGAATTTGTTGATCTGTCGGTCTTTGATCCATCTGTTTGGTTCTGTTTTGGTCACCGGTTGAGTTTCCTAAAAGTTAAAACCTCTTTTGAATTACTGTTGTGGATGTTTAATGTCTCACCATAAATCTAGATTGTCAAGAAAACGAATTCGGCGTAATTGTACATGTTTTTCTAAGGTACATCCACGAGCACCCGTGAAAGATAAAAAGGTTTGATTTTTACATAAATTTACTCAAGTCGTCTTCACTTTGAATGCGCTTCCCGCCTACTAAACGGAATATTTTTTCGTTGTCTTTTTGTTTTGGAAAACAACATGAAATCTTCGCCTGAAATGTTTTTTATGCCAATTTTAATGTCAAAAAATTATTGACAAGTGGTTTTGTACGCGAATTATTTTAGTTGTTAAGAACACGAAGATACGGTAAAGCGCTCTCGAATAAGGAAATGTGGCATATTTTTACATAATTACTTTAGCTTTGACCGGATTTCGTTCAGAATGTTGAAAAATAACCTGAATATTTTCCCACTTTTTTCTTTATTTGACAATGTTTTATTTTCCCTTTTGTTGAAAGAATGTACACTTAAAAAGAAAATAAGACCGGTTTAACACAGGATCAAATGCTACGATAAGATTCGAATAAATGGTTCTTCTCTTTGAAGGAACGATTTGCATGTAGGCTGATTAATCGAATAGATCTTTGTATTTAATTAGTTAAGTTGGCAATATCAGTCCCTTCTTCCTCGTTTTCGATGAAATATCCATGAACCTTTCGAGAACTTATCGATCATTTCGTACTTCTGTCGTCCCTGACACAATAAAGCTCCTCTTGATTAGTTGCGTATTTTTTACGTCACAGATGTGGTCACCCTTATTTATCTCGACCACTATGCTTAGACTAGCTATATTCCTCTTGTTAGTGAGTCAGGAAGAGATATTGAGGAGGCATCTAGACACATCATGAAGTCGTACTTTATATTAAGGGCATTTCATCCATGCTTCGAATATCACAGAAAGATAATCAATTCGAAATGTTTGTGCCTTCGCATATTTTGAAGGTGCTTTTGTTATCCTGAAATTAGCGGTTCACAATCTGTTTTCACAGTTTCATCATTTGGGTATAAGTCTTTGAAATGGAAAGTAATGCTCCTAATAACACGTCTCTGTTTCTGAATTTCGGCGTAATACAAGTTTTCCACTTCATTAATTTTTTTCACTTCGCTGATGTTTTCACTTTCTATGCGTCATTGATCATCAGTGGCTTACAAATCCACAGTTACTATCACGAGTATAGTGTTAACTCTCACTCGGAACAGGAAGGAAAGCAAGTAACTGATGTGAGCTGCCTCTCTCAGTTATCGGGAGTGATGATTTTGTTTTTGAAGATTGAAAAACAAACGCGCGTTACACTACAAAAACTTCTGTTGGAACCAGTGTTTTTAGCTGGTTATTATTGAAGTCTAGGGAGTTACAGTCTGCTTTTTGTGGTTTTTCCTTTTCAAGAAAAGGAATCGACCGGGGCCTTTTTCGGGAGTGGGCAAAACAATCTATCATGGGAGGAATTGAAATTTGGGAGGGAGGGCTGCTTATATTTTTTTCTCAAAAATGAGAGATTTGGTATGTTTTGTAAGGTCCTAAATCCTCCCTTAAGGATTAAAATGAGCATGAACATTTTTTTTTGCCCACAAGAATGCTACAGATATTTTAGGGATTAGTTAGGACGCTTCTAGCAAACAATATTTTTTTTGCATGACTAGTAGAGTGGAAATTTGTTATGAAGAAAGTTGTGAAACATTTTTATAGCTTACCTACCTTGAAATTATAAAATCTTATCTTTTCATTGGTTTGCTTTTATGCTTGGAGATAGCATGGAATATTCAGAGTAGTTTAGTTTATTTTGAAGCCATAAACATTTTGCCAATGGGATTGTTTATGTGTTCATTGGTGTGGAAAACTTTATGCCAGTGTAAACCCTATTTTTAATACCTCTCCTTCTGCATACAAATAAGCAAAGCTGCTAGCAACATTTTCAAGGCATGTTTGGCAATTTTTCTTGTTCATTAGCAGCAATATTTACTATCTTCTGCACTCCAACCTTTATTGTGTAATTTTTTATATATTCTGTTTTAGCCCTCATACTGTCAGCTATGGCAGCAGTGTTTGATATGCCATCTGTCTGGTTTAATTTTCATTTGACTTCTTTTCCCTCCACAGCCTTTCGATGTCAAAGGGAAATAATTTTTGACCCAGGTAATGTTTTGTTTTATTTTATTTATTGAGTAGAAAAAGGCAGTTGTGATGAGCAGTACACAAACATTTTAACTATGAAAAAATCAGCGTGCCCTTTAGCAAACTATTACTTAGGTTCACTGGCCCAGAGCTCTGAGGAGCTAACTCAATATAAAGTTTGTCATGAATTGTAATTAAGTGTCTGGGTATAATGTTAAGTTGTTGGTAAATTCGTAATAAAATGGGTAGTACTAAATATTAAGAAGAATTTGAATGCGCAACTTGCGATTTAAAAAAAAAACATGATAGCCCAATGAGAAGTTTATCTAGCCCTGGGCTATACAACAGTTTACAAATTTTGCTGTGGGGGTTTGGATGAAGTCTTTTCCCTTTGATTTATGGCTTAAAACCATAAAAAATTGAAAATGGCTTAAAACCATAAAAAATTGATCAAGCAGGAAATTGAAGGGGAAAAATCAAGGATTCTTAACTCACAATACAAATCAAGAAATTGAGTGTAGCAAGATATTTATTATGCAGCTGATTTGAGAAAAATTGTCTCGGGACAAGTGTTAAAGTGCACATGAAAACCTTGAAAGGTAATGTGGGTAGTTTTCAGGTCATGTTTCCTAGACCTCAGGATTTTTTTTGAAAATCTGATTTGATATTGCTGTAAGAATGAGGCATAGTAGGTTTGTTGAATTAATTAAATTGATACACTCATTAAAATTCATTTATTACCAGATACCCAGATTACCATTTGAGATTGTCACATGCACTTTTGTCCTTTGTTATGACATCCTTTCTAGCAAAAGCTGTGTATCTACTGTGTGTCTGATGGGTGTGGTCAACAATTTCTAGTCATATGGTTGCTAAGGGTGCAAATGACATACACCTTAGTTTTAAATTTATCAGTTGAGAGGAGATGTTTGGATAAGAAGCAATCAAAATGTTTTACATTTTTCTTAAGTGTACTCGGCTGACATTTGCGATGAAGTGTTAATTAAGCTGTTTTCTCATTCATATTTACAATAACATAAAATCCATGACTAAATTCACATGTCAGAAAGAATGTTATTTATACTTGAACAGCTAAAACCATGAAATAGATGTTATTTCGTATTGTTGCCAAGGTGGGGCCAAAGAGAAAATTTACAGTTCCCATGAGGAAATGAGGAAATGAGGAACTCAGACTTTTTCCCTAATTACATGTTTGTCACAAGACAAAATAACTTATTTCTATCTTATCAAACCTGAGTCTCAAATTCAGAGTTTCTGTTAAAATCTAATTACTTTTACTAGATTTCCAAATAAATGTGATTGGCTATTTGACAGAAATGTTGACCAAAATAATTATCTAAATTTTGGCTTGTTTCAATGTGAAAACCCATAGCATTGAATTAAAAACTTTGCATGTCTTTTACCAACTGTAAAATGCTACTCCATGTAATCTTTTCAAACTGAAAAAGTAAAAGCCCAAAAATCCAAACTGCCATCACTCACTAATAAACTTTTATGGTTGAATTGGGTTGGGGGTGGGGGGGGGGAGGAGGTGGTAACAAATTTAGTTAATTATTAATTTTTCTTTTTACTTCCTGTAAAAAAAACTTATCAAGAACCCTGTGATTTAAAAAATTTCAATCACACATCTCTGTTGAATAACTAAGACAGAATTTCTCCTCACGATATCAATGCAGTATCAAGCAAACAAGTTATGCAAATTCAAAAATATATCAATTACGGGATTATTAATTGATCTGATACCAAATTCTCCAAACTGACATCTTAGGATAAAGGGGTAAGTTTCTAAAGAAACTGTGGTGCTGTGTCAGTTGACGAGTATAACAGGGTAATTTAGTACTATCAATTGAGTTGATAACGTAAATTGGCCACCGTAAAGAGTTTCAAAACTTACATTTCAAGTATTAGCCCTTAATCAGAGGGATTAACAAACAACTTAACCCTTTACGGTGGCCAATTTACGTCATCAACGCAGTTGATAATAATAAATTACCCTGCTAACATCTTAGGAATTGTATGATAAATAGTAAGGAGAAATACTAAATAAATAAGATTTAGGAGTGAAAAGGGTTCAGAGGGAAGAGCATCCCTAAAACCATAACTAGAGAATGGATATAAACCTGCACTTGAACAGCGCAGTTTGTCTACAGTTGTAATAACCAGCTAATTTTCAGGAATTATGTGAATGCTTCTTCATCTAAAGATGTGACCTTAGTCCATCTTGGTCAATGAATTGACTAAGTTTTTAGCTCTTTACCCTTTAGGGCCATGGTATCAATTCTCCACACATTCTACCATATGTGACCCTCCATGGGAAAACGGACACTGAAAAGCGAAACCATTTACTATCCGTTTAAATCTGTTTAAATGGTTTGTTCATCTGTTTAAAAAAATTTGCATCCGTTTAACGCTTTTGGTAAAACATTTAAGTGGTTTGCTCATCTGTTAAAAAAAATTTGCATCCGTTTAACGCTTTTAGTAAAACGTTTAAGTGGTTTGCTCATCCATTTAAAAAATTTTGCATCCGTTTAATTTAATCAGTTGTAAAAAAATTCTTTTCATTTAACGTTCCAAGGAAAACTTTTGACTATTTGTTTATCATTCTGTTACGGGCAGTTTGAAGTATCAATCTTACGTTCGCTCAATACTTGCCAGTCCTTGAAATGCAGAATGACCGTATCTTATTTTAGTTTTATCTTTTCTGTGATCATAGAAAGCGAGTAATTGTCGCATCCTTAGACAAACGAGTTAAGTTAAAGTATCCATTTGTTCAAACATAGAGCATTGACAGCCAATGAAGCCGTTCATTTGACCACAATCCTGCCATCGGTCTTGTTTAAACAGTGCGCCTGATCTTGTTTACAGATTTGGTGAAATCGAGATAACCCTGTCTTGGTTCCCTTGTCATGGTTTTGCTAAATCTGCCACTCTCTATCTGTTTATATCATCTTGATTCATCTTCAATGGCCCCACTTGGTGCATGACACCAATTCAACCTTTAATTAGCAATGGACTACATTGTATTATTTGACCCTGTCAGCTTCTGACAAGGTCGCAGCATTGCATCTGCAGATTTATTTCCTGAAACTTCAAAACAAAAAATCATGAAGTTCATTTTCAATAACAATTAGAATAAACAAAGGAGGATGTTGTGAGTTTCTTGCAATAGCCATTCAGGGTATTTGGCAGTGAAACTATTCTTGGTAAATTGCGCTTATTTCATGAATGTCACATGAAAACGGCAATAGTTTACTCAGAAATAAAATGTGCAAGTGTATCCTAGCTATTATTTTTCAAATTATTATACTCAATGTTTTCTCTTCAAGATAATTATCCATTGTTGCTCGGAAAGTTTTTCCACAAAAGATCTTAACAGCTCAACCATAACTGTTTACATTAATTTTTAGCTCTCCGTTTGTCGATTTTGGTCAATCATATGTTTTTCAGTTTAAGCTACCCGTTTTTGGACTTTGATGAATTGTTTAACATTTCGAGCTATCTGTTTTTAATTTTTGTCAACTGTTTGAAGGCCTAAGCTATCTGTTTTTGGACTTTGGTCTACCATTTAAATTTTTGCCATCTGTTTAAGTGGTTATGGAAACCGTTTAAACACTTGAGTTAGCCCTTTAGTATCCGTTTAAAACCTTTTTTCTACCATTTAACATAAAAGCATTAGTGTCTGTTTTCTCATGGAGGGTCACGTGATTCTTGTAATTGTGGCTCTAAGAATCACAAATGCCCTGTAATTGTTATTTTCTGATATTGCATGGACAAATTGTGGATCAATGTCAGCAGCTGAGCAACTGCATACCTACCCCTCCCCTAACCCAACATTAACCCTAAATTGTTATCAGTTGACTGTTTTTGGTTTAGGGGAGGGGAAGGTGTGCAGTTGCTTAGTTACTGACATTGATTTCAAATTATTTATCCATCTCTCTTGTTCTTACTTAATCAGGAAAACATTTCATACAAAAATTTTGTACTATTTTTCAGATTACCCATCCTACCACAGACAACAGTCACAAGAAAGAGTCCATAATTTTAATGATTATCCACAAAGCTTCAATGACAGAAGAGAGGTTGCAGCAGGTCAGGAGGATGACTCGGAATGGATGGATGAATATGAGTACAAACTTGAAAAAGGGGAGAGAAATTTGAGACTTAATGTACCTTTAGCAAACAATGATAATCACCACAATAGAAGAATTTTTCATGAAGACCATGGGCCTTTACCACCAGAGGTCCCTGTGAATTGGGACAAGATCAACAGCAAAAACGGGGGAAACTTTAGATCAGATAAGAGACATCAAAAGACTGCTGATTATGACAGTTATGATAATTTCAAAGCAAGGAGACTTATACGACATAGACAAGATTCCAGTAGTGACACTGTAGGAAGTAGACATGATATTAAAGATTCCTCCCAAGGAAATGCCAAACCTAATGTAGGAAGGTCATCCAAGAAAAGCTCTGTTTTCAACTCAGAGGGAAACAGTGGAGTGAGGTCTGAGGAGAAATCAGAGGATGCAAATTCTTATATTGGTGAAAAGAAGGTATCACATGTACCCCTTGCAACTGGGATGGATTCAATAGTGGCAGACAATTCCCATCTCCAAGGGAACCAGTTACAGACAGAAAAAGCGGCTTTCACAGAAGAGGCAGCAGCAGCAGCAGACACCAAGGTTGGTGCAGGAAAGGTCATGGTGAAGGGAAAAGTCCAACAAGTCAAAGCTGACATTGATCAGGGGCCAAATCCAGAGAAGACTTACAAGCGAGTGGAAGATTTCTTTCAATCTCAGAGAGAAAGCTCTATTGTTGAAGTTCCAAATTCTGTCAAAAAAGAAGAGGCTTCAAAGTTGTTCAAGGACAACTTTATACCTGTAAAAGAAGATGGTAGTGACCAGATAAACAAGGAGCAAGGTAATATATCCTTATTCCTTTTACATACATGAACAACATCCCGCACAGGCCTGAATTTTTTTCAGGCCTCATTTTCACTACTGCTCAAATAGCGTTCATTACTGCGAAGATTGTATTCATATTCACGTCTTTATCCACATTTCAAAAATGTTATTTTCATATATTCACTGTCATGAACAACATTGATTAAAAATTTATCATAAAGAAAAAATGATTTGGAGAGCAAGATTAAGTCCAATCACATGATAATATCATTTGTTGATAGTTGTCTCATGTTACATACTCTTATCATTGTTATAAAAAATTTCAATTTAAATTATACTGAAAATTTTATGTTGGGACAATTTGCCACAGTGGAAAATGGCACAAGTGAACTTAGAATTGCAAATTAATCTTTTAGAAAATAATCTTCAATTTAGTCCTGTAGAAATATGGAATCGCTACTGATACAAAGAAGCTATTAAAACTATAATTATATTCATATTGAGGTTATTAGTACTGCATGCGAGTTAGTTCAAGGCAGTTTGAATTTGTTCATTGCCTTTCAGATGATTCCCCTTTGCACAAGGATGGAGAAATAAAGCTGTCTCTGAACAGAAAGTAAGTTTAAAACTTCAGCACACTTTATTCATTTTATATATGAAATGTCAGAATATTGTAGAAATGTAATAGTTTTGGTTTATGATTTATTGCCACACCCCCACCCCCCCTTCTTTTTTTTTAGATTGAGATTATTAACTTTGACAAAACCCAGTTCAGTTTATTGATTATTAGCTGTTGATATGGTATGGGACAAATTTCTCCTTCTTTTATGACATTTAAAGTTTGTCGTCTTTACCTTGGTGTACTGGGACAACCAGAATCAAAATGTAAATTGTTTGAAAAATTTTTACTAATAAAAAAAATAGAACCAGTACAGAAATATCTTGATATATACTGACATAATCTTTACCTCTCCAAAATGCTTCAAGTCTTGTGGGAAATTAGCTGGACGGGAATTCCATTTTTATTTGTAACTTCACAATTATGCAGGAAAACTAGAAATGTGCTTATCTTTGAGTAGAACTTACAGTGGGTTTCCTGACCTTTCTTTTACCTGATATGAATTAAAGAGCCCCAAAAAAAAATATTTGCAGCATGAATAATTGATGTACTATAGGAAAAAGTGGCATTAAACATTTAGTAATAAAAAAGATAATAAGTAATAATACTAACTGATTAAAAAACAGAAATTACTAACAAACTACAGTAACACACTGGTAATTTATAATGGAAGTTTCGTGGAAATGAAAATTATGAATATCTCTGGTGACTTAAAGTCATTAATTTTTTTTAATGCACTGTGTACACAGCATAACCACATCCCAAGCCAAATTACTTGCCGCAGCACTTCAGAATGCGCTTTGGAACAATGCACCATCCCCCATGTTTACTGTGATGAAGTAAGCTAACAGACATGTAATCACCCATTCCAATAGATCAGATTGCAGGTTACATACTGTTAACAGTGGAAAAACTGTGCTATATTTACATAATACAGTATGTGGCATACCCAGTGTTAAGTTAAGGTAATTTCTTGCCAAGAGTGTATCTGACTAACAAACTTTTACATAGCAGTTTTAAAAATTTAAAAATTTTGGTTACTGAAATTGGTTTTGCAACTCATTGAAGAGAGCAATTTTTTATTTCTGAAATTTTTAATGTGTATGTACTTTGTTGACCCAAAAATGTTTTCATTAACAGATAAACACTTAAAAGTTAAATCTGCTAATTTTAATCTAAGTAATACAAGTTCTCTCTAACCATTCAATCCAAACAAATTTGTCTTGTTTTTTCTCAGGCAAGTTGAATTATTTTAATTTATTTTGTTTGCTCTGATGCCAACTCTTAAATCTTCCTTTAATTTGTATTATGTTTTTTTAACTTGCTATTAGTAAAGATTTTTGAGGATGAAAATATCTCCAAGTGACTCCTTATCAATTCTCACCAATATTTTATTAACCCTTTAACTCCCATGAGTGACCAAGACAGAATTTCTCCTCACAATATCATACAATATCAAGCAGACAAGTGATGAGAATAAAGAAAAATATCAATTAGGGAATTATTAGTTGATCCAATACCAAATTCTCAAAACTAACACCACAAGAACTATATGGCAGACAGTAAGGAGAATTACTATTGAGATCTTGGGAGTTGAAGGGTTAACCTCACTGTTGAAATATTCAGGTTAAGTCAAATTCGTAACATTGACTTGAGCAGAAATTAGCTTAATTAGATATAGCAGCATAATATCTGATAAACAGCTGGTTATTATTTTTTTTGTAAAGTAGAGGAAACATTTCTCCACATTAAACCTGCATCTTGTTTGTCATCCACAGAGTTGAAGATTCCAATGTCCATGTAAGGATGGCACAGACAAAGTACACACTTGAAAAACCCAAGGATGTTGCAGAAAGGATTAAAAAAGGTAAAAATGTACAGGACTATAAATGTCAGGTCTTGTAATCCAGTATTTATAAGGTTGTGCAAATTAATAACATTATTTTCAGATTTGGAAATTTATAGAAATGGGGAGTGGGTCCTGGGAAAGTCACTCATTTATTCCTCAGAATAAAAAGTGAGAAATACTTTGATGAAGTTATTGTATTGTGAAACCCTCTTCTGGATTTTTGGTTGTGTAGAACCCAAAAGTTAATGTGAAGTCAAAGAATTTTAAAGGTTTGGCAGAATACAAAGTTGGTGATTTTTTTTCACTGAAATAGAGCTTACGGGACTCCTAGGTTATGATTAGTAAATCTTACCATTAGTTGCTCAGATGAAGGGCTAACGCCAAAAAAGTCAGCCTTTAAACTCTTTACAGTGGCCAAGTTAAATTTTCAACTCAGTCGATAAAACCAAATTACCCTGCTATACTCTCTCACAGACACATCACCACAGTTTCTTTAGAAACTTACCCCTTTTATTCTTAAACCTTGCCATCAGTTACACTGATTTGATTTGAGGTGTTAGTCTAATGCTTTTCACTTTAGAGCTCAAGCTTTTAAACCTTTAGCTCCCATAAGTGATCAAGGAAGAATTTCTCTTTGCAGCAGCAATACAATATCAAGCAGGCAGGCGATGAGAATTGAGAAAAGTATCAATTTTAGGATTATTTGTTGGTCCAATGCTAAATTCTCCAAAGGAACATGATGAGGATTTTATAGTCGACAATAAGGAGAATTACTAAAGAGATCTTGAGGGTTAACAAATTTCAGAAGAAAAATGAGAAGGATTACCTGACCCATGAAAAATTAAACTAGTTTTCATGTGTTAACACTTTTTTGTCGTTTTATTTTGTTTAGAGCCCAGTGTTAAGAGTGATGTTGCCCAGAACAGTGGGTTAGAGATTGTTTCAGCTGATTTTGAAGATGCCTCGGTAAGTAGGTTTTTTTTTCCATTGAATTCTCTAATCAGAACGTCGTTGATATTACTCATGTTTCTTGCTGTTAAATTTGATAGTATTTTCATTACTTTACATAATTTTTTTAAACCTGGTAAGCCTTTAATTATTTATTAACATGTAACCTCTCCACACAATTTTAATACATTATTCAGAAATCAGGTAAAGAGAATATAAGGGCCTATCAGCAATGCTAAATTCACTTTACTGCATTAGAAGGACATAACATACAGGAGCTACTTGTAGAAGGAAGAATCGTTAATCCTATTTTGATTTATAAGAATTGGTTTTAAAGTAAAACTGTAAAATTTTAATAACAAAGACAACAAAGATAAACAATTTCTGAGAATTGCTATCTGGATATATATTTGATCTTCTTCAATTTTGTCTTTAAGGCCCTTGTTTTAGTTCCTCTCTAGTATAGAAATGCAATTGTGATTTTTTGTTTATTTTCAAGCAATTTGACATTACTTAAGTTTCCTGACAGACTAGGAATTAGCCTGCTATTACATAACCTCTCCTAATTCATCAAAACAGATTCAGCAAATTTTGAGTTGTTTGGAGTTACTTGATATATGTGTACCAGCCAAGTTTTGCGGAGTATACTGCATTTTTTTTATAATTGCTTGGATGGGTTGTGTGTGAACAGTGAGTGAAGCAAGTAAATGCTGTACTGATCAACTGTTTTTGGCTAAAATAAGATTAGCATGTAAATTAAAGATTCAGCAAAGGAGTCTTTGAATCTTTCATTATTACAACACAAGGTAATTACACTTTGAAAAAAGTGTCATGTTATACATAGAATATTTTTTGGCCTATTTTAGAAGTCTCTTTATTTTTTGAGATAACAATTTTGAAGTGAAATAAGTCTTCAGTAAGCCAGCAAATATTTTCAAAATTTTATCACAGTTACTATCACAGCTTCAAAATTCTAGTGTGGAAGATTTAAAGATTAAATCCTTTTTTGCTTAATCCAAACCTTAAATTTATGTCAAGATAGTTCAGCATGAATTAGATAAAAATTAAATATGCAGTAGACATGGTCTTATATGGAAAAAGAAACATTAAATTATTCAAGTGTGTTATTCATTCATTTCTCATGAATTAGTCATAAATTCAGCAGAAGGCTTCTTTGTTACTGAAAACTGTGAATAATACATGGTCAAAGAAGTTTCATTGAGTGAAAGCTTCTTTGAGCTGCAGATAAATTGATACACCTGTGGTATGAAACAGAAGTAAGTATTTTGTGGGAAATTTGCCCTTAGTTTTGATTCAAGTTCTCTTTTGAAAAAAGTGGAGTGTAATATTTTGATAGCTTCAGTATTGTGTCAGTAATGTTTCACAAAATTTCAGAATCTTTGTTCAGCCATGCTTGATGAAACTGATAATTTTCTCAAGTTGTACACAATGGTTGTTGTCAAGCTTCATTTCAAGCATCTTTCTATCTTTGAAATGATAGTTTTCACTCATTGATCTTGTATGTTTGATTAAGAATGATACTTCTCTGGTTCAATTTCGCTCACTAAATTGTTTGGCATGTCTAGAGGACAATTTTGACAGACTTGTAAATCAGACTATTGGGTTTATTTAAATTTATATTTAGAGGTGTTATGCTAATTTTGTTTCAAGTGAGATTTCTTCCTAATAGAGGTTGTTTGATAGGATTTTTCTTTCCTGAAGTTAATGTTAATAGTTTTCTTCTTAAAAGTAAAAGGTTTATCAATTTTGAAAGTATCTTTTTTTACAAGTAAACCAGGCAAATAGTTGTGGGAGCAGATCACTGCAGATGAAACTCTTAACTTGTTCCAGACTGTGTTTAGCATTAAATTACTTTAATGAAGGAGAAACATGCTTCTTAGTCTCCATTCTAAATTTAAGGAAGAACTTGTGAGATTTATTATTTGCGACTAAAACCTTGAATTTAAGTAACTTTTTTACTTTGTGAATTCATTTTATTTGAAAAAGGATTGGTAAAAATTTAGAATCTGTTACTTCTAGCATTTACAATCAAAACAAGATAACAATACAAAGCCACATTCCAGCAAATTAATTTCTGAACTTGAAGAATACAGTACCTATGCTGTTTATATTACAAATCTGAAGTATTGATAATTGGGTGAATTAATCTTCTAGAGAAACAACATTTACATTGCTTAAAGCACAAAATTAGAACTCTCAAAAACTTTAACTGTAGCCTTTATTGTTCATATGTGATCCTTTTATTGAAAATTGACTTGCTCAGAAACGCATTTTTTTATCGTATAAACTTTGATTCAACTGCCAGAGGCTTGAACAATTCACTAACAAATGTAACTTTCTCCCTCATCAAAGAACAAGGATGTGAAGGGACAACCTCAGAGGTCTGTGGAAACTCAGCAGCCAAAGTATTTCCTTATAACGATCATTGTTGTGGGCTGTGTGTCTGGAGTGATTCTGACAGCAGTTGCAATTTATCTCATAATGAGAAGGTAATTGTCTCTCTTTAACCCTTTTCACCCTGATGCCAGTATGCATTTTCTCCACACTGTTTTTTTACATTTCCTATTGAACTGATAAGGAGAATTTGTTTAACAATCAAGAGGTTCTTTAGATGGCAATCATTTCCTTTATTCTTTGACCTTAATGTGTGATTTAGTTGTGATCATGTCACTCTAAGGGATTAAATGGTTAACCCTTTAACTCCCAGATCAAATTTGTACTTCTCCTTACTATCAACCATACAATTCTCATGATGTTAGTTCAGAGAATTTAGTATTGGATCAACCAATCATCCCCAAATTGATAGTTATTTTTATTCTCATCACTTATCTGGTTAACACTGTATTGATATTGTAAGGAGAAATATATTCTTTCTTTGTCACTCATGGGAGTTAAAGGGTTAATATATACTCTTACATAAAATACTGTATTTAATTCAATTATCCAACTTGAAAGAAGCTTATTCAAAGCTGTGTTCTCAGAATTTTCATCAGTGACCTTTAGGCATTGGCCTTTGATATTTGTGGTGAGCGCTCCTTAACTAGAACATAACTTCCCCTTACAACATCAATACAATATTAAGCTGGGAAGACTATGGAATAAAGGAAGGTATCAATAAGGGAATTATTAGTTGATCCAATACCAAATTCTCTGAACTAACATAATAAAAATTGTAAAGTAGACAAGGAAAAGGAGAAGCACCAATGAGATAAGGAGAATTGATATGAGATCCTGGGAATGAAAGGGTTAACCCTTTAACTCCCAGAAGTGATTAACATAAAACTTCTCCCTTCAGAATCCATACATTCTTCAGTAAACGGGTAATGAGAATATTCAAACTTATCAAGTAGAAGCTGCTATCTTGATCTAGCACCAAGTTCTCATAACTTATGTACAAGGAAATATGTAGCAGCTACAGAGGAGAATTTACAATCAGATCCTGGGAGTTAAAGGGTTAAAGCTTTCATAAAAGCAAGGTTACTTGTATGTGAGTTGCTAAAAGGCAGAGCACAATCTTAAGTATTTTTAAGGGATTTGTACCTAGCTTTACATACTGTGGGATATTTATTGATACTCACTGATAGTTTTATTAATGTTGATCTCTATTCAATGATTGGCCGTTGTCAGGTCTAAATTTAACAAGTTGTCTTTTGTGTCTTTTTTTTTTTTTTTTTTTTTTTTTTTTTCAAGGCATAATGAAGCAAACTTCAAACCAGTCACTCTTCCTGGCCAAGAAGCAGCTGCTGATTACCAGGTAAGGCTATTTACTGATAATGACACCAAGTTATATCTCATTGGGAAAGCTTGACTGAAAGTGGTTTTAACACTTGGTTAAACTAACAGGTTGCAATCTGTAACTGACAATCAGTGTGTTGCTCGCCGCTGTGAACTTTACTATTATTATTGTTATTATTATAGTAATCTTAAAAATTACAAAATCTTCAATTGTGATTGGTGTAAAGAGTTCTCATTTTCCACTGATCCAATGCCAAGTTGTTATCAAACAGTTTGTTATTAGACAGTTTGTTATTGAACAGTTCATTAAGCCAAACACATTTAAAGTTGTAGTCTAAATCAACCAATCACATTCGAATCAACAATCAATTACATTTTGATTGTGGTCAATTTCAGGGCAACATTAAACAATTTACACCTCCTTTGTCAATCTTGTAAATTTTCCCATCCTTTCATAACTTGGCTATTCTTCTTTTTGAGGACATTTTAATTTTTTAGGATTAATTGGACTTTCCGTTGTCCAAGTCAGTCTGTAACCATACTCATGAAAAAAGGAATCAGACTCCCACTGCGTGGTTGTCCAATTTTGTTATCACTTGTATTACAGACCAAATTGGACTCCACTCAGTCCTGTTACCATTACTTATTAAAAGATGTTTCCCAGGAAGACATAGAACATTATCTCATTACCTTGATACCAACAACAGTTTACAAAGGAGCAGCATGATCCACTTTTAAATGTTTAGTATTAAGTCATCCTTTTTGTCAGGAACTGTGTCGTCAACTGCGAGCAACACAAGGGTGGGACAGTACACCAGCAAAGACCACACATTTACAGCATGGAGAAAAGGAGAAAGGACTGGGAAGTGGAAGAGCACCTAAATACTCCTGGTAAGACAAAAATGAGACACAAGTTTATGTGTTGATTACTGTAAGTTGTAAATATTACTGAAGATAGGATGGAGCTGACTGATCAGGAAGAGAGGCTGGAGGTTTTTATATAAACCTGGATCAAAGTGTTCCTGTCTCAACAAAGTAGTGAAAATGGATGTATCGATAAAGTATCCACTATTGTGAAAAAAAAAAAAAGTAGAAACAGGTATCAGTTATTTAAAAAATTTGTGATTTTGCGTGCTTAGGGTTTGTAATGAACACAGGGATTAATCAAAACCCTATGTTTAGGGGAAAAAGGGCAACCTCCATTAAGAAAGTGTCACCTCCTTTAAAAAAAAGATAGTAACACACATTGTGTACGCAAAGAGTATTTTATCAGCTCTGATGTAGGTGTAACCATGCATCACTTGACTTGAGGCATCCCTGGAATAGAGGTGCCTCAAAAAAGGACCAAGCTTCTTCTGTATTTAAGACTTCTTATTAACTTAGAGCATACTGTGTAACAGAGTTGTTTAATTTATTCTAGGAGTGAAGAGCCTGTTGTACCCAACATGGACATTTCTACTGGACATGTTGTTTTGGTAAGCATTTTGTTTATTCATTTCGTCTATATACAAATTCTCTGGTAGAAAAGAAATCTGTTAACCAGTTTTGCAAACTTGGAAAAAGAACAAGCCAAAACTGAAAGAGGTGTGGAAAGCTTCTAAACTCCCAATCCCATGGTTCTCCTCCTAATTGCAAGCTTTGTTCTATGATGAAGAAGCCAGAGTACACTTCCACACACTCGACTGCTTTTTTCTTCTGTATTTTTTCAGCAGAATGACTATTCTGAAATTGTTCTTGTTACATGAAGTCTCAAGTAGCTAATGAATTTCTTATGTTTTAGTCCTACATGGAAGACCATCTTAAAAACAAAGACAGGCTGAATAAAGAATGGGAGGTAATGGAATTGATGTGTTTTCATCATTTCCCTGTTTTTGAGGTACTACAGTACAATTTTTAATCGACCATGAAAATAAAATTCAGGACTCCAATTTATCACTCTGTTGCAGGCGTTGAAATCATATGAAGCTGAGCCTAACAGCAGGGAAGTTGGAAAGCTGGAGAAGAATGCAAGAAAGAACCGTTACAGTGATGTTTTGCCCTGTAAGTATTACTTAAGCTTGTGTGCCATTGGCTTATTTCTATCAATGCAAGTAATGCTTTACTGCATGGCCAGAACAGTGAGAAGGCAAGATGGAATGAATCCTATGTAATGAAAGGGTTCTTGAGAACATTCATGATTTCTTACTTTTCTTTTTTTTTTTTTCTATTGATTAATTTTTTAACAAGGGATTTGCATAACATGACTACTGTATATCTTGAAGACAGCCAAAATAAAGCCACATCTAGTTTTGTCATTTTATTTTTATTTCTGTGGATTATACTTTGACCCCAAAGAGTGACCAGTATCTTATTTCTCCTAATAACATCACCCCTGAATTACACATGAAGGTCGCAATAGTTAAGGAAATGATTACCAACTAAAGATGCTCTTCATTGTTAAACAAATTCTCCTTGTCAGCAGCTAAGGAAATGTATAGGGAATAGTATTGAGAAAGTTCATACTGATGTTAAGGTGGAAAGGGTTAACCCTTTGACTCCAAGGTCAAATTTGCAATTCTCCTTAATATCAACCATAGGATTCTTATAATGTTAGTTCAGAGAATTTAGCACTGGATCAACTAATTATCCCCAAATTGATATTTTTCTTTATTCTCATTACTTATCTGGTTGATATTATATTGATATTGTATGGAGAAATTCTGTCTTGGTCACTCATAGGAGTTAAAGGGTTAAGTCAATGTGGGCCTTTCCTCTTTGGTCAACATGGCTACACAGTAATATTTTTTGTTACCATTCAGTGGGTGATATCCATGTGTCCTGAAACTAAACCATGATGGAAAATCTAAAAGATATATTTACTTATTTATTAAAGGTAACAGAAGGGCACAGAACCTGAAAAATAACTAAAAAGGAGTATTAACACTAAGCATTAATCTGTAGAGAGTGTTACAAAATTTAAATCAACCTCCCTCCATCTTGTAGATGACCATAACAGAGTTCTACTAAAAGAGACAGCAAGTGCCACAGGGTCAGATTACATCAATGCAAGTTATATTGTAAGTTTATTCAGTTGTTACATTTTTTGTTCTCATGCTTTTCTGTGAATTGCAATAAAGGAAGGCATGGTTTTGCATTGCGTAAGGCATATCATTTTTCTGTTATTTCACTATTTCTCAATATGTGATTTAGAGTATGGATCCAGGAGTCATTGTTCATCTGCTGACAGTGCTGGTCAGGTCATTCAGTTGTGTTCTTGGGCAAAACACTCTACTTCCACAGCACCTCATTCCTTGGAATTGAACCAACCAATTATCAAAAAAATTAAACCAGGGGAATAAATGGTTACCATTGAAATGTCAAGGAAACCTTTCAAAAGGCTAAGGTTAACCTGCTATGGGCTCACATCCCATCCAGTGGGGAGGGTGAGGGGGAAGGGTAACATGTAACCATACTTATTGTCACCTGAGGCTTAAGAATTTGTGGAAAAGCGAGTCAGCCATGTAAGTCCGTCTTGTAAGCTCCACATTACCTCTTTATACAACTTCAAGACAAACACTCCAGAAGTCTAAGAATGCTAGTGCTGGTAGATCTTCAGGGGATCTGATAAAATTATGTGTGTAGAGGATAAGTGTGGTTTTCAGCTATTGTGGCAACTTGTTTTCCTGACAATTAAGGGATGAGATACGAGGGGAAAAAGGGCATTTGCACCTTTGTTTAAATGTAGGTACTCACAATAAATTTGATTGATTCCACAGACGGACCATGATCCCAAGAATCCTACCTATATTGCAACCCAGGGACCTGTGGCTCACACTGTATCAGACTTCTGGCAGGTAAATATGTTGGATTTACTGTATTATTATCATTGAGTTTTTGTTGAAATGTTCAGGAGAGTGGTGGGGATTGTATTGTTGTTTAATAAAACACTCCATTTTTGGAGTCTTGTTGATAGCCTACTTCTAGTTTACAATATTATAAGCAATTTTTTGCACAAGCCTATATGTTTAGAGAAAACATTACATTATGTTGTGTGCCTTGCAGATGGTGTGGGAACAAGGTGTTGTTGTCATTGTTAACTTGACAAAACTCTCAGATCTTGGACTGGTGGGTGTCATTGAAATAATCAAAAGAATAAATTACATTATTTTGGTATTGAAGAAGTGTGAGCTTTATATGCAATAACATAATGTGAACATAATCTTTTTGCCAACAAGAAAATGTCAAGTTTTTCAAAGATTGTTTGTGGCAAATATGTTTTTAGCATAAGTTTGGTTCTTACTTAAGGCAACCAGCCTGCTGATCCAATACCAAATTCCTAGAACTGGCATCACAAGAATTTTATGGGAGATAGTAAGGATAGTTACTAATGAGATCTTGAGTGTAAGGGTCAACACATTTCTTCAGGGGTTTCAATAACTTTTTCCATACATGGCTGCTAATGCTGTGACGAGCAGCTGTGCTGTAATTTAAAATCCAAACTCAAGAGCCCACTGGCAGGCTAAACAGATGGCAGTGAGAGGTTCCACAGCAATGGTTGACTGCCAATGACTGGCTTTTATTGAAACCCTTTTATCTTTCTAGAATGTGTAAAAACTTTCAAATGGAATGAGTCATTGAAAAAGAAACTGAGCAACCAATATTTATTATTTTCATTGCAGCCTCAATGTCACAGATATTGGCCTGAAGAGCAGCAACCAATTGTAACATATCGCATTTATGAGGTGAGCAATTATCAAAGGCTACTTGATAACATCGGTTTGGGCCTTGACTTTTGTTAGAGATACAGTAGTCCTTACAATGGACTCTTAACAGAGAGGTCTAAGTTCACCCAAGCCCTACCCCCTCCCCTTGACCCTTGACCAGTCAGTAGGCATAGTATGTTCCTCTCTACCAAGGAGCATAAGGGAGACCTGATGAAAAAAAAAGGGGGGGGGGTGGGTGGTACATCTCTGATATGCCAATCTCCTGTTTAAGTACAGAACTAATACTACACTTTTTATACCAGTAACCTTTTGCATCTTAACACCAGAATGTATATTTTCCATACTATTCTTAATAAATTTGCCTCAGCATTGACAAGGATAATTTGTTTGATGATTAAGACCCTTATCAGTTGGTGATTATTTTCTTTATATTTGATTCAGTGGTGATACTGTTATGAAGGATAAGATAGTAGTCGTCCATTGGAGTCAACAGCTAACTGCTGATTTTCTAGAGGGTTTGGTTATTATGTTGACTGGCCATAATTGGAAATGAAAACTGTTTGAGCCAGTAAGAAAAAGATTGGGATTACCAATAGAGATGTTGTTTATCTTTTGATGATAGGTTCACCTTGTCTCTGAACATATATGGTGTGAAGATTACTTAGTACGAAGTTTCTACTTGAAGAACCTAAAGGTTGGTCTTGAATGCTCAAAATTTTCCTCAGGTCTACAGTCACTCAATATGCTGTATTTGAGCAGAATTCTGTTGATCATGTTGTGTTGTAATGTAATTGCAAAGCATGGTTCAACATAGTTCACAAAAAACTTGGATCAGTATCAGTATCTGGGTAACTGCCCACCTACCCCTCCCCTAACCCAACAACAGTCTATTGATATCAACTTAGGGTCAATGTTGGGTTAATGGAGGGGTAGGTGGGCAGTTGCCCAGATACTGATATTGATATTGATCCAAAAACTTAGTTGATAAAACCAAATCATATTGTAATGCCTCCCGCTGACACAGCACCACAGTTTCTCAACAAACATATCCCCTTTATTCATTTGTTGCTTAGAAAATGACTTACTTAATTAACTTAACACAAAAGTTGTTCAGAGTCGCTCTAAAGTACAAATGTACATTAACTTATTGTACTTAAAACTTTGTTTCTCTTTTAATTGTGCACTAATGTTTAGTAAAGGAGAAGTTTTTCAGTAATAATTTTATTTCTTTTCTGTTATCAACAGACTAGTGAAACAAGAACAGTCACCCAATTTCATTTCCTTACTTGGCCTGATCTTAATGTTCCTTCAACACCAAAGCCTCTTCTGGAATTCAGAAGGTAAACTATTTTAAAGCAATGCTAGTTAACTTTGAAACACAATTCTAAAGAACAGTGGAATTGTTGAAAGGGTTAAAGCAAGGTTTCAGTCTTCCATAAAGATTCCTCTTGAGTTAAATTTCAGGAGAAAACTGTTGAAGCACTTGACGCTAATTTTTGTTCAAAGAGTGATGTTGATGTTGACTTTGCTTTTGCAGCTTCTGCAAAACTATCATACAGTGTGAACTGCAAAGTAGGCATACATAGAGAATGTTTCCTCTCAAACAAGGACATGATGAAACATGATGATGAAACTTGACTTAAAATCAACCAAATTTCTTCTGCAGGAAAGTGAACAAATGCTTCAGAGGCCGAGCCTCTCCTGTCATTGTACACTGCAGTGGAGGAGTTGGAAGGACTGGAACCTACATACTGATCGATATGGTGCTGAACAAGATGATGAGAGGTGAGTGATACCAGCTTTTGGCACGGTCATGTAATTGGTTAAGGAAGGATTATTGGGTATTTGTTTGATGGTTGCCTGGTGAGTCAAGCCAATTAAATAGAAAGTGACATTTTGACTAATTATTTGCACAAAGGCTTACATAGTCACAGACAAAGTGGAAACTTTCAATAACAAGTTCTATATTGTTTTTTTAACTTCCACAAGTTATTGGTCTTTTCTTAAAACCAGTGATGTATGTTTAGTGAGCTTACAAGGGTGTATTAAGCTGAAATAGATGCCTCTGTTTGCTAATCTCAGGAGCCAAAGAAATTGACATTGCAGCCACAGTAGAGCATCTCCGTGACCAACGTCCTTCCATGGTTAAAACTAAGGTATGTTTTAAAGACTACAGCTTTATTGTACAACCCTCTCAATGTCCCCTTTTTCCGAGAGGGTGTCCAATCCTTAGATCCTGGTGGATTGTGTGAGATTTACAAGTATGTTGTACAACTTTTTATCACTTTCAAGGATATCTCTCATAAAATGAGTGGCAAATGTATTTGGCACACTTTCCCTTAGTAAGTGGTTAACAACCCTTCATTCAACATTATTAACAGAAATCTTGTAATTCTTCTCACTGACAAGCAAGCTCTACTCGAAAGTACCCAATGAGTACAATCCATTGTCTTTATCTCAGCAAGATCTACTTGTGGTGTCATCTCAACAATTAAAGTTACCTTATTTTATTTGTTGTTTGCAGGCTCAGTTTGAATTTGCCTTGACAGCTGTTGCAGAAGAGGTGAATGCAATCTTGCAAGCTCTTGCCAAGTGATAATCAGTGACTGGAAAAAGAAGTATTATATCAATTTAATTTAATAATTTGGGAATTTCACTCTGTTGAGTTAGGTCTAAAAAGGCCAGGCAACTACTTTTTGTGAATTTGGTGGTGAGCTGTTTGTTTTGACCAAAAAATTTCTTCAGATCTTTGTTTATATGATTTTTATGACTGAAAAAAGGTGAAAAGTATCATTTTAGTGATAACAAATTTTGTTAACCCAGAAAGTACGAATTTTTTCATGTTTTGAGGCAGAGCCCTATTAACTCCTAAAAAGAGTTACTACTGAGATCTTGGGAGTTAAAGGGTCAAGAAAAAAAGAAAAATTAAGTTATTCTTTCCTTTAAGTTTTCATTTTGAAAAAATGGGAAGAGCTTTTTGAATATGTTTTCAGTCATCTTTCTGTATGAAAGTGGATCTGTTTTGCTCAGGAAAGATGTAGAAGTGGGAGAGTTTTGTTTTACGTTCTCTCTTAGGTCTTTTCATTTTAATAGGAAAGAATGACTTACGTATGGTGGAATTTATTCCAATGTAATTTAGTTCTGGTTGTAGATATTCCTTAGTTTGCAAGATATTTATCTGAAAAGGAAGAGAGTGTATGCCCCGAGGGTTTTATCGGTGTTTCTCCAAAGTGGATTAGAAAAGAATCCAATGGGGAGAAAACTTTTTCTTTTTGCAGAAGTACTTCTTAATACGTTCTGCTCACAATGGACCTCTGTCAACTTTGAAGGAATGAATTTATCTTTGTGTGATGACACAAAAAATATATATTGATTTGTGAATTAATTGTTTTGCATGATGATGTGACATAGAATTCTTTCTTTGTGGGTAATTAGAAACCAGATTTGTGTTGAAGAATTCTTAATAACAATTCGTTTTAACTCAAGAAGGCGAGGCAATCTACTTTTGGTTGACATTTCCATCCTATTTCTGGAGTGGATGAAGATTGATTGGACCATCAAAGGGCTTAATGAAGGTTTTACACATTTTGAAGAAATTTAGTTGTTGATCAAGAAAATACTCGATAGTTAGTATGAATAGATTTGAATTTCTAATTTACTGGAAATTTTTAGGTGATTCTTTCGCCTCAGAGATATAATTTTATGTCACAATATCACAAAGTAAGGGGAGCTGTATTCATTTGAGATGTTTCGGGTGCTTAACCACAGCAGTAAAGTAATCTTTTTACTGACGTTGATCGTTATTTTCCAATGTTTTCTGTATTATAATTTTTATTCTTAAATAACCCATAGAAAAATTTGGAATGGAGATCTGACAGGAGTCTTAGGGACATTGAAGTAATAACCTAAAAAAACTAGAGAATAGCTATTAGTTTTAAGGAGAGGGGTTGAGAAATTCTTCATGTTTCTTAGACACCTGAGGGAGGGGGGCTCATTTGTTTGACACTGGAAAACAATTTTTCTGTGGGTTTTTTTTCTAAGGAAAGTCAAAACATGCCTTTGGTGTTCTTGTAGAACTCTTCCAAAACTTTTGTTTTGTCAGAAATGATGAGTCTTCGATCTTGCTAAAGTGGTACATATATGGACCAAAATCTTTATTCTTATCTTCGTGAACTTAGCTTCTCTCGTACTCAGATAAGTGTTGGTGCAATTTTACAGGATCACGGAAGATGTTTTGCCTTTCCAAAATACAATCGCAACATCAGAAAGAGATATATAACCACCAAAGAATGATATATGCCAAATATGAAAAACGTTCTGAAATTCAAACCGCTTAACCTCGTTTCCCGTAACACTAGATGTATAAAAGTTACAAAAGGACGATATTATTTTTATTTATATTTTTTGAGAATGACTCAGGGAATTGTTAATTTGGTATTCTGCGTAATGTAATGTAATGTTCTTGCTATGGGACAAAATTAAGTGGCGTAACAGTTAAATTTATATTGGGATATCATTTATGCACTGTTCAGCTTACAAATGTTTCTACACGTCACGTCAGGTAATAAGTTAGTGATGGGCATTTCGATTAAGTGTCGTTAAATCAAAATAATCAGGACAGCCAATCAGAATGTATGAATTATCGCTAGGAGCCAATGGAAACTCGTAGCTGGTTCAAGCCCGGGAAACGCGGGTGACCAAGTGGCTGTTGGTTTTAGTTTTGACTTTGATTGGTTGGGAGCATGGCATGATTTTTCTCCTCCAATCAAAGAACGCGGAGAAGCAAAATACAACGCAATCTAAATGCAGTCGCATGTTATTCTTCACATTCACTACGTTTCCTGACTTAGATGTAAAACTATGTTAAATCAGCATTCTGATACCTGTTGTCTAAAAGACGTCCGGGTAATGAAAATTACTTTAAATCCTTATTGAAATTGATGGTTATGTCCTAAGGGTTCCTCTGTCGGTCCGTTTTCCGCACACGAGTGCGTGAGTTGCACCGACTGCGGTGAAGATGCAGAGGAATTTGAATCTTAATAAGTTGTGTCTACATCAATCTCTCTGGGAACGATTAAATAAAATTGAACTTTACTGAACTAATTTTTCCGTCCATTCTCGTTTAATTGTAGTGTAGGCTGTTAGAGACACCTTTTGTACGACCTCTGTACATGTTAGACTATCTCTTCCAGCAACTCTGTTGTATATGTTAGGCTATCTCCTCTAGCGACTTTATATTCTTAGAAAATGGGAAAGCTTGAATGTTTGGGAGCCACCCGTCGTGCACTTTTTTTTTTTTCGGAATTTTCCCTTCAGCGGATCAGTATTTTTAGTCTGTCACCCGCTCCGGCCTGATGGTTAGCGCGCTGAACTCAGGAACGAGAGGTCTAGAATCGAGTCGTTGTGTTGCAATCTTGAGATAGCCCCAGTTTTTCGAATGTTGGAAAACGCCATCCACTCAGTGGATAAATCTCTATCTATTGGATAGTACAGCACATTTTATCAACGCTAGCGGCACGGAAGCCTGATTAACCCATGGACCCCCAAGAGTGACCTGCATCTAATTTCTCCTTACAATGTCGCACTTGAATCAAACGTGAGGGTCACAGGAATAAAGGTACTGATCACCAACTAGAGAGGTTCTTAATTGTTAAACGAATTCTCTTTGTCAGCATCATGGGAAACGTATAGAGAACAGTATGGAGAATATGCATATAGCTGTTAAGGTGTAAAGGGTTAAATGATGGGGGGGATAACCTGACGATGGATTGGGACCCCATCCAGGGGTGAAAAGACTAAGTGTTATTCCTAATCACATCGTGCCAGCCTGTACCTGTAGAGGCCTATGCCGTTTCATTATAAAGAATCTCCTCGAAATTGTTTCAAGGCATAAAATTTTTTTCATCTGAAGGTTTGCAATTATGGAGAAACTAGAAATATTTCATCAACCTCCTCTTGGGGAAAAGGGTGTACTTCGGTGTTCATTTTAAACCGCGCAAATGGGTCATTTGGCGGGAAAACTGTTAGATGACGTCACATCCCGTCGCGCTTGTGCAGGACAAGAAGAGAAAAAACAAAAAACAGCAGAAGAGCAGGGATGAAAGCAAGGCAGATTGTTTTTAAACAATTCCAGCTGACAAACTAATCTTAGCAGGGTAAGTCAATGTCAATTATACCTCATAGCTTTAGAAAAAGGACTACTTCGCTGATTTACTTGTGCATTACTAGTAAGCCAGTAAGAAATTTCGTCAAAGTTTTCCATGGCGTTTGTCGTGCTTCACATGCTTGAACTTCAATTGCAGATTTGATTTAGACGATGTTGACCTTTTTGAAAGTTATCAAAATACCCTAAATGATTTTATTCTCTAAAATTTGTTGTTGATTTTGTAAGAACGGCGATTATCAAGATTTTGTTCCCATCGTCCGAATGGCTTTGAAAGAGCTGCCGATGAATTCTGGCAGCAAAGACGACTTTCAGTTATTTGGGGCAAACATGAACTTTACAACATCAAATGACTCTTCCAATCCACCGGACTCGCGAAAAAGAGCGGCACAACACGACAAAGGAGTGCCACGCCACGAGGAAAGCTTTGTACAACCAGAACCGCCGAAGAAACAGAAAGTCATTCTTCCAACTCATGTAAGCAAGCTGAATCTATTTTGATCACAGTACCAATTTTTCTCCCATAGAATGCATGTTACCTTCCTTCCGTAAAACCTAAACAAAAGGTTTTCGACATATAACAAATGAACTGAACTGCAATGACTGAAAGATAATTTATTTTCTTTTAGCAAATAGTTTTAGGAAAGCTTTCATTTAACAACGTTTCATTGATTGTATTGATAGGTGGCTCAAAATCAAGATCAAAGTCAGATGAGCAACACGTCAGATGATATCGCATCACAAGTAAAGCACGGAGGTAAGTCAAAATGAGTCCAATCACTGCCCTTCAGCACTGTTACAGTAGGCCCTCGTTCATCAAAAAGCCTCCCAAGGCCTTAGATATGTTCCTAACATCTGGCCTGAGAGGTTAACAGGTTAAATACCAGTATTGGGCCTTTTCGATTCTCGGATGCCAACAACTTTTCACTGCCACTATTATTTTTAATTACAGGTCCCTTTTTGCACCTTGATAGCAAGGACTCGAGTAGCGGTGATGAAAAATCAAAACTTGAAGCCGTGTTGCGAGGTGTGTCATTTTGGTACACGGTGCTCTAACTGACTTCGCTCTATAATCCGTTAATAGATTGGGGAACCACCTTACATGATTTGGTTGGTTTCGGGAAGTTTCAGATTTGCCTCTTAACTCCCAAGATCTGATTATCAAATTCTCTCCTCTAGCTGCTGCACGTTCCTTCTTAACTAGTTACGAAAATTTGGTGTTAGATCCAGATAACAACTTCTGCTTGATAAGTCTGAGTATTCTCATTACCTGTTTGCCAGTTAATGTGTGGATATCATAAGGAGGAGTTATATGTTGATCACTTCTGGAAGTTAAAGGTTATAGGGCCAATAGGACTGAGATATAGGAAAGTTGGTTTTCGATGGGGAGAAAGCAATATTTAAGTGACAGGCCTTGTTTAAAGTAAATATAAGTTATGATATAAGTAAATTTTACCGCAATCTGTCACTCAAAACTAATTGGCAATGAATAAAATGTTGAACTGTCACGTGTGGACAGTATTAGTTCTTTATTCAATGGCTTATTGTATGAATGGTCGTTTTCTTTCCGCTCGTAGAACTTGGCCAAGAGATGAGGATGGTACACTTGAAGTGGGCACAACCATTTGCGTAAGCTTGTTCTATGAGAAATGTTCATATTCGCTATGTAGTAAAAGACTAGTCATTATAAAGATCCTTTTGTTTTAAGACCTCATACTAGACAGCAATGTCTGGTATAAACACATACCACTTAATGTGACGTTCTAACGTTTATTTGATAGTTAACCACAAACAGCAGAATTTTAGTCCGCTGCCACCAAGTGTGTGCTGGCATTGTGTTTCACGTTTGGCAGGTTTACTGTTTGTTTATATATTTCGGGTCGTGTAGTGTGTTTTAATGGTGTGGTCTTCCCTGAAAAACACCTCTTAGACATAATCATTTGTTATGACCTGACTCAGTCTCTCAAACAATGACCTTGTTACACCATTTACTTTTATCTTATCTTCAGGGAGGGTGAATCTTTCGAAAGATATTGTCCAGTCAAACTTGATGAACTCCTTAAGGAAGCTCTGAGGCTTGAACAACACCTAAAGAATCAGAAAGAACGCTTGAAGGAGAGGTTAACTCTGATTACACGAACCCTTCAAATGCCTACCGTATAATAGATCGTTATTCGAGTTAAACTGTAAAATACCGCCGTAAATTTTTTAGCCGATTGCTATCTGCTGCTATTGCCAGTTTAATTAATCACATTTGAACAGAATGCCATTTTTCACTCTGCAGTTCGAGATGATGCAACAAAAATGATGAAACAAAAGACAGTGGTAATCTTGAAACTTGTCAGACTAATTATGAACCAATGACCGGTCAGCTACCGGTGGAAACCAAACCTAAATTATTTACAATCACTTTTCCAGTATTCCGCAGGACCTTTCAGTAACGTCGAAGTGAGTTCTCTTGTGGTTCTGGTGACAGTGTCTTTACCGCATTACATCAACTACTTCACTTTTAATGTGAAAACTTACATTTGTCTCTGTTTTCGTTCTTCATTCTTGAAACGCATTAAAAAGGAAAAAAGGGGAAATATGTAGTAGTTATGTGAAGTATCCTCGCTGATACTTGTATTTTCAAACGATGGTTCAGCGACATCAATACTTACGTGTTATCCTTGATATAAGACTTCCTTGAATCAAGGTTAAAAATAGCACGCGTAAATTGATAGAGAGAAGTTCAAGTTCACGGACTTCAGTTATTATGACAGCTCGCGACAAATGAAGTGATGTTACTTTTTCCGGATGTTTGTGGAACATGTGACTTTGCTCACGTTTACTGAAAGCTTTTTGAATGGACTGATAGCTGAGCGTGCTGGACAGTCCCAAATATCCCCGATTTTTTTACTAAGGCATAGCTTGGAATCCACATGGACTGACAGAACAGCAGTTGCCCTCACAAATGAATTTACAAAATTCGTTTCATCCGTTATTCATTTCTTTTACAGTTTCATATGGAAAAAAAATATTAAATTTCTAATAACTTCCTTAAATTGCCTCTGCAAGTCACCAGGCATTAGTTTGGATGAAACTGTGGCTAAAAATAGGGCATCATTATTCACAATTTTGGCTGTCTAGATTCTAGCAATTTTTAGATACTATGATAATCGAAGGTTTTTAAAACTACCTAACAACACGCCTGGAAATGTTTGATTGCGCAGAACAAAAAACCGTACATGACGATGACCAGTTTTCTATGATTATATATTGTCAAGATTTCTGTTTGCGACTCTCCCACGCTTTAAGATTGAGATAATCATATCAAATTTTCCTCCACAGCCTTTTATGGTGTCAACTCTAAATAGCTGTGGGAAAAAGTCACGACAAGAACATCGATCAAATGTTATCTTATATTGTTTTTGGACTCTCAGGAACTTAGACAGGTCCTTCAGTCGAGAGACTACTTGATCCTCATTAAAGCATTGCTCAATATCCAGTTAATCTCCAGTCAGACTCTAGGTTTTGTTAGCTTGGTGAGATCACGTCATATCCTAGATAAGTTCATATTTCTAGACACTGAACGGTTGGTAAGTTTTGATTATTGTAACTGCTTTAACTTCCCTGTGGAAAACAACGGCGAAACGAAATATCAGTCAACTTGAGTCGCCGCAACTTGAGACAATAACAACAAAATATTGATTTAAGATTAATCGTGGCCATAAAACATGTTCAAAGACAGCAAATATCTTTTTAAAATCGGCGCATTCTCTACGATTGCAGTGGCAGATTATATTCGATGATGACGGAATCAGTGCAAAGTGGTCGTTTACTATTCATTGACGTTTCTAACTCGGGCGCAATTAAACCTTTTTGAACGACGGTATATCGAAAGCAGTGGGTGCTGATATGACTCATTTGGTGTTCTAAACAGGTTTATGACACGTATCTCTGACAAGTAAGTGTGCTGATAAGTCTGTCTATAAATCTTCATAATATTTTTATGCTCTCTGTAGGAGTGCCAAGTTTGAGAATGAGAAAGTCTATACTGCCAAACTCACTCCCTGTCTCTCAGGATCACAACCTAATTAGAGTGAAGACGAGTTCTCAATAAATTTTACGAAAACAGCTCCTTCATAAGATTCTATTTTAATATCACGATTCACTGTTATATTCTTGCTGATGAGTGGATTTTAAGTACAGCTAAGTTGCATATTAAAAACGGTCTCGGTTGGAATTTCCTGACGAACCCAATGCAAACATTTGCGTCAGATATAGCTGGTATAGCAGTGAAGAGTATTGCAATGCGCTGTGTCTCGCGTGGAACAACGTTTTGTGAGCGACTTCAGCTTATTAGGGTGTGTTGGTAAAACTAAATCAGTCACTTTATCAAATAGCTTGAGACTGATAACCCTGAAACGGAAAGATCGGTGTACATACACGAGGGCAAATGTGTAAGCGATTGATTTCATGCGACTAATCTTTTCGCCTTCTTGTGCGCAAGACATATGCGTCTTGTCTTATCAATTCAAATTTGTTCGAATTCTCGAAACAATTCATAACTGATCTGTACATCCAAGTCATTATGATGATGTGATGATAGTCCATCCTGTGAGCTGTTTAATCTACTTTCCCACAGGACTTGTCCTCTCCTAATCTTCAACAGAGCAAACAGTTTCACTCGTATGAGTCTTGAAGGATGAAGGTGTCTTTCTGGATCGGAATTTGTAAATAGGGTGTGAATGTTGGCAGTACCAATTTGCAATACTCGTTTGTAGGAAGGATTTTTCATAAAGAAATCATACCATGTAAAACCCTAGGGTACTTACAAGATTGTCATGTCGACATTGATGCCGTATTTCTCGAATGAGCATCGAGTGATGCGCAGGCCATGTTCGGTTTCAGCTCCTGAAATACGAGTTTGCATGTTATCAACTATAAAATTTAAGGCCCATTGCTCTCAAAGGGCACCCTAGAACTTCCTTGTCATTCCCCTCCTTATGCTAGCATTTTTTCCTAATCAAGTTCTAAATATCGTGTGAGATTCTTAGACGTGGCTTAATGATGTCTATCAGTACCACATATGGTAATTGTGTGTCTTAAACAAGGCCAGGGTTTCAAACCCCCAGCGGCACATTTCCACTCAAACTTCCCTTTAAGAGAGTTATGCTCTGGAAACCTAGGAGGGCTTTTTCCAATCCCCCTTCCAAGTGTTTGGATGTGGCTATGTAAACAAGGAAAAAAAGTCCCCTTTTGCTTTTATAAAGTACTTCTCAGAAAGCGTGACGTTACAACCCTGTTTACATAGCCCTCTGAATTGGCCACCTGTGCATGACCTCTAAAAATGTTTCAAAAACAGCTGCTGTTCTGTTGTTCCAAGAAAATTTTCATTTTAGTAAAGAATGCCTTGATATGTAGCTTTTAATCAGGAGACATAATCATTTCTCGTCCTAAGCGTTCAAACAAATCGCCAGGGAATGGAAAAGAGAGGAATGGAACATTTTTTAGTTATTTTATATATATATATATATATATATATATATATATATATATATATATATATATATATATATATATATATATACATAAAAAAATAACATATATGTTAGCGTACAGAAATAGGTATGTTGCTCGCACCAATCAGATCGTCGCATTAAGGTATGTATCTCGCACCAATCAGAACGTCGTTTTTGTTTGGTTTGAGAGGTGTTCAAATTTCAACGAAGTAAGGGAGGATTCGGAGATAGCGGTTCGTAAAAAAGAATCATCTTTTAGAGTGAAAAATGTTGGCTTTCTTTGTTTTTAACGTGTATTTTACCGCGCTTTATGAGAAATGCGATACTACTGGACAGATGAAAGATATCAGATTGCCCATAGTAAACGTGTTACTCGTGCTGTGAAAATGGTGGATAGTTGTTCGAGAGAAAATGGAGTTCTGTGCACTGTAGCACGATCATAGTTATTGTTCCTTCACGACGAGAGTGAGTAGAAAAATTTTGAATCAAATATTGCTTTAGGTGTTGATGAATTGCATCAAACATTTTGATTTGAGCAGTTCTTTAACGGCAAGCTGTGTTGCACGATTCATGATTTGTTGAGTGTGCCGATTATATTTTTCTGGATTGGTTTGCTCGGTGCTATCTGTAGATGAATGTTTGATTAAAATTAACTATGGACGATTTTGTGTATGTTTTCGATGCCTGGAGAAAGTGATCTTGTGGAGTCGTTTGGGTTTGGCCAAGGACGAATTCAGATACCATCGTTAGCATGTATATTACGATCGATTTTCATCAAGAAATGGGCTAGGAATATTCCACAATAGTGCAAATAATCGTGAAAGCTGATCGCGGAAAAGCGATTGCGTGACGCTCGTCAAGTTGTAAGATGACCTGTTATCACAAACCAGACGAAAAACTCTTTAGATTCTCAGTCTGCATTTTGTGCCCATTCAGCAGTCTGCAGTCTACGTTTTGTATCCGGTCTGCAGTCTGCATTTTGTACTAATAGGTATCCGTGGCACCAATACAGTTTATTTTTGGTTACAGTTATTCGCACATCACACACAATCTGCCACAAAACACCTGTGTGTGAGTTAATTCGACATTTTCGTTATTTCCGCGTTAATACTCTTCTTTCCTTTTGTAAGAAGTTAGACATCACTTACAATGTTTCGAGTAATCCACCCAACCCCCAAAAATAACTCTTGCATGCATAGCATGCCTATGTTTCTTCACAAGTATGTGACCCGATAGGACATGAAGCTTACGATCTCGAGAAGCAACTTTCATTTAATAAGACATTTTAGGGTAATTTTGGAACTATAAGGATGTCAAGGGCAATTGTGGCTATTCAAGCTACGCTGTTTCCGTTTTCCAAACAATAACGTTTGTATAAGAGAAAGAATAATACCCATTCCCTTAGCCAACGAAAGCCCATATTTTCACTTTCCCTCTCCGTATTTCTAGCTTCAGAAAGAATCAAACGCAAGTGTATATTGTTGAAAAAGTTAATAAAAAAAAAAAGGCAGCGAATGATTACCTTACGTAAACTACTTACATACGGCTCAGGATGACGAAATTTTCTACCAACTGAAATACATGACAGGGGATTATGTTCTTAAGAGAAACAAGCAATGATTTCGCTTCGATCTTGTCTTTGAAAACCATTTTGATTTTTCATTTGTAGTTAAGAGGAATTACAAGCGTAAAGAGAGCTGGCGAGATTGAGCGCGGAACGAGAAAAAAAAAGTATATTTCTCCTCAACCACCCCACTCCCATGCGCGGTCGGGTGCGCGAAATCTCCTGCTGCTCTCGTTTGTACAATATTCCTAGGGAAAATGGAAGGCTAAGAACAACCTATCGACATTTTATTTACACGAATCTGTAGAATCTAGACAAGCGAAGTTCAAATGGAATCTTTGTACATATCCCTCATTTAAGCATCATATCGTACTTAATTCAATGTAAGAAACGATATACGATCTGAGCAATCAGCTCGGGGGAAGGGGGGAGGGGTGGGTAAGGTAACCTATCTTAAAAATACGAATTCCTTTTTTTAACTTCTTCTATATTGTCAA